CGCTCCATGATGATCCAGGACGACGACCTCAACAATGAAATGATGAATCACAACCTCGACGATCTAGAGGAAAAACGTAACACCGCACTCTGCCGAATCCAGAATTATCAGCAAGCCGCGGCCAAGTACTACAACAAGAAAGTCCACAATCGGCATTTTCGTGAAGGCGACCTCGTCCTCAGAAAAGTGTTCGAAAACACGGCCGAACTCAATGCCGGGAAGCTCGGCGCAAGTTGGGAAGGTCCCTATCAAATATCGAAGATCGTCCGACCCGGAGACTACGAGCTCCTCACGATGTCCGGCATCGAAGTCCCTCGCACGTGGAACTCAATGCACCTGAAGCGGTATTACTACTATGTACTGTGATACCGAGTAGCTCGGTCTCACCGATGCCTCACTATGTACTGTGAACTACGAGCGGCTTGATCCCTCCGATCAGAGGGTACGTAGGCAGCCTCGTTTACGAGGCACAGCTGCAAATATTAATAAAATCTATCTTTTCCCAATTACGGCACGAAACGAAAATACATCAGCACCCTGGCCCGGTGTCTGATCGAACGAGAAGCCGAGCTCCGCACTCGCAAAATTAAAACGGCCGATTGCGTAAGCCGAGGTCGAACTCGCACTTTTGTGCCCGTTTTAATCATTCGAACAGGATAAGCCGATCCCTGAGGTCGCACCTATAAATGTCTTGGAACCGTCCCAAACATACGATTATCGACCCAAGTTATCGAGGTCGTCCTCGATAACATACGAAATACGACCTCGAAGGTCATACACGATTATCAACCAAGTTGTCGAGGTCGTCCTCAAAAACTCGCACGGTACGACCTCGAAGGTCGTATCACCAAACATCTTGGGAACGACCCAAACACGATAACCGACCAAGTTATCGAGGTCGTCCACAGTAACTTGCGCGGTACGACCCCGATGGACGCGTCGTCATGTGTCTTGAGCCCGACAGTTTACACACAAGAATGAAACGTTAAAATATTCGATAAAAGGCCAACAGAAGTGGCAAAAAGTCTTACAAAAGGCCGACTACGCGGCAGAAAGAAAAACAGCGACAAAAAAAAAACATAAAGTCTCAAGATGCGGCCTCATCTTCAAGAGGATCTTCGACCCGGATACCTACGCCACCAGTAGCCGGATCCGCAACGACCTGGTCCACGACGTCCACATCCAGAGCAGTCCCTTCATCAGCATCGACAACGGAGGGAGCAAATTCCTCGACGACAAGAGGACCCTTGAAGAAAGTTCGAACATCAGCCCAACCTTCTTCGAGGTCGGCGATTTCGAACGCGTTCACCTCGTTCTTAAGGTCCTCAACATCGGCCTCAAGTCTCTCGATTACGTCCTTGGAATTTAGGACGATCTCCCCAGACTCGGCCAGCGTCTTCAGCAAATTCACGCTCCCGACAGCTTGATTGTAATCGAGAAATTTGGGATTCGCCGCGTCCCTAGTGGTGAAGTGCCTCTGGATCCCGTCAAGGCGTTTCTGGAACTCCTCAGCAGCCTCCTTAAGAGCCTTAGTTACCTGGATACGACCATATTCGGCACGCCGCTCCCGAAGCCTTGCCTCCTCGGCCTGTGACTGCTCGGCATAGTTTTTAAAGTCGACCCGGGACTTTGACAATTCTTCGAGACAGCGCTCTCGTTCTAAGAGAGCGTTATCTCGTTCTTCCTTCAGTTTCGCGACCTCCTCGCGAAGAAGCCCCACCTCGGAGTTAGCACTCTCCAAACCTTTCAACGCCTGATCGGCCCTTTTTTGCTCGGCCGCCAAGGCCCTCTGATGCTCCTTCGAGGCCGTGTTCTGCTCGGCGACAACACGGAGGCGCCGTTCGTACATATACGCCATCCGATCGATCGCGGTAACGGCCTACAAAAAAGAAGGGGAGAGCTCGATCAAAGGACGAAACACTTAATAACAGAGTAAAGCAAAAATTTCCCAAAAACGTTACCGCGACAGTTTTCTTCGCGGCGTCGGTAAACGCCGTCCTCTCATACATATCTTGAAGCTCAAAAAAAGGAGACGGACCGACATGGATCTTGCGGAACAGCTCAGCACAAGACGTAGGATCGGTCGAAATATGGACGTCGCGTCCGCCATAATCATACCGCCATCGGTAGTCCTGGGTCCAGGCCGTCCTCTGCTTCTTGGCCGAGTCAGAGCGCATCGTCTCGGACTCATCCACAGCCCGTTTCCGGGTAGGCTCGGCCAGATAGTCGTCATACAAGACGACCTCCCTGCCGCCTGAAGGTACGTCCCGAGAGGCCTCGGTGACAGGCAACTTAGCTGACCTCGCCTCGGCCACCTCCCTGTCCCGCCTCTCCTTAGAGTCATAACCACGTCGGTCGCGACAATCGTCCCCGGACTCCTTCCTTTGACGAGTTTCAGCTCGTCCCTTTGCCTCCTTCGCCTCGTATTCCTCAAGAGACAAACGCTTAGCCAGAGCCGTGGCCTCTTCTTCCTCCCGAGTCATCTTCTTCGTCGGCGTCACCGACGATTTCTTCTTGTACCGTGACGAATAGTTACCCACCGCGTCAACGTTCAGCTTACCCATGATAGTAAGAGGTGCTAAAAAAAAAGAGAAGGGGCAACAACGTATGAGTACGCTCCGACCTGAAGAAAGGGCAAAATGGGGGCTAGAGTAATGCCGAAACCAACCTGGAGTCTTCTGGATTCCTTTCGACTTCGAAGGAACCTTCTTGCGGCTCGTCCCTTTTGATTTCAATGAAGGACGGCGGACCGGATCTTCTTCACCTGGCCAAGTATACAGACACAGAGCCAAAATCTTTTGGACGTCGTCGTGAAGCCTTTCAGGATACGGGTCGAAGATTTTGGGACACTGAACTGCAAAAAGAAACAAGAGGAACAAGTCAGATAAACTGTCAGATAGGAAGAGATCGACCTCGGAGGGATAAGCAAGCTACCGGGTGAAACAGTCCACCCATGATAATTCGTGACCACGACGTCCCCAGCGGACTCGTTGTTAACTTTAACAAAAAAGTACCAACGAAGCCAATCGTTGGTCTTACTCTTCGCACCAACGACCAACTTTGGGGTCAGCGAAGACTGGGTATATACGAGGCCCGGCTTGGATTCCCAAAATTCTTCTTCGTCGTCATCTCCTCATACAAAGAACATCGAGGCTCGACGCCGCACCTCTCCGCTAGACGGATCAGACCGTAGGCGTTCCGAATTGCAGCAGGGGATAGTTGCGCAAAAGCCATCCGTCGCCGCGAAGCGTATTGTAAGAGGAAGGCGGGGATCGGGAAGGTCAGTCCACAATCGGTGATATGCTTCTCGTAGACGCAGAGATAACCCGGCGGCGCAGTCCAAGGACGATCCGAAGCACTTGGAACCATCGTGATGAGATTAGCCGGGGCGTCACAGAAGCTGAGCGAAAGCTCGATCGATTCCTCCGTCGAAGACGACGGGCGAAGATAATCCGCAACACCAGGCGCCGGACCCCTTGGTTGAACGGGAACGTCGTCCAGCCGAACTGGAATCATAGACGCCGCACCGCTTGATGGGCCCGCTCTAGCCAAAGCAGTCTTTCGTCTAATTAAGGGGACGTCGTCTTCGTCCGAAAACGCCGCGTTGCTATCCTCGTCACGAAGATACATGGTTGTAACAGGTCTGGTAGTGGCGCTCGGCCCAGCAGCCCCTGTTCGACATAAGAGCTCGCGACGGTGCAACTCCGCAACATCTGCCGAACTCTTCACAGCAGACGACGCCGACGTACTGGGAGATCTAGATTTACGACCCCGACGACTATCAGGTGACTTGTTCAGAAAGCGATCGACAGATTCAACAGCGGAGTCCTCGGTAGTACGAGACTGACGGTGATCGGAGAAAGAATCCCGGGAACCAGAACTAGAAGACATTATCGGAAAAGAAAAGCGACGAACGGAAGAAAGGAAGAGAGAGAACGGAGAGAAAATACCTTTCGTTGGTGCGGAGGAAGAATGGGAGAAATGAGGAGGAAGCGAAGTATTTATAGAGAGGGTCGGTCGAAGGAGAGCGCGTCATCATTGCGTCTCGAAAAATGGTGTAATCATCACATCTTCGCCGCCTGCAACACGCGAACGACCCGCTCTTCGAGATCTCGAAAGCAGTAGCGGACGAATCAGAAGAAAGCGTTTCCACACGCGCCTCGGGAATGCACGAGGGAAGTCAAAGCCGAGAACGGCGAAATGATTGCAACCCTAGCCGCGTCATCGCTACGCACTAGGGTCGGGGGGCTACTGTTGATGGTAGATTTTGGGCTCGGGCCCAAAAACCTTAGCCAGCTCGCCATCTTCTGCGGCCCAGAAAGCCTAGGATACAGAAGCCCAAGAAAAGCCCAGTGAATCTTTCTCCACCGACCAAAGGGCAAAAAGGACATTTCGCACAAGTAGGGTACCCTACCTCTGCACATTATAAAGAGAGAAGGAGAGTGATTGGAGGGGGGATCCCGAGATAACGACTTCAGCAGAGAATACAGTACAACCGTCAGAGAACTTTGCGGCTCGGCTCGTAAATTTAGAAATCAAGCTCGTCTATTTTGTAATTGTCAAGCTCGTCAATTAAATAAGAGATTCTTCTTCCTTTCCCTTGAGAATTCGTACTTGTGTGATTTTGAGGATCAACAGTTGGCGCGCCAGGTAGGGGGATCCCGAGATAACGACTTCAGCAGAGAATACAGTACAACCGTCAGAGAACTTTGCGGCTCGGCTCGTAAATTTAGAAATCAAGCTCGTCTATTTTGTAATTGTCAAGCTCGTCAATTAAATAAGAGATTCTTCTTCCTTTCCCTTGAGAATTCGTACTTGTGTGATTTTGAGGATCAACAGCTAGCTGACAGCACAATTAGGCCTTGTAAGCCTTGACAAAAAGCTGATAAATGAGCACTTTAAACTTGGGTACAGAGCAAGTTCCATAATAGATTTAAAGTTAAGGGGCTTTTTGTTTTAAGCCTGTCAAAGGAATTCTATGCAAATAAGTCAATTGAATCTTGAGTTACAAACCTTTATTAAGCTCTCAGAATACTAACTGTTGCTTTTAAAAAACCAGAGACGCAAAGCTTTGACAAGGGGAAGCAACAGTCCTAGTATTACCGAAGTTTTGTATCGAAAGTCTGTTTGTGTTGAATCAGGAAGCAGCACTTCAAACTCCTCTCCTGGAACTGTGTACATCCCAAAATATGATCAGAAAACAGAAACGTATCAGATCAGGTCTTCAAATGTTCATGCACACAATCTTTGTACCTCTAACTCGGAAATCATTCTCAAAAGGTCATGGCATTGCTCCAGCATCAGTTTCTCTTGTGTGGCCACTTCCGCTAGTTGGGAAGCAAGTGGAACAATACTCTCCATCTGCTAATGGAACATTCTAGGTTATTACACCGCTTAGATACACGATTATCATGTCACATTTGTTTGCACAGCCGAAAAAACTTACCGTGGGAGCATAAATATTCACAGTTGAAACGATAGCATCAGTGACTGCTTCTGCATTCTTAAACAAAGTGACAGCTGATTCCAAGTTCACCTGAAAACCTTAGGAGTTGTTGAAAAATAAAAGAGACAAGAAAAATAGTTGTTTTGAGTTCAAAAACTTAGCAGAGGAGCATGATTTGATTTACCTTTGCACCTTCTTTGAGGGGAAGCCTAGAAAGAACAGAATGCAGGGAATCTCTGGTCATGGATAGAGATGAAAGGTGTTGTCTTTCCATGTCCTCCCAAGCTTCAAGATGCTTAACCTGGTTCAGATATATTTCGTATCAATCCGGTTTATCTCGACTCCATGTCTTGGAATTAGTAAATAGGTTTAATCCTGATACGTACTTGAGAAAGAAGCACATAATTCAGCTTCATCTCCAGGTTTTTCTTCTGCATTTTGATTCTCTCTTGCAGAACCAAATGTTTTAACTTGGTAAGAGTATCCCATGCACAGAGTACTTGATTCTGCAAAAGGTGTTCACTTTTATTTATTTTCATGCCTCAAAGGATGAAGAAAGCAAAGATCTCACGATTATGTGAAAGTCAATAAAGTGACAAGCATGAGAAGAAGTGATGGCAAAATCATTACCTTTTCTTGGGAGGCTACGTTATTGCTTGCAGCAGAGGCTCTAGCATTGACAAACCTCCATTGAAGCAACCGGTTATTCATAAGTTTCAGCTGATGAGCAGATTCTGTGTCACATGTCTTTGGTTTTAGTGGTGAAGTAAAGGGCGATGACTTGTTCTTGCTCCTGAAGAAATCGAAACCAAGGTTGATTAGTTTACCCACGCCTTTGCCTCTTGGAGGCTTCAGTTTTGAACTTGGAACTGTCACTGCCTGAGTGTCCAATGACCTTCCTGGTGAAAGCGCCCACTGAGACATCGAACTTCCATACCTGGACACTGAATTATTCCTCTTCATCCTATTCTCAATGCCCCTAAAGCTATTAGCTCTCTGTGAATCTTCTTGTGACCTTATTTTGGTCACATTGTTGTTGCCTTTGCTCGGTTTAGCTGTTAAATCATGCAGATACTTAGAAGAGACCTTGATACCAGGTTTATGGTTCCGGGATGAACGATTTGTACTAAGTCTTGAAGCACAGGAAACATCGCTCAACTCTGAGTCTGATTCATCGTTGAAGGACTCATATAGCAGAGAGCATGAGTTTCTCCTTGATGATGCTCTGTACAATGCACATTCATCAACGGAAAATCTGCCAGGAAGTATGACGTTATCCTTATCATCCATCCACGGTGAAGGCCTACGATTTTCTTTTGTGTCAACTTCTATGCTACTTTGGTTTGGTAACCCGAAACAAACCCTTGTGCCATCTGACATCCTATCATGCTTTTTCAGGCCAAGATGAACTTTCAGACCGTTGTTCTGATCATCTCTCTTGGTAGATGAATTAGAAGTGGAGTTTCTGCGGTTAGGAGAAGAAGATGCAGACGGAGAGGAGAGAAAACGTGAACTAACCTCGCGGGACTTTCCTCTTCTTGTTTTGAGTAGTTCATGCTCACAGCTCTTCATCGTTACTCTGCTACCTGAGAGAAAAGAGAGAGAAGGAAGCTTGTCAATCTTATAAGATGATATAGAGAATAAATTTTAACTTTCAAAAAAAGAAACAATCTTTTGAAATAGATGAGTTCGTTGCCAACATTATAGGGTTTATTGTTATTCAGTTGAAGTTTGAAGCAAAAATATCTTTTTGAATTTCCGCAGAGAAAAAACATGAATATAAGTGATGCTTCATTGAATTTGAATATGACATTCACAAGATACAGTAAGTGATGGTGCAAGAGCATACAAAACTCTTGCAAGTGTCTCAGTAACCAAATGTGGAAGATATAGCTGTCTAGAAGTGGAAGTAAAACTATGGACCCTAAGATATCAATGAAAATTGCATTGTTGCATAAAAGGAGAACTGTAATCAACGTATCTCTCCCACAAAGGTTTGTACTTCTCTATTCCGATCTTCAACCACGGCTTTAAGTTCCCATTGAAGTGAAGAACAGCTCCTTTCTCTATCACACGAGCATCAACATTCGTGTATCCCAATCCCAGGATATGCCACGACGCCTCTAGTGCCTCTGTTAGCCCGTAAAATGTCAGAAGTCCTGGAGGTAGTGTGCCAAGTTTCCATAAGGTCCGATCCACGTTTTTTTCTTGCCAGTAGTGGTATATGCCGGTCACATTTCTCTTCCTCCATTCAACTAAATCAAAGACGTTCATTCCGAACGCCCACCCACACGCATCTGGATCAAAATGGGAGCGTATAAGAGGATGAGAATAGTTCAAGTACTTGTGGTAGCGGTGGAAGGTCTCCATGCATGTCTCAACAGCCCCGTTCACATTTTTGTTTAAATCGATTGAAAAGAGAGAGGAAAGATCCTTCTGAACTACAACGTCGTCATCAAGAAAGACCACCTTCTTCAGCGCAGGAAACACTTCAGGGATGTAGAACCTGAGATGGTTTAGCATCGAGAGATACTTGGGGTTTCTGAATTTGATTGGAGTGCGCCCATCGTCGTTGTGTCCAGAGAAATAGTAGCTTTGCGTATCAGAGTCTTGCAGCTGCTTGAGGACCGGAACATAGGAAGCATTCAGCCATGAGAAATCCTCGAACTTCTGAACCTCCACAGTGACTCCTCTGAGGTTATCCATATTAATGGCGAACCAAGCCTTCATCGCAGCATAGTTGATCTCATTAGTCACAAGATGAAACACGACTTTCTCAGGGGCCTTGGAATTGAGAGCAGTAGAATTAACCACAACAGAAGTAGCAATAATGTTATCAGAAAACACACAGAAATGGTAGAGACTGTTATCCGTGAGTTTCGAATCAACACGACTCCTTTCCTTAAGGTTCCTCTGTAAGTCTAAGTTCTGAAACCATTCGGTAGTGAGACGAACACCAAGACAGTAAAGACTCTTAGGCACTTCCTCAGCAGCAATCTGTCCATACTTGGAACTCTTCTCACTAACAGAACTCATCTGTTCTTCAAGAGCCTGAATCGAGGCCTTAAGCCTCATAATCATAGTAGCACTATCATAGTGAAGCTGCTGAGCTTGGTATAACAAAACAGCCATGTCACGAATAATAGGCTCAGATTCCAACACAGTCAAAGGACTTCTCCTAGTAGCAGCACTCGACAAAAGCAACTGAGAGTTACGGATCTGAGCACTTAAGTCCCAAGCAAACTGAAGATTCTTACTTTCTTTAGCAATAACAACAAAAGCTTTAGCAAGAGCAATCTGATCATTAACTTGACGAGCAACGGAAGTAGGACTCAACATTTCCTCAGTCATATTCATACCCTCTAAGAATTTGTCATTACGGTAACGTCGCTGCACAAAAGAAGGATTAAAGGGTTCGAATTTAGCAATTGAAATCGAAAAAAGAAGAGATCTTTGATTGAATATTTACCTTAGGAATAGAGGGTCTAGGTTCAATATGACCAGCTTTGGAGAGAATGAGAAAGAAGAGCAAGAGGGCAATACCAGAGAGAACCCACCAGACCACATTCGAGATCTTCCTCCGTCCAGCTCGCCGGAAACTATCTCCTCCTCTCCTCCTCATAGTAAGTACTCGTAGAGCTGTGTAAAACCCAGATCTTATAATTGAAAGATGGTGCAAGTTTTCGGATCTGAGAATTTTGTCGGGAGAAGCAAAAATAGCTCAACCGACCATCTTCTTTCTCTTCGCTGCAAAAAACCATCTTTGAGAATTAAGTTCCTTTTTTTTTATCGAGTGAGTGTTAAAAGACATATCTACCCTTTTTTTTTACCCATAACTTCATCCATACTTTGGAACTTCTTCAAGAACACCTCGAATCAACTCGTATGGTTTAGCACATAAAAAGCTTTAATCCGCACAAGATGTTTTTGCAGGAGATGTTTTTTCTTTGAATAGAAATCATATTTTATCTTGAATTAATTGATTAATTAATCGCATGAGATGTTTCATTTCCTTTTAAGTTTTGAACAGAAAACATATTTTATTTTGTACAGTATAAAGAACTAGATTAGATCTCATCCGATGTGCGTAAAATTACTAAATTGTTGTGGTAAAATATTGTTATAGGTAAATTGTTGTAATGTTTGATTACTACAACAATTTAGTAATCTCAAGTTATCAATCACCAAAATTTTAACAAAATATTTATCATTATTATTATTATTATCAAATCTCAAAAAGTGATTTTGCAATTCTCGCATACAATAAGACTTCAATAAGACTTCAAAACTTTTTCAAAAGAAATTTACATACAAATGATCGGTGAAATAGTTACCGTATCTTATATAATAAAGAAGGGTTTTCCTCAAAATTCACTCTACCAGAACTCTACCAGAATCTAACACGTGACATCTCTCTTTTTGACATGTGTCCTTCTCTTAAATCCAAATTGTTCACCCTAAAAATGTCACATGCCCAAAAGAAGAAAAACAATTCACCTACGCCGCCGCCGCTGCCAAATTTCAACCCAGTGTGGGTTCCGTGGATTTGAAATCTTCCAATGTACCTAACAACTCCATCACCGAAATGGTAATTCGTAGTCTCGTCTATTTTCTGCGCAACAATAGATTTTACGGTGTGATAACGATAGTTCCGGTGGTGGGAACTCGATATCACACCCGAATTCCCACACGTACAAAATTCTCTTTCAACCATGTCCATTAGGTTAGAAAATGTGCACTCGCAAGTAGAACAAACGGCTGATAAATGAACACTATTTGAAAAGCCCAAGGCAAAATTATCTATTTTTAATTAAATGACATAGTAAAATAATATAATAATAATGCCATGTGAATTATTTCTATTACATCAAAGAGAATATAGATATAGATTATAGGTGTATATGCTACATGTTGCAAGAAAATATAAAATTACTTTTATATCTTATAAGTATTTTAGAATAAAACAAATTGATCTTTTCGCTAAGAAATTATAAAATTAATATTATAATATTTTGGTTTAGCGAAAATAATTTGGTTTTTATTTTTTTACTTTCAACGATGAAAAAAATTGGATTTAAGAGAAAAACACATGTCAAAATGAGAGATGTCACGTGTTGAGGAGAAGGGTTGCAAGAAAACATAAAATAAATATAAAATCACTTTATATTTTAAAATTATTTTAGAATAAAATAAATTGAACTTTTCGCTAAAATATTAGAAAATAAATATTAATATTTTGGTTTAGCAAAAAGTAATTTGGTTTTATTTTTTTTACTTTTAACAATGAAAATCAAATGTAAAAATGATTGGATTTAAGAAAAAGATACATGTCAATAGGAGAGATACCGTGTCAGATTGGTATGCTGGAATCATGATATCAATGAAAGGTAATTCCTATTTTTCTAACCTATCTACATGTTTTCCTGGTTTACCTTTTTAAAAACTGCTTAAAATTATGTGTAGAGGTATTTTAGTCGAAAGTGACATTCTCACAGAAAAAAATGTATATAGTCAAACTTTTTATTAGATATCATTTATTTTCAATTAGGTATATTCAATTCTTCTTTATTAGGTTTTATCATATATTCCAAAAAAAATCGTAAAATAATTAACAATACAAATCAAAATCGAATCCAACAGTTGTTCGAGTTCCTAATAAAAAATCTCCAGGGAACGCGGAACATAATGTCGTTTAAAGTCTCGAGTTTTGAGAGAAGTCAAACCCTAAAAAAATCTGCCCTTTATTTACTTTTTATTTTTAAATAATAATAAGAATAATAATAAATGACATATTCCTAAATTTACTTGGGCGTTACTCCAATTTCCTAAATACCTCACTGTCTTTTCTTTTTATAATTTGTTTTCCATTTATTTTGTTTTGTGTGTCGCCGACCTTCTCTCTCACGTACCCTAAAGTAGCTTTGATAGTTTCCATTTTGCTTATTCTCTCACATTCGCAGCCTCTCTTCCAAATTCTCTAATAAAGCTCTCAGCTTTGTTTTTATTTGGATCTGAGGTTTGAGAAATCTGCCGAATCATCATCATGAGTTTCCATAGCTTTTACCAGAGAGCTTTTAGCTTGTTCAAGGCTTACCCTTCTGCTTCCAAGCTTCTTGTTTTCAGCTCTTTCAGGTCTCTCCTTCTTTTCCTTTAGATCTTCTTCACCATTCCTACACTTCTTCTTCTTCCTTCAGCTGTATAATATATATAACTCTTTGACTGTTTTCTTAGTCTTGTTATATTTTTGACCTCTCCTATGCATTATACACATAAAGCTTCATATATACATTTTTTAAGACTCAGATCTATGTTTTTTTGGTAACGTAGGTTTCACATTTATTTTGGTTTGTGTCTTTATATATCATCCTCTCTCTGATATTTGTGGTTTTATGTATTGTTGTGCAGTGGTGGTGGTGTACTGGTGTATTCAGACTCGAATCCATTGAAACGTGTACTACACGCAGACGCTACTCTTGACTCAGATGGCCAACCAATAAGGAAGAAGAAGGTGGTCGTTCTTGGCAGTGGTTGGAGTGGCTACAGCTTCTTGAATTACTTGAACAACCCTAACTATGATGTTCAAGTTGTCTCTCCTCGTAACTTTTTCCTCTTCACTCCTCTCTTGCCAAGTGTTACCAATGGTACTGTCGAAGCCCGTAGCATTGTTGAACCCATTCGTGGTCTTATGCGCAAGAAAGGATTTGAGTACAAAGAAGCAGAGTGTGTGAAGATTGATGCATCGAACAAGAAACTCCACTGCCGGTCCAAGGAAGGGTCAAGTCTTAAGGGCACAACAGAGTTTGACATGGATTATGACATTCTAGTCATAGCTGTTGGAGCTAAGCCTAACACATTCAACACCCCTGGAGTTGAGGAACATGCCTATTTCCTTAAAGAAGCAGAGGATGCTCTAAACATCCGTCATTCGGTCATCGACTGTTTCGAGAGAGCCTCTCTTCCTAATCTAACTGAAGAAGAGAGGAAAAAGATTCTGCATTTCGTTGTGGTTGGTGGAGGACCAACTGGGGTCGAGTTCTCAGCAGAGCTTCATGATTTCTTAGTCCAGGATGTGGCTAAGATTTACCCAAAGGTCCAAGAGTTCACAAGGATCACTCTTCTTGAAGCAGGCGACCACATCCTCAACATGTAAGTTCCACTCAAGCTTCTATAACTTTGGCTATATCTGCTTCTTTTCTAATGTTGGTGCAATTCCCCTACAGGTTTGACAAGAGAATCACTGCTTTTGCTGAGGAAAAGTTCCAGAGAGACGGTATTGATTTGAAGACAGGATCAATGGTTGTAGGAGTGACTGCTGATGAGATATCCACAAAGGAAAGAGAAACTGGCAAAATTGTCTCTGAACCTTATGGTATGGTTGTGTGGTCAACAGGAATTGGTTCACGTCCTGTCATCAGAGACTTTATGCAGCAGATTGGTCAGGTTAGATAACACTTGATCACATGAAGAAATCATTTGCTAGTGTCCCACCTAACTAGATTGAGTATGGTTACAGGGGCAGAGGCGTGTCTTAGCTACTGACGAATGGCTTAGAGTGGAGGGATGTGAGGATGTCTATGCTTTAGGCGACACTGCAACGATCAACCAACGCAGAGTCATGGTATTATTTTAACACAACATATATATACCTTTCATTGCGTCATATCTCACAAATGATGACTGATCTGTTGTTGAACAAACAGGAAGATATAGCTGCGATTTTCAGCAAAGCCGACAAGGGAAAGACGGGAACTTTGAACAAGAAAGATTTCAATGGTGTGGTGAAAGACATTTGCCAGAGGTACCCTCAAGTGGAGCTCTACTTGAAGAAGAATAAACTGAAGAACATTGCACACTTGCTCAAGAGTGCAAATGGTGAGGACACACAAGTAAACATCGAAAATTTTAAGCAAGCTCTCTCTGACGTTGATTCACAGATGAAGAACCTTCCAGCAACTGCACAGGTAAGCTTCTTATAGATCAAAACATGATGAAATCAATCCACACAGAGTTTGATGTATTGATTCTTGACAGGTTGCATCGCAACAAGGGAAGTACCTTGCAAAGTGCTTCAACAAAATGGAGAAATGTGAGAAGAAGCCAGAGGGACCATTGAGGTTCAGAGGAGAGGGTCGACATCGGTTCCAACCATTCAGATACAGACATTTTGGATCGTTTGCTCCGCTGGGAGGGGAACAGACAGCAGCAGAACTGCCAGGAGATTGGGTCTCCATTGGACACAGCAGCCAGTGGCTCTGGTACTCTGTCTACGCCAGCAAACTTGTAAGCTGGCGCACAAGGATGCTCGTCATCTCTGATTGGACTCGACGCTTTGTCTTTGGCCGTGACTCTAGCAGCATCTAAGCCATTTTTGTTCTCTTTTTCTACGGTTTCCTTTAATTTTGCCTGCTAGTTTGTTGTCTTTTTTGGAGCTGATGATGATGATACATTGTCATTCTTGTCTTTTATAAACGGAAAAACCGAAAAATCACCGGAAGCAATACGAGCAATATTTCTTAATTCGTAACCAACACATACATAACAAAGAGTTGTCCCATTGATTCATCAGACTATTCTACACTACTCATATTCACAACACAACTTCCTTCCTATTCTTCTTCTCTGTTTGTGCGGCTCCATGAACTTCACGGACACGATTCTTCCTCTTAACGCGATGCTTATCATTCGTTACCTCGACTTCGATTGACTAGTCTTAAGTATCTCTATGGTAATTAAGCTCAATTCAGAGCGATGCACCAATCCCCTAGAAGAAGCAATTTGAAAATTAGGGTTGAAGAATTTGACCGTTGGTAAAATCCAGGCCATTAGATTTGGGGACTCTTGGACCTTTCATAGTCGAATAATAAATGGCCCATTAAACTTTTAAGAAGGCCCAAACATTCAGCCCATCATCGTTTAGATACTCCGTCGTCTTCGTCATCGTCCCAAAACTAACCAGAACGGCTCTGTGATCGGAACCGCCGTAAACATCAATTCAACTATGCCCTCTGGTTGCAGTATCAGAGCTCTCTGGATCATCAACAATCAAGACGCTGTTGTTTTCTCCAGGTTTCAAATTCTTCTCTCAACCCAATCTCACTCATTCCAATTTCTCACTCTCAATTTCTATGCACATCAGGAGGTTTCCGGTCGTCGAGAAGCAATGGTGCTCCGCTTACAAGACGGAGAACGAAAACACTGGCTTAGATCTTCCTAGACTTCCCACTGATCAACAAATATCCAATGCTTTTACTCGAAGAAAGAGACGGTACAACACTTTTCTCTTGGTAGCTCAATTAGATTCTCTGGATATGTAAAATTGAATTTCGAATCCGAATTAGGGAAGGCTCTACTCGTGGATATGGTATACGTGTAGCTCAATCCACCAAAGGATCGGATTCTTGGGTTGATGATCCCATCACTCGTCATATTATCAGCCTTTGCTTAAGCGAAGAAGATGATGATGATGAATCTGATAAAAACGAGAGGAACATTCTCTGGCCTATTGCCCTGCACACTAAAGCCCTTTACTCTATCCTCGTCTTGCCTTTGGTTGAGCCAAAGGAGATGAAGGATTACGTCAAGTTATGTAGGAGATCTGATTGTGGACCAGCTGTTGGTGAAGATTTGAGTTTGTCATCTCTCTTGCTTAACATTTCATCCATTACAGGGTACTTATAGCTCTTCATCTCCTTCCTCAAGGGCAATGCCTGAGTTTATCTAGATATGCTTTTGGTCTTAGAGTGATGTTCAACTCCTTGATTGCACTTGTCACTCATGTTGTAGGGCTTTCATGGTGGCTCATGCATTTGGTGACATCGTTTCTGGTGATACTGTGGAACCTGAGGTTGTTATAAGTGCGTCTCCATCAGTTGGTGGGTTGTTTGATTCAATAACTGGAAGCATTGGTATCTCATCGAGGGCAAAACCCGTAGCTGCACCGCTTTCATCTTCTTCACCGTCTGGAGCTGCAACAACAGGAGCTACAGCATCGGATGCTCCCAAAGCAGGGTCGAGGTTACTGGATAGAGATTTACTTAGAAATTTTATCGCTACTGCTATGCCGTTTGGTTAGTATTTTCTCTCTGTCATACATGGTTTATTCTGTTACCTGCTAGACCATTTGTTTCCTGATTGATGTGCTATAAAACCCTGGAATCTTTTAATCACTTCTGCAGGTACCCCATTAGACCTCAGCTTGTCTAATATATTTGCTATGAAAGCGAATGGCTTTTCCTCTGCTGATCCTCCTCCCCAAGAACTTAAGCAACCAGCATGGAAGCCATACCTGTACAAAGGAAAGCAAAGGCTATTGTTCACAATTCATGAGACGGTTAACGCTGCAATGTACGACCGCGATGAGATTCCTGATAATGTATCTGTTGCGGGACAGATAAACTGTCGGGCAGAGCTAGAAGGGCTGCCTGATGTATCGTTTCCTCTAGCAGGGCTGAGTACAGCCCACATCGAAGCTATATCTTTCCATCCATGTGCCCAAGTTCCAGCACATGGGATCGACAAGCAGAACATTGTTTTCCAGCCTCCCTTGGGTAACTTTGTTCTCATGCGATACCAGGCAGGTTGTGGACTCGGACCACCAGTGAAAGGGTTCTATCAGCTGTCAATGGTTTCAGAAGACGAGGGTGCATTCCTCTTCAAGGTGCACCTCATGGAAGGTTACAAGGCTCCTCTGTCAATGGAATTCTGCACTATTACTATGCCCTTTCCACGGAGACGGATAGTGGCATTTGATGGGACTCCATCAGCTGGGACTGTTTTAACCACAGAGCACTCTGTTGAGTGGAGGATTCTGGGAAGCGGGCGTAGTCTTTCTGGGAAAAGCCTTGAGGCTACTTTCCCCGGGACAATCAAGTTTAGTCCATTGCAGAGCAGGAGAAGAGGGGATGGGGATGATGAAGAGAGTGAGGATGAGAGCGCTGAGAATGTGGTGAATGTGGAGGACTTCTTGGTGCAGAAAATGAACAAGGATCTCCCAGCAGTTGAGTTGGAGGAACCATTCTGTTGGCAAGCCTATGATTATGCCAAGGTATGCATGTCTTTTGCTTCCTTTTGAAATCTTTTGGACTTGGTTGTTGTTTAAATATATCTTCTGGTTTACAGGTCTCGCTCAAAATTGTCGGGGCATCTGTATCTCGAATGTCAATCGACACAAAATCAGTAAGCTTTTGCAAGTTGGAATGATTAGTTTACAGTGTTAGCCCATATTATCGACTTATTGTTGCCTCCCTTTGTTTTGTTAGGTCAATATCTACCCAACCACAAAGTCACCGGTTGAGTTTTCTGCTCAGGTAAGACACTGCTAACAATATAGTGTAAAATTTAAAGTTCCCAGAAAATGTTTGAACTGGATTGGTAAAACTCTAAAGGCTCTACATGATATGTGCATGAACAGGTGACTTCAGGGGATTATATATTGTGGAACACATTGGGGAAGGCTCCATCAGCAGCCATCGTGTAATTCCCCCAAGTCTCGACCTCACTGGTATTATTATTTTCCCATCCCAAGGAAGTGATTTTGAATGTTTGAGTTTGAAAGCATTAAACTTATGAGCATTTTTGTGGCGGAAGTGTGTATCTGTACATTATTGTTGTTTATTCAGAAATAAAGAAGATGAATGTTTTTAGTTGCAAGTCTGTCTCGCATGGAACATGTGACAATAAAACTCATAAGGTGGTTATGTTCATGAAGTTGCCACTGTTTTAATTAGTCTACAAGCCTAAGAAAGAAATTGTTCTATATAGAGAATGCTATCTAGATATAGTATATCCAGCTCATAAGGAGATTATAATCCAAGGTTTGCAGCAATATTAAGTCTGTATTATATGAAATTACAAAATTAGCAGAAAAATACCAATCAATTTAAAGATTGTTGGTGCCACGTCAATGACACAGTCTCTGTAGTTCCAATGAGCTTGGAAGAACTACCGACAGATCTCATTCAAAGGTAGCTGCCATTGGAAGTTAATTCAATTTTCTTTCATAAAAAAGGTTAACTGTCCAAATTCGAAACCCTGATTTATTTAGTATTTAATAAATGTGTTCATGCCTTTTAAGAGTGTGCTAAGCTATAAAAGATGAGCTGTTATTATTACCTTGAAAACTCTAATTAATCTTAATTTAATAAGGTTCTTAAATATCTTTCCAGCTTTTTTTACTCTTTAAGAAAAAAATCTAAAAAGTAATTCTATTTCTTGAAACGTAATGTCAATGACTTAATATGTAAACAAAGGTGGACAATGGAAGGAGTCAAGTTGGATTACCTCATTAGAAAATTCACCAATTTGGTCAAATAGAGACGATGAAATTTTTAACAAGTCTCTCCGGTTCAGATCTGGTCATCTAAAGCCCTTCTTCCGAGATCTACGACTTTACTTCTCAAGTCGTTGTCTGAATTCTCTCTTTCCGAAAACGGACACCACCTGAGTCTGCTGTCTGAAGCCTCGGCGGAGGGAGATGATGAATCTGCCGGAGGTTGGAAATGGCGGTGGCTCTGGTTTTCCGGCGGTCTCTGTAGGAAATAAGAAGAATAAGTATCAGAGAATGGACTCCGACGCGGAGGAATCGCAGAATCATCTTGAAGCAGAGGCTAGAAACAGTAGAACCAGAAAATACGTTATGGCTTGTGCTTTTTTTGCATCCTTGAACAATGTTCTTCTCGGCTACGGTTAGTTTTTACACATATAATCGGATTCTTCTTCTTCTTCTTTACTTTGTTGACTTAGAAAAGGTGTGTGTGCTCTGTTTTTTTGGTATTTGTCAGATGTTGGGGTAATGAGCGGTGCGGTGTTGTTCATACAGCAGGATCTCAAAATAACGGAGGTGCAGACGGAAGTGCTCATTGGTAGCCTCAGTATCATTTCACTCTTCGGCAGCTTAGCCGGCGGCAGAACCTCTGACTCCATCGGTAGAAAATGGACCATGGCCTTGGCTGCTCTCGTCTTCCAGACTGGTGCTGCGGTGATGGCTGTCGCTCCGTCTTTCGAGGTTTTGATGATCGGAAGATTTTTAGCCGGCATTGGGATTGGTCTTGGTGTCATGATCGCGCCTGTCTACATCGCCGAGATATCCCCCACCGTAGCCAGAGGATTTTTCACTTCGTTCCCTGAGATCTTCATAAATTTAGGGATCTTGCTTGGCTATGTTTCGAACTACGCTTTCTCGGGGCTTTCCGTGCATATCAGCTGGAGGATCATGCTTGCAGTTGGGATTCTTCCTTCGGTGTTCATAGGATTTGCGCTGTGTGTGATCCCTGAGTCTCCGAGGTGGCTGGTGATGAAAGGCCGAGTGGACAGTGCACGAGAGGTGCTTATGAAAACAAATGAACGAGATGATGAAGTGGAAGAGCGGCTTGCAGAGATACAACTGGCGGCTGCACATACAGAAGGCAGCGAGGACAGGCCGGTGTGGCGTGAGCTTCTAAGCCCATCTCCTGTTGTACGGAAAATGCTGATTGTTGGATTTGGGATCCAATGTTTCCAGCAGATCACAGGAATCGACGCCACAGTCTACTATAGTCCAGAGATCCTGAAAGAGGCTGGGATACAAGACGAGACCAAACTGCTCGCTGCAACTGTCGCTGTTGGGGTTACAAAAACAGTGTTCATACTATTTGCCACCTTCCTGATCGATAGTGTTGGCCGGAAACCGCTGCTTTATGTGAGCACAATTGGAATGACTCTGTGTCTCTTTTGTCTAAGCTTCACGCTCACATTCCTCGGCCAAGGAACACTTGGGATAACCTTGGCTCTTCTCTTTGTTTGTGGAAATGTTGCCTTCTTCTCTATAGGGATGGGACCTGTTTGCTGGGTCTTGACATCAGAGATCTTCCCACTACGGCTAAGAGCCCAGGCCTCAGCGCTTGGGGCGGTCGGAAACAGGGTGTGCAGCGGTCTGGTGGCCATGTCCTTCCTCTCTGTGTCACGTGCCATAACGGTCGGAGGAACATTCTTCGTTTTCTCCCTCGTGTCTGCACTCTCGGTTATCTTCGTGTATGCGCTAGTCCCGGAGACAAGTGGGAAGTCGCTGGAGCAGATAGAGTTGATGTTTCAGGGCGGGCTGGAAAGAAAAGACGGTGAAGTTGAGCTTGGAGATGCTGAGCGTCTTGTGCGCAAGGAACAGGAGTTTTGAGTGTTATACTATGGGCAGAATTGAACATGTTAAAGTAGAAGAGGCAGAAGAGAATGGTGTTCTGTTCTTGTTTTAGATCCAGTAAGACAGATTTTGTAAGTGCGTTTGATGATGGTATAGACCCAATGCATATTCCAAAGAAGGCAAATGCTCTGTTTTTTATTCCTTGTTTCGAGAAGAAACCATGTGATACTCACTCAAAATACAATACAGAAAGGACAGAACCTTTGTGTTCCTTCTAACATCATAAAGTTACAGGCTCTCCGGACAGATCTCCTGAGAGTTCCAATAGATATCAACTCAAACTGATTCACCATTAAACAACAACAACAAGATTTTGCTAGTAGTAAACACACACATACACACACCCTCTCTTACCTTGTGCCTCCTCCATAACAAGAGATAAGGATTTGATGGACAAAAGTATGGAGATTGTTATCGATCTAGAAGTTTAAAGCTCGTAACCTGGGAACCTGGCTTGAGATGGGTCGACCATGTCAAGGTAGAGATAGGCCATGCCTGCAACGCCTTCAAACAAGGAATAAGGACTATCACCTCCATGCATTTCTCCTTTTGAGAGTAACTTGGGGCCTCTATCAAGCAGAAAACTGGCAAAGGCTTTTGCACGGTACAGATACTCACTCATTCCCGTAGCTCTGTAAAGCGAGAGAAAAACATATGCATTCCCACTTATTCCATGACAGATCCCCACCCGCTTGAGCAATCCACGGTTCCAAACCACCTCTGCTGCAGCTGCACCCGCTTCCAGAAACTCTCTCTCCCCAAAAACCTGTGTGTTTTGTTTTCATTTCCCAGAGATCAACTCTCTCTCAATGATATCTAGAAAGCATTTAAAAACACACACATACATTCTAACTAAAAAAAGGCATCGTCACCTCAGCAGCTTTCACAAGTGTGAGAGCAATCCCAGGAGCTCCATGACACCAATGCACAAGGACATCTTTCTTCCTATCCTCTTCACTAGCAGGGTAATTTCCACTTGGAAACCGATTCTTGATCATATACTTAAGGGTTCCCTTCACATCCTCTGCCTCGTCAGGCTTCAGCTGAACATCCATCAATACGTGCATAATACCAGCAAGCCCATGTGCTGCACCCCAGTACCGTTTGCCATACCATTCAAACATAAGCGGTGAGCTTCCTTTCTTAGCCATTGATCTTCCGTCCTTGATAATTTCCTGAGCAACTTCGCGCTGCAGACTGAGTCTTAGTCATTAAGAAACTAAACGAGACTCATCAATATCTCTATCATCATCCTAAGAATTGTACTTACAATGGTATCTGAAGGCAAAGTTTCTTTGCCAATGTATTTGTTGATGAACAAACAAGCCCATAGATAACCAACTCTTCCATACAAAAGCTCGTTAGGAAGATCACTAGATAGTCTTATCTGTTATAAAAATGATAGATTTCAATCTCAGAACCAAGAAAAACAAAAAAATGTACCAAGAACAAAGCTGAGAAGAAGCACACCAGACGAAATTGCGCCAAATAGTAATTGAGCAACTCCTCCTCACCAGAAAGCTTAGCTGCAGCGGCGCCGAGACCACAAACACCAGCTCGGCCACAGAGAAAAGTAACATCCCTACCAAAAAAGTCTCATATTTTCACCAACAATTCAAAGCAACTTGTTTCTATAGACAAGGGAGAAGAAGAAGAAGAAGGTACCCTGAGGAAGCAGAAGCAGCATCACAAGCTTTGACGATTTCCAAGCAAAGGGAAAGATCATTGACGTTTCCAGTAACTTGATAAGCTCTAAAGAGTAAAAACGCAGCTCCAAGAGTTCCAGAGTAAAGTGTGAAGTCTTCAACAGTCTGCCCACTAAAACCCCAAGTTTCCATCACTACCTGAGAAAGACCAACAACACCACTTAGTGACCATTTTCAGAGTAACATAATCAACCACAAGGAAGAAGAGTAGATTTGCGCTTACGGTTTCCTTGAGATCCAAAGCGGATCGTTTGAGCTGCTGCGAGAGAGACGAATACGGCATAGCGAGCAGATTCCTAAGCGAATCTCCTCCATATTCACTTTCCTTCTCCTTCACGAAATCAGGCATCAGGTTATCGAAGAACCGATCCGCCATTGTCGTCTCTTTCGTTAAAGCTCAAAATCGAATTTCTAGAAGAAAGACTAAACGACAGCGTTTAAGACGACCGGTTCGGTGAGTTGGTTACACGTTTATAGTCAACGTGGCCTTTTTTTAATAAAATCATCAGATCTACGCCAAACTTTTAAAACGACAGCGTTTAATCTCCGTAAGGCTTTTCTCTTCCTTCCTTGTGAATCAAAAAACACAGCGATCAAAAGTCTTCTTCTGAATCTGTGATCTCAAAGAAGCAAAAAGCATGGCGACTTTTGATGACGGAGATTTCCCAGCTCAAACCCATTCTCCGTCTGAACATGACGACTTTGGTGGCTACGATAATTTCTCCGAAGCCCAGCAACCTCCGACTCAACATCAATCCGGTGGATTCTCTTCTTTCAATGGTGATGGAGCTTATGGATCTGAGAATCCTGCTTCCCCAAATGGATATGGATTTGGTGCTTCCTCACCTAACCATGACTTTTCCTCGCCTTTTGAATCTTCCGTTAACGATGCTAACGGAAACGGCGGCGGAAGCGGTGATGCGATCTTTGCTTCTGATGGTCCGATTCTTCCAGATCCAAATGAGATGCGGGAGGAGGGTTTCCAACGCCGTGAGTGGCGCCGGTCAGTGTTCTGATTCTCGGTTTTTTCATTTCAATTCGTTTCCTGTTGTGGAGTAGGGATAGATCTCAAGCTTTTGACTTTGGTAGATTACTAGATCTTAGTCTCTTCTTAGGTAGAAAAGCTTAGGATTTCAATCGTTTAAGCTTCGATTCGATTATGGGATCTTCAAAATTCGAGAATCTATTAGAATGGTACAAAGTATTGTCATTGTTTCTTCATTTGAGAGAGATTTATTGAAAGTAATGTGTGTTTTTACAAGTAACTAAGGAAAATTTGAACTTGATCACGGTTGGTTGTTCGATCAGATTTCAATTGCAATCCTCTGTGATCTGATTTGGGATAAGAAAGAACCTGAGTAGAATATGTGTTGTAGCTATACTCTTCTTCTGTGATGTCTCAATTCTGTATCAGATTAGAGTTGAACCACCGTGGTTTTTTGTTTACGAAGGAATCTCTGTGATCTGTTCTGGAATAGGAAAGAATCCGAATAGTGTAGGTGTTGTAGCTATCATCTTCTTCTGTGATGTGTCAATTCTGTATCAGATAGAATGGAACCACCGTGCTTTTTGTTTTACGTATATGAAAGAATCTCTGTGATCTGATTTGGAATAAGAAAGAACCTGTATGTGTTGTAGCTATCCTCTTCTTCTCTGGTGTGTCAATTATGTATCAGATTAGACTGGAACTGCCATGCTTTTCTTGTTCAACATATATGAAACTGATATTTTGGCACGCATTGGTGCAGTCTGAACACCATTCACCTTGAGGAGAAGGAAAAGAAAGAGAAGGAGATGCGGAATCAGATCATAACTGAAGCAGAGGAATACAAGAAATCCTTCTATGAGAAAAGAGAGAAGACCATTGAGACCAACAAGACTGATAACCGCGAAAAGGAGAAGGTAAGCAGTGATAAAATTCACAATCGCAGCCATTTGAGATTTTTGGGTCTATTGGAAACTTGTGTGATATTTGCCTCTCTTGCAGCTATACTGGGCTAACCAAGAGAAGTTCCACAAAGAAGTTGACAAGCATTACTGGAAAGCAATTGCAGAGCTAATCCCTCGTGAGGTTCCCAACATCGAGAAGAAGAGAGGGAAAAAGGATCCGGACAAGAAACCATCAGTGAATGTTATCCAGGGTCCTAAACCTGGGAAGCCAACTGACCTAGGGAGAATGAGACAGATATTCTTGAAGCTCAAGACAAATCCCCCACCCCACATGATGCCGCCTCCTCCTCCAGCCAAAGATGCCAAAGATGGGAAGGATGCCAAAGATGGCAAAGATGCAAAAGCTGGGAAAGATGGGAAGGATGCAAAAGCTGGGAAAGACGCCAAGGACTTAAAAGATGGGAAACCTGCAGATCCAAAGGTGACAGAGGAAAAAACTGCTTCACCTGCCAAAGACGCAAGTGTTGAAACAGCGAAACCTGATGCTGCTGCCTCGGTAGAGGGAGAGAAACCTGTGGCTGTAGCTGAGGCTGAGGGAGCCAAGGCAGAGTGAAGGAGAAGGGTCTTTAGTAATACTGATGGGGGATTATTTGATATTGAAGTCACAATAGCTGCGGGCGAAATAAGAAGAGGTAAGTTATGTGTGCACATAGAAGCTCTTTTGGGCGCTGTCTGTAAGCACACCATTTCCTCTTCTGGAGAGAGAATTTTAGTCCTTTTGTTTTGGTTTATTATTTTTTATTACCATTATATTTGTTCTGCAAAATTTGGTTATTGTCTTGGATGATGTTCACCTTAAATCATTTTGGTTCCACGTATTTTACACTTATGTGCACATTTATTAAGACTTGAGAAGTAAAGGTTTGGATGAATCATTTGATTGTATGATTTGGGCATAAGGTAGTTGAGGAGTGTCATGGCATGTGAACCATCTTTACATTATTTTCGTAGTGACTTGATAATGGGGCACGTGGTGGTCAGGTCCAGTTGTTTCGTCTCTTTCCAGGCACACAATGTATTGTATAATGTAAGTAGGAACATGTTAGGAAGTGAATGATGTAAACACATTAATTTGAGGTATTATTATTTTGCAAGAGTCGCCTAGTTGTGTGGGGCTGGCAAAAGAGTTGGATGAAAAAAGGAATGAGATTTTGCAAATTACATTATTACATCTTTGTAAATTCTCTTCTTATATAGTAATGTCCCACAAACAACATTATAGATGATTGATACACACATCCCTATGGACAAGGAAAAAAATGAAAAGGGACAACATAAAAAGTTAGTAGTCACACATTTGAAAGCTCTTATTCCCCTAACTTTGGAGATGGCTCACTCATTGTCCTCTCTGTGTTACTCTCTCCCACAACCAAAAAAAACGAAGAGAGGCTAATTAGAGAACGGGGGAGAAGTTGAGGCGGGAGGTGTAAGTAGCTTTGGGAACCCAGTTACTGGGGATGACGTCGGCGGCAGAGAGTGTCTTGTTGTTGGACAAAGTTGTAAGCTTCACAGAGAATGGTCCCTTGAGTGGTCCTTCAACAATGCACCAGTTTGCTCCCCATATGTGCTTCATTGCTATCCACACCTTAGACCCCGCCTTCATAATTCAACACACAAAAGAAGTAAAATTAAGTAAACATTTTAAAGAAAATGTAGGAGAGAGTAATGAGAAATATTACTTGACGAATGTGCATAGAGCCAATGTCTCCTTCTCCATCTTCATACTCAATGAGAAGAGATAACCAATAATCAGTTGATCCTGCATTCACATGGAAGGCTATGTTCTTCCCTCTGTATTTGCATGCCGTTCTGTTTTACAAAACAAAAACAAACAAGTGTAGGTGTGTGTCAGAGATCCATAGGTGTGTTTATGTGTAGTCAAAGGTCAAAATACGGGACCATCAATAAAAAACAAGAACGCCGTTAAAGTTTCTTTATTTGTTTACTTCTCCCAATGTAAGAAAAAACCATTTACTCATTTGTTCGTTAGCATTTAGAAGTCAAATAAAATAATAAGTTGGTTATTTAGAGCGCCAAGAGGTACCGGCCGTAGAGGATGTTTAATAAGCCACGGTTGCGGATGACACCGTTATGGCCGGGAATAGCCATATGTCCAAAGGCAGCACCGCTAAGGTCGAAGTGAGTGTGGTTTGCTTTAGCAGATGGTCCTGACGGTGACTGGTCCGTGACAATAATTGTAACTGCTCTCTTAGAGCAAATGGTCTTGTCGAGACACCTGACCTTGTAACATGCACCGCAGCCTTCACCACCCTTGAATAGAATCGGACTCACTGCTCCAACTCTTGCCTTAAACGGCTTCACGTCCACTAGTGACCCGTAACCACAAGCTCCTCCTGCGGTTTCATTAATAAGCATTATTATTGATTTTGTTACAGTAAAAAAGTAAATCAATTGTTGTGGTTAAAAAAATATTATGTAAAGAAATGTTTACCACTGCTGCCGTCGCCCTCGGGACTTCCGTACCAGGTGGCGGTTGCGGGAAGCCAACGAGTGACTGCCACGAGTTGATTGGAGTGAGCTGACGGTGTAGTAGAGCCAGAGCCGCCTCTTAGAAGGTGGAGGAAGACGCATAGTGTCGGTAGGATGACCGGAAAGAGCTGCATTTTGACCGGAGATACTAGCCAAAAAAAAAAAGCTAACACTAACCAAAAAGAAAAAAAAAAGTGGAGAAGTGAGAGTGTGGAAGAATAGTTGGTTAGTTGGTTAAATAGAGAGGGAAGGAGGAGGAATGGTTTATGGTTATGTCTGCAAAAAGGAAAAGTCAAGTCTTTTGCATCAAATATTAAAATGACGATTATGTCCTTGAGTCATTCTTCTTATTTACGAGTGTGCCATTTTTGAGGGGGATGGGACCTACTGACAGTTAGGGGCTTGATGTAGCACGATCTAGTAGGGTAAGGGGTGTGTGTGTGTTTATGCAATTATAAGATTCCAACGTTTTTATTTTAAAGCCAATGTTGGTTGGGACAAGATTCTTCCGTTACTCTTAGACCATGTACATGGGAGAACTTTTAAGAGTATCATAAGCCCATTTATTATTTTTAAATGGACCAAACATGTTTTATGGGTCTGATTCGTATCAGCCCAGTGAAACTCATGATACTGGGTATCATGTGACGTGTCGGGTTGTGATTGGTCGCGGAATATTCATTTGCCGAGAGCAGAGAAAACAAAAAAAAAAACATTTTGCTCTGTATCTCTCGATTTTTCTCTCCTCTCTCACGGCGATTTGCCGATTTCTTCTCAGCTCCGGCCGGTACGAGGATGATCTCCGTCGGCGAAGAAGAGATGTCGGTTGAAGAGATCTGTGTTGAAGATAAGTTTTTTTCTTATTTCGTTTCCTTCTGTGTAAATCTAGGTATAGGGTTTGTGTAGATTTCGTTTCCTTCTCTTGGTTTGTGATTAGGGTTTCTGGAAATTTGATTTCACAAGTGTAGGGTTTGTGTTTTGTTCTTTGATTTGGAGCTAATTAGATCGATTTTGATTTTTGATTTTGGTTTTGGCAAGTTGGAGAGTTTGCCTTCTATGGTTGGTGGTGTTTGGTCAGATGAAAGAAGTTTACAGCTTGAGAACCCTACTGGTTCTTGAGAATATGAAAGTAATTTGGTGGAAATTTCTGTGGATACAAGCATGACTGCACCACAAGCTGCTGGTGTCATTCATTCTGACTTTGAGAAAGGTTTTATTAGAGGTGAGACTGTAAGCATTTTTTTCTCTTAATGAATCTCTTGTACAATTATACTCCCTATTCTGAACATTCATGAAAATTGGAAATTGAAAGCTTCAACTCTCTTGTGTTTTCCCTTTCATAAGAATCCGGACATCATCTCATTTGTTTTTTTTTTGTTCAGGTTGCGTATGAAGATTTTGTCACTGCTGGGTCTATAGCAGCAGCAAGAGAAAAAGGACTTGTGAGTTTCTTCCTGATGTCCCTAAATTGAGCTGCCTTGTAATAAAATATCTTACGAATCTCTTCTTACTCGGAGTTTGCTTGAATTTTTGTTTGTTTTGCAGCTGAGATCAGAGGGTAAAGAGTACATAGTTAAAGAAGGAGATGTGATGCTTTTCCACAAGCTACAGCTGATACTTCAAATACTTTGTGTGTGGGTTCAGTTTGAGGCTGCTTGGGCATTGACAAACATTGCTTCTGGGACTTCAGAGAATACAAAGGTGGTCATTGAACATGGTGCTGTTCCTGAGGAGGTAAGTCCATAATTTAATCTCAGTGCTTTTTGCACTCTTTCCGTAGTACATGTCTGGATCATGAGATTCTTGTAGTGTTAAGACCACCCAATGAGCACCAGATTACTCACAATATGACAATAAACAATGAAAGTGGTTATAAAATTGAATTGACTCTGGTATCAGGTTTGCATACGTACTATGGCAAATAAAGTTATTGATTCCATAAGCTTCTTTTGGATTTCAAATCTTTAGTATATCATCTTTTTTTATTCAAACAAAGCAATATAGAGTTCTTTGTGTTGAAACTGAAAGTGAACACTTGATATTTGCAGGAAAGTGAAGATGAGACTGAATGTCTTCATGGTGCAATTTTTTTGAATTTTATGTTTTATTATGCTTAAGTATATTCTACTTTTTTTTTATTGTAATATTATCTTTTGTAATCTTATGTTTTAATATATTAATTTTTGATTTTGCAAATTTTTTTTTTTTATGATATTTAAACCGGTCTCACCAATGCAAACATATTTAGTAGGAGTATCATAAAAAATCTCAAACAATAAACAAACATTATAAATAATACTAAAAAATTCCTAATGACACTATATGGGTATCACCCATATACATGCTCTTACACTTGTTCTTTCTTTCTCCTTTTTTTTTTGTTTTTTGGCCTATGACTATATGATGTAATACTACTATATGACCATGGCCTCTTGTTTAACATTGTTATCCGTTATCTTTGTGAATTCGATTGGTGATACAAACCCGTAAAAATCTAAGAAAAAAAGAAAAGGCGGTACAAAACAATATATGAGAATGACTAGAGTTGTAAACCTCTTGTCAATTGATAGATGTTACCAAAACATGTTGTGTTTTTTCAATATGAACTAGATACATCAACAAATTTCTTCTTCTTATTATTAGTAGAATATAGTGGATTACTTGAAGTTGTGAGGATATATGACCTCATAATCTAAGAGTAGCAAAAGTGAATAATGTTGGATTTGTTTGGTATTTGATAAAACAATTCTAAATGGAATGTTTTTTTCAGTCAATTCACGAGTTACCAATTTATTTTGACGTCATCATATTCAAATACATTGAACTTAACTAATACAATATGAGAAAATGTCGTAAAAAATCGTCAATTTTCAAATTTTGGACAAAAAAGCATCAATTTTTAAATATCATTTAAATCCCAAAGTTTTAGTTAACTTCTTAGTAAAATAATAAGTTTCGTTAACTTGGCCGGATTAGACATGTTGTTAAGTTTCCGTTAAAAACTCACCAGAACCAGAGACAATTCGAATCTCATCGGGAGACTGAGACGGTTATGAAAAAAAATATGGGTTACCTAAGAAGCCTAATGTTGCCTTTTGGTTGGTTAAAGAGTCCTCTGGCGAGCTTCAACATTTTTTAGAGATGATCTTCTTCTTCTCCACCAGAAACTTAACGATATATCTAATTCATCCAAATCAACGAAACGTATTTATTTTATTAAAATTTAATCAAAATTTTGGGATCTAAATGACATTTTGAAAATGAATGCTTGTTTGTCCCAAATTTGAAAGTTGATAATTTTTTAGATATTTTTTCCAATAAAATATATTTATAATATTTTCTTTGGTAGATTAACCCCACATTTTATTTTGCTCATGGAAAACAACACAACCTTCGTAAAATAAGAGATTTAATAAAAGTGTATCTGATCTTGATGTGATAGGATTTGGAAATACGGAATCTTGATGGCCAATGTCTTGCTCACAGCGCAAAAATCATTTCACTCGAAGATACTATTATTCTTTTAACTGTTTCTGAATTTGGTATTTTTTTAAGTCAACAACCAACCAACCATAGCTTAGTGCATTTTGTTTTGTTTTTGTGGAAAAAAAGAACAAGAAAAAGTTTTAAAACCTAATATTGTAGCAATATTAAAGGTTTTTGTAATATAATTTTGGCAGACCGCACATGACTCCGCCACAATCCTTATTCCTTACTTTAGATTATTCGAAGCTTGTTATACTTTATTATCTTTCTAAAAAAAGCTTACAAGAAAATTATTCTTTTTAGATACAACTTCGGAAGGAAATATTTCTTTAGTGTCAATTACACTCATGCTTACAAAGTTTGATCGAATATTGCTACTTCTACATTCGTAGATTGCCAGAAAGTTTGGTATAAATTGAGACGAATTCATGAAGCTCTTAGTCAAAACCTAGCCAATCATTTGGTTTCGAGATCATATGTACACCAAATACATAGAATCAGTGAAATAATGAGAGCAATATCGATCATCATGGTTTCCCACCATTGCATGACCCAAATTAAACCTTGCAGTTCAAAGGTCAAGAACCTTTAAGGCGAGCTCGATTTTAAACTGAAGAGAGCGATCTATCTATCGAAGAGTTTATCGATTTTTTTCCAAATATATCATAGTCCACGGGACTACTTGTAACACTCTGACATACCTAAGTAACTAAAATATAGAACAACATCTACATTGGAGATGAACTTGTAATATTTAAGTGAACTTCTTAATAACCATCATGAATACTGGTATACATGTAGGCATGTGTGCATTATCAAAGACTAGTGAACTATACAATTGACAACTTCAATAAGAAAAATAAAAATGCTTTAGCAAAAAGCCTAAAAGTGAGAAAGTCAAATTGAATAATTGAGAATGACAACAAGAAAAAGATGTTACGTAATTCATGAAAATTACAAAGTCACATGAGATGATGAATAAAAACAGTTCATATAGGAATCTTACAGTTCACTAATCACATCACATTCTCAATTAATTCCTTCCTTCACATATTTACTTACACAATAAGAGACTTTATCCAATCTTTTCCCATGTGCCCCATAAGCCAATACGATTACTCATCGAATACCATTGGTCTTCAATTATTTTCTTTGCTTAATTTAACAACGAATAGCTCCATAAGAATTCTTAACAACGATGATCAGTGATGCTATGGTTGGTTAATAATTAAATAGTATTCGAGTTTTGAGATTTTTTGATATGTAAATATAAGACAAATTCCGATCCGACCAAGATATGACTTAACCCTGTCCTGACAAAACCAGAACCATTTCATACCGACTAGCCTGCAGGATATAAATCTTGGTTAGACTAGACCAAACAAAATCTTGATCAGCAAAAGAGTGGAGAGAGATTTACATTCATCACATAATTTTTGAAACGTAAGAACATCCCAATATGTATATGTATATTCAAGATTTACAAGAGATAAATAGTGAAAGATTTAATGAAAGAAAGAGATGCAACAAGAAGCCAATGTAATTGCACACATGGAAAGAGCAGACTCTTTGCCATTTTCTTCTACGAGTTTCTTGGTTTGCACCTCTCATCGGTTTGCCCTTTCGTTAACCCTAACTGTCCAAGCTCCCGGTTTGGCTCCATACATGGGTTCTCCAACAACGTATGGAGGCGGCTGACGACCATCTTGCAGGAGTGCAACTGTGCTTACATTGTATTCATCGTCACTGTCATAATGACGGTAAGGGTGAGGTCCAAGAGCTTTGAGCAACATGGCTAATAAAACTGATAGACCCTGCCCATAAACAAAGAGAACGATGTGAAAGATTGAAACCGAGCAACTTAGAAGCACCTTAAAGTAGAGAACTTTGTTGCTATCAATTAAGATACCTGGACACAGACAATAGAGAGACCTATCCACTTGCAAATCTTGAAGTTTGACTCAATGAACTTAGAGAACTGGTGGAAAGCACCACTTGGATCCTCTGGAAAGTCCTGATGAAAGCTTCTAAAAGATTAGGATCATGGGCGTGACAATAGAGAGCCTCTCTAGATTTTTCAAAAGAAAAGAGATATAGAAACTATACCTTTTTCCAGTCACGGTTCAGAAAGATATCGGCAACCACACCGCCTTCAACCATAACTAGCAAGACAATGAATCCCATATACTGAACCCAGACGATGAGCCAACAAACAGATGCATTATTCACATAGAAAAGAAACACAAGAATGAATTCAGGAAGGAACAATAAAACTACCAAAGAAAAACAGGCTAATGTATATGATGCTACAATTCGTCAATAGAGTTGCAGGAACAACTTATAAAAAAAGAAAAGAAGTTTACCAAGTAAAGGCAACATCCATTCACGGTTTCAGCTGCTATGTGCCCAGCACAAGTGACAACACAGAGAATTGCCCCGAGACCGAGAAATGAATAAATGAACCTGAAGCTCATAAGAAGATTGGTTCAGCAATTTTCATCAGCAATGGCAAACTTCATAACAATTAACAACAATGATAACATCCCCCTCACACCGATACAAGATATGTCACTCCCTTCCAGTGCCATCTTACAAGAATCCTGAAGCTATCTCTTCCATAGCCTAACAACTTCTAGACACCTCAAACTTACAGAATTTATGATCTTTCTACGAAAAAAGAAGATAGCTCCTCCCCAACAAGATGTGTCACTCATTTGCAGATTGCAGTGCCATCAAATCTAACAAGAATCCTAAAACTATCTCTTCTATAGCCTAACAGCTTCTAGCTTCCACACACCTCAAGCTAACAAGACCTATGATCTTGTCCCTGCCTATATTGTTCAGTACCGTTCTCAAACCACTCATAGAATCTAAACAAAGATACAAACGCCCAAATAGCCAGAAAGTGAGCAAACACATAAAAAGATGGAAACTTTGACATACCATGGAACAGGGTGATCAGAATCAGCAAAGGGAAGATTTCCCATTTGTTCTTGCCATTGCCTAATCAGCCAAACAGCGTAGAGAATCATAGCAATCCCAACCATCCCAATTAGAGAATTCACAAGCTTTAACATGGACTGTAAACAACTTCTCACGATCCTCACCATCTTTAATCACCCAAAAAACCCTAGACGAAGAGACCAGACACAACCAACAACAAATCAAATTCTCTTCGTCGGTTGGGTCTAGGTAGATGAGAAATCGAAAAAGAAATGAACTTTTTTGTGAATCCTGTTAGCTCCAGATGTTTTCTCCTTTCTTATGAAAAAAGATTATATTTTTTGTTCCTTTTTTGAGCTAAGAAGATATCTATTGACAAAAAAAAATCACACTTGACGCCAAAAAAAGAAAAAAAAATTCTTTTGGATTACCACAGAATTGAATTGGTCTCTCCATGGTAACTTGAAAGTTCAAGTGGCTTGGCTCTATGAGACTCTCTGGTCAGAGACGGCGATGATTCTAGGCCGTTGGGTTTCCTTCAGTTGCGTCAACACGCCGGTGACTAAGGTTTCCGACCAAAGACATGCAAAGTTTCGTGGTCTCTCCTCTACTACCATTTGTCGTCCTTCTCTCAGATGCTCTCAAAGCAAATCCACACAAGAAATTACACATGTGCGTGTCCTTCCCTTGATTGAGTCTAGGTCTTCGTTTCAGATTAGGATAAAGTTTACTTTTTTATAATTAGTTTTGATGGTAATTCTAAGTCCAAGTCCGGTGCTTTATAGATTGAACAGTTGGGGAATGAACAAGGGTTCTCGGTTTTGGCATCAGAGATTCCATGGGAAGATGATAACATATGGAGCACATTTGTTCTTTACATGTTCTCTCTGCATATTCCTCTCAGTTTTGGGGGTTTATCCATTGTTGCCAACATACTCCACCGGCAGGTTCTTGATCCTCAGACCCAAGTGAGTCTCCTTTCCTTTTGTCTGGAAGGTTTACATTTACTAGTTCGAGAAGACTGTTCGATATCTTGTTGAATTGTACACTTTAGAGATGAGCAAAGGGCAGTTTAGTTTTCTACCTATGTGAGATGCATTTGGTTGCTTGTTAAGAGTGGTGAAACCCAGTCTCTGTCATTTTGATTCTGCAGTTGATTTTTCTTCTTGAAATTCATGGTGTGGTTACATTGTACAGGTGCTATCACTTGTGGTTCTCCAAATGGTAGAACTTTCAGGGACAGTCTTGCTGCTGAGGACCACAGCGAAGCCTCAGTGCAAATCAATCAACTTTCTAAAGGGTAATAATGAATCAAGGGAAGGAAGAAACTGGGTGGTTGGCTCAGCATTGGGTTTGGGATGTCTTGTGGGCTTTATCTTCGTCACGTCGCTTGTAGCTGATCAACTCTTTGGCTCTAAGGTCTCCCCAATTGCCTCCTGATCTAGTACACCATTCTCTGCTAAGATGATAAACATTTTAACATAGCAGAAGCAATGTTGTTTGATCTCAGGCTGTACATGAATCAGAATTGGAGAAGATAATGGTGAGCGGGGAAGTGGCGAGAAGCGGGTGTTTTGCTCTCTACTGCCTAGTAGCTCCCATCCTTGAGGAGATAGTGTACAGACGCTTTCTACTGAGCTCCTTAGCGTCGAGAATGGAATGGTGGAAGGCATTAGTGATCAGCTCAGGAGTATTTGCAGCAGCTCACTTCTCAGGTCAGGATTTTGTGCAGCTGTTTGGGATAGGGTGCGTTATCGGGTCATGTTACATCTGGTCAGGGAACTTGGCCTCGTCAGTACTCGTCCACTCATTGTACAATGCCTTAACACTCCTCTCTTAGCCCCACGTTCAGATGACAAGGAAAACTTCCCCACCTTATACATATCTAATATTTTAAGAGTTTGGATTGAATTTTTAAACCATATATAGTGAAAATTCAGAGTTATGAGAAAAACAAAGCAAAACTGAAGAATTGTGTTCAAAGCTATAATGATCGATAACACCGAATATATGGGAGGAGAGAGTGAATTGTGTTGTGAAGAAAGTATGGTTGATAAGAGCTTTTATCCGATAACTCATTAAGAGATTTTAGCCTGCACATTACAGCAATAAACAAAGAATTTAAACCAACGACTACGTCAGTGCTCGTCCACTCCTTGTATAATGCCTTGACACTTTTCTTTACGCTATTTTATAGCAACGACGTAACTGAGAAGGAAAATGGTTCCAACGAATCTTTCTTTGTTAAGACAAGACAGCGAATAAACAGTGTGTAAAAAAGTAAAAAACATAGCTGATCTGTTCCTTAAAGCTTTAGAGAAAGAGTCGTCTTTACGAAAGAAAGTGTGTTGACTAAAACAACAAAATAAAGGTAAGAGCTTAATTAACAAGAAAAAACAGGTTAGGCTTATGTCAGTTTATGCAAGAATTGTCTAATTGTGACATGTAATAATCATACAAAAATCAAAAGTTCTTAATTCATGGGAAAAAAGGAAGCACCAACCAATAGGAATAGGTGGTCCATTTCGTGATGAGGATTGCACAGCTGGCAATTTTCACCGCAAACATCCAACGGTCCTTATTTTACCACGTGTACAAAACCCATTCTGGATCGACGCACAAGATGATTCATTTAACTGGCAAAAACCACTTATTTTGTTCAAATTTTCAACACAGAAAAGAAGATGTTTCTTTTTCTTAATAAAAGCAATGGCAAAATTAGAAGAAAAAGAATTTTAGGAAGCATAAAACAGCAGAGATAGCTTAGCTTAGGTGTAATGATCCAATTAGTCTATTAATAACAACATTTCACAGCTATTTATATTTATATAAATCCCTTATATATTACATAGAGAGAGAGAGACGAGGACACAAACAAAACTTTTCAACACATCTCTCACCTCCGAGAGAAGAGAGGAGAATCCAAAGAAAGAAAGAAAGAAAGAAGAAGATGGGAGCATTTGAGGATCAGGTGAAGATGAGGGCGTTGGAGCTGAAACATCTGTTCAAGAAAGGCATCAAAGTTGTCGGCAAATCTTGTAAGAAGGGTTGGTCCAAAGTCAAGAACCTTCGTCGTTAAGATACTTCTTCATTCTTGGCCTTCTTCCATTACATCTCCCAAATTATCTCTCTCTTTGTCTTTGTTTTATTTTCTAAAACTCTCATACTAAGTTTTGTCTTCTCACTTTTATGGGTTTCATATTTATTTATCTCTAAGTCTTTCTTAATTGTTGGTTTCTTCATTCTTTTCTCCTCCTTGGATTTGTTGGAGGATGTCAACACATCTTCTTTAATATGGATATGAGATCTACTAATTATATGGATATATGCAAGAATTTACAGATTCTTTTTTATCAATCATTTTAAAGAAAAGAAGAATTTATTAGAGAATACTAAAAACTAATCTTTCAAATTTCAGCTTTAATTTAAAGATAAGAGCCTACATGAACCCCAGATTGTTCCTTTTTTTTTTTGCATTTAACATGAACCCCAGATTTTTAAATTTGAACAAAAGGGAAAAGGATGGCTGTTTAATGGGCCGGTACATGGGCCTTATCCCAATTTGAAATACAGTTGCGCTTTGATGGGCCGATATATGGGCCCTTCCCAACGCTTAACGCAAAAGTTGCAATATAAAAGGATGCTAGGGTTTCAGAGGAAGAAGATAAAAACTCTTCTTGGTGGCGGTGAGAAAAAGATTCATGGCTTATGATCGATCTTCTATCAACGAGAAGAGCCAGTGAGCGATTCAGTTTTCATTATTACCATCAAAGCTTCGTACTTTTGTTTCAATTGATCGAATTCAATTCATTGAATTAAGTAAAGTTGTGATTTTTATCTTCTTCTCTTTGTGCTTTGCAAAGTCATAACCTTTGTGAACTGGGTTTAGATAAAGAGCCAGTGATGATTGAAAAAGATTGTCTACATTGTTTGATTTATCACTGAAATGAATTCTTTAATTAGTCTGAGGCTCTTTGCTTTTTAATTTTCCTATCTTTGATTAGTATCTCTCTCTAAGGCCTATGATGATTCAAATTTTGCCTACATTGTCTGATAAACCAATGATATAACTTCTTACAAAATGTAATTTCTGAGGCCTTTAGTGTTGTCTTCTTAGAGAATTGTTTTTGGATTTTGAGGATGAGAGGTTGGTGATGATGTTTTATATCTTTGCCTACATTGCCTGATCAAAGCTATTTTTTAGCTTTGAACAAGTGAGTGAATGATACACTTCTGAAGCCTCATGAGTTTGCTATTGTTATTTGCCTAGGAGTAGGCTGGTGTTGTTGTAGTGTAGAGATTTTATATGCTCCTCCATGTGATCTGTCCCCACGACATCTATGAACCTTGTTTAAATCTTACCAACGTAGTTATTTGATAGTCAATTTGTTGTCATAGTTGATATCTGAAGAACAACAACAAGCAGCAATATGTCTCATCATGGTAAATGGTTTAGAATGAGTTTTTGCTTGTGGAAAGACAGATTTGGTTTCGACTACATCTAGGAACTCCCATTCCTTGTTCTTGATTTGGTAATATTTCATCTCTTTGGCTTAACAATATGTGCAGGAAGAAGTATCACAACTGAGAAGTCAAGTCTTGTCCTCATCTCTCTACTGGAATTTAATTTTGGATGTGTCATATTTCAATTTTACTTGTATTGTTGTATTTTGGCCTTGACACCATTTCAAGGGGAAAACTTTCTTGTAATTAGAGGAGATAACACAAAAATATTGGTTCTGGATAATGATTGTATGCAATTTTATTGTTTGCTTTTCCCTATCAATTTACTTCCAACTTTATCTGCTTTTCCCTGATGTGTTGTCCATCCGCAAATTTCATGTTCAAAAACACAATGACTTGAACGAACGTGCATGTGAAGGTGATGCCAGGCCCAAGCAGTGAATCTGTTAAAATTAGCCCAAAACCTTCAGATCAAGGCCCAATCTAATGAGTAATCCAACGTGACTCGGAACGTCCTTTATTTGCTGCGTCTTGACTTTTCTAGAGACTAGAGAGTAATGAATGAGTGAGTGGATGTGTCCGGATGTGTCTATTTGTCATTTGTAAAATTGTCCTTGGAGGCCAAGCTAAACTTTATTCTCTTAACAAGCAGTGGCGGAGCCAGATATTTGGCTTATAGGGGTCATTTATATTTAATTATAATTTTTAATTATATATTTATATTAAATAATATATTTAAAGTATAATAAAAATTATTGTTTAAATTGTATAGAGAACATTTTTTTACCTAAAACAAAAACTAAATATTTTTTAATATAAATTTATGTTGTACTATTTAAAATGCTTCAACTTTCAATAAAAGATACATATAATTCATATTTTTATTTTTATTTTTGTTGTGTAACTATTTTTTACAAAATATATTTTTATCTAATCTATAGTTAGGCATGTCAATAGGGCTAGCCCGGCCCGGCCCGGCCCGAAGCCCGCAAAACCCGTACATATTTGAGCCCGGCCCGGCCCGGCCCGTAAAAATTCCGAGCCTATATTTTAAAGCCCGGCCCGGCCCTAACAGGGCTACAGGGCTTTTTCGGGCTTTTTTGGGCTTTTCTTCCGACAACAAAAAAACAAACTTATAAGTTATAATATCTCTTAAAAAAGAATCTATATATGAAACGAGTCAATCAAAATTTAAATAACCACTAACGCTAATTTAGTTTTAAAAAAAGAGAGTTAAAATCAAATAAATAATACAAATAAATTGTTTAAACTTATACTAGATAAAATATAAAATCAAAATAATTCAAATTAGGTAGTAGAGCTAATATTTGCTTTTTCGATTTATAGTAATACACAACAAAAAAACTATGTTTAGAGTTTTCAACTCTATCAAACAATTTTTTTACAACAAATCTTACAATTAAAGGAAAATATTTATAAAAAAAAGATCAAAATATTTTTTAAAGGGCTTTTCGGGCTAGCCCGAGCCCGGCCGGGCTAAGCCCAAAAAACCCTTTAGCCCGAACGGGCTTAGCCCGAAAGGCCCGATATTTTCTGGACATATATTTTTAAGCCCGAGCCCGCTGTTTTTCAGGGCTGGGCCGGGCTAGCCCGCGGGCTTTGGCACTAATTGACATGTCTATCTATAGTAATTTGGAGAGTAATTAGGTGTTATATTATGTAAGAATTTTGAAAAGAAGGTAAGAAAATAAATAAAACAGGATATTTATGAGGAGAAAAAAAAATCAATATGTAAGAAAAGTTAGTTATTTATAGTCTCTTCTTAAAAAAACACAAAACAAAAATCAAAATAGAACTAATGTTAAATAAAAAAATGAAAATGAATGGGGTCAAAGGTTGGAGATGATCATATGGCATAGGGGTCAACATGAAAATTTTATACCAAAACAACTAATATTATTAAGTAAAATACTTTACAATTAAGAATTTTCAAATGTCATGGGGGTCAATTGACCCCCTCCCTATTCATTGGCTCCGCCTCTGTTAACAAGTAGGAAAATAGATTTTAGCTTGGCCTCCAAGGGCAATTTTACAAAGGACAAATGGAAAGGAAGAGTCAAACTTGGTGGTTTTTCATCAACTTTGTTATCTTTCGTTGACTTTGAATACAAAACATAATCCATAAAATCGTTAACATAAGTAAATTTTCATGGTAATATTTGTGTATTGGAAGTCTGAGTTTAATTGATGTATAAACAAGAGTGATTAATATTTGTGTTTAGAAGTTTTATTGATGCATGAAGCCAATGAACAATATAAATTATACAAGAGACTAGACGTAATAGATAACAAAAAGTAAGTATAATTTCATTACTAATAAACTAAGTTAAAGATTTGATAGTAAAAACTGAGCCGACATCATCATAAACGACAAAGACTTTTTGTTATTCATGGGATTATCTTAAAAGTTTTAAGCACTAATTAAAGACATTAAACCGAGGAACTAATTGAACCGAAGTTGGTTAACAGTCTGATTGTTCCGTTATAAAAAGCCGTGTTCAGGTTGTGATCTTGGATTGGTAGAGAGAGAGATCTTGAGGAGCTCTCGATGATTCTGTATTCTTGAGATAGTAAAAATGGCGTTTTACCTCTCTTCTTAGTCCTTTGTCTTTCTCTGCTTCTTGTTCCATTCTTGTTCTTGCATAGTAACACGATCATCATCTACCAAGTTTTTCGATTGTGTCAGTTGTGTGTTTTGTTGATTTTCTGTCACATTAATCAGTCTGAGGCTCATTATTGTGTGTACTTTTTCATTTTTGATCTTTCTGCATAAAGAAAGGGCCTATGATCGATGATTCAAATTTGCCAACATCGTTTGAGAAACCAATGATAACGTACTTTATACAGTAATGTATTCTGAGGCCTATAGTTTTTTGTTTTCTTAGAAAATCATATTTTTATATGAAAAGACTTTGTGTTACTATCTTTGCTTAGAATATTTCCATTTTTTCCGCTAAAACACCATTTTATTAAGTTATCGGACGAAGACTTTCTTCTCGAGAGTCAATCCGAAACCGATACTTACAATATTTCCATTGTACATGTTTATTTACATTACTTTATATGTATGAATTCTGGATTAATCTAGTAAGACTGGTAAGTGGTAAGTACAATTTTTTTTTTGTTTTTGTAGTGGGAGATTCAAACCGGAATTCTCTAATTCAAATCCGGTTAAGGCAATTTATTTTATGAAAGTAAAATTAAGTGTCGTCGTAAAGTGGACTGAACGCAGACAGAAGCGAAAACCTAGGATTTTGTTTTGTCTTGGTTCTAGCTTGAGCATGAAGCATCTTCTCCGGCAACAATTCAGTAATTTCTTCTGGAAACTTCCTTGTAGACGTTCCTTCGTTCATTTCCCTAAAACCATTCCTTCACCGGAGCTCACTAATGACACTCTCAAGCGTCGGATCGAGCGAGTCCAAGATTCGTCTGTCTCCATCACTCCGTTGCTCCGAGAATGGTGCGAACTCGGAAATCAAACGGGTCTTTCAGAACTCAGGAGCATCATCACCTCTCTTCACAGATCCAATCGCTTCTTTCACGCTCTCCAGGTTAGGGGTTTCAAAAAAAGAGCAAAATTTGGACTTTTACAATTTTGTTAATTTTAGGGTTTTTGGTGTTGTTAGGTATCGGATTGGATGATTGAACAAAAAGCTTACAAGCTGAGTTCGATGGATTTTGAGCGACGGCTTTACTTGACTGCAAAAGTTTGTGGTGTTGAAGAAGCGGCTAAGTTCTTCGAGACTGTTCCTGTAGAAAAGAGGGATCTTTATTTGTACAATGCTCTCTTGAGCTGCTGCAAAACACACAGCTCTTTGGCCATAGCTGAGACTACTTTTGAGAAGATTAGAGAGCTTGGTTTTGCTGATAACAATCCTCAAATCTATAGCACCATGCTCTGTCTCTACCATCAGGCTGAAGATCACGACATGGTGGTGAAGCTTCTTGGTGAGATGGATGAGAAAAAGATGCAACCCCAAGGACTGTCTTTTGACAAGCTTTTAACTTCTTACTCAATGGCATCTGTTTTAGATGTAGAAGGTATGGAGAAGTTTTTGAGCAAGTGGGAGGTGATGATACAGGAAAAATGGACCACATTCTACTTTCCAGGATTGGTCTACATACGAGCAGGGTTTAGGGAAAAGGGTTTAGCTTTGCTTCGTAGGACAGAGCCATTTGTTGGTGACGGCGCTAGAGAAATCATCTATGGATGTCTCATGACTGCTTATTGTAGCGAGAATCTAACAGAGGATGTGTACCGTCTCTGGATCTTGGCTAAGGACTATGGGATATCCTTTGACAGTTCCAAATGTTCTGATATCGTCAAGGCATTTACGAGGAAGGGTGATCTCGATGAGGTTATGGAAGAGTGGAATGAGTGTCCCAATATTGATCTGATGGATTTTGGTCTCCAACATAGATGTATGAAGGAGGAGGCTGAGAAGATTGTGGATATGATTGGGAAGAAGGAGAGCAAATGGGAGAGTTTGGCACACAAGGTTAACAATGTGGTGGAGGATGAAGATGATAAAGAAGAGGAGAGGAGGAAGAGAGTGGCAGAGGCTATGGAGGGGAGGCTGCATGACCGCTGGAACCCAAAGAGCAGCATGGCTCTGTCTGCTTATGCATGCGTGCAATATGTGGAGGGTCGGAGAGATATGGAGAGTACAGCGGACATTCTGAGACTCCTGAACAAGCGAGAGCAAGTGTTGCATGCAATGGACAAAGACCGATTGAGCCTGAAGATGGTAGAGGCAATGAGAGGAGGAGGATACGTTGGTGGATATGATTAACATATCGATCACAATATTTGTAACTCTGTTTGTTATCTAGTTTAGCATTAATCTATTAGGCGTTTCTGAGCAAACACATCAATGATAGCTACACATTGGTTGGTGGAGAAGACTAAAGAATAAAATCAATTTGTAACTCTCATTGCTATATAGTTAACATTAATCTATTAGTTAACTCATTCTTAAGCCCAAAAAATGCTTGTATGTGAAACGAAATTGCATTTATCCAAATGGTCTCAAGACTTCATTGTTTGGAATGTGTCACTGTCTAGATTCTTACTTCTCCTTCCTCAACGTATCGACCTTTTCCCATTGCATCGACTATCTTCCAACTCAGTCCAGCTCCGTTCATATCGTATAGTAGCTGATCGTATGAAATGTGTCCTCGCTCGCTTAACAGTCTCAAAATCTTTCTCAAACTCTCCATGTCTCTTTGACCCTCCAGATAGTCCACACAGCTCGTCAATACAACCTGGTGTGGTCTCCACCCTGGCTTGCTCACCTCTATTGCTCTCTTCCATTTCTCCACCGCCTTCTCCATTACACCCGCCATCTTGTACCCGAGAGCTAAACGCTCCCATGTGCTTGTATCCTCCACTCTCCACTTCTGGACCAACATCTTTACTACTTCCTCTGCCTTCTCCATCATCCCTTTCTTGCAGTAACCCGTTATTAACAAGTGTGGGATCCGGATATCGAAAAGGGAGTGTCCAGTTTCCCACTCTTCCATAATCTTCTCAACCTCATCGATGTCATCCACCTTCAAGAGTGCACTAATCACGCTTATGTATCCAGTGTTGTAGAACCCGTCCAGCTCCTTGTACAAGCTCCAGAGACGGTACACCTCTTCTTTCTTACCTGCAGCTCCATAGAATGACATGATAACCTCATAGGCATGTTTTCTTTTCTGAGGATTCACCATCTGTTCTGATTTACGCAGCATCTCTAACGCCTTTTCAGTTAATCCAGCCTTTATGTAGCCATTCGCTGTATCAGCGTAAGTGCGCCAGTCCAAATGAAGTCCCGGGTCAGCCTCACAACGCATCAGAAACTTCTCCATCCCCTCTACATCAGACACAACCGAATAAGCATGGAGCCGCGTGTTCACTGTGAAGATGTCGGGCTTCACAGTCCCATCCTCCATTTCGCGCAGCAACTTTTCAACCATTGTGTATTTCCCAGTCCGGACATAGAGATTCAGCATCACATTGTAGGGAAGACAACCTTTGAGGAAGCCAAGCTCTTTCATCTCCTGAAACACTTGCTCAGCTTTATGCAACACCTTCTTGCTCGCATAGCAGTTCAAGAGAGCACCGTAGAGATGGTAGTTCCTCCTCTCCATAGGAATCGATTCGAAAAACTTCTCTGCTTCTCCCAAACCACCAACTTTAGCAATCAAATCAAGCCGAATCGCAACATCTCCTTCAGAGATCTCATGAACTCTATGCTCACTCATCCAATCTGATATCTAACATCATAAACATGACAACAAGAACAAAAAAGATACCATTTTTAAGATTTGGATTCGTATCATCACAGAGTAACAACAAAAAAAGATGAACTTTTTAAGAAACTAAGCAACAGAGGAATCCAGAAATGAGAGACCTGAAGAGCGTGAGAGAAACGGCTGAACTTGCGAAGCATCTTGATGATGCTATGAAGCTCCGAAGTCTTCACCAGATTCCCTTGATCAAGCCATCCATCCAACACTCTGATAATCGAAGCAGAGGGATCTCCAGCTCTCGCGACTCGACGCTGCAGAGTGTCGTAAGGGTCCAACGGCGAGGGTGTGGTCTTGCCGGAGTGAAAAAGGAAACTCCTCCTGAGAATGTAATTTGGCTTTGGACGAACAAGACGAAGAAGATGAAGAAGATGCTTCATACTTGGTGATGATACAGATTTCAAACAGAGAAACTAAGGTTTAGGGTTTAACATTTGCAATTTGGAGAAGAAAAAAATCAAAACTTTTGGATAGATTTTGTAACGAATTCAACTTCTGTTTAATCGTCAAGCTCACTCAAGTATAGGGTTTAGAGCAGAGTACCGACACGTCGTCGTTTATGCTTTAATATGGGTTTGGTTCAATGTCAATTTCTCAAAACCCCATATTAATGATAGTTTTGTAATGAAATGATGCAATGATTTAATTATTTTTTACATTTCCGAAATTGTCTCTCTTCCTATAACTTTCATTTTACTAAAAAAAGAAACAGAAATACCCAAAAAAAGATGAAGTAATGGAAAAAGAAAAGAGAAGAGAAGAGAGGAAGAAACAGAGAAACAATGGAGATTTCTCCTTACTGTTTGCTTTCCCTTCTTCCCATTTTCCTCCTCTCTGGTTTCTCCCTCTCATGTATATATTTCTTCAATTTCTTGCATTGTTTTTAAGTATTTATAAATGATTTGTTTTCTTTTCTTTCTATTTTCATGTTCATCATATGGGAGGATAAAAAGTTTATGGATTTGAATGTGCAGATGATGAATTTGATGGTCACGCAGCCACAAGCAGAGCTCTTCTTCAGACAAGGACAAGTAAAGATCATCCTTCCTAATTTATGATTTACCAAATCTTGATTCTAATCCAAGTGTGGAACTTCTGTTTTCTGTTTTCTTGAAACAGCGTGCAAAGAAGATTTCGCAAGCAAGAACTACACAATCATAACAAGCAGATGCAAAGGACCAAATTATCCGGCAAATGTGTGTTGCTCCGCCTTCAAGGATTTTGCTTGCCCTTTTGCAGAAGTTCTTAACGACGAAAAGAACGATTGTGCCTCCACAATGTTCAGCTACATCAACCTTTACGGTCGTTATCCTCCTGGAATCTTTGCCAACATGTGTAAAGAAGGCAAAGAAGGTCTTGACTGCACTAATGTCACCCAGTCCGCATCCGCTACTTCTGATTCTATCCCCCGAGCCTCCACAACTGCATCTCTCGCGGTTCTTTCTACCTTCATCGTTCCCTGTCTTTTGTTCTTGTCGTTGTGAAGTCTTAATAACACATCTCAGAACATGTTTTATGGGTAAAGAACACATTATATATGCCTCTTGGTGTTATGTATCCAACTCCTTTTCTTTTAAACTTCTCTTGTTTTTCCATTTAATCATGGAAACACTCAAAAAGATATACATATGAAGGCTTCACAAGGAGCAAAACAGAATCTCTGTTTAAAACGGGCAATGCCATATTACACAATTTGATTCTTGGGTTTATTACACGAATGAATTGATCATCATTACTCAATAAGATTCATCTACTTTTCTCACCGCGCCTAAATGCGTGGACTGTTCACTAGCACCATTACGAAGAAACAGAGGTTAAAATATATCTTACATAGAACCCGAGGCCAAAAGGTCAAGCTCCGCTCACCAAAAGCTCCCAATCCCAAGTCCCATCTAATCATTTCTTTTCCTGCAAGCCATAAAACAGAACTTCTTAGTTCAACAACTACAAGATGCTTTTCAGATAGTTGAGCCAAGTGACTAGACACTAGGACTATCACGTAAATCAATGTACTATAAATCTACTGATGATGATTCCTTGCAAAAGGAGAGCTCAGATCGAAGCATTTTGAAAATACTGCGGTAAACCATAGTTCTAAACAAGTTAAAGCTCAATATATTGATGCCAACTTAGAAGATCGATTGCAATCAACACCATTCATTATTCTCCTCCAAATCAATCCTACCAAAAAGACTTAAACTTTAAGTTTTCTAGTTACCTCTGCCTTGTTCAAGGAGAAGCCACCACTGGTGAGAAGCCTCTCAACATATTTCCCCATGATATCAACCTCAAGATTCACTTTCTGTCCAATACTCTTAGTAGGAATCACCACTTTCTGCTGCGTATAAGCAACCATCATGAAATTGAAACAACTCTCTTCATCAAACACATCAACAACCGTCAAGCTAGTCCCATCAACAGCCACAAATCCTTTAGGCACAATGTATTTCAACAAACCCTTGTCAGCTTTCACCTTCACCCACAAAGAATCACCCTCTACCTCCATTGATTCAATCACTCCCGTCCCATCCACGTGTCCCTGAACCACGTGTCCACCCATCCGGCTCACTGGCTGCAACGCACGCTCCAAGTTCACCGGAGATCCTTTCTTTAGCTCCTCCAACGATGTTTTTCGCAGCGTCTCCGGTGCTAACCCCACTGTGAACTCCTCTGCGTTGAACTCCGTCACCGTTAAACAAGTCCCGTTCACCGCAATGCTGTCACCGAGCTTCACGTCCTCTAACACCACTCTCGCTCCGATTTTGAGGTCGAATCCTCCGTGATCGGCCATTCCCAAGTTCTTGACTTCTCCCATTTCCTCCACGATTCCAGTAAACACGGATCGGATGCTGAGATTTTGCCTCCGGTGATGTCTTCCACATGATGTCTTGAGAGAAAGCTTCGATGACTTAGAGATGCAATCAAATCTGAGATTAGTCACTGATTCACCACTTCTGAATTGAGGAACACATAATTTGGGGATGAGGTTGATACAATGAGTACGAGCCGCCATCATTTCTCAAGAACCAAACTTTTGGCCTCGCAATATTTCTCAAGAAGAAGTGAAGAACCAAACTTTAGAGATTTAGGTAGTAGAACAAATAAACGGGGCAAAATTGAAATAAATAAGAAATTAGAGGACCAATTTGATAATCGGTGACAATCTTTTACTATATAAATGTTTTGAGTTTGGTTATATGCCCACAGGAGTGGCAAGAACAAAAACTGTATCCTCTCATGGTCTATGGGAACACATTTCTATGGACTTCTTGTCAAGAAGATGGCGTCCAGTGACTCGACTCAATCTGCAAGATTGTTCAATCATTAATCTCTGAATCGAATCTTGTTCCCAAGGGACTATTCCAAAGTCATCGTTGAAACCTTCCATGCCTTCTATCAGAAACTGCCATACCAGTGTTCCTGCACCAGACCGCTTCCGCTTGGCTGATTTGTAAATAACATCAAAGATGGTTCTGTAGAATCGATCTCGCTGTGATGGATCATAGTCCTTGTTCAGATTCGAGAGGCCGAACTCGGTGAATAGAACAGGCTTCTTCAGTTCCTTGTCACCGTCTTCAATGTGAGATAGCATCCATTTCACCACAAACTTGAGTTTTTCTTCAAACCCTTGATCGTGAAACCTGTCAAAGTTTCAAACTTTGTGTTTACAAACAAGAATTCAAGACATTTGTTCACGCATTTCTTAACAGAGGCTTACCAGTGATCAGGGTAGATATGAACCGATGCAAAATCGATGTTTGGCGAATCAGAATTTCGAACAAAATCTGATCCAAGCTCAGAGGCCCACCGTTCGGGGTTAACTGTCAGCCGTTTTGGGCTATTCGGACCGTAGAACCCTTCCAAGCCTACGGTCAGAAGATGCTTGCTGTCAATCGATTTAATGAATGCTGTCATTTCGTTAATCCAGTCCTTTGAATCCACAAACCAGAAAAATTAGTAACATTACTAAATTTTCAACAATTACTAACAATCCAATGTTGGACAAGGAACCACCAAACTGAATGATAACTCACTTGTAGGGTATCCCCAGAGACATCAGACATGCAGCGAGGCTCGTTAATTAACTCCCATGCAAAAATTGTAGGATCGTTTCTGTACTCGATACCAGTTAAAGAGTTTTTGCGGGTGAGCAGCACCTGGCAAATGGTTCCAACCTTAACATCAATTTAAATATATAACCATGAAAGTACAGCCTATAAGTGAAGAATGGCTATTCCACGGGAACATATTCAAGTCTATGTGTCAAGAACTAGGTTGGGAGTAAATTGATTGTAGCGTCTCTTGCATATCTAAATTCAGTTATCTAATTCTACTATGATGATCAAGACTAACACATCCATGTTCACATCAAGAAGAGATAAGGATTAAGAACACACCGTGAGATAATTCTTGAAGTATCTGCGGATAGATGGGTCAAAGAAGAAGGAATCATTGGACGAGCTGAGGCCTACACCTTCCTGCCATGCCCAGTTGACGTACTGAGTCTTCCCTCCATACGCTTGTAAGTTATTCACTAAGCTAAGAAGCAACCTAACACCATGTGTTTTTGCCTCTGCGATTACATGATCCAATGCCTGACCATGTTAATATAAACTTTGTTAAAAGAGAGAAGAGAGATCAGACTGAGAACAGGACAAGTAAACATCAAACTGAATGCGCAAGAAGGTGTAAATGCTGAAACCATTAGCCTTGAAATATGCATTGCAAACGAATAACAAATGCAGGAAGAAGTAAGTAACTGAAGATACTTCCAATTCCAAGCTATATAAGAAACATTGAATTGCTTAGACATAAATGGATGCTACATTGCCCTAGTCTATATTCTATCATCTTCGTTGACATTTCTGATTAAAATAAGTAGAAGGAAGACTAAAAATGTCGGCAAAAAGACAAAAAAAAAGATACCTTGAAGACTCGTTCATCGAATCTACCAGGAGAGATCTGAAGAGCATTGTAGCCTCCATCATTAAAAGCCCATGTTCTACAAACAGTGAGACCCATTTTAGCTCCAGCTTCAAGCATAGCACCGACACGGTGTCTGCTATGATCATTCACAGCATGGTCCATGAACCAATAAGAGTTCCAACCATTCACATACAGAGCCTTACCATCGACCACAAACTGTGTCCCATTCCGTTTCACGAACCCTAACTCGCTTTCCCTTTTGAAATCGAACAACAAATCACCAAACGAGAGATAGATAAAAGCCACACATGTAAGAAAACCTAGAATTGGTATCACTGGGCCGTTCCCTGTAGGAGCCATGCCTCTTCTTCCTCTTAATAGCTTCTGATATATCAGAATCGCTTGTAATCTCGCCAGTTTCTTCGGATTCCTCACCAATTTATCCAAATCTCACCCAGATGGGTAATAAAAAGTAAAAACTGCACCTTTTGAGAGAAAATGCAATCAAAGTTTCAACTTTTATTGACACACAAAAAGATCAAAATGTGTCCACGTTTCGGAGAATGTGAAGAAAATCTCAGAAAAATCGAAACTTTTTAATGAAAGCTTATCACTTTATGCTTTAAGCCCCCAAAAACGTGAACTTGATGAATGCCCACATAATAGATCTCTCTCTATCGCTCAGTGTGAGAACTGAGAATGATGAATGAGGAAGAAGAAGGTAGCAAGTAAGAATCAGATTTCACGCAGTTTGATTTGTGTGTGGACAACTATACGTTAATTTCGGAGGGGCTTTTACGGTAACACGTTGGTATCATTAACCCACCAGATCTGCCACACGATTGACATATAAATTTCTCATTTGGTATTTAATCCAATTTAAAGAAAAAAACATTGAATTCCATAATATAGATACTATAGAAGAGTGAAGACAATGATAAAAATCAAACTTGTTGTGAAAAACATATTCTAGTAGTTATTTATTCCAAATAAAACAACTAAGTGATGGTAACGAGGTGTAACGTCGTTTTAGTCATTTGAGTCTATAAATTCAACATGGTAACAACGAAGTGTCGTTTCATCTTTACCAATGTTATTTTGTCTTCATCAAACATCATCGTTTCGTTGAGTTTATGGACTAAAATAACCAAAATGACATCGTTCGGTTCATTTTATGAATTCAAATAACCAAAACGACGTTAATTGATTAAGATAAAATGATTCTTTGTCGTCATCATATCGTCTAAGTGAGCGAAAACAAAAAGTTGACTAATTTTGTTTAAGTCAATGTGGTTTTACGCTCAAAGTTAATAATTTGGATTATAAATTTGAATTATTTTGGCGTTAAAGTAAAAAAAAAAATATTGTATATTTATTAAAGTATAAAAACGCATTTTACAATTTGTTCGTGTTGAAAAACGTCATTTTCCCATACATATATAAGCTTCCATTATTGTAAATTCTTTACTTAGTTGATCAAGGGACCGTGTCCTTAGCCCCACCAAACTAGTATATATACCATCATGTTTTTTTTTTTTTTTTTTTTTTTTTTTTTTTTTTTTTTTTTTATACCATCATGTTTTCTTTTTCTCTTTTGTTAGTGTTCTTTTTTTCATTTCTGTTTTCAATTATCAATCCAAAAGCAACGTAAAACTAGGAAAACATTTTTGAAGAGTAAAGAGACGTTCATATTCGATTAGACAATGATCCTAATAATTACTACGTAAATCGCTGTTATGCTAATAAAAATAAGTAATCTTCTGACTAATCTAATTTTATTGTGATTTGGAGAAGGAAAAAAAAAAAGTTGCTATGCCAACGACATGTGTAACCCTGCCTTCTCAGGCTCCACCGCTTAATGCGTCATGCAATATCTTCATATCAAGATTAATTATTAAGAATAGTTATTAATGTCAGTGCATGTATATCATCACGTATGTGTTGTTGAAAATGTTCATTCAAATTTAAAACTGAAACAAAGAAAAAAATAAATCTTTGTCTCAGACTTTTTCCTAAACAATCCCTACAAAAATGACCACATGTTGACTGTCACTAGATTCAGATTCTCAGAAGTCATGTGAGTTATTTTCCTCTTTAGATTTGAAAAATGTTCAACCATGTGAATCCCACATAAAAGGCCAATAGGCCCAAAAAGGCCATTTGATCCTAGAGACTCGGATTAGTCTTTGGTAAGCAGAGAGAGACATCACTTGTAGAATAACCTATACAATCTTTGACTAGGATGATCAACTCAAGCATGGGCGGATCTACGTAGTGGAAGAGGGGGGCAGCTACCCCCAGTAAAAAATCAATTTTTTTGTATTTTCATTAATTTTAGTAAAGATTTATTAAGTCAAATGGTAGAATGAAGCAACTTTTTTTTTTTTTTTTTTTTTTTTTTTTTTTTTTTTTTTTAATTTTTAAATATTATTAAAAATATCAAACAATCCAAATGGGCTTGGGCCAAGGTCTACACGAAAATGGTAAACAGTTACAAAAATGGCAAATCGGAAAACTCGCCGGAAAAATCAAAATGGCTCGAAACCTGTTGATCATCGGCCGCAGAGACCCCAAAACCTTAGATCCAGCGAAAACAAGAACCACAGCTTCGCGGCCGCCTCGAAGGAGCTAGAACAAAGACGAGAGTTTTCGGATCCCGCCGCACTCGCCTTCCTCCGACGCACCAATCCCGCCACAGATCTTCCAGAAAGTTAGCACCTCCGACAACCGGTTCTACGACGACGAATCCTGACCTAGCAACCCGACGTACCTGGAATTAACCCCAAACTTCTTGATCCGAACCTTTCCGATTTACCTGAGCCAATATGCTTCGATCCGAGCTAGTGGATGCCAGAAGCGGCAGATCCAGAAGATGGTGGCTCAAACCAAGCCTCTGAACCCAAAACCCGCACCAGCCATCTAAGCTCCGAGCCACCGGAACTACCGCTAACCACCTCGCCAAACAACGCAACCCACCAAACCTCTGAACCCAGAATGAAGCAACTTGCCACCCCTTAAACCATGATCATATCCCACGATGCCCCTTCTTTTTTTTTTTTTTTCATTTTCATTCCTTTTTTACTTATTTTCTTCCCTAATCATAGCATAAATTGTTTATCTTTCCTATTCTAGACTTAGTATTTCCAAAATCAATATTATTTTCATTTTGTTTAGATTGGTTTTTCTTTTCTTATTTAGCTTTCTCTTAAATATCTTTTTAATGTAGAATTTTTATAGGTTTATTTCGAAACAATGTTTATAATGTAGCAATATTAAAAAAACTAAAAAAGTATATAATGAATTATTTTTTTATCTCGAAAAGTCGGTATAGTACTTTGCCCCCGGTAAAAATATTTTCTAGATCCGCCACTGAACTCAAGCAACTTTGTCATCTTAAGTGATTTCAAGGAATCATCAACATTGTTTTTCTACTTAAACCAAAATATAAAATTTGTTGAACGATATAATAATATTTGTATAATCTTTACTTAAATTAATCTTTTGTTTTCCATAAAATAAAACTCTCTGTCTTCTCATAAAAAGAAATGTATTTTATCAAAACACTTGTTGATGTTGTAAGAAAACTTCTTAAGCAAAAACATTGTGAAAGCAGCCTTATTAATATAAAAGCTAGCTAGAAGCTTATACAACGAATTTTTAGAGCTTTCGTGAATCTTGGAATAACTAATTAATTAAATATACTCTTTGTATTATATATTATATCAAAGAAATTCAGCGCTTACAATTTCAATTTGTTTGTCAGATGCAGAATTAAATAATTAATCAATAACACAATGAGAAAGTATTGCCAAGTGTTGTTCTTACACACATTGCAAGTAACTATTAAATGATTTATATTCGATCGGACTAAGTAAGTTATACATATATAAAAATCAAATGTGTGATGTAAATAACTATGGAAAAAGTCCAAAAGTTTAAATTAAAGTAAATTTTTATACGAGTACATTTGATTTTTACGTAAGACATAGACATGTGTCCGAGATCAAAACCCTGAATCATCTGATCCTTCACCGAGTATTCGTCATTCTGGTCTAGTGTCTCTAAGATCAAAACCAAACAAATTTGGGGTAAGTTGAAAAAAAAGCCTACATAATTAAAACGAATAAATGGCTAAAGAATTACATGTATAGTAGTACTACTTAATTGGTTTGCATAATCTGGATTAAAGTAGACTCCAATTAATTAATTATACGTGGGATTGACTCATTTTGACGTTTTTTTAGCAAATTTGTAGTCAAGAGTAAGAAACATTAGGTGGAGCGTAAGGAAAAAATTACATTACTACAATTTTAATCTCCTAAATTAGATAAAATAATATTTTTTTTTTCTTTTTAAAAATGTCTATCTGTTTTTCTTCTTGATAAAACTTTTTCATATTATCCTAATTTATTACTACTTTTTAAAGGAATCTTTTTTATAAATAGAATAAGTATATTTGTAGAGTATATCCGGATATGTTCAGAGAAAGAAGCTCTCACGAGATTAGTCATGCTGACATGGAAACTAGCTGTCTTAAGCAATCATTCATCTCACAGATCTGACACGTCCTCCAATCACAATTTTACACGTCACTATTCGCGGCGCCATGTATCTGTTTCTCTGATTTCAGATGGGTCCCACCTTTGTCTCTCCCCACCCACTATATAAACTCTCTCCTATTTTTCTTCAACCCAACAAAAAATAAAATAAAAAGACAACAACAACAAACATTTTTCTCTCTATCCTTTGTTATTATAGAAAAAAAAACTCCGATGGATCGGCAAAATTCCGATGACATCATGAGATTTCTCGATGGAATGGCTAGCTCTGACGATGTTCTTTTCGGTTTTCTCGACGAAGGAAACCAGTCGCCGGAAGATTTCTCTGATTCCGTAAACCTCAACGCCGGCGGAGATGACGGCGACGAAGACGACAGTAATAATAATTCTGAAGAAAACAAAGCTTTTTGGCAAGAACAAGAACAACTTCTTCAGGTAATTTTTTTTCAAAAAAAAATCTATATTTTTCATTATTATCAAAACAAAATTATATAATTATTTGTCATTTTTAGCAAAATAATTTGGTGTCTAAATTTGTTTTATTTTTGGAATTGTGTAGGGGACACTGTATAGGACAAGTTCCAATGAGACAAAGATTAGACAAGCTACGAAAGAAGCGTTGAAACAAGTTAAATCTGAAGGTCTTAATTGTGTTTGCCGGCGACCAGTGGACGGCGGTTGCCGGAGTTGCTTACGTGGCGAAATCTCTAGACACCTCAGAGATGTCGCCGGCTACGATTGTGTCATCTCCAAATCTAAATGGAGAAGTTGTCAAGACATCCCTGCAGGTACAAACAAACAAACACATACATTGTTTTTTTTTTAATATATTTTAAAACTATTTTGTGGTTATTCATTTTTATTAAAAGACTGGTTCTTAAATATTAAGCCATCGTTTTCATTTATCAATGGGAATATATGTAAGATAATTATTTTTAAAATGGAAAAAATATTTTATGTCCACAAGAACACGAAAGATTTTTTCAGACCAATTCTTTGATTTGTTACTTATGTATCAAGCAAATATCAGATTTGGACTAACTCATATTTTATTTTAATTAAAATCAGGGGAACACGAATTTATAGAGATCGTGGACCGGTCGGGTTCGAAGAAAGGCGAGATGAGAGTGGTGATTGAGTTATCATTTAGGGCAGAGTTTGAGATTGCAAAAGGCAGTGAAGAGTACAAAAGACTAGTCAGCCGATTGCCGGAGGTTTATGTCGGAAAAAACGAGAGGCTTCGATCTCTGATCAAGATATTGTGCATTGCGGGAAAGAAATGCTTGAGAGACAAGAAAATGCATATGGCTCCTTGGAGAAAACATAAGTACATGCAAGCCAAGTGGCTTGGGACATGTGATCGATCTAGCTCCTTGGAAGCGGCGGTTTCAGAGGCGATGGAGCCAGAGAATTGGGTGCCGGTGGCGAAGCCTAGGGTTTCTATGTTGAACTATGATGGTCTCTTAGGTAGTTTCTCCGCCGGTCCGGCCACTGTTACGGTCGTGTGATATTGTGTGCTGTGTTTTTTGATGACTTGTAATTATTAATTGATTAGGGTGAGTGTTAATTATGAGTTTTGGATTTGACGTTGGCCAGAAATGGTCTCAGCGACTTTGATCCGATCCTCAACATTAAGTAGCAAGTGACGTAAAGGCTGGTTTGGGTCATTGGTGTTGGAAGAAATGAGATGTTTGGGATTTTTTTTGTATAGATTGTATACGAGTAATTTACATTAAAATTTTACTTAAATATTATATACATTTTGAGTTCGAGTTATATGAAAATTTTATTCATAGTTAAAAATAAAATTATAAAAATCTGATTCGTAACACAAAATTATAAGAGTTTTGTAGCAGAAAAAAGGTAAATGGTACTAAAATAACTGCAAAAATGATTTTGAAAATATCATAACACTAAGAAAAAATGGTACAAACTATGATATTTTCACTCCATAACAATAATAATAATAATTTTTTTTAATGTGGATGTCTAATTTAACAAAAAATGTTTTAGGCAGTCTAAATTTTGTCATTTAATCATGTGTAGAATACGTGATTTTTCTTTGTTTTTTTTTAGTTTGGATTTTTCTTTGTTACATGTTATTTATCTACATATGTACATCTATCTTATCTTTTGTCCCAAAAGAAAAATGGAACATCTATCTTATCCTTTAAATTTATATCTCTTTTGTATAAGCATGTGAATTATTATTTTATATTGTTATTTAACATTTTAAATATTAGTATATTCATTCCCGGAATTATACACACTTTATTTAAAGTACATGCAATAAAGAATGGCGTTACATTTTACCAAGAAAAAAAGTCTATATTCTTTCCAAAATATTACACTACTTCATATGTAAACAACATTCGTCGTGAATGACTTTTTCGAATTTTATTTAAAAGGTGTTGACAAAAAAAAAAAAACACTACTTCATAGCAATAGCAATAGCTCGAACTGTCGGTACCGATTTCAACAATTCACTATAAATTTCTTTTGATGAAAAAAAAAACTGTAAAATTAATACAGCAAGTCAAACTCCAATCCCATTATCATTCAATATTTTATTAAATTCAAAATGAAACTGACGGCATTAAAAAAAACTTAACGATTTGACCAATTTTGAATTCGTCAATCTATTTGTGACAATCTTTAAACATAATAAAATGATTCAAAGAAAACTAAATAAAAAATTTTATGTGAATTACTCCAAATGAAAAGAACAAGTTTTGACACTTTTGAAATGCTCAAATGCATAGCAAGTTTCTTATAATGGTGCAAATAAGCTAGACCGGGACTTTTATGATGGCCACTACGACCTCTATCGTATCACCATTTTATTTGGATGTTAGATATGATCACATGAATCATAAAAAGATAAATATAGTTTGATCGAAAAATACCAAAAAAATAGAAAACAAAACAAATCAACTAACAAAACTAAATAAACGGAAAACATGAATTGAAGAGAAGAAAAGAGAGGGTTCATGTTTAATCCGTAAACCGGTAACAATGTGAATGGGCATCACAACTTCGTCGGTATGGGTTATCCGGTCCATCCGGTTTACCATGTCGCTTATCTGGTAAGTTGTTCTTCAATGCATCATAGCTTATATATCTCCACGCTTGTAGAATCCTACGGCTGATCACATCCAAACCTGATCTCATCTTCATGATCTCTTCTTCTTCACCATTGGTGCATTTTCCACTCAACTGGTCACATTTCATCGGTCGAGATCGGACCAACATTGGAAATAAAGCCACCGAGATTATAACGGCAAAGATTAAGAGCTTCATATAGATTTCACTGAGAGAGCCAAGTGGAGAGTTTGTGATTAAGCACGTCGTTAATATTCTACAGTTTTATAGTCGTTTCACCTTTTATGGCAACGTATTCTTTTCTTAATATGATTTCTAACTCCCTGGTTCATCAAAAATTTGATAGTAACATTATATTTATTTTGCTCTTTTTGAGTAAAATATGGTCTTCTTGTCGTAAATATAATCTTAATTCCCTGGACTACTTGATTTTCACTATAGTCAATTCGCATAATAATTAATTAATCGGTCAAAAACTTAATAATTAATGACGTCCACATATGACATACGTTGATGTTCCAACAAAAAGTTACTAAAAGGGTGTGGAAGTAATGCTTTCATATGTGGAAGTTACTAAAATAGAATGCCCATTAACAAAAAAAATTTACTACAAGTGTATATTTAACAAAATTGAGGGGATGCAATTTGTAATAATGTTGTACGATTTATGGGACCACAAACAATTACGGTTCGGGGGATTCATGATCTATATACAATTTTTTTTTACTGTTTGCTGTCCCAAAATCTATACATATTACTCGTTAAAAATTGGGGACCCGACACGAATGTTACACCCGGTTGTGTTCAGTTACGGCCCTGATGTTGTAGCAGCTGCTTGATATCTTGCATCAACGAGTTAAGATGAACCATATTCATTTCCTCTCTAATAAGTAATGAAATGAGCTCTTTAGAATTTGATTCAAAAATAATATTTTTATAGTTGAACCTAGACATCATTAGCACTGCCCATCTTAATGCCTCAGTATCTTCTTCCAAATCGGACTTAACTCTTGCTCCCATCTAATTGCACATTGTGTTTGTGGCCATGTTTCATCCCTGTTGTATTTGACCCAATTGATCATGTAGATGACTTTTTGAGTATGATTGAACTTGAAAGTGCCAACTTATTAGAGTTAAAAAATCCTCTACATTCTGACCACTAAATATTAAAATGGTATAGTGAGTTGTTTTTTTTTTGGTTTTTTTTTTCTTTGTCATAATATATGATGTTTTTTTATCACACAAAATGTAGGAATTTATGATGAGAAAACATGTAAAAATATGTTTTTTTTTTAATCAAATATTTAAAGAGTTGACATTTGCATAAGTCGGTTCATAAATGAATGTTTTGGTGAAATAAGAAGATTTACGTAACAGAAGAAAAACAAAAGAAGATTTTAACCTCAGAGACAGAGAGAGCCCATAGACTCGAGAGAAGATCGTCTTCAAGATTGAAACTTTACAAAGTAAAACTCCTTTGTCCTTTCCAAGTTTCCACCTTTGTTCTCTCCAAACATATATTATACTAATAGACTAGAGAACAAGGCCATAAAGTTTCTAACTTTCTCCCAAAACGAGAGAGAAAGAATCTCTAACGACGACCATTTTCAAAGTCAATTGCTGTTCTATGATTACAGAGTTTGTTTCTCTGTCATAATCTCTTCTAGTTGTGGTTTGGTACAGACAAACAATCTTCTATTGCAGTTTGTTGGGCTCTCACTTTCTCTTTCAGCCGATTTGATCTTCGTTTCTTGTGTTTGACTTCACTTAAAGCAACCTTTTTTTATTGATCTTCTTGTCTCCTTTATGTTCTGATGAATCGGCATTGTGATACCACACGAGATTTTGGGGCTGTGATATGAATAATCTGGGGAATTTTGGGGTTTGGGGATTAGGGTTCTTCTCCTTATCGATTTGGTTTGCGGTTTTGCAACAAGCTAATGGACTTAGACCCATTAGGGAGACTGCTCGATCCTGGGGCGATGAGGTTTGTGTTGTTTTGATGATTGCTTCAAATTGCTTTCAATGTTCTTTATTTTTGTGTATCAGCTAAGTCTTTCATTAGTTTGCTGTTCAATGTGTTCGTTGACTTGGTTACGTTATGAAGAGAGAGAACAGTACTTATTGCAATAGTAGAATTTCTGATAGCTCATAATCTAGGATGGGAATGAGATTATGCAGTTTTAGTCTCTCTGAGTTTTCGATAGAATGTGCAGAGCGGAATGGTAAGGCTGAGATTGTTTTGTGATCTTGCAGTGGCTCTTTGGCAAGAAAGAAAAAAGTAATGGAGCAGGACCTTTTTCCGCATGGAACATAACAGGAACATATAGAGGTTTTGTGGCATTGCATTGTTGATTATCTTTCTGCTTCAATATCATAATCCTACGCTTAGGGATGATCTTGAAGATCATTTCCGTGATGTATGTTACAGGCACATGGAAGTTTCTAGATACTGTAAATAGCTCTTCAAAGTTCCCAGATTTTAGAAAAGAAAGTGGTAACTCTGTCATTGAGTTAGTGACAAGTCCAACAAAAATAACTGGTGTGCATTATGTTCAGGTGAATAGCTGCTCTTGATAGTCTGCATCATGGAATCGTGCTTTTTGATCTTAATAAAAACTTTGCAAAATCAGAACTTGTGTTAACTTTGAATGGGAACAGGGTGCAGTTGTTTTCCATGACGTATTTGACAATGAACACAATGTTGGTGGCGCCCAAATTAAAGTTGAAGGTGTATATATTTGGCCCTTTAGACAGCTCCGTCTTGTTGCTAACAGGTATAACTACATTTTTATTTATTTAATTGCTTTTCAAGATCCAGTATTGGTAGAGTTCTTTAAGGTCTGTACGTTTAATGATTTATCAGCGGAAAGAAGGGCGATTCAGGACTAGAAGACGATTATCTTCTCTCCAACCCATATCATCTGGTAATGCCTGCTGTGATCCACTTTGCCACAAGATGATGAATCACTTTTCTGATTCTTTGTTATCTTTATTTGGTGCGTTAAAATGTATGGAGAGCTTATTAGTGTCAACTTTTCTGCTGTCGGACAGCTCGGTATTTTTTCCTCCCAAGTATTTCAAGAATCTCCAAGAGACAGAATATTGAAACAGAAAACTTGTGAGTAGGATCTGGATTTGTATCTATATGTTTTACTCTTCTGCTACATCTGACCTTCATTTGTGTTGTATTCCAGCTCCAATATATGAGATGGAGAAGCACTGCAATATCGAAATAGCAGCCCAAATATCCCAAAGCGCTTCTAGTGAAAACAGTATGTATGCCTTCTAACATTTGGCGTTGAATGATGATGCTGGCTCAGTTCTTGCCTTCTTAGCTAATTTTAGTCTGACTTTGAGAGAGTCTTACTTATTTTGGTAGATGGGGACAAAGATCGTTATCATATTGAAGGATTGATGGAAAGTCCTGCAGTAGATGATGACGGAGATTGTTTTTCGCCATTGTCGCTGAATGCGACCTCCATAAACGTTGAAGTCTACTATAACAAAGCTGTGAACTATACATTGATGGTCACTTTTGTATCCTTTGTTCCAATCTATTTTCCATTCCATCACAAAATGACAAACACATGACAGTTTTAGTGGATTCCTTAACTTGTTATTGTACTCAGGTCTCTTTCCTCCAGGTTCTTTTGTTGATCCGGCAAATGGAGCACAGTAACACACAATCTGTAAGATTCTCATTTTTTGTTTGTCTGATCTTTCTAAAAGAAGATACTTGATGCTTAACTCTTCTTGTATACAAGGGTGCTGCGAAGGTCTCTATAGTAATGATCGGGCAACAAGCCATCATGGATTCTTATTTATGCCTTTTACATCTCACAGCTGGGATTTTAGTTGGTATGTATTTTAAATATAATTTCACACTTCTTCACAATGTGTTCCCTCTTCGTTTTGATAATAATCTTCGTAGCTTTTCATAGTCTGTGTAAGTACATGTCTCAATGATTGTAATGGAAAAACTGTCTATTTCTTGACCATTTCATGCTTTTCTGAATCATTCTATTTTATTCTTATGCAGAATCCCTTTTTAACGCTTTTGCAACAGCTGCGTTCTTCAAATTTGTAGTGTTTTCGATATTTGAGATGAGATATCTTCTGTCCATATGGAAAGCAACCCGGCCTTCAACCAGCGGTGAGGGCTGGGAAACAATGAGGCGTGAGCTCTCCTTTCTGTACAGCCGTTTCTGTGAGTATTTGATTTCTATTGTGTTTGTTCATCATCAAGCAAATGCTTAAATTTCTCACAGATGTTTGATGTTTCTCTCATTTTAATGATTTTCAACAGATGGAATCCTTCTTGGAGGCATATTGTTGATGTACGAGTTCCACAACTACATGCGGCCGATCCTCCTACTCATGTACTCATTTTGGATTCCCCAGATAGTTGCAAACGTTGTTCGTGATTCTCGAAAGCCTCTGCATCCTTATTATATCCTGGGGATGACTGTTACACGACTTGCTATACCATTGTATGTTTTTGGTTGCCCGAAGAACTTCATGCGTGTAGAGCCCAGCAAGGCCTGGTGTGTAAGCCTGTGCGCATTCATGGGGTTTCAAGCTGCTGTTCTTCTTCTTCAGCATTATTTCGGGTCTCGTTGCTTTGTCCCTCGGAAGGTTTGTTGGTTCTGATGCCTTTGTAGATTGATAGTAAATTGCTTAGTTGTCATTATCAAGAGCTCATGTGTTTACTTCCGATGCGGCAGATGCTCCCTGAGAAATACAGCTACTACAGAAGATTGGATCATAATGTAAACCGAAGCAGGGACTGCGTAATCTGCATGACCACGATTGATCTCAGACACCGTATTAATGATTGCATGGTAACGCCGTGTGAGCATATATTCCACTCGGGTTGCTTACAGAGATGGATGGATATAAAGATGGAGTGCCCAACATGTCGTCGCCCACTTCCCCCAGCTTAAGCTTTGGTTCCCTCGGAATCGTCTATTAACTGCACCCACATTTAATTGTAGGTAACAGCTGCTCGAGTCATGCTCTAGGTTCTGCCGATTAAACTGAAACATATTTGGGTGCTTCTTTGGTTTCAGGTCTTGGAAAGATATTAGATGAAAACAGAGCATAGATAGAATATGGTGGAGTAGACATTAGTATGAATTGTGTAATAAGTCAATCTCTTTAGTGCATATTCATTGGTCATTCTTTCAATAAAATCCTCCAACATATAAACAATCATTTACATATTCACTAAAATTACTTTTGGGTCAAACCTTTAGCAACACCAAACCTAAACACATTTTTGTTGATATGAGAGTGCTCTCTTATACCTGACAACTTCACCTGATGTCATAATTATGCTTCAGTAACCCGCAAGAAACTCGCAACAAAGCCATCTTGTAACAACAAGCTATAAGAAACACATTTCTCGATAAGCAACACTTAATATACTCCTTAACAAAACACCCTAGATGTGTTAGATACATACATTCAATAATAAACTATCGTAGACCACAAATTTGCTCGTTACTTGAGAGGCAATCAAAGTCTCCTAAGTGTTTCTTTCTTTTTTCTCTCACAAACACTATACAGAGACTCTTTAATTACTGAGTGAAGATAATTACGAAGAGCATAAAGAGATGCGTTGTTTGGCGAGTAACTCGTTAAGCTTCTTCATGAGCTTAGGATCGGAGCATATATACTCTTCCATTGACTTTCTCAGATTCCTTAGTGTCTCTGTGTCATCTTCACACGTCTCTCTGTTGAGCAGCTTCGTGAATAGTTCCTTCCACAGATTCACGTTCCAGTATCTGAGCAAACAACTTAGCGATTCAATATCCAAACAATAATGTTTTTTTTTTGTTTGAGATACAAAATAAGCTAATGAAGTTCATCTATTCTTGAGACCTTTTAAATGAAGTTCTCGGCATATTAATGTAGCCACCGTCCAGAGATTGTTTCTTCTCGATCTCCATGTAGGAGTTGTGCAGCATCATGTGGACGATTACACATAGTCCATAAGTGTCCACCTATATATAACACATGTTCCAATGGCCTCAAATGGTTAAAGTCTATTCGTTCTTGCTGAAACAGTGTGATTTAAAAGACTTGCCTGAAACTTCCAAGGTTTCTTCTCTTTCATCTCCATGCAACGGAAGCCTGAAGTACGACAGTCTCCTGTAAACTCGGCGGTTCTAGGAAACAGGCTCAAGTCTATTCCTCTACCCCAGTCAACAAGACAGAGACCCTGAGGTAGAAATGAAATATTGCATCAAATTGTGGACACACACGAATCAGAAGTAGCAGTTGTATAAGGGAATTACCTGATTGCTCCAAGAACCTGTTTTATCATGAAAGCCTGTCTCAGTTAGGTTTTCTCTGCAAGTAATTCGTGAGGTATCTCAGTCTCTGTCACGATCGTTAACATACAAGTACATGGCTTCATGATCAAAAAGTCTTTATCTACAATCTAATCAGCAATATTGGAGCGGAATAAACTTACGGAGGGTATCGGATCAGCAGATTGTCTGGCTTGAAATCACCATGAATGATTCCAACACTGTGCAAAGTTTCCAGCATGTACAGCATTTCTATTGTGTAATACATGCACAAAACTTCTTCCATGGACTTTCCAACAACGACATATGAGTTTATGACGTCCTTAAATCACAAAAAGAAGGCAAATTAAACAAAGAACTATGTTTGCATTTTATTTATTCAGCCCGTGAGAGTCCAAAGATACCACCTACCTGGAGTGTCCCATGTGATAGATAATCGCAGACAAGTATACTGTAGTCTGAATACACGTGCACTCTCTGAGCCAATCCAAAACTTGATCTCTAACATAGTATGAGAGTAATTAGTACGGTGTGAAACACCTGTGACCTCGTAATAATGATGGAAAAGGGCATACTTGGCTCTCTGGGATCCTGCAATCAAGTTGGCGATACATGTGGAATTCCCAAGGAAAAGGTGGCTTTTGTACCTGTGAATAGAATAGTATATGCAATATGATATGTGAGCAACTTCTGACAATTGTGCCATTTTGCATCATACTGTATTTGAAAAAACGTTAAGGGTCTATCTACCTTTAGAGCAACTACTTCATCGGGATTGCTGTCAATGTATGCTTTGAACACTTGAGCAAAACCACCTTGGCCAGCACAGCCCTTCATCTGGTACTTTCTTCCACCTAGCAAATAGACAATGAATCCAGGTCATTTTTTTTTTTTGGTCTCAGAGAAGACATATTGTCCCAGGAGAGAACAAAGCGGCAATCAATTTCTTTTACACATATGAATACATGCTCAGCCACTTCTAATTTGAACAGTTCATCTTAAAATCAAAAGAAACATTCTTTATCCTGTAGAGGTGACAGACTAGATTGGTATGAAAAAAGTATACCTATGTCAATGATCTTATTTCTGGAATAATTCTGCAAAGATGACAGGTTGGCTTTTCCGGGGAAAACTTTGTTGCTTGCATGGTACCCCTGATGCAAACATAAAGAAAGAAACTCAGTGGATAAGCCTCCCTATATAAGCTAAATCATGTAAAATATCATGATTTTCCATCTGCCTTACATCATATTTCACAAGCTGGGGTTTTATCTTGTGAATTAAGCCGTTCACAGTAGAGGTTTCCCATGGATTCACAAAACCCGTCTCCAAGTCAGTGGCCTGAGCATCATCACCAACCTACCAGAAAGAAAATTCCGTTCAATCCTCAACTAAAGCTATCAAAGTGCATTAGAATAACCAAATGCTACGCATTAAAGATAACTATATTAGAAAATCAACCTCTTCAAGGGAAGAAGTTTTGGTCCTCTTAGAGATTCTTTGTAAGAACAACGAGTGAGCCTCTTTTAACCTGTCAAATGGTTCAGCTTTCCTACATTTCTCCAAGATAGCAGAATGAGCAACAAATCAGAAATGAAATCACAAACTAGAAGAAAAAAATTATTAATGAGCCACACAACCAGGAGAAAGATAAGAGACCTTGAAAGACCAGTCTGATAAACCGAATTTGCTCTTCGCCATAATCCTTTGACCTCAAGAAAAATAGCATACCATTCATAGAGCAACGAATGCCCTATACATATCTCATTCTCTTCAACTTCTCTATACACCCTCTCAAAATCTTCCTTGCCGTCAAGCTAAAACCACCAAAATTGAAGAACAAATTCAACAATCTAACCAAGTGCGATTTTAAAAAAACCCCAAATTGTAACATCTACATCAATTGTTTCGGGATATAACAATCTAAAACCCTAAGTATACAAATCAACCAAACAATTCGAGGAAACGGAAGCAAAATTTAAGCTCATTACATAGAGAAACCAGATCTTGAGGAATCTGATGTCATTTCGGTACCGAGCATCTTCCTTATAAGTTGAGATACAATCATAGAGAAGCTTATCAAGATCTTCGCCGGAAGTTTTACCAGAGTGTAGATCCTCCATCGAATTTTTAATCTTCCTGTGAAAACCCCCAAATCGATAATCAGAAACCCTTTTGACAAATATTGCACAATTAATTAGATGAGCAGAGAGGAAAAGGCATGAGTTACATAAGCCACGGGAAGAGCGGGTCTCCGGCGGATTCCGATTCACCGGCGTTGTCTCTGTAACCGATTACCATTTTCGCAGCCGTAGGAAGAGAGAGAGAGAGAGAGAGAGAGAGAGTGGGAAGTGAAGCTTTTCAAAATTCAAAAATTGTTGGACCGCAACAAATGTTCTATATTATAGCCCAAAAGTGTAAATGGGCCTATTTGTTGTATATTATGTGGCCCATGTTTCCAATTAGACAAATGATAAATCCCGACCCACGCGCTTCATGTCCTCTTAATTTTTCATTTATGCAAAAATCACCAAATCGGAGGGTTATAGTCCACGGATTTTAGTCTCACGCGCTCAACGCGCCTTTGTTGCGTGTGGTTTTGTCTTTTACACGCGTTTTTTTTTTTGTCGACGTTATTTTTTTCGAGTTTATTTGAAAAAAATATGGAAAATTGGATTCTATAGCCAACAAAAAATTAATAATTAAGAAACTAACGCTTCAAAAAAGAAATTGATATTGTGTATATTTTATGTAATAAAGACAACTCTAGCCTCTGTTTGAAGTCTACGCGCCTCTCATTTCTCAACTTTGTTTGAAGTCCACGTCACCCTATTTTTCAACTTTGTCAGCCATCTTCACACGCCTCTCATTTCCATCCTGACGAGAGAAGGAGTTTCTAGTCTTTTCAGGTACCTCAGATGCTACGGACTTCATTTCCAACTTTGTGGTGCTATATATTTAATTCTACCTGCCAAAAGCGTCACTTTTGCAAATCACCCAAAAAATATTTAGATAAAATTAAGGTCTCCTTTGTTTAGTACACATGTCATGACACTATGACAGAGTAACTAGAAAAACTGATGAAATAATAATCTGTTATTTTCAGTCGTAATAAAATTTGTTTTTCCGATCAATAATGTTATGAATGAGATGATGATGATGTGTACGAAATAACATTTTTTGTATGTTAAAAATAATGTTTTATTTTGTCGGCAATGTGAGAGAATATAGAGAGAATTTATTTACGGATATCTTTTGCCTTAAGAAAATAAAATAAAAAAGTATAAAAGAAGAAAAGTCGTCGGCGGAGGAAGTCAGTAGCCAATAATGATAGAGTCACCGGCTGGCTGTTCACATGTGATTACCTCACCGTCATTTATTACATAAACTCATCTCTCTTTCTCTCTCTGTCTTTTTTGAATCATTCACATTTCAGACACAAACACAGAGAAACAAATTCTTGTAACAATGACAGGCAGAGAGATTCTCCATAAGATGAAGGTACCCTTCAGCTCAACACTAGTCTTTTCTTCTTATAATAGCGTTTCAAGGGCTCTAAGGATCTTGATTTTGTGATCTGATCCTTGTATGTCTTGTTCTGTTTCTCAATCTATGTTTGCTTCCGTTTAAAGGAACTAAGCATTTCCCATGTTAAACGAGGATATTGATTCTTTTAGAACTTGTGTTAATCTTTGGAATTTGTTTTAATAATTTGCGCATTTTCTATATGCTCTTTTGATTATAGAAGTATAGATAATGGTTCTTGATGAATGAGAAATTACATGGATCTCTTTAATTTCTTGTTGTTTTGGTGTGAATATTTGAAGGTTGGATTATGCGGATCTGACACAGGCAGAGGTAAAAGCAAGATGTGGAAGAACATCGCACACGGTTATGACTTTGTGAAAGGCAAAGCGTGTCATCCAATGGAGGACTATGTTGTGTCTGAGTTCAAGAAAGTAGACGGCCATGATTTGGGTTTGTTTGCTATCTTTGACGGTCATTTAGGGCATGATGTGGCCAAGTACTTGCAGACCAATCTCTTTGATAACATACTCAAAGAGGTAACTCTTTTATTTTTTTGTCAATTTCTAGTAGTGTCCCCTTTTATGTCTTAAAATGTTTTTGTTTTTTCACTTTCTTAGAAAGATTTTTGGACTGATACGGAAAACGCTATAAGGAATGCATATATATCAACCGATGCTGTGATATTAGCGCAGTCACTTAAACTTGGCAAAGGCGGATCAACAGCTGTAACAGGCATTCTGATAGATGGGAAAAAGCTAGTGGTTGCTAATGTTGGAGATTCACGGGCAGTGATGTCAAAGAATGGTGTTGCTTATCAACTCTCTGTTGATCATGAACCAAGCAAGGAGCAAAAAGAAATAGAAAGCCGTGGTGGCTTTGTATCAAATATTCCAGGTAAGTTTTGTAGATGGATATATATATACTTACTTGCTCACATATAAAAGATGAGAAGAGGAATTGATGACAGACGATTCTTGAATGTTGCAGGGGATGTTCCAAGAGTTGATGGACAACTAGCAGTTGCGAGGGCATTTGGAGATAAGAGTTTAAAGATACATCTGAGCTCAGAACCAGACATAACACACCAGACTATTGATGATGAGACTGAGTTCATTGTTTTTGCAAGTGATGGAATTTGGAAGGTATTTGATCTCTTTCCATCTTATTATCAAAGTGATGGAATCTAAATTTGAGTATTGTATTAATAACAGGTGTTGTCGAACCAAGAAGCGGTGGATGTGATCAAAAGCATAAAAGATCCACAAGCGGCAGCAAAGGAGTTGATAGAAGAAGCAGTCTCTAAGAAAAGCACAGACGACATCTCTTGTATAGTTGTAAGGTTCCAGTGATAAACTTTTGTTGTCTATAAATTTTACCAGTCAAGTGTGTGAGAGAGAGAAACAAAAGACGCCCAAGCTGTGTGATCAAAGTCATGCCTTGTTAAAAAAACTCCATTGACAATAAAATTCTGTCCAAAATGTAAAATCCATGGTTCTTGATCCAATGCTCTAATTTGGTGCAGTCATCTTTTGATAATTTGGCTTGTATTTATAAAGAAGGGATAATAAAGGGTGAAAAACAAGCCAATTGAAAAAATAAAGAAGAAAAAACTTTACAATTACAAAACACTGAGACATGTCAATCTTTAACATTGTAATTGATTTAACACAATACTTACTAAATCTTCTGCAGATAATCTGATTAGTTGGTATTAACAAGAGCGTTAGTTATATATCGACGAAAGGAAGTCAGATGTTGGGGTTAATACTACATAGCATTGGGGCTTAAAGACTTAGGGTCTATTTATCATAAAACTTAAGTAAGGGGGTGGAAAAGAAAAAAGAAACTTGTGAGTCAAGTAAAAAAAAAAACAAAACCCTCCGTGCAACTCAAATATCAGAATTGTGTTTGGTTCCGATTAGAAAGAGTTTTGGAGTGGGATCAGAAAGAGAAAGATGTACGATTTAATGTTGGATGAGGCCAAGAAGTGGCTCGACGAACCTTTGCAGCCTAAACCAAGGCTCGAACCCCCTGTATGATGAAGATTCAGACGATGATGAGGTGGATCCGGTGGCAGCAGAGAAGTATCGTCGACAAGTCATCGAATTTGGTGTAATTCTCATAAAACCTACCTGATTTGAGAATCTATTAGCGATTCCTCTGATTACATACGCCTCTACATTTTGTAGGTTGATTGTGAACAAACCCTAGGTCTTATCGGATTTGGCAATTAGGGACTTGATGTGTATTTATTTACGAAGAGGTAAAACCTAAAAGTACAAAAAAAAATAGAAAGAGGAAAAAAGTAAAGTTGCGATTACAAAAAGCCCTAACTAGCTAGCGTCTCTGTTTTCCATTCATTCTCTCGAAAGTTAGAGAAAGAGTTTGCATTTTTTTTGGGTGCGAAATCAGAAAGAAGATGTTCGAAACTCCGATCTGTTCTCCACCTTCACCCATAGACAAAGAATCCTCCGACGATCTCTCTATGGTAAGTCTCATACCTGATACCGCGGTTTCGTGGGTTGTAGGATTTCATAACCCTAACTTGTAAAAAAATATTGCTACTTTGTAAAAGATTGATTGATTGTCTCTCAAGTCTCCTTGTGATCTGAGTTTTTTTGTAGGGATATTGTGGTGTAAAAGCCTATGGAGTTAATGAAGCTGACGAACTCATTGCAAAGTTGGCACTCCATTGCTACAATTCTCAAAAGGTAACTTTATCTATATTGCTCGATCTTATTCTAGCCAGCCCTCACCTTTACTTCTTCTTCTTCTGATTTTAACTGTTACATCTCCACGGTTATCATTGTAGGGAACAAATTTACAGTTGATGACTGTAACCCAACTCATGGTGCGATCGGTTGCACATTTCGATTATCAGATGACATTGGATGCCATTGATCCAGCCAACAATTCATTTTCCAGTGTTGAAATCTGTGCTTGGGATGCTTCCATAGAGAATGATGAGAACTTGAGATTAGTCACCACTTTTTGCAGCCTTGAAGGTAACTTACATACATGGTTTAAAGATTTTGTCATGATTAAAAAGGATTCTCATGTTTATCTAGTCTATGAGTGAAGGATTAAGGCATACATATTTTATGCTAGTTTCTATTCATCCACCAATTATTAATCTTCTAGAAATGTTGTTGTAGGATCCGGAGAAGCAGGAACCCAATGGGATTTCGATGGTGTAGACATGTTCTATAATGGTGTGATGCCTAAGTGGCTAGATGATGGTAAGGCAAACGTGGGATGGAAGACCACAACATATGTGCCTTGAAGTTAAAAATGTTGAGATATAAGGACAAGTAGACAAATTTTGAGACACAACATCTCAAACTAATCGGTTCGGTTTTAACTTGCCAAACTATTCTAATCAGGCCAGGCCCAAAAACTCCTTTACAAAGCCTACCAAATTGGAGTAATTTTTGTGGCACGTGATTTTTATTTGTGTTAGGTCTCACCAAGATTATTGATCACGTTTCATAATTCAAAACTTTGCATTATATTCCAATCGTAATTGAAATTTTAATTGTTATAGAAAAAAGAACTCAAAGCAACGAACCAAAACCACAAAGAGAGAAGATGAGCGAAGAACAACCACACGCCAATCTGGCGGTTCCGGCGTTTAAAACTGACAAAGATCCCATAACGCAAACGCAAAATGGTCAAAGTAGCGTTTGGCGTTTCGGTGGAAGCGATAAGGCAGCGAAAGCATCCACCGTAACGCTGAGAGGTGTCATCTACATGCTCTTCGACAACTGCAGCAAAGACGTCAATAAGACTATTTTACCCCTCGGCCACGGTGACCCTTCCGTCTACCCTTGCTTCCGTACCTGTATCGAAGCTGAAGACGCCGTCGTCGACGTCCTCCGCTCCGGCAAAGGCAATTCTTACGGTCCCGGAGCTGGGATTCTACCTGCAAGACGGTAACTTTATCACTCAATTCTCGATCTTTTACTTCAATCGAACGATTCTCGATCTGGGTTCTTCGAATTTGATCGTAATCGGAGTCGTTTTTGTGTCAACGGCGATTCAATTTTGACAAGATTTCAACTTTAGTCACACTCGAGTATAAATATCAAAATTGTCTTTTAGACCCTATAGTTTAGTATTCTTATAAATTGACCCCATAACTTTTGAATGTTTCTGATCGATCAACAGAGCCGTTGCCGATTATATGAACCGAGATCTTCCACACAAGTTAACGCCGGAAGATATCTTCCTGACCGCTGGATGCAACCAAGGGATAGAGATCGTGTTTGAATCGTTGGCTCGACCAAACGCAAACATCTTGCTCCCACGTCCTGGCTTCCCTCATTACGACGCTCGTGCTGCTTATAGTGGTCTCGAGGTTCGCAAGTTTGATCTTCTTCCTGAAAAAGAATGGGAGATTGATATCGAAGGTATCGAAGCCATTGCAGACGAGAACACTGTGGCTATGGTTGTAATTAACCCCAACAATCCCTGTGGAAATGTCTACTCTCACGACCATCTCAAAAAGGTTTGTGTTTTTGTATCATTACACTAAAATGCTCATCTTTCTGATTCATAACTTAGCTAAAGCTTGAAACTTTTAGCCATTTTTGATTCGTAGCTCGCTAAAGCTTGAAACTTTGAGTCATTTTTGATTCGTAGCTCGCTAAAGCTTGCGTTTTTGGTTCATTTATGATGAACATTTTAGGTTGCAGAGACGGCTCGTAAGCTGGGGATAATGGTGATCTCAGACGAAGTATATAACCAAACTATATTCGGAGAAAATCCATTTGTTCCAATGGGAAAGTTTGCATCGATTGTTCCTGTGTTGACACTAGCAGGTATATCTAAGGGATGGGTTGTTCCTGGATGGAAAATTGGCTGGATCGCCTTGAATGATCCCGAGGGCATATTCGAGACCACCAAGGTTTGCTTACGGCTATTTGTATTTTTAGTCCCCTATTGCTGTTTTGTAATCTCACTGTATACTTGCTCTTTGTTTCTGATAGGTGGTACAATCCATCAAACAGAATCTTGACGTGACTCCTGACCCTGCCACAATAATTCAGGTTTGTGTGTTTTAGAATCTTTACAAAACTAGTCCATGGATTCATGACACTAGTGTCTGTTCCTTTGATAGGCTGCACTTCCCGCGATCCTGGAGAAAGCGGATAAAAACTTCTTTGCAAAGAAGAACAAGATACTCAAACATAATGTTGATTTGGTGTGTGATAGGCTCAAGGACATCCCTTGTGTCGTTTGTCCCAAGAAACCTGAGTCTTGCACTTACTTATTGGTAAAACTTCTTTAACTCCACACATCCATAAATGTAGTTAAGATCGGTTTTCGTTAGACTGGTGATTCTTGATCAATTTCAGACCATTACTAGTCTTTCAATCTGATGAATAGTTTTCACTTAATGCAGACAAAGCTTGAGCTGTCATTGATGGATAACATCAAGGACGATATAGATTTCTGCGTAAAGCTGGCCAGAGAGGAGAATCTCGTGTTTCTACCAGGTAAAGTAAATGAAACTAAACAGCATGAATCTTGATTTGAGTTTTGATACTGAAATGGGGATTGTGGGGAATGTTTTGCAGGTGATGCTCTGGGTTTGAAGAACTGGATGAGGATAACCATTGGAGTCGAAGCTCATATGCTTGAGGATGCACTTGAGAGATTGAAGGGTTTCTGTACACGTCATGCCAAGAAAACAGAGACAGAAACTGAGGCACTTCAAGCTTTGAAACTGAGTGATAATAATCTCGAAATGTAAAACAGAAGAGGATGTGTATGCCCAAAAGAATATTCTTATGATGATAATTTTGATTCTAGCTTTTCGATTTTTGATTTCCCTAAGTATTTGATTATCTACACTAATAAAAACTATGGTTAATTTGTCAAATAGCAATATTGGGAACATACATTAAGGATCTAGCATCCATGAAAAAGAATTTCTTTGTTTTTTGGGATCTATCCTTACCATATTCTAACATTTATGCTTATTCGTTTGTTTGTTTTTTTCTTGCAAGCAAATTCAGATAATAAATTTGGTATTTGGATACAAACTCATTCTCATAAGATTTTTAGCAGTTTTTGTATGCTGCTAATGATGAATTTGGATGGAGAAATTGCATCCAAACTCTTTTAGAAATCAAAACATTTTGTTAAAATTATTTTGTATAAGATATATCACATGTGACATGTCATTTTATTTTTTAAAATTACTAAATCATGATTTTGTGACTTCAAAAAATCACGATTTAACGATACAAAAAAAAAAAACATTTCAGAATTATTATTTGGTGCCAAAATTCTTGAAATGGTTTTTTTTGTTTATATCAAAACTACAAAATATTTAGTAAAATTTTAGTGTTGGCATTTTGAATTTGTGATTTGATGGAATATTTGATGATCTTGATCTCTTATTTTGTGAAAGTACAATTTCTTTAAAAAGAATATAATTGATCATAGGAAAATTATTGACAAACAAGTTTTGCGTCATTTTGAGATGGATCTGAAATTCATCTATTTTACAAGCTAAAACAGCTTAATATCTATACATCCATATGCAAAAACTAACTTCATAAACGAACAACAAGAATAATTAGCAATCTAAAACAAAAATGAACAAGTAATATGCATGGTTACAATATATCTCGAACTTTTGTAAATCGCATACATTCATATTTATAACATTCACTATAATTGTAGCGTGTAAGAAATAATATAAGGTAGGATAAAAGTTTGTTGGCCAATAATTTCCAATAAAATCATTTTTAAGTCGTTAAAACCAATTATTCTTTAGTGGTATACTAGGTTTGTATTATAATATTATAAATTCTCTTATTTCTTGTATGTAACTTTGAAGATTTTTTTGGTTAATCTTTGGGACTTAAACAGCCTGTAAAAATAGAAGAATTTTCTATTTTGTCATTTTATCATTAATCATTATTTTATTAGATTATTAACATAAACATAAAAGTTAAAAAATGGTAGACATGATCAATAATCTACGACGAAATGTATATCTATCATTTTCTCCTTCCGCGAACTTCCACAAATTCCATCCCATGTAAGGTTCTTCTATCCATGCATATATCTAAAATTAAACAATTCGTAAGTTAAGTTGTATATTTGTAAAAACAATTAAAAAGTAGTAAATAAATATTTATAGAAGGGGGTAGAGAAATTAAATAGTACCGTGATGAACTATGGCTAGGGTTTGGGCCACCGCATTTGATTTTGCAACTTCTAAAGCAACTACCTTTGTTTATTTTACAAGACTTTGAACACTTGCTATAACATTGAATATAAGCTTTTTCACTCAATTTTGCTTCTACTGCCACCACAACAATCACCAACATCATTATCATTAATATTGCACTCCATTTTGCCATCTTCGATCGTCTTAGAATCCTACAAAAGCAAACTTTGTTTTTTTTAAAAAAAATCTTATGACTCAATTATATTATGTTTCAAGAAATCAACCTCTATTTATAATACATTTTGCTTAACTTTAGAGTAGATTTTTTACTTTCTGTTTGCTTTGGTTTTAATTGGTTTAATTAATCTATTAATTTCTTTCAAATTTATGTTCAAAATTTTATATTTTTTTGCAGTATTAAATTTTATAAATATGAATAGATGTATATTAAGTGAATGTGGATCCGTCCATTGGAGAGTAAATCTCATGCCAATAAGAAAGAGACACCAAACTTTAGAGGACATTAATTGATAGATTTCCTATGATGGGATTTATTCATTGGTTAAAGACATTAATAGATTTTACAAGAATATATTAATCTTCATTTAACAAAAATGTTGTGAAATGAAAACACTTTGTCTGACCCTTTTCACTTTTCTTTTCCTTTTCCTTTATAAAGATAGATCTGATAGTAATTAATTACATTTATCACTTCATTTATTCTATTTAATCATTTTATGTTTTTAATTATATAAAACATTTCAATACAATGTAATAGTATTCAATTTAAAGAAATTGTTTAACTTATTTTATAATAACAGATTTTATTTATTGGTAAAACATATTAATAGACTTAAGTGAGAACTTTACTCACTTAATCATAAATATTTATGAGGAAAGTTTTGTTCAATATTTTTTTTCTCCACTTCTCTTTCCAGTATAAGATTTGATAGTATAATTTATTGCATTTTTCATTTTTATTTTGATAATATAATTATTTTGACACTTTTACAATTGTTTAATTTAATTATTTGTAAAATTACTAAATTTTGTGATGTGATCTCTATTTGCTGCAAAGACAATTGGTCAAGTCACTACAAAAAAATGATATTTTTGCCAATTGCAAGCAACATATATCATGAGGTTTGGTAAGACCATTCAACACTACTCTTCATTTTTTCCCCACAAACTTATTGTCCAAATGCCAATTTTGTTTCTTAGATGTCGTACTATAAACTCAAAGCTAATGGAAATTTTCGCATATTCATAGACTCCTTTCATCTCTCCAGAAACACTCTTTCCATCGTTCTTTAAATCTATCAAAAATTTAAGCAACACAACCTCATCTTCCTCACTTTACACTCTCTGAAACATCACCTTCTTTTCTATGCAGCCTCAGGCAACATCTACTTGTATTTTGTAACAATATCAGGAACATAAATTAAGGATCTAGCATCCATGAAAAATAATTTTTTTGCTTTTTGAGGTCTACCCTTACCATGTTCTAATATTTATGCTATTCGTTTGTGCATATGAGTAAGTTCACATGTTTGTTTATTTTTGCAAGTAAGTTCAGATGTTAAATTTGGTATTTGGATACAAACTCATTTTCATAAGATTTTTAGAATTTTTTAAATGCTGCCAATGATGAATTTGGATGGCAAGCTCCTCCAGTTCAATTATTTTTCTTGACTTGACTTTGTATAAAAATTGCATACAATCTCTTTTAGAAATCAAAACATTTTGTTAAAATTATTTTCTATATCACATCCCATCTTCTTTTCTAGAATTGCTAAATCATGATTTTGCCACTAAACAAAAACTCACGATTTAACGATACAATAAAAGATTTGAGAATTATTATTTGGCGCCAATATTCTTGAAAATGACTTTTTTTTTAATCTCAAAACTACAAAATATTTAGCAAAATTTTAGTGTTGCCATTACGATTTAATTTGATGTCAAAATTTGATGATATTGACGTGATATATCCTGTGAAACTACAATTTCTTTAAAAGGAATAATTGATCATAGGAAAATTATTGACAAACAAGTTTTGCGTCATTTTGAAATGGATCTGAAATTCATCTAGTTTACAAGCTAAAAACAACTTAATATACATCCATATGCAAAAACTGGCTTTATAAACGAACAACAAGAATAATTAGCATTCTCATACAAAAATGAACAAGTATATGCATGTTGACTGTATATCCCAAATTTTTGTAGAACTCATACGTTCATATAATTCACTATACTTTTCATGTGTAAAAAAATATTATAAGGTAGGCTAAAAGTATGTTGACCAATAATTTCCAATAAAATCATTCTTAAGTCGTTAAAACCAATTATTCTAGTGTTACTAGTTTAAATTTTGTATTAATCTCTTATTTCTTATATGTAACTTTCAAGATTTTTTTTATTAATCTTTGGGACTTAAACAGCCTGTAAAAATAGAGAATTTTTCTATTTTGTCATTTTATCATTAATTATTATTTATTAGATTTTTAACATAAACATAAAACTTAAAAAATGGTAGACATGATAAACAAATCTACGACGAAAATGTATATCTATCATTTTCTCCTTCCGCGAACTTCCACTGATTCCATCCCATGTGAGATTCTTCTATCCATGCTATCATAAAATTATAATTAACAATACGTAAATTAAGTTATATATTTGTAAAAAAATAAAAAATAAATTAGTTAATAAATATTTATAGAAAGAGGTAGGGAAATTATATAGTACCGTGATGAACTATGGGGAGGGTTTGGGCATACCACTCTGCAAAATTCAAAGCAATCACCGTCGTGTTTCCTACAAGACTTTATACACTTGTCATAACATTGAGGATCACTAAAATCTTTTTCACTCCATTTTGCTTCTACTGCCACCACAACAATCACCACCATCAGTATCACTAATATTGCACTCCATTTTGCCATCTTTGATCGTCTTAGAATCCTACAAAAGCAAACTTTGTTTTTTATTATTATTATCTTATGACTTTTATATTATGTTTCATGAAATCAACTTCTATTTATAATACATTTAGCGTAGATTTGTTTGCATTGGTTTTGATTGATTCAATTAATCTATTAATTTCCTTCAGATTTATGTTCAAAATTTTATATGTTTTTGCAGTATTAAATTCTATAAATAGGTAGAAACTATTTCTAATAACAAAATAACTTCTTTATTTAAATATATGTTACTATGTTAAAGAGAATTTGAATTCACTATTACTGGTTATATTTTCAAATATAGCAATGAATCATGAAATGATGTAGCATATCATAAAACAAATCACGATTATTTTAAGAATAAAATATTTCCCTACTCATTGTTTTCTGTCAAGTTATAAAAATACATAACATTAAACATGTCATCTGCTAACAAATCATATTCAAAGTTAACAAATCATCTCATAAGATCAACCCAAACACAAATTCGGTAACAAATCAACTCAAGTTAAAAAAAAAAAATGAATGTATCGAATACTTAGTTAAATAGAGGTTGGTTTCATGAAAAAATAAAAAGCTCTCCAAGTTTGGTTTCAATCTAGAGCTTAATTAAGGACTTCCAGTTATTAAGTTTTAAACTTTTTTAATTCAATCACCAATTGCACTTGTTGTAAAAAAGTTTATTTTCTTTTTGAATATAATTTAACATTAAATTCAAAAAAAAAAAACTTAACTAGATCTAAAACTGTTGGTGTTTATTTTATATAAACATGTTTATTTACATAAACATTTGTATTTATGTAAATACCCTTCTACTTGTGCAATTTTCATCACGTCTCTTGGTTACGTTTATACCGATACACCGGTTGAGATAAGAGAAGCATCTCTTGGATCAAACATCGCTTCATTAATATATAAGAGAAGTGACGATGTAGAGATACACAGACAGAGAGACAAGAGAGAAGAACAATTCAAGAGAAACAAAGGAGAGAAAGATTGAGATTGATTCTCATCTTCTTCTTCTCCAAATCAATTTCAGAGAATCTCAAAGTAGAGTTTGCTAGGGTCTCTGTACGGTGTTAAAACAGAGATCGATAGTTGTATCCTAAAGATAGAAGCCTACACAAAGCTACGTACACCACAGTAGGGGCTAAATTCTGTCTTAGGAGATTGCCAATTGCAAGCCTCTATCAATCTATACGTTGTTCTTACTAGGGAGAGAAGAGATCGTAAAGTAAGTTTCAGTTCTGTAACAATTGTTTTTTCCTATTTGTTACTTATTCTATAAAGTGAACGTATTTGTTTATGTGTATTGATCTGCATCTATAATCTTCGATCAACAAAAACGAACAAAAGAAAATTGTTCAGGATTTCAAGTTATTTTCCATAGTTCAAGAGCAAGAAAAAACAAATGGTTGTTCTCCTAGTGGTAGCAAAGTATAACCGTTTTAGTGTCACCAAGATAAGCTAAAAAAGGAAGAGAAAGTTACGGTGTTTGAAGATCTTACAATAAGTTAAATATCACTAAAAATCGATAAGAAATGGAGGCCTTCGACATGAACAAAGAGCATATACATGAGATAGAAGCCATCGTTAACTTATGTGGAATCATCATAACATACAAAATTTTTACAAATTGATACAGTCATCTATATAGGACCTATGATGAGAGATCATGTTTAAAGTCCCAATTGGCTCTATTTTCGACCAATTGTCTTTGTAGCTAGCTATCACATAACAAAGTTTAGTAATTTACACATAATTAAGTTAAACAATTGAAATGTCAAAATAACTAAATTATCAAAATAAAATGACAATTGCAATTAATTATACTATCAAATCTATATAATGGAAAGGGAATTGAAGAAAGAAAATGTTGAACAAAACTTTCCCTCAAAAACATTTCTGATTAAATACATTAAATTTTTCATTTAAGTCTATTAATATATTTTACCAAAAAATAAAAATCTTTTATTATAAATTACTAAAAATAACTATTATATTATATTGAAATGTTTTATATAAATAAATATAAAATGGTTAAATAATAAAAATTAAGTGATAAATGTAATTAGTTACTAAGAAATCTTTTTTTTTATGGTTCACATGTTACTATTAAATTTATCTTATATAAAGGAAAAGAAAAGTAAAAAGAGACAAGGTAAAACAAAGCTTTCTTTCACAACATTTCTTAGTAAATGAAATTTAATATGTTCTTTTTAAATCTGTAGTGCCTTTAACCAACAAATAAAACCAGTGGACCCTCATTCACAACAATATACATCTACATTCAGTTATATAAATTTATTATAATGTAAACCATACCCAATTTTGAACAGAAATACTAAAGACTTTAAAAGATAAAACCAATTAAGACCAAATCAAACATAAATGCTGGTAAAAAATCTACGAAAAGTATTTTATCAAATAAAAAATCTACTACAATTAAACCAAATGTAATATAAATAGAGGTTGATTTCTTGAAAAAAAAAAATAGAACTGTCATCAGACAAAAAAAACAATAGATAATACAAAGTTTGCTTTTGTAGGATTCTTAAACGATCAAAAGATGGCAAAATGGAGTGCAATAGTAGTGATAATGATGATGGTGATTGTTGTGGTGGCAGTAGAAGCAAAAGCGACTCAAAAAGATTGGATTCGATGTTTTCGCATGTGTTCAAAGAATTGTGACGACCACGACGGTAATTGCTTTGAACGCTGCAAAATCAAATGCGGTGGCCCAAACCCTCCTCATGGCCCTTCTGGCCCTCCCCATAGTTTCTCAAGGTACTATTTTCTTTACTACTTTCTACAATTATATAACTTATACGTATTGTTCTAATTTTATGATATATGCATGGATAGAATCTCACATGGGGTTTGACGACAAAAAAAAAAAAAAAAGAATCTCAATGGGAAGGCATCTAGGGAAGTTCTCGGAGGGAGACAATGATAGATATAAATTTAATTTCCGTAGAAGATTTGTGATCGTGACTACCTTTTTCAAAGTTTTATGTTCATGTAGTTCAAATCTAATAAAAAAATTATCTATTATTTTTACAGTCTATATAAGTCCCAAAGATTTATAAAGCAAATTTACATAAAAGAAATAAGAGATCATTTCATTATATTATAATACAAAACTGGTAACACTAGAGAAATAATCAAGTTTTATAGGAAATGATTGGTCGACAAACTTTTAGCTTGCCTTGTGTTATTCTTTACACGTTAGAATTATAGTAAATGTTACGAATGTTATAAATATGAATGTATAAGATATGCTCTTTAACAAAAAAATGTATAAGATATGCATAAATCTGTGATATATTGTCAGTATGTATATATACTTGTTCATTTTTGTATCAGCAGGTGCAGGTTAATTCTTGTTGTTCGTTTATTAAGTTAGTTTTCACATATGAAACATACTAAGGGTAGTCTCAAAAATATATAAATTATGCCCGCATGTCCGTGGTCCAGTGGTGGGTGAAATCTGGGATTCTCTCTAGGGTTCGAACTTTTCTAAAAACAAAAATCACATTCATGTGGAAAGTCTGGGCTTGGACTTCGGACCATGTAGTTTACATGGTAGTCCGATAACCGGCGACTCGACTACCCCTATGTATTAGTCGGAAAACATGCTAAATTCGGTATAGATAATGTGATGGTTCTTCGGGAAGAAGTCTACTCTGTAGCACTTTGGTGTGTTCTTACCGGAGATGACTGGATTAGCCGATAAGATTTTCCAAAAAATAATTATTTTTCGTAAAATCTAGTTACTTTATGTTCCCGATATTTCCAAAGTTCTGCCGTTAGATGATTCTTGCATACGCCGTTAAGACAGACTGGAGCGACGTTTGCTACGACCGTCAAGATTCAAATGGAATCTTTAAAAAAAAAAATGGAAAAACAAAAATTCCTCCAACGGCTATATCTGATCAGACACTGTATCTTCTTCTTAGATGCAACCCTAATAATTCTCTGAGATTCTCAATTCAATTCTCTGAGATTTGCCCTTTTCATAACAATGGAGTCTACGCCTCCTTATCACCGATCCAACACTAAATCAGCTTCGCGTCTCAACAATTCTCTCCAAGATTCGAATCCTCCAAATCTCTCTCTTGATTTGGTTCTATCTTCTCCCAAGAGCAACGACACTCCAAACCCATCTTCTCCTGTTCCTCTTCGCGATATCCTCCTCTTATCTCCTTCTCCGCTTCGAAAATCGAGGACCCGTTTATCCGATCGACTCGAAATGGTCTCTGAAGATGCGGCAGTGGTTCGTAAACGGGGTAAAGGGAAAGGAGGGCAAAAGGGTCTTTTAGCTTCTCCGAGGAATCCCCGGAGATCGAGGCGAAGATCTGAAGAGAAAGAAGCGAATTTGGTGATCGAAGAAATCGTAAAGCCTCCTAGAAAACGGAAGACGACGAATGGTCGACCTAAGAAGGATAAGCAAAGTTCAGCTCCTCCTTGTTCTTCTTCAGATCTTCCAAGTACTCTTCTTTCTATGTGTCTTGATTTTATCTGCTTTATGTGTCTTGATTCTGATTTGCTTGTGTATTGGATTTGTTGAAGATACATGTCAAACCGATTTGAATCGGATTGGAGAAATTATCAGTGATTTGGTAATGTGGAGAGATGTTGCCAAATCCACCCTCTGGTTTGGTTTTGGATGTTTGTCTTTCCTATCTTCTTGCTTTGCTAAAGGAGTCAACTTTAGGTACCATCTCTAGCTTGTGTTTCTAGGCTCAATTAGATTTGTGAAAGTCATGACATTTTTCTTTGTTTTGAAGCTTTTTCTCGGCGGTTTCCAATCTCGGACTTGTGTTACTTTGCGGGTCGTTCTTGTCAAATACTCTTTGTCAAAGGTACATTTACTTCTGTGGTCCTTTTGCAGTTTTGTTTGGCCTTGCCTATTAGCTAATAGGTAGTGTGATCCATCAATGTGTTATTTTTAGTAAAAATGAAGACGCAAAAAGAGCGTTCCATGTGAGTGAAGATGATGTCTTGCGCTTAGCTAGACGAGTGCTTCCCGCGACCAACTTTTTGATCTCGAAGACTAGTGAGCTTTTTTCAGGAGAACCATCAATGACACTCAAAGTAAAAACTCGACATTTACTTCTCCCTCTCTCTCAATCAAATCAGTTTTGCTGATTTACTTGCCCTTTCATCTGCTGTTTCTCTTTTCTCACAGGTGACACCATTTCTGCTACTTGGAGCTGAGTTTGGTCATCTCATAACACTGTGGAGGCTATCTGCATTTGGTATTAACATTTGCAACATAAGCTGAAACATTGTTAAGCATGATAGAAACTGAGCTGATGATATGTGTGTATGTTACTGAAACAGGTTTCTTCCTCAGCTTCACCATCCCAAAGCTGTATTCATGTTACACGCATCAAATTAGCCAAAGAGGTGAAGAACTCAAATTGCACCCGTTCAGATGTCAATTGGGTTAACATCAACAGTCAAGTATTTGTAAAGGTCTTTAACTGGTCCAATGTTTTAAAATCTTGACTTGAGTTTCATTTGTGCAGTTGAAAGAGTGAAAACGAGAATAGGTGAAGCATGGGGAGTCTGCTCACACAAGAAGATCTTGGCAGGCTCTGCGGTGACAGCGTTTTGGAACTTGACTAGCATAAGAACCCGAATATTTGCAGGTAATTTACCTAACCAATGGTTGACAGTTTATTTGTTTTGCCTTATATCAAAATATAACCTATAAGTCTTTCATGTTTTGCAGTTTTTATCATCCTGGTGATAGTTCGGTATAGGAGACAGAATCTACAGCTAAATCCCGAGGAAGTCGAGCCTCTTGAGAATGAGAAGCAAGAAGAAGAAACACTTCCACAGGAAGAAGAGACAGTTCCAGCGGAAGAAGAACAGACACATTCATCAGAAGAGCGAGCTTTAGTGGTGGTAGTTGCAGAAACTGAAGGATCAAAAAAACTCTAGTGTCTGTACTGTGTCTAACCACATTGAATAGAGATGCAATTTAAAATATCGAGTTGATGTAACAGAGAGATGGAGGATATCTGTTTTTTTTTGTATGAAAAAATTGAAGACAGAGATCGTTTAACAAAGTTCGCATTCAAGTCTTGAAGGTACCTCGTCTTTGGCCGAGACTACAATGTGACATAAAGGAGATCAATGGGACAAGAAGAAGAAACTTAAAACATTCTTTCAAATTTAGGGGTCGTCACCTTAATGAAAACTGCTTCTTTTTTCCCTCTTTACTATGATATCCTTGATTGTAGTATCCAAACACAGATGTTTCCAAGTTTTAAATTAGTAAAAGTGCTTGTTCGAGTAAACAAAATGCAATTTTGAGTTTTTGTGTTGATGTAACAGAGATCATAGAGACTTGATTTAAAAGATGTAGGACATTTGTTTTTGATATGTAAACTGAAGACAAAGAGATGATTTGTGTTTGAGCAGTACAACAATTATTCTTTGCCTAAATACTCTTAAACCTTCTCTCGCAATCGCATTGTGTACGCGTAGACATCATCAAAAGTCCTCTTTGCAAGCTGATAAATTATACCAAACATCAGTTACTCGTCTAACCAATACAACATGTCTTACTTAATAGGCTGAAAACAAACAAAATCTCTCCAAGAAACTCAGAAACAAACAGGCAAAATCAAGAGGGTTCTCGTTCCTAAGTTTTCTGGGGAAGAAAGGCTTTAAAAGGTAGAGTTTTGTACATAAACTGTAGCTTCACTGTTCCTCTGGCTAACTCATCACACATCATCATTGCAAGCTGGGATTACAAGACCAATCAGTAATAATTCTTTCATTAAACTCTCTATAAATCAACTCAAATGCTATAACCAACAAGAAAAGGTACATGTTATCTTTTAAGAAGATATGTAGGAACCAGTTTTGAAACACAATGCAGCATCAATCACTGATGTGTATCTAAAGCCTATATTATTGCCTTGGAAACCCATTCTAATTGTTTATAAATGTTATTTGCAGGAAACCCAAATCTTGGCTTCGTTGTCTTCATCTACTCTTCGGTCAGCCTACAAGATCGAAAAACTAGACCAATTGAGCCGCCATCTCTTTTCAACGTTAAGCAGAAAGACAACAACAATTGATCCAGTTTTTCGCCCATAGCAACAAACAAAAGAATGCGTAAATGGTAAATCTAACCTAGTTCTCTACCTATGTCTGATACATCAATCTAGAAAGCCGATGCAGAAACAGTTCTCAAACACATATCATCGATCAAACAAAGCAAATATCCACTCATTTAGTACATACTTAAGTCATTATTCAAGCATTACAGAGTTTAAGGATGTGAGAAAATACCGTCAGAGAGCCAGCCATAGCTTTGGCCAGAGATAGAAAGCATTGAAGTCATTAACGCTGAAGCTGTGGCAGTGTGGTATGGTAACAATGACTCCACACAGAAGCTCAGTTCCACAGGATTTCTATCATCAAAATCAAAAAACAAACAAATGAAAATTATTTAAGTAATGACTAATGATAAGAGAGTTTCACATTTATTATACACATCAAGATGCAAAATTTCATCTTTTTACTTCTGAATAATCGATCTGGATACATGATTAACACAAACTTATTTTCACAATTCGATCGAATTTGACCCTTTTCAAGCTTCAAGTAGCACACAACTGTGAAATGAGATCGAATAAGGAAATGGGTATGATAGAGAGGCTAATGAGACTAACCGGAGAGGTGAAAGTAGTGGGCTTCTTCTGGCAGTGGCTCTAAACAACGGCGGAGCGGATTTCGCTTGAGAGGCGAAGCGGCCAGTGGAAGCAGCGGCGCTACGTGACGAAGCAGCTCGAAGCATCGATCTGGCACCGGAGAGGACGGCGGACGTGGCCATCGGGAAAGAGAATGAAGAGAAGATCAAAAACTACGGCTGCGAGACGAAGAGAGATTGGTGAATTCCGATTACGATTTACGGGAAATGATGATAAACCCTATGAAACCGTTAAGGCCTGTTTGGACCAAACCTTAAGTGTTTTTGTTATAAACACTTTTGGGCCAAAGGAAGGCCCTATAAATTAACACTTTTGGGCCAAAGGCCCTATTTCATTAGTGTGTTTTGAACGGTATAAGTTTATGCAAATGGCTAAAATTTTCTTCACTTTTATGTCATCATCAATCACGTAATTGGAAAATTTTGTGGATCGTCCAATACAAGAGAGTTTATTCATCAATATTGATTTTGGGAAGAATCTTTAACAAAACTTTGAATTATAGGTAAGATTTTACTAATTTTGGCTTTTGTTTAATGTATTTTATAGTTTTCGTAAACCCTTATTCAGAAAACTATAATTAAAAGATTAAAACAAAAACAGACTAAAGTTATATAAATTAAAGCGTCAAGTCATACAAAGATCCCGAGATAACGAAAATCTTAAACGGAGATAAAAAAGAAAAGAAAAGAAAAAAAGGCATAAAAACATAGACGAAATAATAAAACTAGTGAGAATTGAGAATGTAGTAGGAAGCAGAAGCTCTCATTGTTGTTCCTATGGGTGGTCTCGAGAAAACATCTCTTCACTCCTCTCTGTAGTCTGGATTCTCCTTTAAGATGATGAATCCTTCCAGTATCGGCGACAGAGGAATGTATCTGTTTGACATTTACAATCCGAGTTTTATAATCAGATACCGAGAAGCTTCTCATATGAGAAAACGAAAGAGTACAAGGAAGAAAGGAAGAAGAACATACTTGTCGGTGGCTAGTTCGGCTCTCTCTCCAGCAGCCAGGAGAACAGGTGTGGAGTGTGTCTGGAAACCGGTTATGGTCTTGGGCCGACCCGCTTGTCCAACCACATCAACTGCTTGTCCTACCCGCACTGGCACTGACAATGGCTTCAGGTTTTCGTCCACTGTCAACATCATCCTTGGCTACACATTTTTTAACAAATTTGATTAAAAATCAAATCATAGCAAGTTCATCAGACCTAAATAACATGAGGGGAGTAAACGGGACAGAAATTGAACTCACTTGCATCGCCAAAACGAGGAAGTACAGCACATAATGGTACTTCCCGAGTATGATTGGTTTCATGTCAAGGCATGCATGCAAAAGTGTCACTATACCAGCAAGTGCGGTTCTGCATAAATAAGGTCCACATGAGAAACCTTTGAACATCCAACTATCAAAAAATATTTGGTTCTTGCGGTAACAAAAAGAATGAACTTACGGCGATAGCAAGAACCGTTCAGAGTGGAAGGGGCTGAGTGTTAAGAGACCCTTTCCCATGTGCACCAGCCCTTGAGCAATACGCACCTGCATAATGACTTACCCAGTGAGTACAATAATTCCAACAAGAACAACAGTTTATCGCAGGGTACGAAAACAAAAATGGGGAACACATTACACAGAAGAGAAGATTGGCATCCTTGTAATAATAGCTGGAGAGGTTCCGAAGCATCCCAGCTATCCTTGCGTTATTAGTTCCAGCGCCAATCAGTCCCAATGATATAATTGCTGCCTGTAGGAGTCAAAAGAAAGATCAGCCCCCTCTCAATACTATTCAACTAACTAATACGGGACAGGCTATGAAGTGAAATGATTGCTAACCATGGCAACTTCCGAATCTGTGTCATGGCTAAGTCGGCTCAAGGTGTCCATTACAGTCACCTGGAATTGTGAGAAAAATATTAAAAACCAGCATTACTCTATACAACCACTAACAATTGTAAGCAGGCGAAGTAAAACTACATTTACAAAAGTATTTACCTTTGGATTGGATATACAAAGGAGACCAAGGGCCAAAGGTACAGCACGCCGAATGTTTTGTTCTCCATATTGTAGCATCCGCTCCAAAGAACGAATCTCCATATCAACGCCCAGTTCTTCAGACATAGCAACCATTGCTAACCCAAGCACAGCTGGACCCTGGTGGATGTCACCTTTCTCAAGATGCTCGCCACACTGAGCAAGAAGGTCTTGGACCTGAATATATAAGTAGGAGTCAACAACTAAACAAGAAAGTAATGAACTACGTCACTCAACCACCAGCACAATTGATTAGATACCTTTAGGACATTCCCAGTTCCAGCATAAGCACAAGAAAGAAGTGTCATATCACAATACTTTCTAATCTTCTCATTGAACGTCTTTGAAACTTCAGCTGTAGCCTCTACACTTTCCTGGTAGATATTGGAACAAGTTGATGTTGGTCAAGCCACGCAAATAATGATAAGGTACAAAGAGCGAGATTAAGTACAACAAATTGCCAACCTGTTTGCCCAGGTATAGAAGTCCAAGACCAAGTGGCAAGAATCGAGTGAGGGCATCTCCCAGTTCTGCCTCACTTCGATCCATCAAAGCAAATATAATAGATTGTGCTACTTCTTCATTACAGGAACCAACATATATCATTCCCAAAGAAAGTGAAGCAAATGCAATCACATCGAGAGGCGCTTTCGCATCATTCAGTATCGGGGACAATTTGCTTCGAATCTGTTGAAACAGTGAGCATGTTAATGTTCCGTGAACACCCGAAACATTCAAGTAATATGGGAAATAATATAACAAGTCTTGACCTGGTCATTTTGGGAACCTGCGTATGAAATTCCCAGACCCATGATAGCACCAATTCTGACAGATGAATCCTCTTTGTCTATATAGTCTCCAAGAAGTGCCAATGCCTGAGAAATAAAGCTGAGTAAGATGGAAGAATGGCTGCAAATATTAGCACAAATGGTTCCAGCAAAATCAAACATGACATTAACTCACAGGATCACAATCGTTCTTAATGCCACAATTTACAATCCCAACTCCCAGCAGTGCTCCAGCAATGATAGGATTATCATTACTATGGAAATATTTGTCGAGTTGAGAAAGTCCTGAGTCCACATCCCACAGTTGAATCATACCCTATGATAGGTAAACAAAAAGATCTGGTTACAATTTCTACTTCCATGATCTGAACACAGCAAATAAATTCATCAAATAAGAAAAAGCATACCAGACTAGCAGCTGCACTAGTCTTGCCATGTTCTTTATTTTTGAAGAGCCAATTTCCAGAAGATCCGGTGGTCGAGTCTGAAGGTACTGTCATTAGTTTGTCCTGCGATAAGCAAATATATTAAGAGGACACGTCTTCCACTATATCTATTTTATAACAATCTGCAACCATACCTGACCAAAACCAGCATTTACAAATGCATTGACAAAGGTAGCAGCCAAATTCTGTCTAGCAGAATCCGCGCTTGCACCAGAGCTAGCCCTGCCGTCGAGCAAGTGAGCCTAAAAAGTTCAAAAGGGCAGGTCAAAGACTGAGGAAAACATAATTTGTGACTGAATAAATGAATATCAGGCCTAAAATCCATTAAAACTGATTTACCTTGTAGATGTCTTCAGGCGTTTTGGCCTCCATGACCTCAATATCCCTTGCAAGAGTCAGATATCCTTCACTTAACTTAGTGTTGTTAACAATATCCTGTAGGGCTTCTCGGTCATCATCATCTGCAACCATCTCATCGTCAAGGTCAAAGGTTATACCCTGCAGGGAGGCGTACGAAGAGAGAAGAAGTATAAGAAAGTACGTCCGTCGGTTATTCTGTCTCTATACGGATGGCAATTTTAAACAGTGATGCAGCAGTTAATCGGTGTCTGCCTTAGAAGAGAACGGGAGTAGGCCAGTGTTGCTAAAGAATGAGGTCTTCCAGAAAAACTAAACAAAATTGGACTAAACAAAAGAAAAAACATGATTTAATCAAGAAACAGATTCAAATTCCCTCTAGATCATGCTTGATAACAACTCCAAACAGTGTTCTCGTTTTTTTATCTGATAACTTTATGTAACAGCTGGAAAGTAAAATAGAATCGAATAAAAGCACAACCAAATCTTAAAGCATATAGGAGTAAAGATCCAAAATCAAAACATACTTACAGAAAAGAAGGAATGAGATAAATATAGTAAAGTAGAAATAGTTAAGGACTTACATGACGAGCAATCATGTAGCAGAACTGTTTCTTCTTCAGCAGATCCGTACATGAGGTAAATACTTGTTTAACATACTGCAATACAGAAAATACATCATAGAGTACATTAAACATCAAAAAAATCTACACAAATACACGAAATACTTAAACTAAGGATTGATTTTTCCAGCTGCTTCACACACATAAAAAAAAAAAGAATAATATGAAACTACGTTCTATAGAAAGATTAAAGTCCTACCTGCGTGTTATCAAGAAATAGTGCAATCTGCAGAGCGTTTGGATATTCTTCAAACTTCATGTAAATCATGTAGGAAATATCTAGAACCAACATGTCATCTGGTCCAGGAAGGTACCTGAAAATTCAAATGTATAAGAGATTTTTGTGAGCAATATAAAGAAAGCTCACCACTTGTTTCTACATGACTGATCTAAAATAAGATCAGTTAAATAACAAAGAGTGAAGAAAAATAAAATAAATAGGATTGACTATGTTTAAAGTACTTTGCTGCACTTGTGAGATAGTTGCATGTTCTCTTGAAATTTGTTTTGTCTACATGCTCAAGTAAGAGATCAAGATCCTCAACATCCATTAAAAGGTCAACAGCTTCGGTTTCTGCATTGTGCTGCAAGGAGTAAAATGAAATCGTTTAGACAGAAATGAACCGCAAAGGTGCTAGTCTCAAGCCTATTAATTATAAAATCCCTTCCTACATATGCTTGATACGGGCCAAAGAAACAAGAAATAAAACAATCGTTAGGAATTCACCTTCATGTGAAAAGCAACAATTTGCTGCACAAGCTCCATTAAATCGTCAATAGAGGCCTCCTCACTCTGAGATAATGAACAGGTAGATAAATATGACTCAGTAACCTTTCTCATTGAATAAGACACATACAGTCATTCCTTAAAACTCCAACCATCAGAATTCAGAAGGATAAACCCAAACACAACTTCCAATAACCTTAGAATATGTGCAAAAGTCCTAGGACGAGAAACTGAATTGCCAAAGACAAAATGGAAAATTAATTTCTAACCTGACGCTTTGTATACTCTTGAGCAATCTCTCCAGCTAAATTCCTGACATACTCGTGACCCCACGATCCAATGTCACCCTCTGTTCCAATCAACCTAAAACTTAAGCTTTCCTGGAATAATGTTGTAACAGAAAGTGAATAGCAGTTCAAAATATGCCTCAAAAAAAAAAATATGAACTCAATGGAGTTATCAGATGCATACCCTTTCACCCTCCGCAGACATGGTAAGGGCCAGGACAGACAGGATATCAGACAGGTACTTCTGCAAACATAGCAAAAGAAATCTTTAAGCCATATCCAAGAATAGGAACAAAGAAGGTGTTAACGAGGTATGACTTGATATTTATGATGACATACCTTGAGATCAGAATTAGGCATTGTTTCATGGAACGCTTTGAGAGTTCCATAATGGGGACGGAGAAACTTTAGTGGTTTGGGAACTGAAGTCATGGAGCTTGTTGAAGCTCGGATTTCCTGCCTACAAAACCAAACAAAAAAAAAACTCCAACAATGTTAAATTAAGACAATGAGTAATCAAAAACACAAACAAGTTCACTAAGAGCAGAAAAGAGAAAAACTTTATAAGTTGTACAAGCTTTAAAGACAGTAAACTGAAAACCCCAAGCTGATCAAGTCAAGACTTACCTCATGCTTTCAAGAGCAGCCTTCTGCAAGTCGGGATTAGGATCCTGAACCCTCTCAACATAGAGCTCAAGGTTCTGCTTTAGTTCCAAGTCCTCTTCAGACTACAATCACAACCCAATGTAAGTCGAGTCATTAAGAAAGTGACCATATACACAAGTTAACAACATTCTAATCCGGCTAGTCGAACGACGACAAGACACTCACTTTCTAAACCCTAATTCTATAACGCCCTACTTCAATTCGATCGAGATTCCAATTAAAAACCTAAGTGCAGATCTTACAGATTTGAAATTAAATTCCTTTCTGATGAACCCAGATACTAAATACGAAACCCAATGAGGAAAAAGGAAGAAGCCAAATCAAAAACGAGAAAGAAAAACATACCAAGTCCTCATCTTTTTTCTCGTCCTTCTTCTTGGGATCCTTAGACGGAACCTTCAAGGTAGCTTCATCTTGCTTCGAACCGCCTCCGACACTGTTGGGATCCGGAGTTGGAGCCATCTTCGTCAAATTAGCACAAAATCAATCTGGAGAACCCTTTTGAAAGAGCTTGGAATTTGAACACTCAGACGAATCGAGAAGCTTATGCTTGTGCTATCGAAAACTCTCTGATTTCAGGAATTAAACAAACAATCTCTTCTGCAACTCTAAAAGCAAAGCACTATATATGAAATCGGAGAAGATAACCCCTCGATCAAGATTTCTACACTATATCATCTATCAGCCCATTAACACTTTTTTAATGTCAATTTCGTAAGCCCATTAATCTTATTGGGCTCCTTTAGTGAGTTCTTCTTACATGGGCCCAAATGTCTAAAATAAAAAATACGAATATTCATCATATTTAATTATTTATGATGTTTTCATATTTCTGTATGGTTGAACTTCCTAATCCCATTTTGATTTATTTGAGTTCAAGACGTTTTTCGACATATTTTCATTCTCTTTTCGAATCATTGCAGACAAAAACTGTTCACAACCTAATGAGATCATAGTTTCGTCTAATTCACTTTAGAGACCATGGTTTTATTATTTTCACTATGATTTTAGTAAAAATTAGCCAATGTAGATATGTAGGCACCAAAAACTAGTATGTATTTCGGTTTGGAATGTCCTGTTAAAAAGAAAAATAAAATGATTTGTCTTTTTGTCTTCGACCAAAGTCCTTTAAATTTTGGAATTGGAACCGAGTATTCTTTTTTTTTTAATGAATGTAAAATTGATTTGTCAAAGAAACCATTATTACATCAAGTGTGTCAATTTCAGAATTTGCTAAATCAAGCTTACAATTTGAACCGAGTATTCATTTAGGTTATATTGAGATTTAATATACCATACATCTTTGGTTTGAATATTTTTACTTTGACTCTTTTATAATATAAATACGTACATATACATAAAAAGATATGTGTACAAAGTGTGAGTGCAAAATGAGATACTAGTAATAGTATCCGCATGTATATGAATTATGAAGAGAGAGAGAGAGAGAAGGACCATTCAAAATTTGAAGGAGACGAGAGAGAGAGAGAGTGGTCACAATTGGAGAAAGAAGAGGTCGTTACGTTGGATTTTACGTTGCCTCCATGCACTTCCTTCTCCTCTTATCCCGTGGTCCTCCTCTCTCTCCTCATTATTATTTTATGTCATTGTTCTCTCTATCCCAACAATACGTTTTTTAATTTATATGGTAATATTCAGTTATGTTTAGTGTATCTCGTGGACATTCTTCGCGACTTTGCGTTGAACTTATATGCGTCCGGAATTACAATTCATGATCATTTGATAATGATAACTACTATGTTATATTTTCAAAGACTATATAAAAGCAATCAAGTTCTAAATCACCAACGGTTAGAGATGATATAGGTCATTAATTTATTTGCGTTAATAGAGAGTGTATTAGCACCCTACGTTATACATATGAAAAGGTACGGTCTCCTTATTAGTCACATGGGACGATTAAGTAAAGAGACCCTAAACTCTCAACACTCAACAAGGGTCAAAAAACAAAAACAACCCTTGGAAAAATAAAGGTACAATAATTGAAAGACATGTCGTCGAATTTTGTTTGGTTCGGTTTGCCTACGGCGCTTGTGCGTTTCAGGCACAAGACGCTGTCGGAGGAAACTTGGAGACACCGTGACGGTGAAGCTCCGTCATAACACCGTCAACAGCAGGTGGCTTCAATCCCAACGGAAGTGGCAGCCATGGCCTCGTTAATACATCTCCTATGGCTGCATCCACGCTCTCTTTTGACTGTTCCATTTAATTTATAATAAACACAATAAGTAAAAAAAACAAACATTATAACATAATCAAATGCGAAAAGTCAAACTCTACAACAATCAATCCATTATATTAGATTCTTACCGGATGTAAGTCCACCGGAGGACGAGCACCACCAAAGCCATGATTTGGTTTGTACACTGTGTGATGTGGCGGCAGAGCATGTGGGATTCCGGCAACCGGCGGTGCTCTAAATCTCTACACAATTAGCAGTCAAAATACAGTTTAAAACACATATATGTATACATAGGAGCAAAAAAAAGGTATATATACGGAAACAATCTTAGATATGTTGGTTCATTACCGTAGCTACGGTCGGCAAATACGGAGTCGTCCCGTTATGCATCTACATGCAAAAATGTTGGTTAGAAAGACAAGCATATGATACAAATATTTGGTGTCATTAGCTATAACCGATTTATTCATAAAGTTAAAATACTATGATGAACAAAAAAGCTAAAGATTTATAAATGTGGGAACTTACTGGATGCCAATAGGGAGAATCGGAGACCCAAAACGGCGGATTAGGCATGGCGGTAGAAGGTGGAGGTAAGTGTTTTGGCCACACATGCGGCATGATGGACTGATCAACCGTGGGATGTCCCCACACATGCAAGGGTCTAAAATGATGGTGGTGGACAGGTGTCGGTGCGACAACCACGGGTGGCGGTGGTGGAAACCCGAGAGTGGGTGCCGGTGCAAGCCATCCATTTTTATTCCGACCATTAATATTACCACCGGTGTCTACTCCATAGATATGCCGTTTACGTGTCCAATTAGCCGCTTCGGCCTCACGCGCTAGCAAATGTTTCCTATGAGACCTATATTTCTAGAACACCAAATTAAATAATAACAAACAGGTAATTATTTGGTTGGTTAGTTATATAGAGAATGAAATTTTAAGTAAATGCTTACTTGGAGGTGACTAGCAACGTTGTGACGAGTGAGACAATGGACTCCCATAAGCTCCAAAATTCGAGAAGGAACAGCTTTGTCCACTCCTAACTGTTCCACTGCCTCCACGAATCTCCTGTGTAGCTCTGGTGTCCAATCCACCTTTACACACATCCCAACAATAAACCATCTTCATATTTTTTTCAATACTTTTATCACATACTACTATATACTAATAATGACAAGAAAATTCACACTTAGCAGCTGTTTTACATTTTGAAAAGAAATTAATTGTCGGAATTGATTTTATTATTCATTACTTGTCGGAATCTATTTGAAGCTTATAAAGATGCACGTGATGACTCTACACAATTTTTGTGAACATGATTGAAATATGAAAATTTAGAAGATTTAGCAAGAAAAATAAATTTTAGATCGGTTCATATAATTGAGTATAGCTAGCTAGGGTTTATTTTTATATAGGATTAATGTTTGTTTATATATGATATGATTAATAATTACCTTCACCTTTCGCTTCCCTTCGATGTTACGATTGTTCTTGGAAGAAGCTGAAGACGAATACTTCCTTTTCCGGTCACTTTCACCGTCATAATTCACCGTCTCCGCCGCAGCATCGTCTCTTTTGCTTACGACTTCTTCACCTTTCCCCGAAATACTCTTGTTAGTCTCCCCTTGACTATCAGTCTTATCCGACGTCGTAGTAATCGTTGAAGAAGCGTTCATGTGATCAGAGAAATCCCCGGATAAGATCTCGGGGTCGATCTCCAAGTCAGGAAGCACATCTCCGGCGACACCGAATATATCGTCGAAGTCGATGATGTCAAGAAGATCCCCGTGGTCAGCGAAATCCGGAAACTCATCCTCCTCCTCCGGGTTTATTGTGAATCCACACGACGTATCAAGAAACTCTGACGCTCCCTCGCAACCATCTCTTGTCGCAGGAGACAGAGCTAACATCGATCAATCTTCACTTGTAGATCCAACTTAATTATTTCCAAATATAATCGGAGAGAGGGAGAGAGATTTATGAATGTTGTAGATAGGGTAGACTTAGAATAGAGAGCTAGACATGTTTTGATATTCAAAGTAAGTCTCTTTCTTCTCCCCCAAAGCCAAGTAGAAGTAATTCATTAATATTGCTATATATAGAGAGAGAAAGAAAGAAATCCATAACAAAAATATATGCCTAGTTCTAAATGGTAAAGAAAAACATAAATCTAATATTATATTATTGTTTAGGTTAAATATCGACAACAAGTTCAAACATATATTTAGGCAAATCTCTTAGCGAAACTTTTCGTGGACTTGTTTTAACATATTTTCAACAAAGTTTAATCTTGTGTCGCGGTCATATTAGCAGCGAGAAAGTCACCCTAACAATATCATCTATTTAATAATAAATGATTATGTGTATATTTGTAACATAGAGTCACAACTTGAAAAGAGACCCTTTTGTATTTCGTGTTATTTGCATTTAAGTTTGTAATTTTGAAATAGTGTTTGAACAAATATTGTGTTTATCTTATACAGTAATACTAAACTATAAATAGTACGTTTGAAATAAATAGATACATATACATTATAAAAACGCAAGAATAATGCATATATGCAATTTTTTAATCGGAAAGTAGTATCGAATATGATTGCACATTAATAATCCCTTTTACTTAGTGGAGCTAATTGGGTTCCCTGTTTTGTTGGTAACACAACAAATTTAAGTGAAGTTGTGGCCATACTGGATCAGAGCCACAACTTTAAAGTTCAATATCTAATTGTCGCATTTGTCTCTTTAACGTTTTCGGTATTTTGGTTTTGGTCTGTCCCAACATTATTGATCGATCGGATAACTTGTTTTTTTTTTAGTATATTATTTAAACATATTTGATGCTCAGAAATTACACATTATTGATTCAACGGTTCTAGGCTCACTATTAATTTTTTTTTTTAAAAAAATACATCTGCTGGTCAACTTATATATCCGCCGATGGAGTACTTATATATAGATGGAAGTAAATAATCAATCATCTACCGTGGTACCATACCCATTATTGACGTGAATGAGGCTCGCAAATTAATTAAGCTGTGGAAGATGCTCTTATGAAAAAGGACAGAATTGTCTCATTACGTATAAGTGGAATGCACGACCTTATATGGGTCCTCAAGAGCTACAATAATTGTTGTTGCTCGTTTCCACATCACATTTTTTTTTGAATCTAATACATTGTGAACATGAAGGAAAATATTGTAAGTTCCAAATACTTCAGGCCCTTACTAGCTATATATATAGGCTAACTAACACACCTCTATATACTTGAATCTTTGAGTGGTTTTGTTGCTACCATTTGTGAGATGATCTGATACTTTTTAATAGTGACTTAATTAATCTTCTATATAACTGATTTGGTACGTTTAAAATAAAAGAATAAAGATTGTTTCATTTAGAAAACGAAAATAAATAATTATTGGAGTTGTCATTTTTGGAACTATCTAAGATCTCATAGTCAGCTAGTTCAGTCTACGGCCCGACACTCTGGTTGGTGAGATGTTGGATCCTTTATCCCAGCATAATGTTACAATGAGTTTCCTTCTACTATTGTATTAAAAACTATATATAGCTAAGTTTGATTTTCAAAAAACAAAAAGCTATCTAGCCAATATATCATCTACGGCCCGACACTCTGGTTGGTGAGATGTTGGATCCCTTTTCCCAGCATAAAGTTATATACAATGTGTTTTCATAGTTTTCTTCTACATTCGTATTAAAAGCTAGCGTTAGCTAAGTATAATATGTATCATAGCCAGAGGTCAATGAAACAAATCTATGAACTCGCGCGAGTAATATTTAAGATGATATGTATCATTAAATTAATTAACACAGCCTAAATAGGAAATTGAGTATTGAATCTCTATAGAGAGATGGAGATGAAAAGCAATCTATGTACATATATATATTTTGAAATTGATATTCGAGATTTGACAATCAGTGGACGTGAAGGGCCACACCCACATGTGACTTGATAGCGACAAGAATGGAAATGATATCATGTGTGTTTGTAATTAAAAAAGAAGTGCAACTTTCGTAAAAGGACTACTGGCCTCTACATGTCATTAATTATGATGCCAACAATCATCATCTTTTTTTCTGTAAATATCATATCATATGTATATGTACTTGAACGATTCTTAGGTTAACTCGGAAATAGCAAGGCAAAACGGTTTACGAATTTCGAAATCGCGAAAAATCAGATTCTTGTGAAAGTAGGCTATAAAATGCAGATTCTCGTAAACTTTCATTTGATTAAAAAAATTACAAATAAATTTCAATTACAAAGACAAGAGAAGCAATCGATTTCCAATTAGTTCTAAAAAAAATTCCATCACGTAGTCATTATCCCATTATTTGTGTGTGCGGCTTTTTTGTAATGTAAAACTTTATTGCAACAAAAAATGATTTATTAGAATAAAATGGACTAATCTGAATATTTTTGAAAGAATGTGGAAGAATAAAATTATAACGGGGAGCTTCATATCATAACGGGGAGCTCCTTGATTGCAAATAGACATAAGCTTATCACGGACCGTTTTATCAATGGTGCTCATGACTAACCTTGGAGCCGGTGATAGAGCGTCACCATACGGTCCATACCCGTGTGTGTGTGTGTGTGCGTGCGCGCGTATGTGTGTGTGGTGTGGTGTGGTGTGGTGTGTGTGTGTTTACGTTTGCATGTTTATGTTATAACATGAAACTAAACACGAACACAAACGTAAAGAAACAAACAAATAAGACGAAGACGAATGATTTGTTGCGGTGGCAAGAGACAACAAACGCAACCGCGTGAGTAAACTTCAATAATACTTTTCTTTGTATACTTCCATGAAAAAATTTGTCACTGTTATCACAAATAATTAAAACAAATATTTTGATTCAACTGGTGCAGTTTGTTTTAATTATTATTCTTGTTAAAATGAAAAATCTAATTTGTTGTGGATGAGCTTGTGGTAAGCAAACTTTTGTCTTTGTTTTCAACTACTAGTTGGGACTTGGGACCATGAACTGAAAGCTAAAGTTTCAATTCATTTGTTTTTTTTTTGTTTTTTTTTCTATTGAGTTAAAAACATCTCTTCATTTGATTTTTTTAACGGTAATAAATAATGTCCGAGTTTCTCGTGGGATAATTGATGATACTCCAACAATCAAGTGCTTGCCGTTTTTCATCGACTCAATGGGGCACTTGTAAATAAACTTTGAGTCAGAAATAGTAAGCCTCATAACTTAAAATAACCCAAGAATAATGATGCTTTTTAAATTTTGGGCCAGAAATAGTATTAGACCAGATGTTCGATGATGAAGAGACTAGATAGATGAACTATGATAGCCCAAATAAACAATTTATATCTCTTTATTGCACTATAACCCATATTCGTAAACAGATGGACTATGATCTCGTGGGATACATGGTTTGATTGAATAATCATTCCAACATCGTTAACCGTTTAAGTATAACGAAAATCTGTTGTCAAAAAAAAAAAAAAACGAAAATCTTCCTCTTTTTGATTTGGTTAACCATTCGGTTCATCCAAATCGAACCAACAGGTTTTTTGTTTATGTGGACTAATCACGGATGTTTTTGTTCTCAACAGGTTTGTGGCTTCTTCCTCCAATTTGTGACAACTTGTAGTTGTGAATTCTTTTTCCCCCAGCTAACCCTTTTTTTCCCCAGCTAGCCCTAATTTATTTTTACGGGGTCGGCGCGGTAAATAGCGCACTGAAACTTTGTCGACTGAAAGTGGGAGAATGGAAACTAGTTGCTAATGCCTTGCTAAAACCGAGCCCGAAAGCTAACCATTGCCGTGATGCCCCCTTGGTCATGTTTTGGCTCTGCATCTGCTGCACCTTACATCCCCCTTGGTCCTCTTTTTGGCTCCACATCAGATGTTGACATGATGGACTTTGAATATACTGTCCCAGGTACATAAATTTTTATTTTTTGATTCTTTGATTTTGATTGTGAAAGTCAAACTTCTCATGACTTTCGCGTGGTTTATTATGTAGCTCATGGTATGGCTTAACGAGAGTGCCTATTGCTATGGCTAACAAAGATGCGACGGATTACAAAGCTCCCTCTCTCTCTCTCTGGCTCGTTCGCTCTCTAATCGTGATACAATGCTACCTTTTTTGTTACTAGGGTTGATGAGATGTTGGATCCCTTTTCCCTGCATAAAAGTAAATGTGGAATCCAAAACAAAAAAAATGGAGACAAAGTAAATTACAATGATTCCATAGTTTTTCTCTTTCTACTGTATTTTAAACTAGCTAGTTAAGTCTATATCGTAGAGTTCATTAAATGACATTAAAATAGGATCAGCTGTCTGTTATCTATGCTTGGTAGAACTAAGTTAATGATATTGGATGTGGAACTAAAGTTATTGTCTCTGCTTTGTGTTGGAACTCATTTTTTACACAAGTGGCTCCGGCCAACTTTCCGGCGACTTTTCCGGTGACGACGGTCATCGGAATGACCGGATAATGGAGTCTTTGGATTCCTTGTAATGAGCACTATAAGATAGTGTATTTACATGTAAAAATTGAAGTTATATTGAATGAGTAATTGAGGTCCAAAGTGGGGAGCTTCAAAGCTTAAAAAATCACAAATGTAATTTTGTCCCACATTGGAAGTTTGGAAACTTTCCCTCTAGTATATATAGTGATACCCATACAACATGGTTCACTAGCTATTGGGAAAGGGAGACTATGGTGAAGGAGATACATGCACATTATGCAACACGATACACGCGCGCGCGCGCCGCCGCCGTGCCGAGCCGGGCCGGGCTCGGGCTCGGGCTCGGGGGCTCTTGGGCTCTTGGGGAATGTGGGCCTCGGCCCACAAGAAAATATTTTTTTTGGGGAAAATACTTATGAGGCTTTTGTTACATTTATGCAACAATTTCTAAACAAGTTTTGGCCCATTAAGAATAAGCCCATTAACAAAATCGAGTTTGCATAAACAAATGGCATATTCGAATATTCTAGAGCATATTCCATATTTCGAAATCGAAAAACGGTTCCGGATATTTCGCCCATGATCTCGTCGTGGCCGAGTCCTCCTCTCGCTCCCAACGTCCCTAGATTTGCGCCCACGAGCCATCTCTTGCGGATCAAGTTGCGTCTCCTCTCGCCTATAAAAGGAACGCCCCTCTCTCTCATTTTCTTTACTTGCTCAACGCAAAAACACAACCAAACAACACTCTCCCTCTCTCTCTTTCTTCTCAAAGTAAGTATCAAGAGTATATCGTTTATATCAAGTTCGTAGATTCCGCTATCGAGTGAAGCGATAACGGTCTCATCGTGATTGTATCCTGCGGTCCGCTGCTCATAAAACCGTCTCATCTGCGGGAGCTAGTTTGGATTACGGAAAGAGATATCATATCTCGCCTTCACGAGTTTTCTAAATCGTCTTTCCAAATCGTTTTCTAAAAGTTCTTTCTCTCTGTTTTCAAATCGGGATTTCGCGGTCCTACACTTTGTTATTAGGGTTAGAAGATAGTTTGCATTGTTATCGGATCCTTTGATTTTAACCGGGGTACGAATGTTATGTTCCTATTCCATTTTGATTTGTTTTTGGTGATTGTAAACGTACAGTTTCATATATCATATTACAAAGAGTTTTATTCTATATTCTCTAATGTCACACCCATGTGGTTGCACAACTTGCACTTGCATCTTCCCTTTAAAAGGTTGTATTCTTCTCTTTGAATAAATTCGGTTGACGAAAAAGGTCTTTAGAACTCTTCCACAAGCCACCACAATGTGGCATTCATTTGTTGACACACTTTGAAAAAAGGAAGCTTCCAAGACAACTCAAAAGTCTTCAGTTCCCCTAAATACCCCGTTGACTTCGTAGTATAGATGACCAAAAAAAAGAAACCGGAAGGGTATTCTCGTACTTCAGAAAATCCCGCCGCGTGGGTACGACGGTTACGACTCTCTCATCTTCGTGGAACTAATCAATCATTTGAAAGAAAAAAAACTCACTTGACTCCTTTTAAATCTTTTTATTAATGTTCTGTTCTTCCTCTTTCTAAAAGAACCGAACCAAAGAGAAAAAAAAAACACTTACATTTGTCTCTCCAAAAATCTGAAGAGAAAGAATGGGAGAATGTAGACCTCTGGGTTTCTTAATAGGATTACCATTTGCTCTTGTTGCTATCGTCCTCTCTCTCGTTGGTGCTGTTATCTGGATCATTGGGTACGTCCCCGTTTTTTTCATATAAAAATTCATACGCTTTATTATGTCTTTCTTTCTAGATCTTTTCATTTTCATTTTGCATCTTGAATCTTATTTCGTTTCGTGTAACTTCAGATCTACTAGATATGGTTTCGCTGCGTGAATATAGTTTATAACTTCTTTCTTACCAGAGAAGGAATATTAAAATAGTGATAAAAAAATGAATAAATTTTTGCAGGACAATATTGAGTTGCTTGTGCCCATGTTGCTTCTGTTTCGCTGCGTTGGCTAACTTCGCTGTTGGACTCATCAAACTTCCTATCAAAGTCCTCCGTTGGTTTACCCACTCCATTCCTTGTTAACAAGCACTTGTTGTAATTCTTTATTAATTTTACTAATTATTTGTTTTATTCCTTCTTGATTTATGTAATTTTCTTTTGTAATCCACATTTTTTTTTCCCTAAAACTAAAGAGAGCCGATTCGTCCACAAATCCAATATTGCGACCACGAAATTGATCAATAATCAATAACTAAATTGAATCAATATACTATGGATTTGGGTAGATTATAAAAAGCCCACCTTGAGTCCAATATCGTAAAATGGGCTTTAGCATTTTATGCTTAACGGCTAGAGAGATACGGTAACGAAGGAGATAAGAGAAGCCTGTGATGAAAACACGCGTCACCGTCCCGTCACCCAAACAATCAGAGTTTTTAAGAGATTTCTCGAACATTCCACAGAATTCTCCACAACTCTGAGAAGAAACATCATGAATCAGTTTTTAAGACCAAACTGTCATAAGAAATTCAGAAGAAACAGAGCACGGTTCATCATTTGAAGAGAACAATACATATTAATCAGAATCAGAAAAAGTGAAGAAGCGAAAGAGAGAAGAAGAAGAAGAAGGTCGGATGGGAGTGGATTACTACAAAGTCCTCCAAGTTGATCGCAACGCCAGCGACGATGATCTTAAGAAAGCTTATCGTAAACTCGCCATGAAATGGCATCCCGACAAAAACCCCAACAACAAAAAAGACGCCGAAGCTAAGTTCAAACAAATCTCCGAAGCTTACGAGGTACATACATATATATCTGAATTCGGTCAAAAGATTCATCTTTATGCGTGTTTAGTATCTTGTTGTTTGAGAAATTCAAGTTTTGTCTTAATTAGATTTTGTTGTAGTTTTTAGTTATTTTGTGCTTTTGAATATGGTACCTGTGTCCTCTGTTCTTTCATAAATGTCCTCTGTTCTTTCATTTGTGATTTTGAGTCTGTGTTCCTGTTTACTGATTCTCTGGATGCTTACAGGTACTAAGTGATCCTCAGAAGAAAGCAGTATATGATCAATATGGTGAGGAAGGTTTGAAAGGGAATGTGCCACCTCCGGATGCTGGTGGAGCTACTTATTTCTCTACCGGGGATGGTCCAACGTCCTTCCGGTTTAACCCGAGAAATGCGGATGATATATTTGCTGAGTTCTTTGGGTTCTCTAGCCCATTTGGTGGTGCTGGCGGAAGAGGTGGTACAAGATTCTCTAGCAGCATGTTTGGTGATGATATATTTGCTTCTTTCGGCGAAGGAGGAGGCGGTGGTGGTGGCTCAATGCATCACGGTGGAGCTAGGAAGGCGGCTCCTATCGAAAACAAGTTGCCTTGTAGCCTTGAAGATCTTTACAAAGGAACCACCAAGAAGATGAGGATTTCCAGGGAGATTGCTGATGTCAGTGGGTAAGTCATGATCACTCGGTTTCTTATCTATGAACACAAAATGGTACTCTTTAGGTTTAGCTTGGTTATTCCCTTAAGAAACTGTTGGTTAGGATGTTTGTTCCGTAATTCATAGTGAAAGCAGAGCCTTGATCATAGTTCATAGCCTTGCCGACTTGCGAAAATCGCATAGGCGGACCAGTTTGTGTTTGTTCGGTGTGGAAGCAGAACCTTGATCACAATTCATAACCTTGTTTAGTGGCAAAAATCGCATAGGCTGACCAATTTATGTGTTTTCTTGCAGCAAGACAATGCAAGTGGAAGAGATTTTGACCATTGATGTGAAACCAGGGTGGAAGAAAGGCACAAAGATCACATTCCCAGAGAAAGGCAATGAGCAACCCGGTGTGATTCCAGCGGATTTAGTCTTCATCATCGACGAGAAGCCTCACCCGGTTTTCACTCGAGAGGGTAACGACCTCGTAGTCACACAGAAGATCTCACTTGTTGAGGCCTTGACCGGTTACACAGTGAATCTGACTACACTTGATGGTCGAAGACTGACAATCCCAGTCACCAACGTGATTCATCCTGAGTATGAGGAAGTGGTTCCAAAGGAAGGAATGCCGTTGCAGAAAGACCAGACTAAGAAAGGAAACTTGAGGATCAAATTCAACATCAAGTTCCCTACAAGATTAACCTCAGAGCAGAAGACAGGAGTGAAGAAGCTCCTCGGCTGAATTGGGTTATAATCAGCACATTCCAGACAAAACAATGTAGAACAGAAGAGGAACAAGAAGATAAAAGCTTCCATGTATCTTGTTTTTGACCGATTTGTAACATATGTACAATTGAATACTCTTAATAAATTGTTGCTTCTTTCTATAATTCAAACTCTTTTAAACCATACCGATAAATGCAAGAGCATTGTTGTTATTATGTGAAGTAAACAATTGCAACACTAGAGAGATCTCAGTCAACAAAGGTTTACTATTGTCTTTTTTTTTTTTTAAACGAAGTCAATAGTCAATACTTAAAGTTGGTTCAATAATGCGAGTACTGTTTCAGATAAACATTACTCTCCCCTACTTTACTCTCAGTACGATCATTTGAGGTGATTATTTTCAAGATTTCAGAACGATTTCTGGAACATTCCACGGAAATCTCCACTCTGAGAAGAAACATGAGTCACCAGAGAAATAAGGATGATATATTTGCTGAGTTCTTTGGGAACTCTAGCCCTTATGGTCCGAGAAATGCGAATGATATATTTGGTGGGGTCTCTAGCCCTTATGTTCCGAGAAATGGGGATGATGTATTTGCTGAGTACTTTAGCCCTTCTGGCAGCGGTGGCGGCAGAGAAGGAGGAGGTGGTGGTGGTGGCGGCTCATCGCATCACGGTGGAGCTAGGAAGGCAGCTCCTGTTGAAAAAAAGTTGCCTTGTAGCCTTGAAGATCTTTACAAAGGAACCACCAAGAAGATGAAGATCTCTAGGGAGATTGCTGGTGTCTTTGGGTAAGTTATGATCATTCGATGAAGAATCTATGAACACCAAGTGGAACTCTTTTCGCTTGCTTTAGAAAGCGTTAGTTAGGGTGTTTTTTGGTAATACATAGTGAAAGCATAACCTTGATCATAGTTGATAACCTTGTTGAGTGGCAAAAAACGCATAGGCTGACCAGTTTTGAAAAAACTTGCAGCAAGACAATGCAGGTAGAAGAGATTTTGACTGTTGATGTGAAACCAGGGTGGAAGAAGGGCACAAAGATCATATTCACGGCGAAAGGAAATGAGCAACCCGGTGTGATTTCAGCGGATTTAGTCTTCATCATCGATGAGAAGCCTCATCCGATTTTCACTCGAGATGGTAACGACCTCGTAGTCACACAGAATATCTCAGTTCTCGAGGCCTTTACCGGCTACACCGTCAACCTGACTACACTTGATGGTCGGAGACTGACCATCCCAGTCAACACTGTGATCCATCCCGAGTACGTGGAAGTGGTTCCAAATGAAGGAATGCCATTGCAGAAAGACCAGACTAAGAAAGGCAACTTGACGATCAAATTTAACATCAAGTTCCCTACAAGGTTAACCTCAGAGCAGAAGACAGGATTGAAGAAAATTCTCGGATGAATTGAGTTAAAATCAGCCCATTCCAGACAACACATTGTAGAATACGACAGGAAGTATCAAAGCTTCTATATATCTTGTTGGAGATGGCAGGGATTGTGATTAAATAATGTTGTGCCCTTTCTGATCGATTTGTAGCATATGTATAATTAAATACTGCCGTGATCTTTCTGATCGATTTGTAACATATGTATGATTGAAAACGTCTAATAAGTTTGCTACTTCTTCCATAATTCAAACGCTTTTAAATCATACCTATAAATGCAAGAGCATTGTTGTTATTAATCACATCGTGATCCTGATGTGAAGTAAACAGTTGCAACACTAGAGAGATCTCAGTCCAAAAAGGTTTACTGTTATCTCCTGCAACGAATTCCTGAACAATGTTGTTCACTTCTATCAAACTACAACCTGGCGTTTTCTTCATATTTTCGTTCCTTATCATCTTTCTCAATCTCGAAACATCCTCCCATTTTCCCAAATCTGCGTAGATATTGGCAAGCAAAACATAATTCCCCATATCCTCCGGCTCTAGCTCAACAAGATGATCCATTGCAACCAGTGCAACATCAAGATTGCCCTTTGTTCTGCAAGAGCTCAACAATGAACCCCAAATCTTTGAGTCAGGTTTCACCGGCATTGTCTTTGTTATTTCAACAGCTCGTTCTAGTTTTCCAGCTCTTGCTAAAACATCAATCAAACAACCGTAGTGTTCGATCTTGGGTTCTATCTGATAATCATGTCTCATCATATCAAAATACTTCAACCCTTCTTGCCACATACCAACATGTGAACAAGCTGATAAAAGACCAAGGAATGTGATCCCATTAGGCTTCACCTTCGCTCTCTGCATTTCATTGAATGTTTCGACTGCTCCATGAGCGTTCCCATGATGTGCATACCCTGAGATCATCGTACTCCATGATATAACATCTTTCCCTTTCATTTGGCCGAACAATTGGATAGCTTGACAAATCATACCGCATTTCGAGTACATTTCAATAAGAGCATTGCAAACACCAGTTTGTTTCAAAAACCCTCTTCTCTCTGCATACATATGGATCCATTTCCCAAGCTCTAAAGATCCAAGATGCGCACACGACGGTAAAACAGAAATGAGACTGATCTCATCAGGCTCAATACCAGCCAACTGCATTTCACGGAAGAAATCCATAGCCTCTACATAACAACCAATCCCAGTATACCCAGAGATCATCGCAGTCCAAGATACAATAGTTTTATCAGGCATCAAATAAAACAACCCTTTTGCTTTCTTCATCTGCCCAAGCCTTGCATATCCAGAAAGCAAACTATTCCAAGATATAACATCTCTCTCAGACATTTCATCAAACACTTTATGTGCATCAACAAGATCATCAAACTTCATATACATATCAATCAGTGCATTCTCAGTCACAACATGGAACCTAGGCCCGAATTTGTAGAGATGACCATGAACTTGCTTCCCTAAATAACATGATCCAAGACTTGCACAAGATTTAAACATAAACGGAAACGTGAACCGATCTGGAAACTCAATGCTCTTCATCAACAGTTGCTTGTAGATTCTGATCACATCGCAGTACAATGAATTGTGTGTATAAGCACGAATGATGGAATTGTATAAGAAGACATTAGGATTCGATACTTGGTTAAAAAGACGAGTAGCGTAATCCATATCTCCAAACTTATCACACCAATCCACCATTTTAGTGACCATGAAGCTGCTTTGTGATAATCCATGTATGATGATGGAGGCATGGATCTGCTTCCATTCATTTCGGCTTTTGACTCGCTGTAGGAAAGGTATAAAATAGTTTTCAACTTCTCTGATTCCATGAAACGCCATTAAAGCTAGCTTTGGAAGCTCGTGGTTGTGGAATCAAATTGGCTCCGACCAAACACCGTTAAACCCAGATGTGTTGTGTCTCTATGGGTTCACCATACTTGGGCCAAACGCTCTATTTCATTTCTAGGCCCATTTTCAATCTTTTTCACAGCCTATTTTCCAGCTTTGTGGCTTTGTGCACATTATTATTTCCAAATTTAAAGAACTTGTAAAAGCATAATCTTTTTTTTCTTCTCTCAAAAGAAAGACTACAAACGCACAAATAGTGTCTGAAATTCACAATACTGTCTGAATTCACAGCTTTTAGTCTAAGAATCCGTGAATTGGAAAGACGATTATGGAAGAGAGAGAGCTCTGGCGTGGTTTAATCATATCATCCTCTACTTCTTGGGCTTCACATCAAGGTCCATAGCCTGTAGGTTAAGCAATAGATCGTTAGAGCTCAAGTAAACCTTATTCGCCGACTTTGAGATGGTCTGTGCGATCTCTCTAGCTGCTTCGATCTTCCTCAACGTTAAGAACGCTTGGTTGTTTGCAATTGCTTGACCGATGAGCTGAGCACTCTTGGCTTCTCCCTACATAAACCCACGCAGAAACAACAGTTAGCAAGATTTAACACAATCTCTCGGGTTTTTACATGAGCTTGAAAAGAGAAAAACATTTTTCACACCTCGGCGCGGATAACAGCACTTCTCTTGTCCTGTTCAGCTTTCTCCACAATGAACTTAGCCCGCTCGGCCTCTTGAGCTGCCACCTGCTTTCCTTCTATGGCTGCTGTGAACTCCTTTCCAAATGTCAAGCCTGTGATGGACACATCATCCAGTGCAATGTGGAAGTTTGCAGCTCGTGCAGTTAGAATTTTCCTGATTTCTCTACTCACCGACTTGAAAAACCCCAACGAATAAAACACATCTCCATTAAAAGGGACAATAATTTACCATTGAAGAGGAATCAATAAAATGTATTTACAGCAAGTTAGCTAACCTCTCTCTGAGTAATAAGCTGGCTCGCGTTGTACTGAGCAACCACAGCTTTCAAGGTCTCGTGAATGATAGAAGGCAAGACTCTCTCGCGGTAATTCTCACCAAGGGACCGATATACCTCTGGTAGTTGGTCAGCCATAGGACGGGTGAGAACCCGAAGCCCAATCTTAACCTGAATGTGTAAATCCCACACAACATAAGCTTATCATGTAGTTCATATACCAAAACCCGATAAAACCCATTAGTATTAGAAGGGAGGAAATAAAGTGGAATACCATCTGGAGATCACGGCTCCCGGATGTACTCTCAACTAGATAAGGCTTTGCACGAACGTCATAGATAATTGGCCTTTCGAACCACGGAATCATAAGGTGAGTACCTTCAGGGTAGACCTACATAATCAATCAAGCAAAGATATACTATAAATAGTGCATCAAAATGACTTATGCAAACAATAATCAAAACTAGAATAACAACAAATCAACCTTGTTTACTTAAGCTAGGTGCCGCAAACACAAGATTCACGACAAACGCTAAGCCTAATCTAACTTGAGCTTTATATCACAACGACAAGATTCATTGTCAATTACAGATTCAAAGGAAACCAATTTTTTGCAGGGGGGACTAACCTTGTCTTTGATACCAACAAGCCGGTTAAAGACGATGGCTCGATGACCTCCATCGACATTGTAGAGAGTGTGTGTAGCGCCGTAAAGACTGAGCCCACCAATAACCACCGCAGCTATAACACCACCACCAGGACCTTTGGGAACTTTGACATTCTTAAAATTCATATTTTTCACAAACACCTGCAGATTTGAGAACCAAAATCAAAATAAAAATGGAGAATCGAAATGCTTTTGTAAATTAGACCCAAGGAAAAATTGGATCGACGACAAAGAAACGAAAATGATGTGCAAAATTAGCTGAAACGAGACAGAAACTTAGAATAAAAAAATTGGAGGCGAAGAGTCTGTAGCTTTATTCGCTTAAACTCAGAATCCGATCTATATGGAAAATGGCGAGAGGAAGTACCTGAAAATTCTGGAAATGGCGTGGAGAAGAGAGAAGAAGAGAGGGGTTAGGGTTTAAAGCTCAAGAATCAGGATTTTGTTGAATCTTTGGTCGATCACGCATTTTCTGTTACTAGAGATCTTTGGGCCCAACTTTTTTTATTCAAGCCCATTTAGTCAATTGTTAATAAACGGAACAATTCCCATATTTGACATTTCCTTACTTTCTTTTGATTAATAGATAACTATCATTTTGATTAATAGATTTTAGATTATTATCACTTACAAAAGTGTAACTTCAAAAACCATATTTTAGTTGCAAAGGCTCTTAAAAGTATGGTAAGAGTATTTAACCAAAAATAATCGTTAGGTGTGGTTATTTTTTGTTGATAAACTCACTCTGGTTTAGTAATCAACAAGGTTTATAAAACCAAGAGCTTAAGCTGTGATCATATACTATAAACGAACCAAACATTTAAAATAAATATTAAATGATATATTTAAGAATACATGTAAATATGTAATAAAGGAAGTATATTTATTTTATATAATAAATAAGAAGATTACAAAGCAGAAATTCCAAAACATAGATGAATCAAATCAGTCATGCAAACAAATTAAATTAAATGGTAGTTTACTTGGGAATGTTTCCCCGCTTTTAGTTAAGGTTCAAGAAATATATATAACCGAACAACAAAACAATGCAAAGCCAAGAACAATCCGTAGACTTGTATTCTTCATGCTTGATCCGGCAGATTTGTGCTCATCATCACCAGCCGGAGAATCGGCATCAGACGGTGAAGTTGTGGATTTCGGGGCCGGAGCTCCGGTGGGAGTGGTCTTTGTTCCGAACAACTCTTCGGGTAACAACACACTGTCCACCACGTAAACTGCTAGTGGAAACTGTTGTCTTAATGCATTATTGATCCGAGTCTCAACAACACCCGTCGAAACATTCACTTGGTTGCTTTGTGCTTGTCCTGTAAAATTTAACCCAAAAACGCCTCCTTCATATCCCGTAGCCTGAGTTCTAACGGGATTACTTGCTAAAAGAAGATCGCTCAGAGAGTAGTATTTTGGAATGATATGGTAGAGCATGAGCTGGATTTGTTGTTGATATGTGAGACTGTTTAGGGTTCCGGGTTTAAGGTTGTTGAATGCGTTATCTGTTGGTGCAAATATAGTCATCCCTTGATCAGAGCTATTGAGTTGAACACTTACCTGAAACCCGACTTGAGTTGTGTTGAGGAGTCGTATTAATGTAGTAAATTGGTGACCAGTTTCAAGAATCGCTGTGAGATTGATGGGACTTGTTCCGGTGGTTGGAGCTGGAGCAGTGGGTTGGCTTTGAATGTATGGGATGGTGAAAAGGAAGAAGAAGAGGACAACAGAAGATATAATTGATGAAGACATGGCTCCAAATTTGTTTTTTCCTCTTTGTGTGTGCTTATGCTAGAGTTAATTAAGCCTTTAGGTATATATAGAAAGAGTTTAAGGAGAGATTTAAGATGACATGTATGCGTGACTTGCAAAATGGAAGTGGATCCACTGTTTTTAACAACTTAGTCTACATTTTACGATAATGTTTATAATTAAGAAATGCAAAACACTATAAGAAGGTTGACAAAATTGTATTTATATGTATATTAAAATTATATATCCCAATTCCCAAATCCGATGAGAGATTCGTGGGGTAATATATATAGTATAAAACATACAAACTCATGGTTCACCAGTTACATTACACAACAAAAAACAACTTTAAAATGTTAGCTGGTCATGGTACATGAATATTGTTACATTTTTTAAGAATTGAAAATGATGTGGATACGTGTATATAGTCGAATGTAGGCTGGCATTGATAGGCAACGTGGGGGTCATATTACAACGACGAAACTGCTCTACATGACATTGGTTGGGAACAATTTGGGCTGGAACTGAAAAAACTCTCATTAGGGAATGACGAATGACGATACAAACGGCCCATCAAAAACATGGAAAATTAACCAAAACTGCTCTAAGCAAAGTTCGAATCATAATAATCGACTAATAAAGAAACTAATTCTTAAAATTATGTGACTTTTCTTATTACAAATTAGCGTTGTACAGACTACAGTTCATGGTTTAGGATTCAAATCGTTCGGACCTCTATATAACAGCCGCGTCGAAAATCAATTCAATCATTCTCAACCTGGCACATGGAGCGGAGCATGCATAAGCACGTGAGGACTGACGACGACGGCATTGCAAAAAAAAATCAAAGCGTATTTAGCAGCAGATTCAGACAAACTCATGTGCGTTTCTTAAAATGACGTTTATACCCCCTAATAATTATGTATTCACTCTATCCAATTTGACAGAAAGATGACGTTAATTTGAATTCTAAGGGTAAAAGCGTCAAAGTGTGTCTCTTTTTCCGAGGTAGCAATAGACAAATTGAGGAGACCGATAACTCAAGCAAACTCAGATTCTTGATAGCGATTTAACGAAGAAGACTAAAGAAGACCCAAGAGTCCCAATACAAAGGGCTGATTAATGTTTTCTTAGGCATATCATGGACTCTCTTTGTTCTCCGAGTCGAATCGTTCTGGTCACTTTCTTCCTCCTCTGCTTCTTCGCCGGAGCTTTATCGGCGAGAAGACCTGGTTTCATCTACACCAGACACAGAGGACGATGCACGCCACAGTAATCAATCAATCTTTTCTTTAAATCTTTAGCTGAGTCAGATCTAACTCGGTGGTGTTTTTTGAGTTTGGTTTCAGGTATTGGAGCAGCCAGAGGGAAGAATGGCCGAGGATGGTACCGGAGAGATCAACGGTAGAGAAAATATTCGGAGTGATGGTAGCAAAAGAACGGTGGAGATCTGATCTAACGCTAGTGGAATCAACGGCTAGGAATGACGAAGAAGGTAACGCGTACGGTGCGTTGCTGAAACAGGGGATCGCAGCTCTTGTCAACTCTTACGCGAGAAGAAGTTTCTCTTATGCACCATGGGAAGTGAAGACGATGCTGATTCAAGCCATGGTTTCGGAGCCGGCTGCTCGCCGGCAAGCCGAAAAGTTCGCCGTCGCTAACGTTGCTTGTGACTAAAAAAGACACTGAGAATCTAGTTACTTTTGTCGTCTTTAGGTTTGAATTTAAGCTTTTTGTCGTGTACCCAAGTTTGCTACTAGATAATGGGCCTACGTTTTTACAAAAGCTGAAAGGCCCAAATTAAACAGAGACCATGAGTGTTTTGTAATGTTTGGAAATGACTCTTCTTATATATTCTCTGTTTATTTATTAACCCGATTAGGGATATGTATATCCGTGTTTCCAAACAAATCTCTAAAATATGGTACGGACAGAGAAACCTCGTATCTCTCTAGGGCTTAAGGCAAAACTAGAAATCTAATCCCGTCTTCTTTGGTTTGTTCGTCAAGTAATTTTTTTGAACTTTCCTTTCTTCCAAACAATATAACAAGAGATATGTTGTTGTGTATATTAGTCTCAATCTAAATCATCTTCTGTGATTCTTTCTCGAGAGCAGCCTCTGTTTCTTCAAATCTTGTTGTACAATTCAATACGAAGAAGGTTGTTCTAATGGCGACTAGAAAGATAATTCGAGATTTACTGATCACAAAGCAGCCTATTTTACGTCAACTATTTCACCAACGAGTTCTGGTGAATATTTTTTTTTCTTTTTCTTCTTCTAGTGTTTGTGATTAAGATCACCAAATTGGTTGATTGATTTGGTAATTCTGTGTTTTGATTTAGAGAGGAAACGCAAGATCAGAGTTTCTTCCCGCTATTGGGTATTCAAGTCATCGTCGGTTCAGCGTTGTCAGCGAGTTCTCGAAGAATATTAGTGGAGAAGCTGATAGGTAATGCGAATTTGTTATGTATGAAACTAGAACCAGTGAAGAACAGAACCGTTCTACTTGTTGATGATGTTCTAAGTTCAATTTTTTTTAAACATTGTTGATGTTTTTGTTGTTGCAGCAATCCTGAATTTCAAAGAACAGTGAAGGAGCTTAAGGAAAGAGTAGAAGAGTTGAAAAGTGTAAAAGAGGACCTGCAAGTTAGGTAATTGCTCTTTACTTAGAGATAACATTGTGTGTTAAAGGAAGCTTATAAATGAAATGGCTAATGCAGAACGAAACAAACGACTGATCAGCTGTACAAGCAAGTTGATGGTGTGTGGACGGAGGCTGAATCTGCGGCCAAAAAGGTATGATTCTCGTTCACGAGCCTCGAATTGGCACGCTATCTGTCTTAGCTTTGTTTTGTAGATTAGTTTTGGTAACTAAATAGTTTTACTGATGAAAATTGCTTTAGTGCACTTTTAACTCAATTGTTATGTGTATGAGTAGCCAACTTTGTACATTGTAAAAGGCTAACAATCGTCCCTTACAAAACAGCTTTGACGGTGCAGGTCTCTTCAAGTGTGAAAGAAAAGCTCTCAGCAGCCACTGAAGAGGTCAAGGAGTCATTCAAGCTCGGGAAGGAGGAGAATGCAGAGTCAGCAAGTTCATCAGGCACAGGAACCTCTCAAGGAGAAAAACAGCAGCATCAGCAATCAGGTTCTACAGAGGAACTACATACATTTTTTACAAAGTTCAAGTCAAGTCTTGCTTCGCCAAAGGTATCCGAGGCGTTTTACAAGCTGAAGGAAGCCAAACCCTTTGACATAGTAAAGAAGACACTTGACATTGTGAAGGAGGAGTTGCGTGGAAACCCATCTAGAAAGAAGTTCTTAGAATATACACCTCCCCCGCCATTCACAGGTGAGAGAAGTATGAGAACGGAGATGGTGCTTACGCCAACAAAACAGTCTAAGTGGCAACAAAAGTGGGATTCCTTTAGAGAAACGGTAAGTGGTTCTCCTGTATTCAAACGTCTAAGCGGGATGAGTGAGCCTGTTGTCAACAAGAGCCAAGAGGTAACAAACATTGTCTCTTTACTCACTTTGTTCAGTTATCTTATCTTGCATTTACTCTCTTTGCTGATACTTCTTTATGCAGATTGCAGAAGATGTGAGGGAAATATGGGAAACCAGTGATAATCCGATTGTTCACAAGATTCAGGAGTAAGCTCTAATTGCTCCCTTACCATCTTCCCTAAAATGTAACTTGCTTTTTTCTCTCTTACATGTGCATTCATTTTGTTTTGGCAGTATGAATGAGATGTTCTTGAAGGAAACAGATTCTGCATCAACTTACAAAGAGATACGAAACCGAGATCCGTAAGTTATATAGATGCTTATTATTGGTATGAAGATGTGCCCCCTGGTTATAATATTCTTATCTTTTTCATGGTTAGATCGTTCTCCTTGCCAGACTTTGCTGCAGAAATTGAGGAAGTCATCAGACCAGTCTTGAATGCATACAGTGAGGTGAATCTCGTGTTTTGAAATAGATCATCTCCACCCATATCCTCGTTTATGTTGTTTCTAAGTAATTTAAATCTCTGTGCAGGGAGATGTTGAGACCTTGAAGAAGTATTGCAGCAAGGAAGTGATTGAACGGTGCACGGCAGAGCTCACAGCTTACCAAACTCATGGTTTCTTTTTCGATAACAAGGTAAGGTTTTCGTAAGGGATTCTTGTTCTCATGAAGTCATGTATATCCCTGAGTAAGTTGTTTCATTTTGATGTTACAGCTTCTGCATATATCTGAAGTTCGAGTTTCAGTGACAAAGATGATGGGAGATTCCCCAATAATCATAGCCAAGGTAATGATCTTTATCTTTTCTTGTGAGTTTAGCTAAGAATTGGATCTGATGGGGTTTGTCATCTTTGATGTCAGTTCCAAACGCAAGAAATCTACTGCGTTCGCGACAAGAATGGAGAAATCCAAGAAGGAGGCCAGGTAATTAAAAAGGAAACTATGAATCAAAATCATAAATCAAACCCCAAAACTTATGTGCAATGCCAGGGTCCTTACAGAATTTGTTGTTGTTGTTTTGTTGGATTTAGGACACGATACACACGGTGTACCACGAATGGGCAATGCAACAAGTGGAGACAACAGAGTTAGGTGAAGATGCTATTTATCCCATTTGGAGGCTCAGAGAGATGCGTAGAAATGGTGTTCAAGCTCTCATTTAAACCCTTTTTATTAATCTTTTAACCTTATAATAAAAGCTAAGCCTCTCTAATAGATATGATTCTTTAATTTATAGAAACAGAATAACTTTTTTAGGGCAAAATCATAAAAACAAATATGATTATTTATACTGAAGAGATTAGGTTTTAGGAAGCAGCGTAGAGATTAAGCAAGAAGAAGGAATACTGTTGGCTGCTTTTGTCTTGTCTTGCGTCTGATCTAAGCTGAACACAAACTTCTATATAATCCTCTGCTTATCTCCTTTTGCGTTACCCACCAAGTTTTTCTCATCTCTCTTCACTCTCTCAATCTCAACAATCTTAAGAGTCATGTCTTTCCTGAGAATTAGGCTTTTCCCTGCCAAAAGAGCTTGGAAAAGCTTCACCGCCAGCTTCCATAAACTCCGTAGATCCAAAACTAAACACCACACCAAGTACAGTGCAGCAACTTCGGACAAACATTTCTTTCGTTCAAGCCACACATCCGGGAAGAAGCTTCGAGACAGAGATTCCCGTGTTTTTTTCACCCGTCTAAAGAGAGGTTGTTTGTTCAAGAAGAAACGCAAAGTTGTTGTCTACATTGATAAGCTCTTCAGGGAACCTATGGCTGTATCCAATTGGATTCCAGCAAAGCAGTGGAAGCCGAAGGAGGAATTGTTTCCGGAGAAGGGAATAGACCAAAGAGCCGAAGAGTTCATCACTAGAGTGAAAGCAGAGATTCTCGCTTCACGCAACTTGTAGTACCCATCATCAACACAATGTATCAAGACTTGATAAGTAATAATTCTTCTGTGTATAAATAGACCAATTACAACTATTCTGTACAAAATTCTTGTCTTTGGCTTTTAGCTCGAGTCTGTAATCATTCTTGTAAATCCTATATATTACATATTGCACGTAGTAACAAGAGGGATACTAATAAAATAATGGATGTGTGTACTTAGTGAAAAAGGTCACCTGATTATGAAATTGCCAGTTTGATGAGAAACCTGCACAGGCATTTTAGTCCTTTGAAATCCGAACGATCAGCCCAGAAGTTGTCTGAACAGTTTTCAGGTGACCGGAGCCAATGAGATCACGTATGTGAAATCTCACATCCAGAGGAGAGAACCGGAGCCGTTTCTTTTCAAGCTCTGCCAAGAACATCTCTTTATGCCGCTTGCGCTTTAACAATGAGAGGAGTTCGTTCCTTCCCTGATTGTTGGATTGAGGGCAAGCAAAGGTTATAACTTATAAGGAAATCACTTTGGGGGAGGAAATTAATAAAACTATATATAGAGGTACCTGCAATAGACCCTTCCACAGTTTACCGATACTTGGAATTGCAAACCAGTACATGTCTGGATCGATAAGTTGGCGTGTCTAAGATAAAATTATTTCCAGTTAAAAGAGAGAATGAGATACGTGGAGCATAGGGGTAGAACTGTTTACTTACGAGAAGGCCTGCGTTAATTAAGAGAGTGATGTGTGCATCTTTCACCTTTCCTCCCAATGACAACAGCGAAAACTGCAGATAAATATTGATAGATTGTGAAAATTCTAAACTCATGTAGACAGAAACTGATTAGTAGAGAGCAAAAAAATTAAGTGACGTACTAGCTCATGATGTCCAATACTAGGTTCAAGTTTTGAATCAAGGACATGCCCTTTGAACCACTTAAAAACTTCAAGATCACTCTGTCTCTTCTCTTCCATCCTCTTCACTATTCGATCTACCTAACATATGGATTATAAAAACAATGAGGATTGTCGTTTTTAAATGTTTTCCACATATATTGATTAGCTAAAAATTGGAAGAATACCAATAGTAAGAAATCAAAACTATTCATGAGACCGTTCCAAAAAACTAAAGCTAACACACACATGAACAACACCAAAGCCTCTTGAAATGCAGCAAAATACCAACCTGGTTAAGATAGTCATCCAAAAAGATAATTGCATGATCATCTTGTCCAGTGTTGAGTTTGAAAACACGAACAACTTTATCCCTTCGTAAACACTGCACCAAATTCAAATTGATCAATCCAAAGAACTCAAGGAAGTCCAATAGATATGATAAAAGATGGGAAATTTGATAGAACCCAAAATACAAACATTCGACAAGCAAATATAGCAATAGCAATAGCACCAAACTAGTTCAACCAATAAAACCGCAATTACGTTATAAATGCAAATGGAGAGGGTTCTAAACTTACTAAGAAACACCTTAGAGATACAATGCAGAGGTTATAATTTCATTTGTTCGATGCACAATTGCACATTTCATTTTTCTAAAGGTTTCATTTTTCAAACCAAAACCACACCTTTATAAAGGAAGTGCAGAAACAGAAAGCATTACCTCTAATTCTCTATCGACTTGGGTTCTATCATTGACACTACTGTATAACTGCGACTGTAATATGAAAGGTGGGATCGAAGCCTGAAACAGATGAACAGAGGCAGGAGACGAAACAGCTATAAGAATACATCAATGTACAAAGGAATTGACAAAACTAGAAGAAAAAAAGGAGATACTTTTATGGTGTTTAACTAATTTTCAGAGTGTCCAATTTAGTCAAATCGATTCGAATAGAATGGAACCTGGTCAATACGAGGAAACTGAGCTCTCATCATTCTTAGTGCAACAGAAGTGTCGCTAAAGGTGAGATCATCCTCTGATACGAACAGAGCAACCATCAATTTTGAATTAGAGCTACAATCTCTCCCAATTACAAAAGATTCAAAACTTACCGAGAGGAAGACATTGATCTTCGGATATTGCTCCATCTTCAATTGCAGTGTGACTACAACCCACTTCTTCATCTTCTTCCTCTCGCCGGCGTTTCTTTGCTCCAGAGGCGGACGATTCCGGATTTGTTCTTTTCTTCATTTTTTTTTCTTTCTCGCACAAAACAAACTGTGAAAAAGAATTTTATCAACAAACGGACAATTTTTCATGGGCCTTGAACAAAAGGGCCAAAAGGCCCAAAACATCATTTTTCGTTGGTATTTTTTTCTAATGTAAAATTTTGTGTGTATTGCTGTTGCTGATCGGTTATCGGTTCGGTTCAATTCGGTTTCGGATCTTTCGGTTCTAAAATATAGTATCTATTCGGGTATTTTAAAATTTCGGTTCGGTTTCAGTTCGGTTCCAGTTTTTTCGGTTTTAATATTTAGTATTCATTCGGTTATTTTGCTTTGGATATTTTCGGATATTTCGGTTTTTTTGAGTATTTTCGGATATTTTGGATATTTTTCGGTTAGTTTCGAGTATTTTTACTATTTTTAATATATTTTCAAATATTTTTGATTATTTGATCTATAAATAACTAATATTATTAAAAATATAATTGTATTTCGGGTATTTTCGGTTATCCGAAATATTTCGATTTGGTACCGATTCGGTTACGGTTCTTTGGGTTATAGAATTTAGTATCTATTCGGTTATTTTCAAATTTTTAGTTCGGTTCGGTTCTTTTTGCTTCAGTTTCGGTTCCGTACATTCGGTTCGGCTTATTTGCCCAGGCCTACTGGTTACGGTGATTCTCTGTTTTTGGTTTCTTACTTGCGCCATTAGTAGACAAGAAAAAAAGACTTTGCCTAGTAGTAAGCTTTATATATCCCCTAAAGATTCTTGAATAATTTTGATCATAAATGGGCACTCTCAAATTCTTCTTGTAAATCAATTTTAAGTGTCAGGCTTGACGAGGATAGGTAAAAATTGCTCTTAACTCATACTATATGAACTTGAAGGCAATATGATCCCATTACTTGCGCCATTACAAAGAAGGTTTAAGTCGACATTTCATTAAGAGACAACATAGCAATTAAAAAGAACATCAAAACCAACACAAAGCAAGTAATTTGCTTCTTAGCTTTCATCAGTACTTGACAGGTGCGTTCTGGGTTGGTAAGAGACCAAATCGCTTCTTCAACAATACTCTCTGCTTTGAGTATTTATCATCAGGGGAGAACCGGGCTGCAAATAGCACAAAACATTTAATGGTTTATTTCTTTGCTGAATCAAACTATAAAAAAGCACAAAATGGTCTCTAAGTCTAGACTCACCTGGATGGGCCGATTCAGTGGCTAGACCTAGTGGTGATTCCTTCTGCAACAATGAGTTTGATACATGTGTAAGCACAAAGTAACAACACAATTTGTAAATGGAAACAGTGAGCAGAGTTTCAGAGAGTCCATGACCAAAACCAAACTCATAGAAAAAGTATCAACAAGTATGCTTTTGAGAACCTCTACAAGAGATTAAAACATGGAAATCTAATAATAACAAGTCAAACAAAACCAAGCTCAATGTGTATGAAAGAACTTGTATATTCCTAGCTTAAGATAAATCAAACAGCAAATTTTAAAATTAAGCAAACAAAACAAAGCTTCATGTGTATCTACGAAATTTATAACCTTTAACAACTATTGACATGTATATGAAACTACCTATAATAAAGTCTGTAACTTTCCTCATGAACAAAGTTATAAACTAACGAATTAAGAATATTGAAGAAGAAGAAGAGATGAACAAAAGTGAAGGTACCTTAGTGGTGTAAACCTTGTCACCCTTCTCGTTGATATAGCACTGAAGATACATCTTTTTTTAATACCTGTGTAGATAATTAAAGTTAGAGCTGACGACAAGAGAAAACAAAAGTAACAAAGCTGATTAAGAGATTCACGAGACAAGATTGTACCTCAGAGATGTTTCTTGGTTCTGAATTTTTTGGAGACGACAAGCTGATTAGGGTTTTTCTGGAGCAGATGGAAGCAGAGGTTTTACGGCGACCCTCGTCAATGTGTATATAAAGTTCTCGAAGAAAAAACTAATGGGCTTTTTTGACAAAAACTTGTTAAGCCCAATATGGGCCTAATGTATTAAAGCCCAACTATTGGACTTGTGGTTCCGTCACCTCGGTGATACTCAATCCCTAGAATTTCCGATAATCGATTCTCCGGCGAGAAAGAGAAAACGATGAAGAAATCTACAGAGACTCCGGCGAGATCAAACGCAACTGTTAAATCTCAGAAACCTCCTTTCCGACCTGCCGTCGATGACACCAAACCTGTTCTTCAGGACCCTGTAAGGATCTCTCTCTCTCTCTCTGTTCTCCGTCCATTGTGTGTCTTCGATGTCCTTAACGATGACATTTGAGCTAAAGATCACTAATTTCGATTTCAATTTTCAATTTCTGCTCTCGTTTTTCGGTTTTGTTAACTGAGTATTATCTGGGATGTGAAAGTTAATTGATTCACCGAAGAACGTGAATATGTAGATAGAAAGAACTTAGAGCTTCAGATTAAACACAAATTTTTGTTTTTTTGTAATAAACGGGCCAATTTTCTTTCGGATTTGAAGTATAGATAAGAATTTCAAAGCCAATTGGGGAAGCTCACGTCATTTAGAAACCATTAGCAACTTCCATTTGAATACATTCTAGTTACAAAGAGGATCATTTTCACTGTTTGGAGATTGATGCATCGACGTTTTTCCATAATGAAATTCTGAGTTCTTTCTTGTGCGGGTCGTACTGTTTTGTGCCAATTGTTTAAAGTGTTGATGTAACATCTGGAGTCCAATGGCTCTTCTTAGGTTTATTTTCTCAATTCATGTTATCTTGAATGATTTGGTGAATCTTAATGCAGTTTGTAACATTTATTTTTATTAGATTCTGAGATCCGATCCAATGGAGACCGAAGAAGCTGTGCTGAGATTGCCTCCTTTCCCAGTGATCAAACCATCTGAATCGTAGCTACCCGGATTTACGAGGTTTTTTATCTGATTCGTTTGACATTTTGAGGTTGTTGTTGCTTGTAAAAGCCAATGAGGATTTTGTGTATGCTTGATAAGGTTAAATTACAATCCCATGTTGATTAGTGGAGACAGAGCTTTAAGAGTTGATTTAGTATTAGAGCATCTTTGTGCCTGCACTGCACCAGAGTAAATTTTCAATAGAAGTCACTCTCATACATTACCCATCACATGTAATTAGTATATGCATGCAACATTTAATGACGTAAATGACTTTGAAGGGTAAAGTTTCTTTAGCTGTTTGATTATAGTGTTGAGGACTTTTGAATCTTTTTTGATACTGTTGTTGTTGGGGCCTTGATTCTTCTTCAGCTTGATGAACAAAGACAAGTGTTGCAACCTTTTGATTTACTTAGAAGGGTTTGTATGCATCATGTGATTCTCACGTGGAGACAGTTAAATGGTTGTTGCAACGAGTCAGGGTTATAGTGGTCTTTACTAATTGGAAATGGGGAATGTTTCTTTTCTTAAACAAAATATTATTGATTTTGTAGACTTTTGAATCAAATATACGTGTATAAATAAAAAATCCAAACATAACTTGATTTTTCTATAAAAATATAAAACCAACAAAACAAAAATGGAGAAAAAGTCTGCATGAAAGCATAAGAGAAAATCACGGTGAGAACGAAGGCAGACATTGAACATTTCTTCATCAACATTGTAAATGCACCAATGTACATATACATATATTATACATGCTTATCGGATTAAATGGTATATACCATAAGATTCATGCGAAATAGGTGCTAGGCTTGAGAGACTTTCACGCTCATTCAATTCCTCTTTTCTTCTCTTTCTCCTTTCCTGACTTTTGTTTTTTTTTCCTGCTTCGCTTTGAATCTGTCACGTTAAGGTGGTTATTGAGATTTTCAAAGATCTTAATGTGTTTTTGATCCTCTGTTTCTCATATGATTCCAATTCGTAAGGTGATGTTTTGATTATAGTGAATGATGTGTGTTGATTTCGATATTATTGTTTGTTATGCAGAACGATTAGTTGATGAGAAGATGATGAATCATCACTGAAATTTGAGTTTTTAAATCTGTGTTGGGTGTTGAAGAGTAATGGATTCTGCAAAAGGTTGGTTTCAGAAGAGGCAGATGCGTGGAGGATCCAGATATAAGGGTGCTTCAGGTGGTGGTGGAAGTAATGGCTCTGCCGATGAGCACAACGTCGAAACTGATGAAGAAGCTGTTTCAAACACTACCAAACAGAAAGTTGCAGCAGCTAAGCAGTACATTGAGAATCATTACAAAGAACAGATGAAGATTCTGCAAGAGAGGAAAGAAAGGTATTCTCTTGTTTCTCTACCAAAATGTACATCTCTTATTTGCAAATGCAACTTTCTTGCGTGATTTAGTATGTTTTCTTGATTCTTCATATATTTTAAACAGGCGAAGCATGCTAGAGCAGAAGCTGGCAGATGCTGATGTGTCTGAAGAAGATCAAAATAATCTTCTCAAGTTTCTGGAGAAGAAGGAGACAGAGTATATGCGCCTTCAGCGGCATAAGTTAGGTGTTGCTGATTTTGATTTGCTTACAATGATTGGGAAAGGTGCTTTTGGGGAGGTATGTTTTCTTGACTCCATCTGCGTGGGAACACAAATTTCTTTGGTTGTTAAAAGGATATGTTGTTTGTTGTTGTTTCTCTAGGTTAGAGTTTGTAGAGAAAAGACGACAGGTCAAGTTTATGCAATGAAAAAGCTCAAGAAGGCGGAGATGCTTCGCAGAGGCCAGGTGCGACTTCCCTATCTATTGCTACTTGATGGTCTTTTCTGTGAATCAATCATCTTTTGACTTCATAACTCATTTTTTTTCAAGGTTGAACATGTGAGAGCAGAGAGGAACTTACTTGCGGAAGTGGACAGTAACTACATAGTGAAGCTTTACTGTTCATTTCAAGATGATGACCATCTTTACCTTGTGATGGAGTATTTGCCTGGTGGGGATATGATGACTCTGCTGATGCGCAAAGATACTTTGACAGAAGAGGAGGCCAAGTTCTATGTCGCTGAGACAGTTCTAGCTATCGAGTCCATCCACAGGCACAATTACATCCACAGGTTCAGTGAGAGTAAATCAAACAACTTTAGTTAATTGTTCTCTAGCATTTTGGGTGAACTTATCTTCTTCTTTTTGCCTTTGTAGGGATATCAAGCCAGACAACTTGCTGCTTGACAGATATGGGCATCTAAGACTTTCAGATTTTGGATTGTGTAAACCTTTGGACTGCAGTGCCATTGGAGAGAACGATTTTTCAAACAATTCCAATGGATCTACGGAGCAAGAGGCTGGATCAACTGCTCCAAAACGCACACAGCAGGAACAACTTGAACATTGGCAGAGGAACAGGAGAACGCTAGTAAGCCTTCATATTCAACTTTGAGATTTTCGATAGAGTTTCTCCCTCTGTATGTGTCTTATTATTAATACATGAAAACGTCAGGCTTATTCTACAGTTGGCACACCAGATTACATAGCTCCAGAAGTTCTGTTGAAGAAAGGCTATGGAATGGAGTGTGACTGGTAAGAACTTGAGACTCTTTATTGTTTGTGCCATTATCACAGACTATTTGCATACGTACTCCATCATATTTTGATGCGTTTAGCCAATTTGAAAAAGAAGAAAGTTAGTACATTGCGGTGTTGTGCAATGTGCACCTTTTGCATGATTTTTCAGACTCAAACACAGTCAAGAATGTGTTTGTTTGGTGATCGTGAACTGGATCTTGTTAGGAAATGCTAACCAATCCTTGTTTATTATCTCTAGCTGCTTTTGTCTATTAGCTACCACTGACCTCAAGCCCATACTCACATTTGAATAAGTATATACATTTTTATGGGTTTCAGCTACTACTCTTATGATGCATTACTTAGTGAAAGGGACCATCTTGAAGCAGTATTTTTTGACACTGTCTACATTTGCGCTTTGGATAGGACGCTAATGCAGTTTGCTCAATGAAATGCTCTGTAGGTGGTCTCTTGGAGCAATCATGTACGAAATGCTAGTAGGATATCCGCCGTTTTATTCAGATGATCCTATGTCAACCTGTAGAAAGGTAATTGTCGGAAAACAAATCTACAAGGAAACCAAAGAAAAACAGTCACATAAATGACACTTTTTACCTTCCAGTGACACTGACATCACATCAAACTCTTGTTCCCGATGTTGGTTGCAGATAGTAAACTGGAAAAGTCATTTGAAGTTTCCAGAGGAGGCAATATTGTCAAGGGAAGCAAAGGATCTTATTAACAGTCTGTTGTGCAGTGTCAGACGTAGGCTTGGTTCCAAAGGTGCTGATGAAATAAAGGTGTCCTTGTACTGATTTCTTTAAAAGCTTTTTTTGTTTTGTTTGGATGCATGAATAGCTTCTCATATCCGCAACTAAGCTACTGTGTCTTTGAATGCAGTTTGATTATATATATAATCCAAAGCCTGTGAAAATTAAAGTGCATGATTTTGTTTTCTGCATCTGCAGGCTCATCCATGGTTTGAAACTGTTGATTGGGATACAATATTCGATATGGATGCAGCTTTTGTTCCAGAGGTCAATGACGATTTAGACACTCAGAATTTTGAGAAGTTTGACGAGGTAACAAATCTTTTATCCCATCATATTTCTTTTGGATTTGATGGAAGCATAACAAGATCGATTCCTATACGGAAGAAAGTTGCAGATTGATTAATTCTTTGTTTTATTTGGAAATGCAGTCTGAATCGCAAACTCAGACATCATCCAAGTCTGGCCCATGGAGGAAGGCAAAACCATATTCCCTATCTCTGAACACAATTGCTTGCAGAGATTCAAAACTGCTTTCTTCTTACATGCCTTTATGTATAATGGTTTCCGCTTTTACTTCTGCAGATGTTGTCGTCAAAAGACATAAACTTCGTAGGGTATACGTACAAGAACTTTGAGATTGTTAATGATTACCAAGTTCCTGGAATGGGTACACACTAGATCACTGGTTCTTGTATTTGATTGCAATTAGTTTGAATGTTAACTTTAATGATGTTTTGTAGCGGAGTTGAAGAAGAAGAAAAAGTCGACGCGACCAATGGTCAAGTCACTCTTCGGTACGCAACAACCTCTTTTGCTGGTCCAACATTTGGCTATTTCCATGTGAATCTTGAATATGCATGTTTTTAATTTGTTTTGTGTGTGTTTGAACTGTTCCCATAGATAATGGATCATCGGAGACCTCAGATTCATCAGAAACAACCTCGAGACCGCCTTGTGATCGACCTCCTCCTGCTCCTCCGGTTGTTCAGGGAAGCTTTCTGAAACTTCTACCACCAGAACTTGAAGTGCGACCAAAGCAAGAAGGATCTGAAGCTTGCTAAAACAGAGAAGAGAAGTTTTTATTTGTCAAAGGTTGGAGTTGAGTTGTGTCTCAATGTTTTAGGCGGTAGCAAACCGACCACTCCTGTTATAACTTTGGACAAGACGCAGTTTGGTTCTTAATTGACATGAAAAATACATGTATTGATATATAATCTTGTTTATAATTTTGCTTGCCAATAATAAAATTCGCGTTGAAGATAAAACTAAAAACATATTTATTTTGTATATACTACTTGAAAACATATTTCAACTCCTATATATGTGTCAATTACTATTTTTTTTTTGTACTTTTAATTTTCTATAACCTTAAATGATGTTGCAAAGACAATCAATATCAACCAACCGTCTTGTTATAGCTCTGCCAATTGTCTGAAGAAGATATACTATAGCTTTGCCAAAAAAAAGTCTTGTCAAAATAACGGCAAAAATCTACCAAAATACTAGTAAAGTCTACCAAATCTAATGTAAAATTTGAGCAAGGCTCTACCCTATAGCAGATGAAACGATATTTTATTGTGAAGCAAAGGACTATTAATTAATAATTTAATACATACCAATAATTTTGAATATTTACAACCATCATAACTTTTAGATATAATAATATTTCGAAAACTGAACTAAATATGCTGAAAATACATATTTAATTATGTACAAAAATAATAATAATACTTGACCAATGTTGAAATATAGTAAAGTGAGAAAATAAATTGCAATGTACAATATATCTATATATAGGGAATTTAAATTAATAGATTATCTTTGACCAGGAAAAGAAAACACCTAACATATTTTGTTGTGAGCAGAAGATTATTAATTAATACCAATAATTTTGAATATTTACAACCATAATAAATTTTTAGATATTATATTTCAAAAACTTAACTAAATATGCTAAAAATACATACTTAGTTATGTATAGAAGAATAATGTTACTTGACCAGTGTTGAAACTTAATAAGGCAAGAAAATAATTTTCAATGTGCAATAAATTAAAAAAATGTATTTAGTTTGCATCATTGACCAGGGAAAAATACACTTAATTATATATATAATCAGTTTTGGTAAAGAAAAAACTCATTAGAAAAAGAAAGTTTGGGAGAATATCATTAAAATGGGATTTTCCCCAAAAACTTTAGTCGCATTTTGTTTTAGTGTCCTCTTCATCATATCTTTTGTTCATTGTCTTCCTGTGACTCCTGTTGGAAGTCCGGGTAATTGTTTATTGTTATTTATACCTTCACTTTTGTAATTATGAATAACATGATGATTTAACTCATTGAATAATTATTGTTAATCATGTATATGTAGGTAATGAAAGAAAGCTAATTCCTCGTCCGGAATGGAGATGCTACGAGGATGATGGGTGTCGTAAGGGACAAGTAGCAGGCTGCGATCGTTATTGTAAAGGAATAAGAATTACTTACGGCATTTGTATTGGAGTCCGATGTTGTTGTTTTGAAGTTACACCTATTCCTCCTCCTACCTAACTAGTACGCCTATCTATTATATAAGATGAAACTATCTAATCAAATGAATAAATAAATTAATCATTTTAATATACTGAAGATTTAGAGCTGAGTACATAAACTTTACCAAATCGAAGTCCAAAAAATGCAAAAAGAATATATTTGACTCTGAGGAGTGTCCGAGCTAGTGTGCGTGCAGTTTTGAATGCTTGCTACATATTTACATGTAATATTGCGTGTTGTTGGTGATATATGTTAGGGGCTTTAAACAAATTAAGGGTTCTGATGATGTGAGAGACCTAAGCTTAGGGTGGAGATGCATAAATTAAAAAAGGTTCCATGTATAGGATTACATGCAGAAAGACAAGAGTCTCCCCCAGAAGAAAGTTAGTACATTGTCTTGGTGTTGTGGATGATTTTTCAGACTCAAACGCAGTGAAGAATGTGTTTGTTTGGTGATCATGACCTGGATCTTGTTAGGAAATGCTAACCAATCCTTGTTTATTATCTCTAGCTGGTTTTGTCTATTAGCTACCACTGGCCTCAAGCCCATACTCACATTTGAATAAGTATATACATTTTTATGGGTTTTAGCTACTACTCTTATAATGCATTACTTAGTTAAAGGGACCATCTTGAAGCAGTATTTTGTGACACTGTCTACATATACACACTTTGCATAGGACACTAATGCAGTTTGCTCAAATGAAATGCTCTGTATATATAAAAAAATTATATAATTTTGCTTGCCAAAATAAAATTGGCGTTGAAGATAAACAAAAGATAATTAATTTGTATATACTTGAAAGCATATTTCGATTCATGTGCAGGGGATATAGGTCAAAACTATGTGATGAGCCTCTTACAATTTAAATGTGCAGTCCTCAGGGAAAAGAAAGACCATACAGAATGAAAGAAAACGATGGTAGAGCCTCTTACAATTGCATCCAATAGCTTACTTACATAACAAGTTAATGCTAGGATTTTTCTTTCCTTTGATCATTTTGGAAAACTAACAACAATTTTTGGTGGTAATTATATATGTGTTAATAACTTAATATAATCCTTTAATTTTGTTTCACTTCTTTTTCCATATGAGAGTCTTTTTCAACAGATGGAACGTGTGGGCTTTCAAAAGTTATTTCCTAATGTGTTTAGAAGAACAGAAACTACTCTTTATTGAATCGTGCATGTGTTTAAAGGCAATTCCAAAGATATAATCAAAAACATAAAAATATCAGTTCACATAAACGAAGGGGTCTTCTACCCAATCAAGCATCCAACAAAAGGTGCAAACACAAAATATCCGATAGAAAAGCTAACACAACAAAAGACATAAAAAGCCAAACCACCGATAAAATGTTAACAAAACAACTAAAGCCGCAAATGCAAAAAAGAAAAGGGTAAAAAACATTACACCAACATACCACCAGCTCTTTCATCTACTTACCGGAAGAAGATGCCTTGTCTTGTTTGAATAACACAGAAGCTGTGTCGTTTATAAATCCAATCCTCATCATAACAAGCTCCGCTTGCATAGCTTGCAACTTCTTCAAAATAAATTCCAACTCTCTCTTCTCTGGTCCATCTTTGACCTTATCCCAATTTGCAATCCACTTTGCTTCATCCATTCCCAACATAGTCGGATTCTCAACCGTAATGAAAGAAACCAACTCTTGACCATAAGACAAAGGAGAACTTATGACATGTTTCTCTCGATCTTCGTCTTCATCATCCTTTTTGACTTTTCCTCCAAGCTGCTGTCCTTGGAGCATTGTCTTTGATTTGGAAGACAAAAAACCGTTACTTCCCCAAATCTTCCTAGATAAATCAAAACATTTCTGGTCAAAACCTTTCGAAGAAAAAATCTGTTCTTCAGTCTTTCCTTTTTCAAGGGACTTGAGAATTTTTTCATCAAATTTTCTCCTCAAATTCCGAATTTTGGTAACTAACTGATCTGTAGAAGCATCAAAACTAATCGATTTTTTGACATCCTCATAGAAAGCATCACTAGGGTATTCACTCCTAGTATTGAAATCTATGATACTTTGAAGGATAATGACTTCATCCTCTTTGCTGAATTTCCTGGCAAACAGATTTTGCTTTGGCTTTTCGTCGTTCTTCACATCATCCTCGCTCATCTTCATTTTCTTCTTACTCCCTTCATCTGTTTTCTCGCTTACTCGCTTCGTTCCCACGTGACTCGGTTTGGTGGTCGTCTTAGAACCAGAAGGCTGGTTCACAACACTGGTAGGAACCACCGGCTTCTTGGAATGCGCTTCTTTCTTTGATACGAATCCATCCGAAGAGTCAGACTCTTCACCAAAAGAACCAGATCCTTTTTCAGTAGAGTCAGACTCTTCACCAGAAGAACCAGACTCTTCTTCTTCAGATGCCGATGCCATCGGAGGACTCTCGAACTTTTCGGGCTGCTTGGGTGCCATTATTCAATATACGAGATGCAAAAGACTCTTCTTCTCCTCTATCTTTGTTTGCTTTTTGAGGTTTATCAAGTTTGTTCGTAAAATGGAAGTGACGCTTTAGGTTCCAAGTAGTGTTTAATTCATGCATGTAATTGGTTTAGTAGTATCCTCGTCACTTGGTCCAATTAGCCGTAATATTTTTAATTTTTTCTTGTAATTTGTATAAATCTAATCTTGGAAAACAGGAATATTAGACACAGAGGTTTATCTATAAATCCTGTCATTGTAATAAAAATATTCATATTAAAATATATGAGATATTCCACCCACTTTTCTACACTTTTCTATTTTATTTTTATGATGAAATATATGAAAATATATTAATTCAAAACTTATATATATATATATATATATATATATATATATATATATCAATTAGGTTGTGTCTGGATCCTCTCACAGAAAACCCTAGCGCGAGAAAGGGAATTGATTGATCACTTGGATAATCAATCAATGAAGGGAAGATGTGTGATTCGGGGATGTAGTAGTCAACTAGAATTGAAGAAGAAGAAGAATGAGACGGAGGTGTGTGGGTTATGGTCGGTGCCAGATGATGTGTTTGTGTACTGCCTGGCTCCTAAGTTGTCGAGATTGGACCTCGTGGCCTTATCGATGGTCTCCAGGAGTTACCGGTTTGTCGCAGTGCTCCATGAAATCAGGGCCTTGAGGTCTCTGAGGACCGTCGATTTATATATGTACGTATATATGCACATGCATCCAGATCCAAGCCCACGGTGGTTCGTCCTCCACCCCGTGCAACATCGGCTGAAACCGGTCAACTTGAACTTGTATCCAACCCCGGCCCTGGTAGCAGGATCCTGTTTCGTGGAGACGGGTTGGGGAATCTATATCATCGGTGGACTCGTGAACGGCAAACCCACAACGGAAGTCACGTTTTTCGATTGTACTGATCACGAAGTGTGCCGCGTTACGCCCATGAAGATAGCTCGAAGCGGAGCAGCGGCATGCTTGATAGACAGGCAGAAGATATACGTGTTTGGAGGGTGCTGGGATGATGTCGCTGCTGATTCCTCAAACTGGGTAGAGGTATATGATATCGAAACCGGAACTTGGGAGTTCTTGTCTGTGTTTACGCCGAAGATGCCTCTCAAAATCCGACAAAGTGTGGTGATATTCCAGGAGCGTGTTTACGCGGTGGATGAGGATGGTCAACTCTTTATTTCTCCAACAAGTGAATGGAAGTTTAAGGCAGAAGGAAGAACAGAGTCTAACCCAGGAAATAGAAACGACTGGCTTTTCGCTGATCATACACTTTTCTGCCGTGGTATCGGCGGGAAAATACTGTGGTGTTTTCCACCTGAGTTGGATTGGAAGGAAGTGAAGGGCTTGGAAGACCTGCAGCAGCAACACTGTGGTTTTGATATCATCAAACTCTGCCTCTACTCGAATGATAGAATGGCCATCTTCTGGGAAGCCCGCGGGTCTCAAGGTCCTGATCAGATTTTGGAGCTTTGGTGTGCCCAGATTTCCATGGAGAGACGCCCGGAAGGCGGGGTATTGGAGATTTGGGGGAACATTGAGTGGTCTGGTGCTGTCCTCTCAGAATCATCATATACTGGCCTTAACTTGTTATTTGTTGGTTCTTTCTATGCCTGAATATTCTCAATCCTTGTGCTTAAAAATTTGATCAGAATCATCATCATCATCATCATCATCATGGTTGCTTTTGTTACAAGCATATCTCTATCCTCTTTTCATGGGTTTCTTGTTTCAGTTGCTTCTTTCTGTACCAAAAAAAATTAGTGACTTTATAACTGAGATGATACGTAATATGGGCTTATACTTGTATTATCTAGTTCTGGCGCTTACTGGTGAAGCATGAAGTAGCCAGCTCCAACTCTTACATTTAGTAACTCTATGCCCTGGATTATTAATATTTTAAATATCAATGTTGACGTGATTTTTTTTTTCTTATTACGTAATATAATTAGTTCTAAGTTCATATAATGAACCTAGGAAATGAAACTTTGGATTTGGTTTTCCTATGGCAAGGAGTGGGTATCCGTACCGTGCAAAGGCCTAGTGGATGATCCTTCATCGGATTCAGTCATCTCATGGAGTAACAGTAACAAGAGTTTCGTCATTACGAATCAGGGAGAGCTAATACGCACAAAGACGCTTACAAGATTCTTTTGCAGCAACCTATTGGAGGTTATTTGGAGAGTAAGATCTATATCTTGGAGACTAAGTAATATGAACCATTAAAGTTGGTTTATGAAGTGAAGCCCATGAAACTTAATATGGTATCAAAGTCCGAACACACGCTAGCCGGCTAATCCGACCAAAAAAGTGACCCGATCACTCCCACTAATGGATGGTTTAAAAAAATGCCTAATTCTGACGAGGTAGCTAGAAAACATTATTTCGAGGAGACGGGATAGATTCAGGACCGGTCCAAACTATTTTTATACCTAAAGCAAAAGAAAAAAATTGAGCCCAACTAAGAAACAAAACTAGAAGAAAAATCCCAAAAATAGCAGAGATGAGACTCAAACTCTACATCTCAAGGTCAGGGGCGGATCTACAGTGTAAGGGGGTGGGGCACGTGCCCCATACTCTTTCTTAATAATTATTAAATTTATCAACTTATGGCATGAATATCTCTTAGCTCAATTGGAAGGAGTGCCCCATGTAAGCTTAAGGGATCTGAGTTCGATGCCCATTAACTACAATTGTTTTTCAATTTATTTTCTTTCCCACAGTTTTTATTACTTTAAAAAAAAAATTATTACTTAAATATGATTGGTGCCCCATACAAATTTTCATCCTAGATCCGCCACTGCTCAAGGTCAAAGAAACACAAATCTACCACTATGCCACAAGCTAACTTTTGAAATGCTGCCATTTAACATGTTTTTAGCTCATTTATTTTAGTCCCGTTTGTGGACTATCTTAGATAAGACAATTGTTTGTTGAGTTTCAGGATTTACACCCATAGGATATCTTCTCTTTTATTAAAAAGTTTCGTCCTCTTTTCAAGATTAAAGTTAATACCATTACGGGATATCTGCCCTTATAAAATTTATATTGCTTCTCTTTTCTTATTGTTGAATAAGAAAACCAATTTTCAAAGCTTTGAAAACATGGATTGTTTTAAAAATATAAAAAACTAGTAAGTTATTTTAAACTCTCCCAACGAGAATTAGGATAACTAATATATTCACATTCTACGATTAAAGTACTTACCTACCTCCGTTTTATTTTTATCACCAATCTAAACATATATATATATATATATATATATATATATATTTTTGTATATGTATTGTTAAACCAACCATAGCCACATAATCGAGTTATAAGATTTATTATTATAATTTGTGTTTGTCATCTAACAAAATAACAGCCTTTATTGTTGGTCTGATTTAGTGCAAATTACAAACAACAATTTCAAAAGTTGGCTATAATCAATTATAGTGACCCCTTGATTTATATCTTTTGGATTGAATTATGTTGGAAAATTGCTTTTTAAAAACAAATATTATTATTATAGTTTTTTCACAAAATGATGATAGTTCTTATATTGAAAACATTTTGTATATGTATTTTTTTTAATCTGCTTTCGAATGGCACCACACTTATTTCCGATACACAAAATATGAATGGTGATGGTGAAGATTTGGAGAGTTATCAAGGCAAAACTCAGAAGTAGTAATTTCGCCAGCCCTTGAAAGGTGCATAATCATAGTATCCAAAGATACTTTGATGCATCCATTATGTCCAAAATTAGACCCTTGACTTGATCTAGCCCATACAAACTAAATAGACCGCGTGCAAACTGACGAGTACAAAAATGGGTGTGATTGGTCCACATTATATCTGCAAACACAAACAATTATATAAGAAAACAACAAAAAAAATCCTATAAACTTAGTATTGATCTTACCCCTCTTTGATGAAAGTCGTACTCCGGCTAAAAAATTGCCAAAGCTGTTCCTACTGGGTGTTATCTAAGAAATTCAAACATTTGACTCATAGAAGTAATGCTTACAAATTCTTTGATGTGCACACATTTGGATGGGTCACAGTCATGGTTAGGCTCATCCCGAGAACATCCTGTGAACGGCATATCCTCTTCCCTTTATATTCCATTAGCCCATATTTCATTCATTCTATGCGAGATAGAAGATAACAGTAATGGTCTCGCTCCTTCTTGTTAACAGTGATTCTCTTCATTGGTCTCATAAAATCGATTAGATTTTGAGGAATGCTAAGCTTCTTTTTTCAGGTACATTATTATGGTCGTTGCATCATATCTCTCATTTTATACTTCATGACCATTTTTATGTTTCATTACTAGGGATTGACATGCGGTGTACCGCATGTACAGTTAGAGAATTTTGAATAATCTCTATTGTTAGAACTAATTATTAGGGTTTAAAGAAAATCAAAGGAAGTTAATCCGATTTCATGATAGTGGGTTTATTCTTTACATACAGACCATAACTGGATTTAACTAACTTTGATTTACAAAAATTTGAATTCTTTCTCATTTCTAAGCATTATGTTATCTTTTGCAGGTTATAAAATATGTGAAGTTTAACTAGAAGACATGCACAATGATATAGGGAAAGCTAGGAATCAGAACACCAATCTTTTTATACTTCTCATCCATTTTTCGATTGATAATTGTGTTATGATAGAACTTAATTTTGCTAAGACTTGATTATAACATCTGTTTCATTTTATAATTGGCAGGGTCATCAACACTGGCCCACAAACCAGGAAACAGAAGCTGGGCCATCTCCATTAAGAATTTTGTTGGTCTCGTCAGGCCCAATGTCATGGGAAATAAACACCGGTCCAAGAACCAGATTATCAGAAGAAGGCTAATCTCTATCAGGGATTTTATTAGGCTCGTTAGGCCCAGTAACAACAAAACTAAACTATGTCACAAATCCCATACCTTAATATCTATAATATGTATATCATCAGTATTGTTGTCTTCAATACAGAGAATTTCGTTCTACTTATAGCAAGATCACGTAACGGACAATATGGATTGGTCTGCATTAACAATTTTTGCCTCCAAACTAAGCAAATGTCCAAATTAAGCAGCTAGGATTCTATTTGGTCTACAAGATCATTTGTAAGATTTTTTGAAGATAAGAGAACTAAAACTACATATACTAAAGATACTCGAAGTATGTTTCGATTCCTAGGTTGTTTAACAATAATACAATATGACCAGAGGCCAATCAGATCATGACTTTGGAAAGAAATACTAAACTAAAATAATAATCCCCGATAGCCAAAAACTCAGTAGATAGTAGCTAACAATCGGCAAAATTGATATCATGATTTGCACTAAAAAGATAAATCAAGTTGTCATATAATTTGCACTAAAAACAAGTTCAAAAATAAGAATTGGTAATGATAACGATTATAATAATTAAGAAATTAAGCAGCGGTCTCCCTTTTTAGCTTAGCAAGCTCCTGCCTCACAATACCAGCCCTCTGCAAAACAATATTCATATATTAGAGGTTACTCAATAACATTAAGATGTGTCTTAATACAATCCAAAACAAACCAATATCAAACCAAGATCATATAAACACTATACCCCAAACTAAAACTAAACAACCCTAAACCCAAGAAGATTATAGATAAACCAACCTTGATTTTGGCCAACATGATCTTGAACCTGTCGAAATCATTGAGTGCAGCTCTTCTCTTCTGCACAATAAGTTTCCTACCCCATGAACTCTTCTCCCACTTGTTCTTCACATCTGCATATAACTCTAGAGCTCAGACAACACAAAGACAATAAAACCTCAGAAATTGAAGTAATGTTGCAACAACACTCACCAGCCTTCTCCATTGCCTCGATCAAATGCTTCTTCTTGGGCACTCTGTTGATATCAATCACAATGTCAGTAAGAGACAACCTCTTCAAATTCATCTGGATTCTCTCCATGTCAGGGGCATCCACAAGTGCCTAATAAGAACCAAGATAAACAGAAACACTTAGACAAGTCAGAAACCATTTCAAAGACTCATAGCTTCAGCCACAAATCACAAATATTAAACTAAGCATACAAATTCTATTCCTAGCATCATCATAACTATTGTAACAACGTATATTTCAGTGAGTAATATGTACATTGATTACAATACCAAATCGAAAAAAAAGAGAGAGCTTGCATATGAAGTTACCCTGTTTTGGTCGACTACATCGACGATAACCACGAGCTTTCCGTAATCCTCGCCGTAGTTAACGAGCGCCACTCTCCCAATCTCCACGAATCTCTTAAAACCCTTCACAATCAAACACAAAGTCCTCGAGGTTAAAACTATATAAATCTGCCATTAGAAAGATAACAAATTCCAAAGAGAAGCTACGAAAAAACCTAGAATCAAGTATTTCAACAAAACGAGAACCACTAATAGACATGGATACAATTCGAAGAACATCTCTCACCATTTTCGCCGGCTGAGAGAAACAGATGGAAGCAATTGAGCGGCGAAGAAATTCTTTATGTGACGAAGAAGAGAGTATTAGGGTTTTTGATAAATATTAAGCGCATAAACATCAAGAAGCCCACTAAAAGGCCCATTATACGTGAAGTGACTACACGGCGTCGTTTACGAAAGTCGAAACCGATCGGTTTAATGTTTCAAATAGAAATCGAATCGGAGCTGATAAATTCGGGTTGGTTCGGTTAAAAAGGCAAGTCCTCTCCTTGAAATAGAAAGATGAAAAATGGAAGAAGAAGAAGAAGAAGACGGGCATGTCTCTGAAGATCGTCGAGAGTCCGGCTGTTTAGGATCTCAATCTGTATGTATTTGGTTTTGCTCGTATTCTTCGTAGATAATTTCAATTTGTTGGGTCTAATCGGATTCTGGATTATCCAAATGATTATGATGATGTTCTTATGCTGATTTTAAAGGTTATATATTTGTGAGCCATGGGAGCTTCGTCGTTGCAAAAACCATTTTACATAATGTTTTGTAAAGTTTTCGTCTTTTCTCCATTCTGATCTTGGGTTTTATTTATTGTAGTGTTTTGATGAATCCATGAATGATTTATGTGGGAGATTGGTGATGATTGCCTATAAAACTATAAGTTTGGTTTGAACAAAAATAATAAATTTGAGAAGAAGAAGGTTGAATGTTTTGCTGCGGATTTATGTGGAAATCCGGAGGAGAAGATTTGCAAGGTTTCTATCCAGTTAGACCTGAATGTCAACCAGATGTTCCTAGGACCCGTTTTAAATCAAGGGTTCGTGTTTTGTTTTTCACCATTCTTCTTCTCAATCACCTGTTCACGGATTTGGATACTTTCATGTCTTGAGGAATTGATGATACATTAGGGTCTTGTTGGTTTGTAGCTGATGAAATGATTCATCTTGATATGTAATTTGCAGGCTGGAAAGACTCTAAGTGCTAGAAGATGGCACGCTGCGTTTACCGAAGATGGCCATTTGGATATGGAAAAAGTGCTTAGACGTATACAGCGCGGAGTGAGTCTACTTTCTTGTCATGAACTTGTTTCTATCTAGGCCCCTTTTTTTTGTTGTTGTTGTTCACTTGGTTTCTTTGTTAGGGAATTCATCCCTCAATCAAAGGCGCTGTTTGGGAGTTTTTGTTAGGATGCTATGATCCAGACAGCACTTTTGAGGAAAGGAACATTCTGAGGAATCGCAGAAGGTACTATGGAATTGGTTGATCATGTATGTTCAATCATTAAGTAGTTTTTAGATGCCATCACGTCATGGCTAACTTTAAATTCATTTATCATCTAAGGGAGCAGTACGGTGCATGGAAAGAAGAATGTAAGAAAATGGTTCCTGTCATTGGTAGTGGCAAGTACGTCACAATGGCAGTGGTTCAAGAAAATGGGAACCCAATAGACGAATCTTCTGTAGAAAATCAAGGATGGATTGTGAAAAACACTGTTACAGATGAGAGAGTGCTACAATGGATGCTCTCGCTACACCAGATCGGTATGCCATTACATATATAATTTCAGTCCTATCTGATTGTCTTCTTATAACCTCTTTTTACATATTCTTGTACACCTAATATGGTGAAATTTTGTTTCAGGCCTTGATGTTGCTAGAACAGATCGGTATCTCTGCTTTTATGAGAATGATCGTAATCAATCAAAACTGTGGGACGTTCTTGCCATATATACATGGTTGAATCTTGATATTGGTTATGTTCAGGGTAAGTGTACTAGCTGTGAATGATTAATCTTTTGAAAACAAATAAGAAACAGAACTGATCCACTTTGTCTACTCATGTAGGAATGAATGATATATGTTCCCCAATGATAATCCTCTTTGATGATGAAGCCGACGCCTTCTGGTGCTTTGAGCGCGCAATGCGAAGACTAGTAATAACTAATAACCTATGACATAACTTCTCATGTTTTACTTTTATGTCATCACCAGACTGTTGTATTCATGGTTTATTGTTTTTATTGAATTTCAGAGAGAAAATTTCAGGGCAACAGCAACATCAATGGGTGTCCAGACTCAGCTGGGTGTGCTCTCGCAGGTTATTAAAACAGTGGATCCTCGTCTCCATCAACATCTAGGTAAGAGTGCTTTGCTATTACAAAACCTCTTCTTGTTGGTGAGCTAAAACGTTTTAACGTGACAGAGGATCTCGATGGTGGGGAGTATCTATTTGCTATTCGGATGTTGATGGTACTTTTCAGGAGAGAATTCTCCTTCCTTGACGCTTTGTACCTTTGGGAGGTAATAATACTGCTTGTGCATGTTCAAACTTTCTGCTTTGTGTTGGTTCCTGGTTTTACTTGCTGTGATTGTTTCTGAGGCCGGCAAGATCTTGCTCTTTGTATTTATGATGTTTCTTTCACGTTTTCTGCTGTTCGGGTAATGAGAATAATGTGAGATGGATTATGGTTGCAGCTGATGTGGGCTATGGAGTACAATCCAACCATGTTTGCAACATATGAGGAAGTAGAAAACCGAAACGACGCCGCATCTGATCCCAAGTTACTAAAACGGTATGGCAAGTTTGAGAGGAAATACATAAACAGTGGGAAAAACGAGCAACATCGCAATACGCTTGCTGTCTTTGTGGTTGCGAGCGTTCTACAGACAAAAAACAAACGTCTCTTAAAGGAGGCTAAAGGCTTAGACGATGTTGTTCAGGTCTCTCTCTTTATATTTTCCCTCTTTCTCTGAAACCCAAGAAAAGAAAAAACCTCAGGAACTTGAAGTTTAAGTTGGTTTGCAGATACTAGGAGACATTGCGGGTAATCTTGACGCGAAAAAAGCATGTAAAGAAGCGTTGAAGATCCATGAAAAATTCCTGAAAAAGGTTTTCTTTCACTCATTTTTAATCTATTGAAGGTTTATTATACATTTATACTAATGCAGATGTTGTGTGTTTTTTGTAGGCTAATAGGCAATAAAGATTTTGCTGAAAGCTTCCACTCGACGACTTATATATCGACAGATACTAATACAGTTTTTGATCAGAAAATTGTTCATCGCCGCCCAGAAAATTCTTGAAAGGTTCTGGAAGGAGATTGATGAGAATGCTCTGATGATTATTTTCTTCTTTCATTTGTTCATTTTCTCATGTTAAAGTATTTTGTGGTAAACTGTGTGCCGTTTTCAGTTATACGAATGAACTTCGTGATACTTTTCTTTTCGCTTCTTTTGTAATAATTTCATTGGAAGAAGACTACGTGTGGCTAACCTCTTTACATTATATTATACTACAAAATTTTCACATTTATATTTTTTTGCATGCATACTTATTATGTTAGGAATTTTTGTTAAATAGGGAATTTGATTATTTAATTTTAATTAAATAAACAGAAAAATTAATTTGCTATTAGCAAACGACAAAGATACACAAAAAAAAATTAAAGATGAATTTTAACGATAGGGTTCTAAAATATATTAATTTGGTATTTTCGTAAATAAATATATCAATATATAAAAATTGTATTACAGCATAAAATCATAGATCACACATAAACATGATCAATTTCATAAATTAGATGTCTAAATACGAAAACAACAGAACAAATCATGTTTTGGTAAGGCAAAATCTCTCACTGCCTAAAAGTTTATTAAGATTATACAAAAAAAAAATGAGATAAAAAAGATTAAAATATAATTAATGTTTATGATTCATAATTTCATATGATGGAACAGAAAAACGTATTTTTTTTCCAACAACGTATTTCTATATATCAATTCTAAATTTGATTGATTTCTGATAGTAATAGATAAACAAATTGTAACCATCAGATTAACGAAAATTTTGGTTTAAACAAACATTTTTGCACTCTTCTTTTTTTGCAAGATCACCTTTATACGCTCTCCACCCATCATTCAAACAAACATTTTCTTAGTTTCCTTCATTTTTGATTCTTAGTTTCTTCGTTTGATGCTTTTTTTTCCTCCTGAAGTCTGAGGGTTTTGTAGGTAAATTTTAAAAGAATTTTGTTTATGTATCCTTAAACTTTTTCTTAGGTTATCAATTTGTTCTTTTTAATATATAGAAGAATATCTGCAAAAAGATAAACCTACAATTTTCTGAGATGAATTATTGTTTCTCTCTGAATGATATTTTGGAGTCTTGAGCTTTTTTTATCTATCATTTTGTTTTCCTCAATTTTTTTTACTGTCACCAACTTCTTATTTAATTTCTGGAAAAAGTGAGTTTTAGAAAACTAGTTTTCCGGGATAAGAAAATCTTTTTGTTCTTGGATGGAATAATTAATCTTCCCTTTTTTTGAATTAATTATAACAAAAAAAAAATCTATGCAACTCACAATGTCAAGCTACAAGATGAAAAGCCTCTTGAAAGGGCTCCGATACATTTCTCAAGTATTTGGTAAGTTCACCATCCATCCCTTGTTTTCTTTTTGTTCTCATAATTTTTCTATATATGTTAAATTAGAAAATACATGATCAATCCTTTTTCCCTTATATAAACGCTCGAACTTCATGATCAGTTTTGAATTACTATGATGCAAATCACGTAGAAAATTTGCATGCATGCATTGTAAGTACGTTTGTGTGGATTGAGGATGAATCTAAATGATTTAATATACTCTTTTTTTGATTAAAAATGATGGTAGAAAGTGAAAAAGAAGAAGAAATACAAATCGGAAATCCAACGGACGTAAAACATGTTGCCCATATCGGTTGGGATGGACCATCCGCTAATGCCACCGCACCAAGCTGGGTATGTTCTTACTCATATTTCTTTTATTATTATATATATGAGTATATTTGGATGGATGTGATCTCTAGATTAATATTTGAGTACTTAACTCTACGAGTTCATATATATGAAGATAAATATTTGACCTAAAACGTTTTCAGAAAACGTCGAATTGATTTGGTTAATTAATGTTATTGTGATTTGAAAGATGACTGAGTTTAACTCTGGCGGGGGATTCGAATCTGGTGAAGGAGGAGGAGAAGATGATTCGTCCATAAAATGTATGTCGGAATATGGTGGTCGGTCCAGAGATTTGCCAAATCTACCAAAATCTACGAGGAAAGCAGCGTCCGAGAAAGGTTCTCCGACAAAAGAAAAGTCATCAGACAAAACTAAACGCCGCTCTTCGAACAAAGGCACATCGTCATCGTCTAGGAGACCAAAGGAAGCCACTGAAGAACAAGACGAATTATCGTCTTGGCCTCGTGGATTACCGGAAATTCCAAAGAAATCAAGGAGGAAGAAGAAGTCGACGAAAGAAACCGCGGTTAATGGAGGGTCATCAAGATCGACAAGAAGATCTGATGTGGATAATATGTCGGAATATATGTCTGAGACTGGTTCGGTGAGATCTATGCCTCAATTCGACAATAGAGATGATTTTTGAGAGGAGAGACGTATATAGAGATTTTGCTGCTCCAAATGGCTAATTTTCATTGAACACACCAATTGTTAGATTTTCTTGTTTATTCTTGTACTATATATTATTAACTATGCAAGGAGAATTTAGACAAATATATTTTACCGCTTTTGTTGGTACATAACATAGATCATTGACATCATATATACAAGAGAGAATATTTTGTAGCGTTATTGACTTTGATTTTCAATCATAGAAGGGGACAAAAGAATAAGATGAGAAGTTTACGAATTACATAAGACCTCTATACGTATCCTACTGTATCCTTCACAAAAGAAGGCGACAATATTGGTGAGACATAAGAGATAAAGTATCTAATCCAGAGAGCTGCATTAAGTCTCTAAAAAGCTTCATATGAATTTCACCTGTGGCTTCTCGTGCATAGCCAACAAAAGTTGGTTTGTCCTTCAAGCCTCACCTATTATATATACCAAAACAAGGAAAAGAAAATTGTTATACCCCTTGAGATAAAGCAACCCAGTTAAGAGGAAGTTCATCGCGGGTGACACAGCCGACAAGGCGACAACCCCGAAACATCCTAATTCCTATACCAACAAAACCGTATAAAATATGGTCCATTTTTTTTTGCCAATTTATCTTTGTAGTTTTTTTGTTTTGTTTTGTTTTGTTTTATTTTGGAATTGGAAATGATCCATTATCTTTGCTATGGTTAGTTGAATATTAGTAAAATACACATTCCAAAACATAAACTCCATCATAACATATATAGATCATTGACAACTTATGGTAGCATTGAATAGCAGAAACGCAAGTGTGGTTCAAGTGGGATCTGCTTCTCCGCTTTCTTAATTGCCTGATTTTCAATTTCAGGAAGAAAGTTAGCTTTGGACTAAACCAATTGTAATCATCGCCTTGGGCTAAAAGGTTAATCGTTTGGACAGTTAAATATGAAACAGAGGGAAAGCTCTGTCTTGTGAAAGCCTTTTGTTGTTTCAGTGACACATACTATGTGGCTTCCCACATAATCGATTTTTATTCATGATAGGCACTGTACGTATTTGAAAAACTTGATCCCTAGTATCAACCATATGAGTTGGTTAAATACAAAAAATAAATTGAGAATTCCGATTAAAATCTCATTGGATGGATCACACAAAAAAGGAGACCAGTTCATTATTGATCTGTTTGAGGCAATGATAACCGCAAGAAAGTGTAAATTGGGCGTCAACCACAAAACAATTAACAAACCGGCTTTCGGTATATAGAGAGAGATTAGTTAGCTAATGCTTTAACCGCTTTCTCAGCTGCATCATCCAAATCATCAGCCGTTATGAGTTTCATTCCACTTTCCTTGAGGATTCTCTTTCCCTGCTCAACATTCGTTCCTTCCAAACGAACCACCACTGGCACTTTCAATGAGACCTGTCATCGCCATTCCATACAAACACTCGGATTTATTTTCAATCATGATTATATAAAATATTACGGTAACAAGGTTGTTTCTCACTCACCTCTTTTGCAGCGTTCACGATTCCACTAGCTATCACATCACATTTCATTATCCCACCAAATATGTTCACCAAGATTGCTTTCACTTTATCGTCAGATGTCAGTATCTTAAACGCTTCCACCACCTAATATTTGTAACAAACCTCTATTAACATTGGTTGTTAATCCCCACAGAATTATGATTGCACAGAGTGAAGAGAGAAGGTTTCTATTACCTGGTGCTCAGAAGCATTTCCACCAACGTCAAGGAAATTGGCGGGAGTTCCACCATGTAATTTAATGATGTCCATGGTTGCCATGGCCAATCCAGCACCATTCACCATGCAACCAATCTCTCCATCTAAACCAATGTAGTTCAGGTCAACTTTCGCAGCAGCCACCTATGAGAAGCAACACACTTTTCCTTTTATTATCCTATCTACTTAACATAACATAGATTTCTTGATGATACAAGAGATAGACAGAGACCTCTCGTGGATCCTCCTGTGTTGGATCACGCATGGCGAAAACCTCTTTTTGTCGGAACGCAGCATTATCATCGAAGTTCAATTTGGCATCAGCAGCTACCAATTGGTTAGTGGATGTCTCTGCAAGGGGGTTGATCTACAAGAGAAATTTGGGTGTTCAACAAAAAATATTGATAACTGAAAATAAATAGAAACAAGACAGTGAGAGAGAACTCACTTCCAACATTGTGCAGTCAGTCTTGCGGAAGAGTTCATATAGCTTCTTCACTTGTTCAATTGAATCTTTTCTGTCAGCAGCTTTGGGAGCAAGACCATCCACAACCTTAGCAGCATCTTCATCAGTGATTCCTGCAAATACATCAATTGGTACCTACGCAAAACCATGAATTGAGGGGTCAAAAACCCGCATGAAAAAGAATCTCAGAAGGATACTTCTACTCGAGATTAGAGCACCAAATACGAATCAAACAGTAACAACCTTGATGATCATGTCAGGGAACTTCTCAGCAAGATCTTCAATACTGGTACCACCCTTTTTACAGGCAATGATCAACTGAAATAGGAAAGGGAAGTGTTTTAGATATTGCTGACAGGGAGTGAGAACCGCATGCCTAGAAGCAGAGAAATTCATCATTTGCGTAGTAGCATACCGGTCCAGCAGATTTACGGTCCAGAATTATGGAAAAGTACATCTCATTGACGAGTGACAATTTCTCACACAAGTAAACCTGCTCAAAAGTAAGATACAATGATAAATAAAGGAGTAAGAGCAGTCAAAAGAATTGAAGAACAAACACCAATCATGAGCTACATGAATAACTGATAACAAACCTTGCTAACTACTTTGCCTTGAGGACCAGTTTGCTTGGTGACAAGTACTTGTCCTAGCATCTTTCCTACAAGTGATAATAATTTGAAATTGATCGATAAATTGTGCGATAAAACTAAAGATTTTACCACTAAGAAAAAATCATGTACAATACCAGCAATATCTTCAGCCTGATCACGTTTAACAATGTGAACACCACCCTTAAGACCACTCTTGAATGTTCCAAGACCTCTTCCACCTGCCAAAATCTGGCTCTTAACAACCAACTGTATCACACGAAAAGGACACTCTTTCAATTAGACAACAACTAATAATAGAGCTAAGATTATCCAGATAACAATGTTTACCTCGCTTTCATTAGGGAAAACTTCTTGAATAGCCTTTTTAACTTCTTCCAAGGAAGAAGCAGCAACTCCTTTTGGCACATTAACTCCATATTTCCCCATCAATTCAGCTCCCTGATTTGTATCAGAAACACAATACAAAATTACATTTTCCTAAACCCAGACGATTCCATGTCAACTAGTGCTTACTTTCAAAATACAACTCCTAGAAAACCGCAATTCTATCAACCACAAATCAATCAGTGGATCAACCCCAAGAAACAGCAGATCGTGCTCGAATTCTGACTTGAAAAGCCAATCTAGGCAACTGTGAAGATGGAAATGAAGAGAAGAAGAACCTGATACTCGTGGATGTTGAGACGACGAAGCTGTTGTTGCTGCCATTTCCCGGAGATGGAGAGAGATCTGGACACGAGCTTGTTCACCAATCCCCTCATCGTTTGATTTGTCTTCGAAAAGCAGCCAAAGAGAAAATGAGAGAGAGAGAGCAGAGAAGAATAGTCGCAGCTATGAATGATCGAGTCTAACCCTAATTTTTCCTAACTTTATGAATTTTCAATTTAACCCTCTCTATTCTTCTATGTCGCCGGCTCATTTAATTCCATAACTAATTTCGTAATTTTTAGAAAATATTTGAGATTTTTCTCAAAAGCTCTATATTTGAAAAATACATAAGTACCATTTTCAAATTCACAAAAGAGTAAAAACTAGGCAATACAATTTTTTTACAGTAACATATCGTTTGATTTCAAGACGTTTTTCTTAACAAAATATATATTTCAAATCACAACTGTAGAACATTCACTTAAACAATCGCCACGGACATTGTTACGGTGCCACCAGAACGTTATCGGTGGCAACAACGGTGGCGGACTGGTGGTGGTGGCTAGAACAATTGAAGTGGTAAACCAATCAAGAAATTATTCGGATCAGAAGAAACGGTCATAGTCATAACATTTCACTTATAAAACACATTTCAACTTGACCAAAACTACTTTGATCGAGTAGAGAGATAGACTCCATTTCAAACCGGATCAATTAACAGCAATGTTCTTATCCCTAAGCAAGTCTTCATTCTCCCGTCAAACAGCGTGAACCTCGTCTGTACGAAACCGTTGCGTAAAGGTGGAGTCATGAATTGGCGTTTCAATACGGTTAACAAATCCGAGTAGACCCGCATAGGCGATCATCGCTCCATTATCGATGCAGTAGCGGTCATCCGTTGCAAATAGCTTACCGTCACGTTCAGAGCACATGGTCCTCATCATCTCCTGCAAACGCTTATTGCAACCGACAGCACCAACTATCAGAACGTCTTTCTTGTCACAATGCGCCATCTCTCTTTCCGTTATCTCAACCAACATCGCAAACACCGTCTCCTGCGAGATCAACAATTCTATGTAAGTGAAAATTACTACTTATGTACAAGTGGTAGCCTTACTTGAAGAGAATAGCACAAGTCAGCTGGTGTGCACTCGTTATTTCTTGAGCTTCTCATCTGCGGTAGTTTCGATATAACTCAAGATTCCGCTTAACGAAACATCCATACCTTTAACAGCATACGGAAGATCGATAAAGTTTTCTCCTTTCTTAGCGAGCTAGTAAGAAAACAAACATTCGATAAATGTCACTAACACCACAAGGGTCTTATTAAAATCTTGATAGATTCGGAATTACCAGCTCGGTGTTATAGCCAGGACTTGGATCATTAGACAGCTTCAAGACTCTAACAAACCGGTCGAAGCAATATCAATAGTCTCACCAAAAATCCGGTAACAACTTTCCCCATCTCTATCTTTTTCCTCATTTCTCTGCACATTCAAGAGATGAACAAATCCCCAAAATCGAAGTTCTGACCTAAGATTTCATGTGAAACCTAAAACCCTGGAGAAGAAGCCTCAAAGAGCGATTGAACTAAATGAATTAAGGAAAAAAGTTGTTGTCATTGGAACATAAGCCCCGTTCAGTTAGTCCGAAGAGGACCAAGTGAATAACTGTCGTGAAACGAACGGCCATGTTATCATCGGCGGAGAGACCACAGAAGCTCCACACGCGTCTCAGCCTTTAGGATCTCTCCACCGCATGATTCTCTCGTTACCGAGGCCGCATCTCTGCGGAAAGTGGCCCGGGGACTTTCCTGGGTCGGAACTTAGACAAGCCCATATAACCCATTCACTTCGTCCAATGACTATTGTTGCTAGTTTTAGTTTTGGACTTAATATATACACAAGTTATATATTTGGAACAACCGATGTGGGACAAACAACTCTTAACACATTTTTTAACTAAGGGATTATGTCGGCTTGTTAATTTTTTTTTTGTGCAACTTATGCTTCTGGTTTAGCATTTTACATGAGTTGATGTAATATTCAATCATAGAAAATGTAGTACTGTAGTAAAATTCTACTAAACTCATTGCTCTGTATTTTACGCTTATACATTTGTTTTGAATATTCTTAAAGTCTAAGTTCACATGATTTTCTTTGAACAGGACAATAAAGATTCACGCATATAAGTTAACTTGAATGTGTATAACAGACCTTTACTTTAACAAAAAAAAAGTATAACAGACCTTTTGTTTGTCCAAAAAAAAAAGAATGTATATCATAGACCTATAAACTAACTTATAGCCACGCCAAACTTTGTCATGAACATGTTTTAAAAAGAATGATACACAATATGGTACAACCTTGTCACAATAGATCAAGAAGATGGCTTCAAGTTCCTAATTGCAGCGGCCATAATCTGAAATAATTCCATATGTGAAATAAAATCAGACAACAAAGTCAACTATTATTGTTGTAATTATCACTTAATGTAAGAAAATAAACGTACCCGGGCAGATCCAGGATCAAACCTTCTTTCACCAATACTTGCATTCCTGTCCTCTCTCTTTGTGACTACACTTCTTTGACTAGATTCTACTCTGCTGCTGCTTTCACTACATACTTCTTCACCCATCTGTGTGCCTCTGTTCTTGCTTCTCGTTGTATAAGTATGGTCAGACGTTCCACCAGAACCAAGAACCGGGTTATCCAGAGATTCTGCTGCTTCATCTTCAATAACTTTGCTCTTGCTTCTTGTTGTGTAATCAAATATATTATTTGTTTGGAGACTTTGCCCCTTCTTCGAAAATTGTGTAGCCGCTGCTTTTGCACCCGCAATTGCAGCTGTGAGACTGGTAACTTGCTCTGAATCAAGTGCTTTCTTCTCTTGTATTGTACAAGGAATAGAACCGGGTTTCAAAGAAAACTGGTCTTTTGGGTCTGGAAGAGGGAATTTCACCTTAGAAGAGTTTTGAGAAGGCATAAGACCTCTCGCTGCTGCTACATAAATCTGTTTCATTTCAAAATACAGTAAGTAACTGGTACTAACTTATACTACAACAAGAACACACCAATTCCTAAGCTTTAAAGAATATTAAGATTACCTTATTTTCTAAGTTATAGACACCCTGGTACCCGCGCATCTCAAATGGAATAATCAGTTTCTGGAAGAGTTCATAGAATCAAATGTTAAATAGTCAATCTAAACAAAACAGTAACAAACCAAAAGATGAAGTGAATTTCACCTGTGGCTGCTCACATAGCCAACAAAAATTGGTTTGTCCTTCAAGCCTCACCTATTATTTACCAAAAAAACAGTTGGGGGTTTGCTTATTATACTAAAGAATCATCGATAGTGAGCTGTTTTCGATGTCAAAGAATAGAAAACAGCGATAACGAAGATTGTTGTACCCCTTGAGGTAAAGCATCCCAGTTCTGAAGTTCATCGGAGGTGACACAGCCAACAACCTCAACACATCCTATACCAACAAAACCGTATCAAATATGTTCCAAACAAATCAGGTCTTACTTATACTATAACATGGAACTTGACTTTCAAATATGAATACCAATTAGTCTTGAAACAGGGTAATGTTGGGGGAATTGAATATCAGTGATCCCATCAACAGCATAAATTTCTTGATAAAACTCTTCCATTGCTTTAATAGTTGCTTCATCAGGTACTTTACTAGCAGCATGAATCCATAAACGACCTATTTACATATTTAAAAACAACATCATCTTCTTCAAAAGTTATGTAATTATCACAATGTTCCAAATTCAAATTAATCTCAGCCAAATCCAAGAGTTCAAAATAAGGGTTTTATACCTCGAATTGGGGCAGGCCAGGATCTGCCTTCGATGCGTTTGATACCATGGACAAGAAGTGAAGCCCATGGCTGATGCATGGTCAAGCACGGGTTCTTGTAATTCCCACGACTCATCACTCTTTCTCTTCCAAAATCTAATTATCAAAACATACACTAAATCTAATCAAATCTAGATCCACCAATCACCAAAGATATCTCCAATTACGCTCAAACCCTAGAGATGAACAATTCCAAAAATCGAAATTTTCTCACCTACAAATTTTGTCGAGATGGTAGGTTAATTAGTGTTTAGCTCCGACAAATAATTATCACTTTTGTTAACTAGGTTTCAACTTTTAAGACATAACTTATTTTAACTAAGTAAGAGAATTGAAAATTGAACTAATTTATTGGCGGGCTGAGCCAGGTCCGTGCAATAGTGCAACGCATGGACGACTCGTGAAAGCCCAGATAGCAAGCTATCTTAATGGGCTTTCTCCCTTAAAAAATAGAGTTAATATCGTGTGAGCCGATGGCCCACATATCAGATATTAAACTGATAAGAACAGATACTACACTTGATCTTAGCCAAAAGGCCGAGAAAGGTATGAGTTGCAAAATAAGCCCAGCTTTCTTTTTATAGAGGTTGTCTATAACTGAGGCTTCACTAGCTTACCGATGTGGGACATAAACTCTAACCTTTCGCACATCTTTCTTCTACTATGCTAAAACAAAATTAATTCATCTTTCGCTACGTTTATTTGATTACCAGCTTTGAGTCTTTCACAGAATTGATACCATATGCTTTCAATCTGACCATTTACATGAGTTGATTGTATACATAAGCAATTATAAAAAATAACGCAGTATATAGGAAGAAACTCGAAATAAAATCTAGTTTTAAAATTCACCTAAACACTAAATATAAAATCTCTGCATTCAGAATTACATCACAAAGATGGAATTGCTCTTTATTTTTGTTTCTTCCTAGTGAGCTGAGAATCAGAAAATTAGAGTTTTAAGAAAGAAATAAAAAGAGAGAAGAAGGCCTGAAGAAGACTGAAAGCTCTTACTCCTAATAAGTCAAACTCTACAACTCCACCAAAACCACAGTTTTATGATCTACCATCCCGAGAAAGGTTCTTCATTCTTCGTTTCTCGGACGCTTTGGCCGCGGGGAATCCGACTCCTCTGAACCATTTTCAGGCGTTTTCGCACTTGTTCTGTCTTCTTGTTCCGGTTTGCCAAAACCCATATTCTGCTTCTCAAACATCATCAACAACGCCTTTCCTTGCTCTTCTATACGAAGTTGCATTGTTCTTTGAATCTGCAAGCACATCAAAACAAACCCCTTCACAATCCCTACTGTTTGCAACTTCAAGGAATATAAACAGATAACACCACAAAGCTAAGACTCATTATATGTTCATCGTTGTACCTCAAGCTGCTCATGCAATTTCTTCTGAAGTTCCATCTGAATTCGCAGAGCCTCAGTGACATCTATCCCACTGCAAAATCAGTACTCACAATTTATTAGACAGATTCAATGGTGTAGTAGTTGTGAATTGTGATGTTACCAAACCCCACCGTCTCGTAGATGTAATTTGCTCAAGCGGTGTCAACTGTGTCTCTGGCGGACCTGCTAATCATCAGAGAAAATCATCTTAAAGTAAAAATCTGTGGGAAGTTCAACAAAAATCATCAACAGTAAAAATGTGCTCATAATGTAAACTAAGGCTAAATGAGTCCCGGAAAATGGTTCTTAGTCTAGAAAATTAGAAAATATACGCATGCAAACAATGTCGAGAGCCTTTAACCTAAATATCAAGATAGAGCTGATCGAATTTGTATATATAAAGCTAATACAATACTTTCCTCATCTAAAGAAATATAAATGCACATGAAGACTCATCATAAAAGAGGGGAGTCGGTATTTTACCTCCTGATGGTTCTGGTGTATATTTAGCTGACCTATATTTCTGCAAATATGAATAAGAAAAATTGTAGACTTTTACAAACAGAATATTTAGCATGAAACAGATGGTTAGGAAAAAATAAAAACTAAACCTGCAAATGACTTTTGACATGATATATAGTCAAACCTTGGACTTTCATATGCTTCAGGACACCCTTAGGAGTTGCTTCTACATTAAAATAAGACGCAGAATCAGAACAACCAGAGCTTTATCATCGTTAACTCTATTCAAAATAAAGGATCTTAAAATCAAGAAGCAGAGAGAGAGAGAGAGATTCTCACTATTACTGCCACCGAGCTGGTTAACAGCGTCAACAAAAACCTCATGAAGTTCAGGCGTCCAACGCATACGTCCCTTAGCTGCTGCTGCTGCATTATTATTACTATTGTTATTGTTGTTGCTGTTTGAGGATACTGTCCTAACAAGTGGTCGCATTTCCGCATACGGAGAAGGCTGCTGCATAACAACTTGGGGTTGTTGAATCTGCGCTTGCATACTTAGTTCCTGGACCTGAAACAATACCTCCTCATAAAACAAGGGTCCTTTGATGGTGTTTGCTACCGTTAGGAAAATAGTGATATTTGGAAACAACATTACCAACCTTTGAAGCTGAGTTGAAATTAGTGTCAAGGAGAAGATCTTCCAAGACAGTAGACATGAGCGAGTCTTCACCAGTAATCAAGTGGTCATCCCAAACTGGCAAGTCACTTTGTTTGTGAATCTCATCAATAACACCATCATCCATTATTTGATTGGGAGAACCCGAAGGAAAATCGAAAATATCCGGGAGTGGAGAAGGAATCCAATCTGATGTCTCGGGGACGAAAGATGTTGGAGATGCGATGTTGAATCCTGGTTCAACAAAAGGGTTATGGAGATCACTCGAAAATATATGACCAACAGCTCCACCATTGTCAGAGAGTAGATGATAAGGATTTTCCATGACTTGAATGTGTTCTGAATTAAAGGACATTTCTGCTGCTTCTGAAGGGTTTGGTGAAGATGGTATCAATGAAGAAGTGTGTGAAAGCTCCCTCGGAATTGACCTCAGCAGACGATTCTCCATAGAATTTGCATCATCATCATCATCATTCGGAATTGACCTCAACAGACGATTCTCCAGAGAATTTGCATCATCATCATCATTCGGGATCATCACTCAAGTTTCTGAATTACTCAAAACCTATCAAAAACAAATTACAGAATTTGAAATCAGTGCAAAGTCCAAATTGCAAGAGCCGATGATTTTACTGTCAGATAAGCAAATAATTCACACAATAATTCAAAATAAATTAAGAAAACTGAAAAAGCAGAATCAATCGCCAAACATATCGCCAATTATGCTCCAAACTAGAGAGGACTATCAAATTCTGAAAAATCGAAATTCTCACCTAAAAATTCATGAAAAACCCCAAACCCATGAGAATAATCGAATCAAGGAGAAGAAAAAAAATAAGCGGAGAGCATAAAGGTAATCTAACACCGGTACGGGCGAGTAAACCGGATCCTTGAACCGGATTTATCTCTATCTCTCTCTCACTTTCTTCTTCTTTCCTTCGTTAGTGTCGTCGAGGCGATGATAGTGTCTTTCTGTTAAAAGAAATGATCATCATTCTATCACGCGGAGAACAGCGCGTGCAACAAATTTTGTGAGGGGAGCTTTTAAAATAGCCCAAATTGTTTTTTTTTGTTTTAATAACAAAAAAAAAGGTTAAGATACTATATGATTTTGCTAACAAATTATCAAATAACAAAAAAATGATTTTGCTAACAGATGATCAAATTTTTGAATTTATCCACAAAATATCTAATTACAAATCTGATTTAAGATCATTTTTAGCTGAAAAAATAATAATTCAAACTATTTTTGTAAGCAGTAATCTATATTTTATTTCAACGAAAAGAGAAAAATCGATGTAAAAAAAAAACGAAAAATCTAAATGGTAGCGCAAAACCCAAAACCCTACAGATCATCCCCAATCTCGCTGCTCCGGGTCAAATCAGCGAGTCGGGTCGAAAATTCACCTGAGAAAAATGTTCGCGAGGCGGCTCTCGTCCTTGTTCAAAGGATCTTCAACCTCAAGGTACTCAAAATGTTGCATCTTCTCTGAATTTGCGTTTCTTGGCCATGGAATTGTAATTAGAATCCGATCGATTTGCGATCTTGCAATTAGAATCCGATCGATTTCTCGTCTTCGCGCATCTACATATCTATCGAGATTTCAAAATCGACCTAATTTTATAGTTGAAATGATCATTTAGCCATTTAGACCTAGATTTCTGTTATCTATGATCGTTTAGGAGTTAAAATGAGCTGAAGAATGTTTTTGAAACAGCTCGGACAAAGCCGTGAAAGTTGGGACATTGGGTTCTTTTGGTCGCAAGGCAGTGTCTTTTGTCTTGATTACAGTCACTGGTGGTGTTGCTTTGAGTGCTCTCGATGATCTTTCTATCTATCGTGGATGTAGCAGGTAATCACATCACATCTCATCTTCGTTTCATCGAAAATGCATTTATCTTTCCATTGAAGTTTAGCTATTGCAATGGACATACTATGAATGGGGGCTGGGACCATTGGAATAGATTCTTGATCTCTGCAATTGAAATTTAACAATGTTTTGTTATCAATGGGTCGGGGTTTATTGATGCAAGGATCAACTTAGAAAGACAACAAACGAAACTCAACTTCTACTGCTAGTGATACATGTACTTCAATTAATGTAGTGTCCATATTTCGATTTTGGCTTGAAGCTTATGGACTGCTTTAGTGAAACTGATTAAGCAAACGAAGAAAAAGATATATAGTCTGGTTTCTCATGTGTATTTCAGTCTATCTTGTGCTAGTGCCGCCACTTTACAAAGTAATGTTACTTCTTATTCCTGTCCTGGCTCGGAATCGAGTAAAAAAGTCAGCCGTAATATCCAGAACAATTATCCTTTGGAGTTCTATAGGCACCATTTTGTTATTTTGTTGTGCATTCTATCAACTCTCCTCATGAATATCTCTATAATCTTCTCCTTGTATCATCAAATCAATAACATGGATTTGCATTGGCGATTACTCAAAAGTCTTTGTATGCTTAAATTTCAGCAAGGCGATGGAGAAGGTGATGAATAGTAAGGCGATGATTGAAGCCATTGGAGAGCCAATTGAGAAAGGGCCATGGTACAATGCTTCACTAGCTGTTTCTCACCAAAGGCACTCAGTGTCTTGTTCATTCCCTGTGATTGGACCACAAGGCACCGGAATCTTGCATCTCAAAGCTGTTCGCAATGGAGGTAAAAATTCTCAAACCCAAGCAGTCACTCAAGACAAAAATATGTGTTAGGTATCTGCATTTGCCATTTTTCTTACTTATTGGATCCCCTTTTTTGCTTGGAATAGAAGATAGCATGTTTGGGTTTCTCCAGCAAAGGGACTGGGACATTCTGATAATGGACGCACTTGTCCATGTCCCGTCAAACGAGGGACCCCAACAAACCTTGAGAATCAACGTTTCTAACATCGTTGATCCTTCGCCTGGTACCGACGATTCACCTGGTACCGACGATAAACCTTCGGTACCACGAGAGCCAGAGAAGAGTTAAACAGAGAGAGAGAACGCTTCGTGGAGCTCCTGGCTATGGGTTTTATTCCATTCCATTCCATTATATCTTGTGGAGCAACAGAGAGAATTGGGTCTTTTTTTTTTTTTGGTACAAAGAATTGGGTCTTTTATTTACTAATAATGAACACTTTCTTTTAGGAGTATACAAAAGCTGAATACATGATTGGTAATAATAGTCTAGTGAATAACAGCATTGCTATATCCGTTTTGATTTGGCCGCTTTTTGCTCTTTATGTTTTCATATACGTATATGTTTTCATATACGTATATGTTTTACGTGTTTGTTTGGCTAATTGCATCAATCAAAATCTAAATTAGAATCTTAACACTGCTTCAATCTTATTAAGCAAACAAAAAGATGCTTTAAAAAACGACTTGTTTTTTCTAATCCTATTAATATTAATCTGAAAGTACAAATAAAAATATAGCTTTTAAGTTTGTTAATAACTAGAATTTAACCCGCGGTACACCGCGGGGCTATATTTTAAAAAAAATATAATGTTACTTTTAAAAGATTAACTGAAAATATATCATATTAATTTGTATTTTTAAATGTAGATATCTATCTATGTATTATTTAATGTATGATTACTATTGTTTAGGTTTCAATTTTTGAAGTATAGATACGAAAACATACTTTTTTTTAAGTAACGATGTATGGTGGATTTTAAAATTTTGAATATTTTACTCCGCAGTATACCGTGGGTCGGTTTTTTTATAACTAAAAATTTTAAATTTAAGTTGGATTTGTTTTGTTAATATTGTTTCTTTTGTTTTGTGTTTAAGATTGTATAATTGTATTTTGATTATTAATTTTAAGATTTCATCCGTGATATACCGTTATTTATTAATATCGACCCAAACCCGTCATCCCATATAAACCCGTCTATATTATCTCGTTAGCTAAATTATTAGTGTTATAAAATCCAAGAAAATAAATTATTATTGTTATAAAATCTAATAATTTTAGGATCTCACCCGTGGTATACCGTTCTTTGAACGATTTTAAATTTATACTACTAATATATTTCAAATTTATCATATAAAGTATATGATTTCAAGTTTTTGTGTTTTTTTTTTTATTTAAATAAAGCAACGGCTTAAATAATGATAGATATAGTTCTTTTTCCTGTATGTGTATATGATTTTTCTATGTGAATATTTTGATTATTATAAATTAGTATTTTTATTGCTATACAAAATGTTAATATAAATATTTGCTATAAAAGTTTTTTGAAGATATATGGAAAGATTGTGTAGAGATTTTTAGAAACAAATTAGGCAAGATATTGTTTGGTTAATATCTTTTATTTAAATTTTGTAAAAGTAAATAATAAATGTCAATGGCATATCTTGTAAATAGTAGTGAAAGCCAGGATTTATTTGCTAAATGTACTCCAAAAATGTATATATAGATCACATCACAATGTCATTACAATTTAACTTTTTTCTGAACAAATTATAATCTCTCATTAAAAGTACTATGCCAATTGCATTATCATGATTAATCAGATAAACATATCCAATTTTTAATATTAAATCTTGGATGCAGATTCCATCGGCTAAGATCGTGAAGATCCTGCAAGAATTAATCACAAAAATTTAAAGATATCAAAAAGAAATCATCAGGATATCAATCGCAATTCCAATAATAAAATACAATCTCATATTTATCGTAATAAATTTAAAAGAACAAAAGAAAAAACAATCTTATAACAGAAAAAGGATCTTTTAAAAATATCTTAAATTTTGCAAAAACCACTAACATTATAATCGCATTAAAAAAAGCCTTTCAAACCTAATATAAAAGAATCTTCAAAGAAAAAAAATAAAACAAATCAAGGCAAAACAGCAACTTTTGAGTTCTCTAGAACCACTTTGGTCTCTCTTCAGAGTTGTTTACAGTTAGCGATCCAGATACCGATCCAGTCATGGCGGGTGCAGTAGCAAGATTTGTGAAAAAGTATGGTAAAGATGATATTTGGTATCGATTATCGTTGGTAGTAATACCAGTCTCAGGTGTCTTAATAGTACTAGGGCAAAAGAAGCTTGCTTCTATCAGAGAGGAAAAGAAGCTTTTGGATGCGAGGTTTGATCAACTGAAGGCTAGAGGGATAATCAGAGAGCAGTAATCGGTCCAAAAGGGGTGTTTTGGCTTTTTTTTGTTTCTTCTTTCTTTTCTAGGGTTTAATATTTGTTTCTCCATACATGTTTCCATGCATGAAATCAAGCAACTCTATGCAATTAGTTTATTATTGATTTTAACTTCTTATTTTTTGTCGTCTTATTACATCATCACTAGAAATATTTAATCTAATCCTATTATGATGATATTCAACTACGTGAAGCATATGCGATTATCATTAACAGTTCTCACAAACAACGATTCCACGGCGCAGCTCTCCCTGCAACACTGAGATCTTCAATGGACGGTTCTGCATGTACCACATCTCTGTGATAGACATGCTCTTCCCACAAGACTCCGACCATTACGAACGGTTCTGCATGCGATACTCTAGACCTCGGATAAGTTTTGCACCATTAATTTGCAAAAAAAAAACTAGATTATTTGAGACTTGAACTCCGGACCTGATGTAGAAATATTAATGAACCTTTGGTCAACCATAGAACCAAAGAGATTTGTTCTTTTTTCTCGGTAAAACTCAGAAATTGTTAAAAAAAATATTATTGCAAAAAAGATTAAAAGAAAAAAAAAAGCCCAACTGCATACAAAAGAAGAAGAACCCAATTTGAAAAAGTCAAGCCCACCAATAGGATAACTAGAATAAGAGAAGTCGAAGCCCAAGACGGGGCCCAAGTTAGAGACGAAGGCAAAATAGAAGTGAGGAAGAAAATGCAATCAGGAGAAGAAGCGTTGCTGCTGAAACATTGACTGATTCCGATCGACGGATGCTTGCAATTCTGTTCCGATTAGTAACCAATGTCGTCGTCTCCAGAGAAGAAGAGGAAGAAATGGCCACCAGAATCACTTCCCAATGATTTGATAGTGACCATCTTGGCCCGCCTCTCGCGATCCTATTACCCTAAGCTCTCTTTAGTCTCCAAAACCTTCAGAGCAATCCTTGCTTCACCGGAGCTTTACCAAACTCGAATCCTCTTAAGCCGCACTGAGACACTTCTCTACGTTTGCTTAAGCTTTCCTGATGAAGCTAACCCTCGCTGGTTCACTCTCTACCGAAAACCTAATCAGACCCACACCACTAAGAAGAAGAAGAAAGATGGTTCAAGTTTCCATCTTTTGGCTCCAACACCAATACTCAACTCTCCTCCTGTGGAATTCTCAAGTCTCCTCGCTGTTGGTTCTTATCTTTATGCCTTTAGCGCAGCCATGGAAGATTCTCCATGCTCTAACCTCTGGTTTCTTGACTGTCGAACTCACACTTGGCTTCAAGCTCCAAGAATGCGACTGGCTATTGGTGACTTAGATGGGATTATGTATTTAGCATCTGAAACTCCAGATTCTTTGAAACGTCTTGAAGTGTACAACACAGAGACTCAAACTTGGATTCCTGTGCCGCCCAACAAACGGAGAGTCAAACTCATACATATGAAAGGAAGGCTTTACATGAACGTTGGTAAACTTTTGAGTCTTGTTGAGCAGGTTTTGCCTTTAAACCCAAAGGTTCGATCATTGGAAATAATGTCTCCTAGGGATGTTATGGCTTTTAAGCCTGAGGTTTGTGGGGCATTTGAAGCGTTAGGATTGGATACGGTCAATACAGATTTAAATCGAGGTTCTTTTTGTATGATAGAGGAGATGACCTATCATTATGACCCTAGTGTAAAGTTTAGATGGAGAAAAAGTATGGGAGGAGTTTGGAGAACATTAGGGGGCTTAGAAGGGCTACCTAAGTTTGCTAGATATAGTACTGTTAAATTGGCGGATTGTGGTGGTAAGCTGGTTGTTTTCTGGGACAAGTATCTGCCTGCAAGTGGGTATGAGGAGAAGATGATTTGGTGTGCAGAAATTTCGCTTGAAAGGCGCAACAAGGAAGAGATTTTGGGGAAGGTCGAGTGGTTCGATGCAGTTCTTACAGTCCCTAAGTCTTACAAATTTGTTGATGCTAAATCTGCTACTGTTTGACAGGTTTGAGCGCTTATTAATGTGATCTGCATTCACTTGCTTTGTAGGATGTTTTAAGCTTATTTAGTGAGTTCTTTTAGTGCCTGACATTGTTTTGGTTATAAATTTCTGGCATTCACTTGCTTGTAGATGATTAAGCTTATTTCGGGACTTGTCTGTCTCTTTGATAAACCCTTTGTTGACAAACTCATTCTGCTACTGTTTGATGAATGATGCATGAGACTAGCGAGTAATGTCCGTTTTTGTTCTGAATATGTGTTGCAAAATGTCTATATATGTGACTACCATGACGAATGTGTGGCTTGTGCTTTTAGCGGTCACCTCTAAACATATGCACGCACTTGTAGACTGGTTAAGCTTACTTTGTCTATGAAGATTCGTTTGTTTGTGTTGCATAGAATAGTACAGTTCCCTTTACATTCACAAGAAGAGCTAAAACAGGATACACAATTAGTGCAGTCCATTGAGCTTTCTTATTTATGTAATAAGTGACCAAGTTGCAGAATTATAACAGGGTTTTGGTTTTGATGGTGAGACTTTCTTTCATGTCTTGTAGAGCCAACCAACAAAGAAATTGCCACTGAAACAATTTGAGGATCCTCTGTTTGTTTTAGCTTCTTTTTTCGGTTCTTGAAGCCTAAAGAGTAATTACCATAAGCACTGACTTCAGTTAGAAACTTGAAAAGGGTCACTTCTTATTATTAATTTCTGTGGGTACCTGATACAACAAAAATCTCAAACAAACTTATCTCTATGAAACTGGAGAAACTACATTTGATACCAATACAACAAAAATAAATCATTTTTTGTCCGTATAACTGTAACCGAAAACTATATCCCAAACCGTAACAAAATGTGGCTGCTTCTGTCTCTTTTCATTGCGTCTTATCTCTCTGCTCACTCTTCCATGAATTCTTAGCTGCATCAGCTGAAATTGTCGTGCCTCCATTGCCATCGCTGCTGCCATCTTCTCCGGGCTTTGGTTTGGAGAAGAACGGGTCCCACACATGGCCCCCAGCTTCCCGTTGGCCTTCCTCCAGCAACGCATACTTCCAGCTGTTCTCCTCCACGAAGTTGTCATACTCGGTTCGTCCCTCTATCATGTTCTTCCTTAACCGAGTCACCTTGTCTATCACAGCCTGTACCGAGACATCAAATGCATCTTTCTGCGTCTCCAGTTCTGATCTCGGGTCTGCGTAGATCAGCCTTGGGATGAGGTTGATGACATTCTCTCTCATTATCTTGACCTGCTCGGGTGGAATCTGAAGGAGTCGCTCCTCAATGCTAATGTTTCTCTTCCGAATATCATCCTCGGGGATGAATACCGAGTAGGTTGTGTAGTTCTTGGGTAGATGCCACGTGTATTGAGTGTAGGCTGAGCCTGGATGGAAGAAGACCGGTATACAACCGGCAAGCATTGAGTCAAATGCCGATCTTCGGGTGTAAGAGTCTCCCTGTGGCTGCAGACAGAAGAGAGAGCTTTGAAACATTTGCATAATGCTGCTTGGTGCATGACATTTGCTCTCTCCAAAATCACATTCTAATAATTTGCCAACATTTGAGTTTCGGCATTGATCAATGATCTGCCCTCTGATGGATTTCGGATTGTCAGGTCGTGGGGCTCCTGCAAATGAGAAAAGCCACTTCCTTTCCAGGTTTCTCATCCGGTCTTGCCATTCAAAAACCTCTGAGTCCTTCGCTGGGTGGAAGTAGGTTGGGTATGGGATCCCAAAATCATTTGCGTTCCATGGGCTCGACTCAACCACAAGCATAGACATGTTCTTGGCAGCTGGTAAGAAGAGAAGCTTGTTGCCCCAATCAGTTTCTTCTTCAGACAATCTCCTAAAATCCCACGTTATCCTACCCGCCACAAGGAAATGATCTTTTCCTCTCATTATATCCCACTCAGGCCGCTTCATGAGCCAATCGACCAACTCAAGCGAAGCAGCATCCCTTCTTGAGATATTATATCCCCACAGGTACCTAGCAATGTCGAATCCAGCATAAAATGGCACAAAGATCGCAGCAGCAAGAGAAGAATCATTCGTCAAACATTTGTACTGCTTCATCCGGTTGCTGAATATCACATCAACAGCAAACTGATTAGTCGCGTACCAGCCTTCATCCGAGAAGACACCTTCAACATTCTCAAGCGGCGGGCCAAGGCCAGCATTGGTTGTGAACTTGCACATGTTAGTCCAGAGACTAAGCTTCTTACAGTCTCTAAGCATATCCTCATTGAACTTGGAGGGTAAATCGTGAACATAAATGTACTTCCCGCCACAAGGGTCACTCTTGTTGTCTACTGTCTTCAACGCTCTTATAAACGAAAACTCCTGTTTCTGCCTACTATCAACAACTCTAGGCGGCTTAAAGGTGGTAGTAGAATTGGCTACTGGAGCAGGAGGGAGTACTGGCTTATCGATCGTAACTAAAGGATCTTTGGGAGGTGGTTTCGATGGAGCTGCATGGGGCTCTATAGGGAATTTATCAACACGAAGAGAGATTGATGATGGCTGAGACTGAGCATAACTAGGTTGCAATTGGATCTGTTTATCAATGTTACTGCTCCCTAAGACAACAAAATGGAAGTACAACAACAATGCCCAGAAAAAGAGTGATAAAGCAACCAACAAACAGATTCGATTAGTCTGATTCTTCCCATTTCCCTTCTCCATAGGCTCTGTAGGAGCAACTTCTGCAGAGCGACGCCTCATAGAAACCCTTGGAATCATATAGAGTGTACGAAGATCACAACATCTATACAAAAAAGATCAATCAACCCTAAAGAGTAAAACCAACTCCTATCAAAGCCTCTAGAGGTTGTTTTTACACGAGATCGAAGTAATTGAAGCTAAATCGTAGCTCAGGAGCAGAGAAAACTCCAGAAAGGAATCAGATTTGAGAAATGTAAAAGTGTACCGACAAGGATCCGCAAGAGAAGGAGCTACGAGGAAGAAAGAAAGATTACAGCTTTTTGATTGATCCTTCGAGGGAAGATCTAGAGATGTGTGAAAGTGAAGATTTTTAACATTGATGAGGCCAAGGATCGATGAAATTTTGACCTGGCTTTGAGCTGGTCTCATCAGTCATCACCGTCAAAGAGAGGGAGAGAGATACTTCTTGTATATGTAATTGAAAGCGCACGTTAGTCAGACGGCTAAATCTGCGCCGGCAGTTTTTTTCTTGTAGTTGTCGGTGACCAGTGGGACCTTGCCACGTGTGTTGACATGTCGGTTCAAGTGTTGATGACGTCAGCTATAAACCTCTTGGACTCTTTGACTCGACTTCGCTCGTAACGTGATTTCGACGAGCGTGTGGGTATAACTCCACGTGTAATCATGTGAGTGGTTGATATGATAAAAGCACGTTGGAAATGGCAAATTACAGAATTTGATGGTAAGCACTAAGCATAAAACCAAAACACGTTGTAACATGATTACTTCAAGTTCAAGCTCATTGATGTGTAACGTCTCTCTGCTAAATGCTAATTATTTATTTCAATTACTACATCATTTTCGACTGCTTTAATTTGAATGTTGTGGAGAAATAAGTTTAAGAAATACTGCAAATGGTTGCACAATTTAAAAGGTTGAAAAACACTATTCAATTAATTTTCACCATTTGAGTTGAAAAAATTATTCAACCCAGTCAACTTAAAAAATTGAAAAAATAAGCAAGTTATAAAGAAAAAATGTTCAACTTGTTCAACCATATTTTTAGAGATGAATAGGTTGAATGACATTCAACCAAATTTTGTTCAACCTATTCAATTTTGAGAAACCATTTAATCTTTTTATTGAGACCAAATCACCAAATATCGTGCATGATGTCCAACTAATGATGACAGTAAGCAACTAAAGCATAAAGCAGATGAATAGCCTTTTCACAAACCTACCTTACATAAATAATTAAGTCTAAAATAAGACCAAAAACGCTCCAAAATGACTTAGTTTGTATAGAACTATATATGTAAGTTCGAATAAGAGAAAAGAGACATTCGAATGCAAAAAAATAATTCTATGCTTTTTTATTTTGATGAGTAAAATTTTGTTAGCCAGTTGAAAATTTGTTTTCTTTTGTTTAAATTCAAAATTAGAGATAGATTATATGAATCTTTTAGATTATTGGTGTCTAATTTATGGTGGTAAATGGTTTTATGGTAGGTGGTGATAAATATGCTTGTTTTGAAAACAAATTTATACAAGTCTTAAGTAGATAAATAACTAATTTTTTTCTTGAGCAAACAGATAAATAACAAAATTAAAATTAAAATTGAATAGTTAAAACTAAAAAAAAAAAACTGGTCAAATCGAATTAGGAGATTTACATTAGAACTAAACAAAATGTTTGACGTCTATATCGGGATTAGTTGTATAAGTGATGAGAAGACACTCCACTTTCATACACTCATAGGCTCATAGCCAATAAATAACAAAACAAAAAGAGCAAAAATAAAAGAAAAACTTAGAAACTTTAAGAGACAAACGTGGCTTGTGGGAGTGGGGAAGTTTGTGCTCCCCAATGTATAACTCACATGGATACCACAAAAGGACTTGCAACAAATTTATTTACTCCTCCTTTAAATAATTGAAGAGAGTAATGGACTAGCATTAAGTGTTTCCCAACAACAATAAAATAGAAAATATTCACTTTTGATTCTTTAATTATTTGTTACAATTGGTGAACATGTTAGGATGGTTTGCAAAAATTGTACGAATTCGTAATTAAAGAATAATATTCTCTTGAAAGATTCATGAATCGATGAACACAAATGAGATTGTGGTCTTCTAATCAATCATCTGATGGGACTATGGGAGGATGGGCAAAAGTATATATAGAAAAGAAAGATTCTAGCTAATTGATAGTTTTTTATTCGTCAAATCGGTACTTAAATAGTAGTTATAATTCGGTAGTTGAGAATTTGAGATTGTAATTGGTACATACTTCATAGCTTTTAATCCGGTAGCCTCTTGACTTCGTCACGTTTGTCCCACTAAAACTACTACAGAATTTGCATGATTGGACTATATAGCATTAATCTTCGACTTAATCTGGAACGATATGAACTAATACAACATACGATGTGTTTTCGACCGTTTGATATCAACTTTACTGGAATAGTCTAACATTTGATAATAGATAAGCAACTAAAACAATTATGGACGAGATAGTTCTTACTTCTTAGCATGATCATCGGTTGATGGGGAGATCTATACGGAACCAATTTCTTTCCGGAACCAAGAGGAGAGGAAGAGAATGAATACTAGAAAGATGTTAAAGAGACAGACCAAACATAACCCAACCTTAATCAACCTCATCTCCTTCTGTCTAGATATGTTATCGTCACGGGTCATTTTAACGTCTTCGATATGGAGATGAACACCAGGATCTCTTAGCTTAACCTTGCTACCGATCAAAGCTGAACCACATGTTGCTTGAACATTGCTGTTCACGTAGATGTTGATCCTGCAACCACTTTGACTTGCTATGTCTACATCCCTAGGCGCCACCATCACCGCACCAACATTTCTCCCGTTCAAGTTGATTCCACCACTGCCAGATTCGGGTTCGGGATAGTCTCCTTCATCTTCCATTTGGGACAGACTGCAAAATGAGTCTATCCTGTCCCTCGAGTGTCATGATATCTGCGACTGCTCTATATCCTTTGCTTGGTTCTTGGGGTTTCCTAAAGTTCTTTACTTTTTTCTACAGCTAGAAGCAAAGTGTTATATTCTACGATTTGCATAACTAGATTCCTTACCCACCCCCTAAATCAAGGGTACCGAAAGCCTTAAGATGGGTTAAAGGGTATCAGTGTTTCATTATCTGTAGATAACGGAGCCGAAATACCCTCTTGACCATGTTGAAACATTTTGTCGCGAGTATGTTTTACTCAAGAACAAAGTAGTACATGGAGTTTGAAACGAACCAGACACTGCATAACTCCTAAGAGACCAAATCGCCCCATCAAGAAAGATATTGTCCCCTCTCTAACTTATAATGATGTTGAAGTGTTATAATTTTTTCCAGAACACAACAAAGAGGAGGACCCGTTTATTATTGACAGAAGTAAATGAAAGGCATCAACATAGCAAATCTGGTTTCCGCAATCTCATTGTGACACTTGCACGAAAAAATTAGTCCAGGAAATGACCTTTGAGCAGAGAAGCAGCATCAAGGGTAGAAGTCTGTTGGTATCTTTTCACTGACAGTAGAACCGAAGTTAGGACCACCCTTGCGATATTGGATAAGAAACTCGACCGGATATCCCTTCAATTTATGGGGGACAAGGTCCAAATCCTGAAACTTCAAGGCTGAAGTAGCCATTGTTGTATAATAAAGAGTGAGACTCAATTAACTCAAGGAAAATAACTCATTTCACTTCTATGAATAATGACTAACCCTTGTCAGATACAAGTGTATCGGTTGTAAGTGCATTGATTTGATCCAGATTGAAGATCTGAGGAGAGGGTAAGGGGAATGGGACTTTGTTCACCATGAAGTCTCGAGGAGCCGCCATTGCCTGGAACAGATTATGACATGCAGTATGTGAAATTAGTATTATTTCAAGAAAACAAAAATTCTTTGGAGTTTCTATCATGGACAGTGCACGATTTGATCTTTTACCTTGGCAATTGGAAATGGAAGCTTCACATACCGAGGCCATTCACGAATCATATCATACATGATCTCTGCCTGCAAGACACACTTGGAAATCAAACCCACTGAGCTAGCACAGTGACAGAGAGAGAATGAAGGATTAAAAGAATTTACCAACTCATGAGTGGTAAACACATCTGGACCACCCAATTCATATGTTTTCCCCATGCTGGAGCCATCATCCTTTAGAGCTGCAACGATCGCAGCAGCAACATCAACCACATAAACAGGCTGGAATCTGCAATGGACTTATCGTCAGGGAAGGAACTAGATCTAAATTGCAAGTTGCTATGAACCAGTGAAAAGAATTGCACAAAAGATTTAAGACGTACTTGGTGGTTCCACCACCTATGAGGGGCAGGAAACCATATTTTTTAACGAACATTGACCAGGGGTTCAGGATTCTGTCTTCTGTACCAATCATGGTTGCAGGTCTCATGACGGTGGCCTACGAAACACATACATCAGGAACTGACTAGAAGCAGCATGCTGATGAAAAAAAGTTTATATAAACCATCCCAGGTTCATTTTTGCTTTTCTGAGATTTTTTAGAATTTATTGATAACATCCTATACAGTTTTTCCAGTTCTGCACAAAAAAATCTAAAGGATCTTTCTTTTCTCTGAAAAAGAAGCAGGACCATGAATAATGAATAAAATATTACGATGATAATAATTACAAAAGAGAGAGTTCCATGTACTGAAAGCTGGACAAATATACCTCAGGCAGCGCGTTCAAGACAGCTTCCTCAGCAGCAGCCTTTGCCCTCAGCATTCTTGAAGGAGATGACGCTGAAGCTCCTAGGCAAGAAACTTGAATGTATCTCATTATCCCACCGTGTTCCTTGGCCACCTGAAACAACATAACCACAAAGCCCAATCTAATTAGAAATAACCGAAAGAGCAAGCCATAGCAGATCGTATCATCCTGAAGGTTAAAAATGTGTAGCTCATTTCAGCAGTAGGCAACAATCTGAGGGGCAACAGAAATGGAAACCTGTTCACCAGACTTTTTGGAGACAACTCATCAGGATTCAAACACATACCAATGCAAGTTTCTCAGCGATATGATGATTCGCATCTTCAAAACTGAAATTTCTGGTCTCGTACTCTCTTCCTGAGGATTAGATTAAATATCATCCAAAATGGAAGGAACAATGCTACTTTTTTAAAGGTTTAACTAACAATAATTGCTAGAAAAAAATAAGATAGACAACAAAAATTTACCAATAAGATTGATAACGACATTAGCCTTGGCCATGACAGCCTTAATCGAGTCTTCATCTCTAGGATCAAATTTCATTGGAACTACCTGGAATAGACAGGCAACAAACACACATCAAATTTTCCGATCCAAAGCATAGTTTTCTAAAAAGATGCTTTTTTGTGGCATACCCTTAAAAGCATTATGTTAAATAAAAGAATATATTACCTGTCCTAAGTCTCCCATCAACTTGAGATGCCGAGGAGAGTCCTCTGAGCCTCGGAAAGGAACAAGCACTTGTGATCCCATTTTAGCTGGAAGAAAAGATTCACTTGAATTTAGCAAGTAACAATAAAATCAACAAAAGTAAACAAAAAACAAGATCGATTTACCCAAACCAGTAATACCAATGTTAAACCCAACTCACCTAGCTGCTGCACAAGATAACGACCCAGAAATCCTGTGGCTCCGAATACCGTAGCTACAATGCCACTGGCAAAAGCAAAGGAGAAATTAAGATTTTCATATACCAACGTATATTCTTTTCCTCTTAACAGAATAGCTCTCGATAGAAATTGACATCGCTACACTAAACCCCTTAGAAATGATACATTTCTCTATAAAGGGAACTAATTCACAAAAGCTACCCTCTAAGCTCAAAACTAAACAAAGATATACAAACTAAGCTTGATTTAACCTAACAGCAACACACCAATAACATTTCTCATTCCCATGAGAAATCTCCAGCATTTCCTTAGAAACAAAACCCTAGACAAACAGAACAGAAAGCTCTCACAGACAAATTCACTATACTAAAGCTACCACAAAGCCATTAGAGATGATACATTTATCCGTAAACGCAACGTATACACAAAAGCTATCCTCTAAGCTAACTTAAATCCAAACACGGACCAATTTCATTTTCTCCTTCCTAAGAGAATTCTCAAGCATAATATTAAGGAAACAAACCCTAAAAGAGAGAAATGACATATACCTAACGGAAGATCTCCCACCAGTACCCTTGCGAGCGAGGTGTCCCACGCCTTTAGTAGCGAGGGAAGACGAGTAGCGACGATTATCAGTCCCATTCACTGATTAAAATCAACAGAAACACACAAAACCATTAAAACCACAAATCTCTCATTAGCGCGAGACTCATAAGCAACCTAAGAAAGTCGAATCGAAGAACAAAATCAATGGCAGAAACTTAACGGTGATTAGAGACTCCATAGAGCGATCTGAGAGAAGAAGATGAGTAGATCGAAGCTTCTCCGGCGAGAGGCCGTTGAACTAATCTCCTGGAAACTGCTTGCATCTTTCGTTCTCAGTTACACGATCGATGGAGAGACAACAAATACAGATGAGAGAAATGGGAATAGAAGAATTCGGTGCATCGAGTATACAATAAAATGGACCTGGGCTTTTACAATGTCTCGAATGGGCCTCTTAATGTAAACCCATTTGCTTAAAATGAAACCACGTCATTTTATGTTAAGTAAGCCCATTTATCGGTAAAACGTCACCGTATGATGAATACGACTATTGGATTTCCTTCTTGTTAATTAATTTTTCCCTTGATTCCCTCTTCTTGTTAATGAGAATTTAAATTTTATAATTAAACAAACATACAGTAAAACCTCTATAAATTAATAATGTTGGGACCATGAAATTTTATTAATTTAGAGAGGTATTAATTTATCGATAAATTAATAATTATTAATTTATAGAGAGATTTTACTAATTTTTTAATTTTTTTAAAATTTTATATTTAAAAATAATTTTTTTTATAAGCAATATTTTTTAAATCAATTGCAAGTAGAGAAGTAATTATTAAGTTTAAAAAACAATTACTTATAATATTTTTTGTAATATCTTTTTTTCTTTAACTTTTTTAAATCGAATATCTTTTTTTCTTTAACTTTTTTAAATCGAATAATAGAGTCATATTTCATTAAATTATTACATATAATATTTTAAATATATATCATAGTAATTCATATATATTAAGTTAAATATACATATATATATATTGATAAGTTTATAAAATTATTAATTTATAATATAGATGGGACCATATGTTTACATGGGATTTTCAAAAAAATTATTATCTTATTAATTTATCGATTTATGTCATATTTTACACTGGTCCCAATTCGGGACCGGAAGAATTTATTAATTTAGAGAGGTTATTAATTTATAGAGTATTAATTTATAGAGGTTTTACTGTACTTCGGTCATAAATTTTCAAAATAACTTAATTGATTTTAATATATGCTTACATTTGTTTTTTTTTATTTTATATAATCACATGCTATAAAAATATAGACTTTATTGTCATTGGCTACAAATATTGTATAACCACAAAAAACCCAAACCAAATAGAAAAAAAAATACACACAACTGGAAGAAGAAGAAAAAAAAAAGGAATAAAAATACACACATGCAAGACCAGTACCTTACTAGTTATGAATCAAACCGAAGTTGATAAGTTTTACTTTATCAAACAAAATTAAACCAAACCAAATAAAAGAATGCTTCACTTTAGTTTCTTGCAAAATAACGTTTTACTATTCAAACAATTTATAAATTACTTGTGAAGCAAGTAAAGATGCTTCTTCCTCATGAATAACCTTCACGTGCTTCTCCTCCGTTAATTTTTCTCAGTCATCTTCCACCGTCGTCTTCTTGGTAGAGGTAGATGCTTCCTCTCCGTTCTTTGTGTCACGTCTAGCTGGTCTTCTTACGACAAGTTCAGCCGCCGCATCGTTGTAAGCCTTAGCCGCCATCTCCGCTGTTGGAAACGTTCCAAGCCATCTCCTTACTTTCAAACTCGGATCCCATATCTCCGCCGACCATTTACCTGATGGCTTATGAAAGTACATAAACTGCATGCTATATATAACGTACTAACCATAACATATTGGAACATAATTTACCTGATGACTAATGAAAATACATAAACTAGCACTACTAAAACTGTAAAGGATATTCAGCTAGCAAAACAAAGACAAAAATGTGGGCTTCACTGATCAACCAAAGCCCATCAAGGATTCAAATGATAAAGCCTCTTTAGACTCCAACGGTAACAGAGCATCTTCACACAAACCTTGTGCTCAGCTCCGTACAGTCAAAGCAGTCTCTCCAGCTCAACATACAGCTCATTTGGATAGAATTTACCTGATGGCTTTTTCCTCACTCCTTTGTGCTTCTTCTCCTTCCTAATTATGATCTCTTCGTGTCGTGGGAAGACGCAACCGTAGCAGCCGGTGATACTACAAAGAGGACAAGGACCAGCATTCAAAGGTGGAAGATGAGCTTCCCATGCATTCGAGTTGGGTGATGGAGTGTCACCTCCGATCACTTGTCGCAAAGCAGTGACCATGATCACATGTTCTTGATCTCTCGTCAAATGAGGAGTGAAGTTGTTGTTTTGATCGTAAGAGGGAACATTTTCTGAATTTTCCATTTTCGTGGAGTCGTCGAACTGAAAATCAATTAAGGTTCTCACGGCCACGGAGAAGTGTCGAAAGTGTTGTGAATTTTAAAAAAGAAACTGACGAGGAAGCCAAAAAAAGGTTTATATAGAAAGGTACTAGGCATGCATGGTCCCATGCGAATCGTTAGACACGCGGCACCAATTAGTGGTTTTTTTTTTCTTTTGAAAACGATACATCATCAGTAGATATTTTTTTTTTTGCAAACGCGATTGCTAAATTGATTCCATCAACTTTTATTAGTCTTGACAACCGAGTAAACCAAATACACTTCTTAGTCAACATATCATGCCATTGTGTGATAGAGCTTATCCAACTGTATTTTTTTTGTTAAAAAGTATCCAACTGTATTTTGGCTTAAATAAGGTAGGTTCATTATTTAAAATTGAAGTCTTTTTCTGTACACCAAATAAATTTGTAGTCTGGACTGCAAATATACACATTTTTTTAATGTTTAATAGTTGAGTTTCATTCGTAACAATAGGATTGTGTAAGTTCATTATTTTTTTGAAAAATTATTTTATATTTTGTTAAACTTTTTAATAGGTTAATTAATACAATAGTTGTATGTATCAGTCCTTGGATTAATTTTGTCCAATGACATCATCAAATCTATCTATAATAATTTTGTCCTATTCTTTTTGCTCTGTGCTCTGTTATTTTTTTCTTTTTTATATAGATATATCTAAATTACTCTTGTTGATATAGTATACATTGTGTAACACTATACAAATAGAAACCATATGTTTTCGAGCTTTTTGAAATATTTTTGGGGGTTAGTTTCTGTTATGTTAAGATATATTAATTTTATTTACAGTGCAAGGTTTTGGGTTTTTGTATAAAGTTACACAGTGAGTCATTAACTAATGAAAAAGAAAATGCAACGTAACGAAGTATTCTCATTCCAGACTTTCCAGTGCTTTAATCATAAACCAAGTTGTTAAGAGAGTCTCCCTTTGAATATGGCGGTCACTTTCATATTTTGTATATATTTTTTCTTTGATTTAATTATATAGTTGAAGAAAATTTTAGCTAAATTAAATGAGACAGGTAATTGCTTTCGATTTCATGTTTGACTAAATAAGAAACTAAGCACTTATTTTATCTGGAAATAACATAAAGAAATAATTAAAAACAAGAAAAAAGATTTTTGTCTCTTCGGGGACATCCGATAAAATTGGAACGATACAGAGAAGATTAGCATGGCTCCTGCGCAAGGATGACACGCATAAATCGAGAAATGGTCCAAATTTCTTTTTCAAAAAAGAAAAAAGACAAAAGATTTTTCGAAAGCGGAATACACTCTCTTGTGACACAGATTGGACTTGGATCGAGAAAAACAAGAAACCCTACAAAATATTATTGAGCTGCTTTGTACATCTAGTGGTTGTTGCATATTAATGCATATCATCATCTCCTTTTCGTTTTATTTGCGTTTTGTCATTCGTTTCTATTTATCATATATTTATTTATGTCTCAAATAAAAACATTGTCGTATCGATGTCTTGAGCAAGTCATTTATAGTTGACAAACATTCATATTCTTATAGCGACTCTGTATCCATCGCTTGATATAACAAAAATCTTGAATTTTACCTATAAAATATTGAAATTGTTTATCTATCAATCGAAAAAAATGATGGACATTGATAAAAATAATTTGTTTTCAAAGCATGCGATCGACTTGTGGAGTTGATAGGTTACTTAATAAAAATAGAACATGCGAAATACCAATATGTAACTTTTGTAGATCATTACTTCATTACTAGATCATGTGTCAATTATGAACAAGCGATTTGTAACGTTACGTTTAAGTTGATTTGTTTTTATTTTATCGCATGGTATAAACCACCTAACAATAAAAATGTAATATTTTTATTGCCATATGCCATTGCTTACATTAATTAACCACAAAATAAACCCAAACCAAATAGATAAAATACACACAATTGGAAAAAAAAAGAGAGGAGGAAATACACACAAATCACACTAGATCACCTTACTAAAGTGTACCGAAATCAAACCGAAGTTGATAAGTCTTACTTTAGCAATTTTTTTGTTTTATTATTATATTATCATATCAAATAAACCAAACCAAACCGAAATGCTTCGGTTTGTTGGCAAAAACCGTTTTATTCTTTTTTTTTAATCATATTTACTTGTGAAGCAAGTAAGATGCTTCTTCCTGAATAACCTTCCACGCCTCCTTCACGTGCTTCTCCTCCGTCAATGGCGCTCCTATTGCGCAACGCAGTACGATTTTCCCCGACAAAGCCTGTTTCCACGCAAATTCAATACCTTATCCAGCAAGAAGAAGAACAAGAAGAAGGAAGAGAAGTCACTTACAGTGTGAGAAATGAAGAGTTTCCCTGAAGAGTTCACTGCGTCTAGGAGTTCACGGTTTTGGTTATTACACTTCTTTTCTTCGTTTTTCACAGGCACGAGGCGGAAACAGACAAGAGAAAAGATCCGAGGTGTGACAATCTGCATGCAAACAAGACTAATCACTTATTAACCCTTCTTAGAAGAATCTTTATCCAGAATGATTTGAGATTTTTACGGTTACCTCGAAGTTAGGATCTTGAGAGACAAGTTGTTCGAATTCTTTAGCCAGTTTGATATGGTTTCTTATATAGCTCTTCAAGGTCTCAGATCCATAGAGCCTCAAAACCATCCATAGTTTCAATGATCTGTCAACAAACAAAAACAAAACTCAGATTGCATTTATGCATATGTTTATACTAAACCTTAAATTTAATTTTCTTTGAAAGCAAAGAACCTGAATCTTCGTCCGAGAGGGATTTGCCAATCTTTGTAATCAACAACCAAGTTTGCCTGAGAGGCCTGGCCAAACAAAATGTAGATAGTAAGACTAGCAATCTAATAGATCCAAAGAAGAAAGATTGTTGTTTGTCTGTGAAGAACAAAATCTTTCTTACCTTGTTTTTGAGAAACTCTGGATTTGTTGAAAGAGCTAATGTAAGAGAATCTTGATCCTGTTTTTCAAGTGTTAATCCTTTTTCAATATACGTGTAGAGAGAAAGTAAGGAGAACGTGAGATTAAAATGGGCTAATACCTTAACCCAAAGAAGGGAACAATCGAAGTTAGTGAGGAACCATTTGTGAGCATTCATGTTAAAAGAGTCTGCAGTTTCGACACCGTCAATGTATTGTCGATACTCTGGACATATACAAGCACTTCCAGCGTATGCTGCATCCACGTGAAACCACATCTCATTTCTCTGAGAAATATAGCCAGAGAAATAACATCAGTTTCTATGCCTTAGAGTCTCTATGAAGCTTGTCTAAAAATGTGAAATAACTAACGTTAGCTATCTTTCCCAGTGCAGCTAATGGATCAACTGCGGTTGAAGAAGTGGTTCCAACCTGGAAATAACAAATGAATTGTTCAGAGTTCATGCTACAAGAGGGCAAGTAACAGGCTCGTTCTTACATTAGCACATAAGAAGAATGGAATCAATCCAGCTTCAAGATCTCGAGAAACAGCCTCTTGAAGCAATTCTGGGCGCAGAGCGTAATTTGTAGCAGAATCGGTTTTCAGCACCCTGCAATTCTCTGGATGGATTCCAGCAATCTGTCAACAAAATAAACCAGCAGAACATTAGCATTCTCTTTACAAAATTTCTTTGATTTCAAATATGCAAATTTCACCTGGCAAGCCTTCTGTAAAGCTGAATGAGTCTGGTCAGAGGAGTAGACAACGAGCTTTTCAAGTGCGTTTTTGCCAACGCTTCTTAAAACCTTGTCGCGGGCAGCAATGAGAACAACAAGAACAGCTTCACTAGCTGACCCTTGTATAACTCCACCTCCATTTCCTACAGTAAAACATAAACCCACACTTAGGTCTTAAGCTAACAGGATTTAAGTGTGATAGTTATTACCTTTGGACATAAACTGCTCAGGTAGGTTGAGCAGTTTAGCAAGCCAATCAAGCACAATCATTTCTAGCTCGGTAGCAGCTGGAGAAGTAACCCAACTAAAACCAACAATACCAAGACCAGCACTCAACATCTCACCCAAGAAGCCAGCAACACTGCTGTTAGAAGGATAATAAGCAAAGAAACTCGGGCTTTGCCAATGCGTTACCCCAGGCAATATCTTCGCCCGAACATCTGCAAAACAAACAGGCTTAGTTAGAATCTATGTTCATCAGAAATGCTCCAAAACTAGAAAATAGGTATTCACCATCAAGAACTTGGTCTACAGTTTCAGGGTGGTCTGGTGCGGAATCAGGCAAAAGCTTATGAAGATAACCAGGCTGCATCAAACAAGTAAATTCAACCAGAGAGATTTTAACACACAAGATTATAAAAAACACTTGCTACTCCAAGTACTGCATCAAACAAGTAAAGTCAACATTGTAGCTAAACCAGAGAGATTTAGAGTAAAAAAAAAAACTTGCTACTCCCAAGTACAAACAACTAGAATTACCAATTTGGTTCTAACCCAATAACGTTACCAAAAGATACAGAAACTATGACAGAAATTAGGTCTCACGATATTTCAGAGCTATAAATTTTGAAACTTTTACAAGCCCAACTCTCACAATCCAAGTTCTAAGTAACGGATTGAAAAACCCATAAACCATCACCAAATAGATTTCCCGAGGAAAAGAGGAAAGAAGAAAAAAGACCTGAACTTGGCTAAGAACAGGGAAATCTTGGATGGTTTTGTAATAATCAGCAATGAAATCAACCATTCGATGTCCGTATTCTCTCAATTGCTCTGAGTCCATCGGCTTCAACACCTTCCCACTTCCATTTTCCCTGAAGAGAAAAACACAAAACTCAGACGATTTTCAATTGAAAATTTGACAGAAAATGGGAATTTCAAATTCTTCAGTGACTTGCATTTTGTTTATGCTTGCGTCAATTTGAATTGATGTTTATGTCTCAGAAGCTCTCTCTCTGAATGATTTGGGTTTCAGTGGGAGTGGATATCTCTTATTTATAGGGCTCTGATTGTTTTCTATTTTTTTTAAAAAGTATTTTTTGTGACTTTTATATATTTTTAATTATATATATAAAAATGAATTAAATATTCTCCATGTATTTATTGTATCCACCCAATTGGTTTATCAGTAACTATATAACTTATTGGTTCTACTTCTCCTAAAGTCTTTGTCTGCGGTTGTTAACGTTTAAAATCTATCATAGAAAATATTTTCTACTGTTTCAAATTACTTGCAATCGTTAAATTCCAAAAGGTTATTTCTGCAAGTATTTGCGATTGCATATGATTCAAAAAAAAATCACGTGAATAACAAATAAAAAAAATATATGGTCAAGTCATATATATTTTCACGTTAATTTTCAAACACTAATCGTTTACAACACTTAATCATGCCTCAAACCACAAGTCAACAACCGTCCGCTTCCGCATATTCTCACAATCGCACTTGTTGCGTTTAAACCTTTCAAACCCTATGAATCAGTCAAATACCGCAATTAATAATTAACAAATTAATTGAATCATATGTAATGAGAAAATGTTTAACAAATTGAATCAAATGTAATGAGAAAATGTTTTGTGTGAGACGTGGAAAGTGAGATTTTAGAGCGAGATTGTTCATCTTTTTCTCATATTTAAACTTAATATTATTAACTAATAACTATGACTCAGTCAACTATCACTTGAAGAGTTTCGTAATAAAATCCCAACCAAACTCTGAGGTAATTTGTTAGATAGTGCTAGGGGTAATTTTTCGAATGCCAATTTAACCGTGACACGAGCACACATCATATCAGAATTGTCCACTATATATTCATACGATTAAAATGGTTCGATCCAGTCACAAAAAAAAAATTAGTTTTGAGAATTCTCATCGCATTGTTTCCAGTAAACAATGTGAAAAAAATTGATCAAGGGTCAAAATTTGTTTTTATAAGGATCCTGTTTCAAGTAAACGAGGGTGAGTCGGAAAAAGAAAAAATAGTTTAGAGAAAGATAGCCACTAGGAAACGTATCAATAAAAGTTGTGTCATTCACATGTTTCATGCCAAGCACATACGCTTCATTTCTTATAAAAATTACACATTCTTCATTTAATTATTACATCTTGAAATTTATAATTTATCATAATTGGCTGAAGTAAATAATGTAAATCTAGCTTAGTCGGTAACATTTGCCCCAACTAAAACCTAGCCTCGAAGGTTCAGTTCTCATAATGTGTCTCTTTTTTGATAATTTTTTGAAAATTTTAAATTAACTAATTGAAGTTTAGATTTTGTGTAACAAACAACAAAGTTAGAATATCGATATTTTAGAAATATATGAAGTATTAAATTGGAAGATGTGAAATGTGATGATAGTTCTTAAAAATTTTGAACGTACATTAAAAGACAGCAATTCAATTAGTTTCCTTTGTCTGTAAACGTCTGAAATAGGACCCCATAATTCACGTGACAAATTGGTAGTAAAGAAATCAAAATTGAATGTATATATTTTATGTATGAAACCAATCATGGAGTATCGAATATCTTACATTATTAAACTGTGTTATTGTCCCCATTATTAGGTTTAAGAAGTCATCAATCCAATTATAAATACATTTCTTTACACCCGTACATGTATATATAGTAGTATATTACAAAAAATGAAATGTACGTACTTTACTAATCTGCACAATCTCAGAATATATACATATATGCTATTAACTAACGACATGAGATAATATATATCTCTGTAATTTGATTCCTAAACATACGTAATCTTGATACTTTTTGATTTGGTCCATTATTTGTATTGTGATTTGTGATCAAGACGGTGACTAATTGACTTTAACAATTCATGCATGAGAATGTTGATAGTTAGAACCCTACCTAGAGACCGATTAAACTAACACTTATCATATTTCCGGCTAACAATGGCCAAGGTAAACTGTGAGTAAAATGAAAATGGTAGCTGCCTTCGAGAAAATTGCTCAAGAGGATAAGACACTGATCTAGTTACAAACAACAGATATTACATAAACCCTTTTTCAAAAAACAAAACAACAAATATTACAAAGTACAAATCCATACACAAATTCACGTCTATTTGATGAATTCTAAAGGCTCAATAGAGATAAACAGAAGAGAACACAACACAAACTTGACGCAAAATATGATAGTTTGTTAATGATAAACAAAAAAGAAAAAAAAAAACACAAATGATAATTATCGACTTTACCAAAATATCTCTATTAGTTGATATTTAAGGATCCTCGTACTTGTTGTTTACGTGCCTAAAAATCTGTTTTAAAAATTGATGTTATGTAAGCAATTTGCCACAAACTCCACAGTACATATCAAAATAATCAGAACATGTGACCACCAGCTCCTATATTGGTTAGATTGGCAGACAAATTATATGATTGTGATAGCACCCGATATATCAACTTTTTGAGCTTGACCTAATTAGGATTATAATTTCGGCCATTACATTATTTTTACCTCGACCATCTCATATTCATTAATCAATGTATAACATATCCAGATAAGGGATGGCTTCTGATTAAACCGATCAACACACGGTTTTTTCCTTTTTGTGAGTGTGGATATTTAATTATATGTTTGCATTTTTTGGTTATAGTGCTTTATTGCATTCGAAATTATCGATCATAGCATTGAAAAGAAAATTATTGGCACTTGAAAAACCATTAAAAATACTGGGGGTCTAAATGAAAATAGTGGCCCAAAGATATTATTAGCACTTAAACCTATATAGCTACTTAGCTGTTTCACCAAATGTTTGTGCTAGATTCTACAAATGCCGAAACAATGCCATGGGTAAACTCATCTCAAGCATGTATCGATTATCGATTAGTTAGAGCATATGGGCTAAGAGAAGCTTCAATTTTGATACTTCTATCGACCCACTACTATTCGCTATATATAACTTTTATTGTTTTAATTAAGTGCGAGGGACAAAATTAGATCGGTCGCCCAAACAACTTATTGTTCTTCAAAAAATAAAATAAAATAAAACACGTAAAGCTCATACAAACTCTTCAAATATCTGTCTTTATGAACCTATGAGCCTTAAGATTTTCATTTCGACATCTCGCATACGCGAAGATATCTAGTATAACAAAGCAAGAGTTGGTAAATTTTATAAATAGTTAACCTTCATATTAGTTGAAAGTTGAACTATATATCAACTCTTCTCAAAATATAATATAGACACTTTGTCTCTTTCATCCGAGAAATCACAATTTCTTACTGATTTGCACCGAAATACTCGTAGGTGAAAAAAAAAAACACAAATGATAAATATCAACTTTACCAATATCTTCTATTAGTTGATATTTAACTATTTAAGGATCCTTGTACTTGCTGTTTACGTGCCTAAAAATCTGTTTTAAAAATTGATGTTATGTAAGGAAATCGCCACAAACTCCACATAGTACATACCAAAATAATCAAAATACACTTGTAACAGCAAAACTAAAACATAAATGAGAGGAACATGTGACATCACCAGCTCCTATATTGGTTAGATTGGCAGACAAATGATATGGTTGTGATAGCACCCGATATATCAACTTTTTGAGCTTAGCTTAATTATAATTTCGGCCAAATCATTATTTTTACCATCTCATTTTCATTAAGATCTATGTATAACATATCCAGATAAGGGATATGGCTTCTGACACTAACACAAGTTTTTTCTTTTGTGTGTGGATACTTAATTATAGGTTTGTACTTCTTTTTGGTTATAGTGGTTTTCGCATTCGAAATTATCGTTGCTGTTGAAAATATATATATTGGCAGTTGAAAAACAATTAAAAATACTGAGTGTCTAAATGAAAAATAGTTGCCCAAAAATATTAGGGTATTTTTAAATGTGTAAAATTATATATATTGAATATTCCTAAACAACAATTTTTTGTTATAGGACTTACAAAACCTAGCTACTTATCTATTTTCACCAAATGTTTGAGCTATATTCTACAAATGTCCAAACAATGCCATGGGTAAAGTCATCTCAAGCATGTATAGATTCTCGATTAGTTTAGAGCATATGGGCTAAGAAAAGTAGAGAACTACAGAAGCTTCAACTTTGATACATTTATCGACCAACTATTCGATAACTTTTATTGTATCTTGTAGTCGATAAATGATATCACCTTTTTTTTGTTTAAACACCTTATTGTTCTTCAAAAAAATGAAAAGTTATAATACATACCGCTCATACAAACTCTGCAAATATCTGTCTTTATAAACCTATGAGCCTTAAGATTTACATTTCGACATCTCGCTTACTCGACGACAAAGTGGATTGCTATAATTGACTAAATATAACCAAGAACTTAGTATTCCCCTTAGTTGAAAGTCGAACTGAACATACCAACTCTTCTTAAAATATAGACACTCCATCCGAGAAATCACAATACTCGTAGTCGTAGGTGAAAAAAAAAGAAGAAAAGAAACTCAAGCGAAGGAAAGGGACATTAATGGGCCTTTATGTGAAGCACAATTTATATTTAACGTTTTAGAATAAGAAAATTTTATTAACAAAGGCCACTAGGGCCTTAATGTTGAAGCCCAATTTATATCATCCGAAAAATCACTCTCTTACTAATGGGCCTTAATGTTGAAGCCCAATTTATAATTTAACGTTTAGAAAAAGGAAACTTTATTTACTAAATCGACTAGGCCTTATATGTTTAGGCCCAATATTGTTGTGTCTTGTGGACTTAACCGCCACCATCTTTTGTCGCCGGTAACAGCAACGGGAATTTTCATGGCGGCGAGGTCACCGGACGTTATATAATCTGTATCCCAAATCAAAATTCTGAGAAGAAGAGATAAGCTATGGATGACGAATTGGAAGGTCTTCGAGCTCATTTTCCTGTTTCTTTCGGTAAGACATCGAAGGTTTCGGCGTCAACTGAAGCCATTCACAGCGCAACTCGCCGCACCGATGTAGCCACCGACGCCGGGGTTTCGTCGGATTCCTCCACGAAGAAACCTGACTCCGGTAAATCTGAATCCGGATTCCCTTCTCTGTCTTCCTCATCTGAAACCTGGCTCCGAAGTGTTCGCGGTCCGAAACGTAACCCTAATAGCTCCAGTCTACCTCCTTCCGATGATGATATAGCAATGGGTCCGCCACCACCACCGCCGCCGCCGTCTAAACCGACGCAAGAGGAAGAAGAGGAGGATGACGGAGTTATGATGGGACCACCTCCGCCACCGAAGGGACTCGGGAACATTAATGATTCTGATGATGAGGCGGACATGATCGGTCCTCCTCCGCCGCCTCGGGCTGCTATAGATTCCGATGAAGATTCAGATGATGATGATGCTAATGACAACGAGGAGAATCGTTACCAGATTCCACTGAGCAACGAGATTCAGCTCAAGGGCCATACAAAGGTATACTAAACTCTTGTGTAAAGTAGTTTCAATGGAGATTTTGAATTCGAAATTGAACAAAGGTTTTGGTTTCGTGGAATCAGATTGTTTCATCTCTCGCTGTTGATAGTGCTGGAGCTAGAGTTCTTTCAGGAAGCTATGACTACACAGTGCGTATGTATGATTTCCAAGGGATGAATTCAAGACTTCAGTCTTTTAGACAGATCGAACCATCTGAGGGACACCAAGTTCGCAGCGTGAGCTGGAGTCCTACTTCTGGTCATTTTCTATGCGTTACTGGCTCTGCACAAGCTAAGGTATAACGTTCCTTTTGACTCTCTTCTAGGATTCGTTATCATCTGTGAATTGCTCACACTCGTATCTTCTTTTGAATTTCAGATTTTTGATCGAGATGGTCTTACTCTTGGTGAGTTTATGAAAGGAGATATGTATATTCGTGATTTGAAGAACACTAAGGGACATATTTGCGGGTTGACTTGCGGAGAATGGCATCCGAGGACTAAGGAAACGGTTCTGACTTCGTCGGAAGACGGGTCTTTGCGTATATGGGATGTTAATAACTTCCTAAGCCAAACGCAGGTACTTTTTTGACCTGTCTATATTCACATTTACGGTTTTTGATTTGCAATTCTTTTCAAATGAAAATCGTGGTTTGATTTCAGCATGGAAGTGGTATCATTTAACTGTTTATTGGAACAGGTTATTAAGCCAAAGCTTGCTAGACCAGGGAGGGTTCCAGTTACAACCTGTGCTTGGGACCGTGACGGAAAGCGTATCGCCGGTGGCATAGGAGATGGTTCTATACAGGTAATGATTGGAAAGGCTTGTTCTGATTTCCTGATTACATTCTGTCAGGGAAAGTTTGTGTTTTATCTAGTCTAACACGCTTAGAATACAATGTAATTTGGCTTGATTAATGGTCTTAATATCTTTCTTGTTTTTCGATCAAGATTTGGAGTCTCAAGCCGGGATGGGGAAGCCGACCAGATATTTACGTTGGGAAGGCCCACACTGATGATATAACCTCTGTAAAGTTCTCTAGCGATGGCAGAATTCTGTTGTCAAGGAGTTTTGATGGTTCTCTGAAGGTAAACCTAAGATAATATCCTGTTTTTGTCCAGTTTGCTTAGCGATTATAACTGAACTCTTTCTTGAATCTTGATCAGGTCTGGGACTTGCGGCAGATGAAAGAAGCTCTAAAAGTTTTTGAGGGTCTCCCTAATTATTATCCACAAACCAATGTTGCCTTTAGTCCAGACGAACAAATCATCCTGACTGGAACATCTGTCGAGAAAGACAGCACAACAGGAGGCTTGCTATGCTTCTACGATCGCACCAAACTAGAGATTGTTCAAAAAGTCGGAATCTCTCCAACTTCCAGCGTGGTGCAATGCGCTTGGCACCCGAGGTTGAATCAGGTAAAACATCAACAACAACAAAAGCAATGTTCCCTTTTTCTAAAATCGTATTCTCAACTTCACACTAAGAGGGTTCTGTTGCTGTAGATATTTGCAACATCTGGAGACAAAAGCCAAGGAGGGACTCACATTCTTTACGACCCAACTCAGAGCGAGAGAGGCGCATGCGTCTGTGTTGCACGTGCACCAAGGAAGAAATCTGTAGACGATTACCAACCAGAACCAGTAATACACAATCCTCATGCATTACCATTGTTCAGAGACGCACCAAGCCGTAAACGACAAAGAGAGAAAGCATTGAAGGATCCTATTAAAGCCCACAAGCCTGAGATTCCCATGACAGGTCCTGGTCATGGTGGAAGAGTTGGGACTACTGGTAGTAGCTTACTAACACAATATCTTCTCAAGGTAAAGATCCTCGGTAACTTCTTTGGTTTTTGGATTCGTGGTATTAGTGATTGTATGTAATGTATTTAAACCTTGTTGTTGTTGTGTGTGTTTTGCAGCAAGGTGGGATGATAAAAGAGACGTGGATGGAGGAAGATCCAAGAGAAGCGATATTGAAATACGCAGAGGTTGCTGTTAAAGATCCCAAGTTTATTGCACCGGCTTACTCTGAGACCCAGCCTGAGACCATCTTCGCTAAATCTGATGACGAAGAAGAAGAAGGTGACACCAAAAAATAATAGTGTTTCAAATTCAACGACCATTTCCTTGTATCCTGTGTAATGATCATATCATGGCACTTTAGAATAACTGAAAGAACACACTCATCCCGGAATTGCATTTGTGCATTCCGCCATTCAGCGTTAAATTTACAGAATTGCAGTTTTACGTAACAATTGTGGAACATCGATTTTGTCACGAATCACATCTGGAACTGTAGAATTGCGGTTGAAATATTTTTGTCATAAGATTTTACCTTATATAGATTTGGTTAGGAAAAAAAATGCAAATTAGATACTAAATTGTAATCAAAGCACTTGAATTCAGCAAAAAAGGTTTTCAAGTGTTCTGTACAACTATAACAGACAAAAGCTTCTATTGAGCGGTGGTTAATTTACAAGAGCAGGAAATAAGTTTTCAAACAAGTTTGTTAATGGTAAAAAGGATCAGAGATCCAGACACGATAAGCATGTCTCTGTTTTCTTGTTTTCATACTTTTCTTCTGCAGTACAAATCTGAGTTAAAACATTTGTATTCCATCACCTCTCTCTCTGCGTATATAGGGTAGTAAAGTTACCCTCTTTAGCTTTTTCTTTCTTTTCATATGATTTGACTTTGGTTTGTTTCGTATTGTATAAGTTGATGACAAAATGAGCTTCAGAGACGCCCGTTCTCAAAGCTCGATAGTCGCGAGTCTGATAAAACACTAAACAGTTGTGTGTCTACAAATAACTGCAAAACCCAGAATAACAAAGTATAGAGCTTGTAAGCCTCTGGATTCCAGTGAGACTATCGGAAACTGAAGCCAAGATCGGGATTAGGATTTTGTACCTTAATGAAGGGTCGATCTCTACCAGGAAATGAATCGATAAAACTGTCCTTTAGAAGTAGAGAAACCTGTGAAAGAAAGATTTAGATAGTTGGTGAGAGATAGAGAGAAAATAGTTCTTGTTACGCTTCGAGGAGAGTCACTATATAAGTAAGTACCCTGTCGCTATTGGATTGAACACTTGTTATGGTGTGAGAGTGTAAATCTGAGCAAAGAGACTCCATGTAATCTCTCATTACTCTCAAGAATTTAGTCGCAGCTTCTGCCTGAGAAACAGTCAGTCATATGATCGGGTTAAGCAATTTCGTTTTGGTACAATTTAGGCCATGCATTGGTAAACTACTTACTTGCACTTCATTGCATTTATAAACCGGGTGTCTTCTAGCTGTCGAGCTCTGATGAGCCAATGTTGCATGGATTGGAGCCAACTGAGCCATAAGTTCTCTACACTGAGGCAATGCTGGCATGTTACATATTTTCACCTGAAGAAACATAGTTAACGTTACATGCCTTGAGAATTGTCGATTTTATCGGTTTTCCATACCTAATAAAAAGAAAAGAAATACGAGACTTTCATGATAAGGCCACCGAACCTGATTGTTGAGGATGTTAACTAGAATAAGATTAGACGTTTTGACCTTCCAATCAATAGGTTTACTGTGTATACCGACCTGCCAGGTGGCGCAAACTCAGACCGTGTGAGCAACAAGAAACATGCATAGTTCATGATTGACGATGCAGCATCAACTAAAATTGAGATTTTCATGGTTTATTATAGACTGATGAACATTCAACTCCTCAGAATAAGTAATCATCTAGCTATGAAAGACATGGCACGAGTTACTTCATATGGAATATATATACTTACAAGGAAGGGAACTGGTGCCTCAAGGAAATCAAACATCCTTCCAGGCAGAACCTGAAGACAACAGAGAGAAGTTACGCCAAGGAAACTACAATTTGGTAGGTCAATTGTTTTTCTAGTGATTTCATGCTTACCGGAAGCAATAAACTCTGCCACTGAAATGGCCGAATCATTGGGACAAGAGACAGTACTATTGCTGACAAAACACCCTGCAATAGTTGTCGGTCAGTTCAAGTGACCATTTCCATTTGAATCTCCCCAAGTAATTGAAGATGAATAACGATCAGAGGACAGATTAACTAACCAGATTTGGGCAGATTACTACAATTTGCTTCTCTAATAATACTCCAGCAAGAAGTGACATAATCTGGAAGAAAGAAAATACTTTATAACTTCAGATATTTGTTGCCTGTGAAAACACTAACTCAAGGCACAAATAAGAGATGGATTTTATATAGGTTGTTCTAAAACCGACACTGAACCACCAAAAGAAAAGGAAGGATGCTAAAAAGAGGCCGTACAGTTTCAAGAGAGAGAATACGACAAACTGTTGCCGTTGTCCACATTGAGAGACCCATGGCCTCCTCAGCAGCTGTCAACCTTGCATTTATCTTTGGCAAGAGAAGAAAAGTGGTTGAGATGAGATTATAAAGTAGAGACAAGGCTAGACTACAAAAGGATATTTTCTGATATCAAATATACCTCGGAAGAATCAGAAGAGCAAATATATTCTTCTGACAATCCTAGAGCTGAAACTGGAGGACGGGTATACGCGATTGATTGTAAATGTTCCAGGGGGTGGAAAACTACTTCACTTCCACGGGAAGGAATTGCCAATGAATGGTAGCCGCAAACTAATTGTAACGAATCATTGTTGTGGTCCTATCAAGGTGAGATACCATATAGCAGTATATGAGAACAATGAAGAAGAGATGATAGAGCAACTAAATGGTGAAGCTACTAGTGATCTCCTTAGTCCTTACCTTAGCCCATTCCAGTATTAAATCATCTCCGAAATCATTTTCGCTATTCGATAAATCATCAATCTCATCTGACAACACACTTCTAGCTGAACTGCCATATATAAAAACGTAAAATCTGAAATTATACTGGCAATATACTGAATCATAACATTAACTGAAAAATAGACAACCACATTAGTTTTCCAGAGATAAGGAATGGTTAGATCAATTTTTGATGAATTTTACCTGAACACAGACTCACAGCTTTCATTACGCTCTATCGGTTGGGTCCTAGGATCAGTACATGAAACTTCTGGTGAAGTGTGGCCATTGTCATAGCTATGGGATGTTCTTTCGGGGGTATCCAAGTGGTTCTCAAATACTTCAGGAGAATTTTCATCGTAACAATGGAAAACTTTTCTCCCATCTCTTTCTATTTCCTTGATCTGGCTTACATCTGAAGCATCACTGGTGACAACACTATCTGGAGATTGAGGTTCTGCAAAATTCGCAATGTCACTATCAGTGATCAATCCCGCAGCCGCGGCTGTAAGTGCCATGACTCCATCAACAGGTATTGCAGAAGCCATCCAATCATCAGGGTTGCTACGAGGTGATGAAACACGGCTATCAATTTGATCATTCGTCCTAGATAATGATGGACGATAGCAAGCAGCAGCAAGAGACATCTCACTAACAAATTCGGTTATCCGTTTTAGACGCTCCTGTGCAATCATACTGCATCAACAAGTGAATGACCTTCGACATAAGTTTTTCGATCTCTGTTTAATGCAAGGAAAAGCCACTACTAAGAGTAGGGGCATCTTATGGTACCTGTTTAACATCTCAAAGTGTAGTTCAAAAAAAGGAACTCTGGTCAGCAAGCAGTAACATCGAGGTGCAGAAACCAAAAAACGACTGCCTCCTCCAGATGAATGCAAGGGTGACGCAGTGCTTAATACACCAGGAGGTCTCTGAACAATCTCCGAGACATGTAAGCAAACACCATACAATGTCGCATCATCTGCTACCTGACAGAGAATTTTGATTGCCTCATGTTAGTTTTTACATGACTAGTGGATGTCTGTCACTAAAAAAATTTAAAGGGGCATTTAGAAAAGATAGATTACCTTGAACGAAAATATGAACGATGAATCATCTGTGCCTAAATGTTCCTGCAGTCAACTCAAAAGTATGATATGTAAACCTATATTCCAAGTAACAGAGATGAACTACTGAAGCTCCTACAGATATCTTATTCAGAAATATTTTCAGACCTGTCCATACACAAGCTCATTTAGATCACTGAGAGATGGGGTCCTCTCCAAAAGTCGTGCCTGGTAAGAAAAATATCATTTTAACAGTCTTAGTTGCTGCATACATCACAGAATAACTTAATGATGCATATTATTACCAATAGTACGAAATCAATCATAGGAAAATATTCTAATAAACTGAGATGACTCATAACTAATGATATACCAATGCACATTGAAGGTCATTAAGACACACCATACATATCATACCTTGACACCACCAGGAAAGCAGAAAGTTGCTAGATCCTTTGGACGCATTGCCACCTTCTTTCCAGGAGGGTATTTAAAAAGAATCTGTGCATGGAACAAAAGTTGATAAAGAGACGGAAAAAACCAACTAAATCTGCCATGAAGCAGACAAACCCATGTACCTATTAGAATGTATTAAACACGAAATAAAAGAGTGGCAAACAGAGTAGGTAACAAGACAAAAAAGAACGATGAATAGAAAACAGAATACATGTATCACGTTACATCTCTAAGCATGCCCAAAACTATGTGAACTCAAAGAAAAAACCATGGTAGCACAAACCTGTGGCTCCAATATAGGAAATTGAGGCCCACGGTGACGGAGTATTCTGTAGTCTGCCACTTCATACCTTGACATCTCCATCTCCCATTTCTTTCTTCTACGGAAAGCCTCTTCCACTGGCCTCAAATTCGTTTCCGGATGAAGCCCCACGATGATAAAATGTTCAAATAGTGACGTTGGCTCCTTTAATTTTGTTTGATCCTAGAGCGTTTATCAAATGGAAAACATTAGTCAGTTAATATGTTATGCAAGACCAGAACTTTCAGACGATTAAGGGGAAGAAAAACTAAGTAGCCAAAAAACGTGTTTCAAAGGTTTGATAGGACATCCTAGAGAGATTGAATACCAGAGCTTTTGAAGAGTGGAGCTGGTACCACTGTCTTTTTTGGTTTGCTAAGACCTCAGGATTGAAAGTGGGACGGTTATCCTCACGCAGATTGCTGACCCCACGCCAAGCCTTTTGCATTTGTGTTTTCAATCTCTGGAAACTGTTTGTGCGTCTGTGTCCAGGAGTCCCTATCTCACTTTGGCTGCGCCTATGTCCTTGTGTCGGTGACTGCGGTAAGACTGGTCCATTGAAGTATACGTTTTGATATGTCTCTCCAGCTGCTTTAACTGCATCTGCAGTACATGGCGAAGAGTCTTGCTCTCCTATAACTTCTCTCATTTCCATCTTTCTAATACATGTGTCATTAACTTGGGTCTCGCATCTTGGACTCTGCGGTTCATCATCTTCACCATCCCTTTCCAACAATCTGTTCTCATCCCTATCTTCACATCTATTACATGTTCCTGAATCTTCTTCGGTTCCACCCACCTTCAGATGACTAACTTCATCGTCTTTAGCTTGACCATTTGCCACTTCTGCATCCATTTTTTCAACCTTGTCATCCCTCTCCAACACAGCTAGTTCATCATCCCTATTTACCCTTTCCAATTCGTCTCTACTTATCGATACCTTCTCCTCGCAAGCTGTATTCAATTCCTCTCCATTCAACAACCTACCTTCCTTAACCATGTCCAACGTATTCCTACTACTCAAAGTTGTCCATCCATTTTCATCTCCATCCCTAAAATCTTCAACATCCGTCTTCTTCTTCGGGTATCCTCCTAATATATCATCTCGATTTCTATCTCCCCGATGAACAGCCAAAACATCTCCCTGCATATCCGGCTTCATACACCACTTCCACCTCCTCCCTCACACAACATCAGCCATAATCAAATAACTAAAAATCTCTCCTAAAACACACACACACAAAAAAAAACAATCTAATCAAAAACAAAGCAATATTATCAACAACAATAATATAAACATAGAATATTTCTGTGACAACCTATTGGAACTTGAAGAATCTATAACGAAACCCTAATTTTCCAGAAGAGTTGAAATCATAAGAAAATTCAATGTTCCAGATGATCAAAAAATTAAGAACAAGATACCTTCAAAATCCTTCAAGCAAAATCAATGCTTCTGAGAGATTTTTTTTTATTTTAGGAAAATTCAAACAAGAAAAATCCAGGAAAAAAAAAAAGAGAGAGCTTGTAACGGAAGCTTGGATTATGGAGGGAAGGAAATGAATGCGCGGCGAGAAGATTAGGGAGAGAAGATTACAATACACACAAATTTGGAACAACAACAAAAGTGGAATTGAATCTTCTGGGAGGGGTGAAAAAGACAGATAAATAAAGTTTGTGCTAAAAATAGAATTATACGAAAAAGGGGAGGTTATACTTGAGACCAGGAGAAGAACAGCTCAGGTTTTTGTTTTAACTTTTTTATTTGTCTTTTTAACCTCTCACGTTTTTTTTTCCTTTAGCTCTCTACTAAACGTGGTCTTCATGTTATATGAGCAAACAACCAAATTTGTTGCTTAATTTGACTTGTTTTTTTTGTCTAATTTAAATCTTTATAACTCTAATTCTCACACAATTACCAAAAAGGAATATCAAATCTGGTATTCTTATGTAGTCATTTAAAGTAATCTTTTTTTTTGCCAAGATTAGTAATTTAAAAAATAGAAAAATATGAAAAGTTTATAAATTAATTTCAAAAATGGTATGTTCAACAACATATGTTACTATTTTCTCCATTATGTTACTTTTGCATGTTATGCTGAATGTCTTTGAACGGACGTATTTTATATATGCGAAAATATTTAAAATATGAGAGTACATTCACAGCTAGTATATCTAAATAAAGAAAAAACTCTAAAAACTTTTTGGTCGACAACATTCAGTCATATGTGGATTTTAAAACAAGGATTGTGATACATCAACGATAATAACTAAGACCATTTAAATTTTGGTCAAATTTTGTCTCTTAGTTTATTGTACTTTATGCCAATTCAATTTTTTATCATATATATAAAAAATCTACATATATATATATATACTATATATACGGGTCAATTATCAAGAACTATAATCATTATCTTTGAAGAACATTGGATTCTCTACTAGAATATACAAATAAATTAGGTATGAATCTACTAACATTTAATCCCAAAAAAAAAATGATCAAAGAAATGCTTTTTAGCCTTGTTTCCAATTCAAGCTTTAAAATGTTAAGCCAAGCTACAAAATATCAAATAAATAATATTTTTTGAATTATTTTACTAGCTACTTTTATTCAGTTTTGAAAACGCTACTATTATACAAAAAACCATCCAAAAATATCTAGATTGAAAATATCATAGACCAAAAGATCTGAAGTGATCTTGTTAAAAAAATAGCAATTATAATTTGTTTTGATTGCACAATACACACTTTTAGTAATTAATAATTTGTTTTGGATCAGGTACATAGTAGAAACCAACTATTATTATCAAGACGATTGTTCTAAAATATGAAAAGTCAAAGATATTTTAATTACGATAATAACAGGTCTAGCATACTGTCGGAAATCGGAACAATAATAAGTAAAAGAATCTTATTGTTAACGAACGTAAATACTAGTGATTGATTACCTGAAATGATCTTTGACGCTGTAGAAGTTTTGGACAAAATAAAAGAAATAAAAAAGTTTGGTAACCAATATATAAAAAAGTAAAAGTTTAGGGGCTAACTTCTTAAATGATGAAAACTGGAATTGACTTTGAACGTGGCTTTATCGAACCCAACGGTTGAATATTGGTTTAGATAGACATGACCAAAAGCTAACCGTAACCGTATTTCGGACCGTAACCGGACCGTTTCTCAACCGTAACCGAACCGTAACCGTATAAAACGGTTAATAACCGTAACCGTTAACCGTAAAAATAGATTACTTACGGTTAAAAAATATACTAACCCGTAACCGTTAATTAACCGTAAACGTATCAAAACCGTTAGTTAACCGTACGGTTAACCGCATAGTTAACCGTACAGTTAAAACCTAAAATACATAATTATTTCACTAAAACAGTGCCTTAAATGGTTCAATGCGCCCACTACTAAATTTAAAACACTTCACTCGTCCACTACTCATTTTCTACAAATCAAATCATAAATAATTACAAGTTATTATTTCTACTCCTGCAATCGTTTCTTAATTCTCATAACATTTTTTCTATAGTATTGTTTGGAATATGTATTGTCAATAAAACAATAACTCAATCATTATAATTATTACCATTGATTTAGTTATTCGTTGGTTTACTTAACAGAACAAAATAGCTAATTAACTATAAATATTAAAGTACATAATCACATATATTATATTTTATAAAATAAATATTATTTGATATATCATCATTAAATTTTTTATTCTAAAGGTTAAAAATACCTAAGCTTATGTTTTTGATATTAACCGTATCGTAATAATTAAATAACGGTAACCGTATTTAACCGTAGCCATTGTAACCGTAACTGTATTTAACCGTAACCGTTTTAACCGTATATATAACGGTTAAGGTTACGGTTAGAGAAATTTTATAACCGTAACCGGAGGTTAATAAACCGTAACCGCAATAACCGTAACCGTGGTCATGCCTAGGTTTAGATGTCTCTCTCACGCGCTACATTCTTCCTTCCATCTCAGCCGTTGGATTTGACTGTTACGAGATCCCTTTGACTTGAATAAAGAAAGATCCATCAATCCTGATTTTTGTTCAAGAAATTAGTAATCATATGTATTATTCGTCCGATTGTGTAAAAGAATTTAGTATAAAAAAAAATCGTTAACAATACTGAAATAGTTAAACAAAATAAAAAATATTAATACAGAAAGTTAAAAATTATCGTTCTTGATTAGTTTTTACTGATTTTGGTATCGTTTTTGTAACCGCTGGTTCTTATTGTTAAACCAATAAAAACTTACTTATACGACTGTGGTACGAAATCAAAACCTAAGTTGAAACAAAATTCAACAAATTTAACGGTTTGAATTTCATGAAAATATTGTTAGAACGTGCACATAACACGCTAAACGGTGGATATTATAAGAAGATGCGGAAGCTGAGGCATTTATACCGTGAAGGACCCCTAGGTCGCACATGCTCTTTGCCCACCACTTTGTGTGTCTTGGGAATTGTATTGCTTACATAAATATTTCATCCGTTTTTCACTTCTTCTTACAACAAATTACTAGTCATTTTTATAATACTAGTATTTATTTTCTAAGCCAAAGAAAATGATTTGTAATTGTATTGTCTTTTTCAAAAAAAAATGCTTTGTTTTAATGTTGTCTTTACATAAAAAGGTTGGGAAGAATTTGATCATCAAACCAAACGAAACAATCTATGAAAAACATAGAAATCCATCTATAGTTTCATTACCAGCCCAGTTTCTTTTGAGCTTAGGCCCATTAGGCCCATCTTCACTAAATACTCGTGCAAAACTGTCATTCATCGTCCGTCACCACCACCAGGACAACATCCGCTTTCTTCCAAACCAAACCCTAATTTCTCAGCTCGAAGTTTCCATTTCAATGCTTCTCTTCTTACCTCGAATTTTCCCGTGTAATAAGAAAATCCTGTCTTCTCTTAGAATTCGATCAATTTACTGAATTCAGGTGTTCTCACATGCCTTCTGATCCTGTGTTCGAATTTCTGTGATCGGTTTCGAAAATTCGTCAATGGGTTCGGGAAATCATGTTTTTATCGTCGATGTTAGCTCAGACGAAGAGGAAGTTGATACACGGGTAGACCTAGACTACTCCAGTTGGCTCAATGATGTTATGGAACCCGTCGATGATAAATCTGACAGTACCGATATAGTCGAGGTGCTTTCTGAGGTTAAAGGTGGTGTCGATTCTCAGTATCGGAAGCCAAATTCGTCAAATCAAGCTTTGGAAGATGATGACGATTGTGTGATTTTGGATTGTGATCCCGACAAGTCGACGAAGACTGCTTCAATTGACGACGATGATGATGAGAAGTTAGCAAAGAATGATGATGATGATGATGATGTGCTCGTGGTGGGTCAAAAGGGTGAGGTATATTTCACTTGACCCTTCTCATTTCTAAGTTCTCTTTCGTTTTCTTCAATCGAATTGGCGTGAAAGCTAGAGTTGTTTCATTTCAGATTCTATATGCGTTAGTGTTTTTTAGCTCTGAGGTACTGTTTTAGGAATGGATAGTTATAGACCTGTTTTGTGTATCAGTGATGAACTTTTTTTCTTTGATGTGTACCATCTTTATGCAGGTGTTGTTCACTTAAGTTTCCCTAATATCAAAAAGCAATTTTGTTTTGTTTTGTAGATAGCATGTAGAGATTTCCCACATCCTCGACATTCGTGTGCTAAGTACGCGTTTAACTCAACCTCACATGAGAAGTACTGTGACATGGTAAGCATCTAAAGATTCTCTAATTTTGCACAGAGCTTTAGTGGTTCCATATCCTGGCTGATCCTTTTCATTTGGTTTCATTTTCAAGTGTCACTGTTATGTGTGTGACATTCGTGCTCCGTGTCCATACTGGTGTATTGCTGTCTCCTCCATAGATCATTGTCATGCTAATGATAAAGAGAAGATATGGAAGAATCAACGTGAATACTTCAGGACGGGATACATGCCTACCCCACCGACTTCGAAACCTACTCCAAGTATCTTACGGGTGTCTAAAAACACTTTGCTTCGGAACCCGGTTGAGATCCGGCGTTGTTCATCATCTACCCGTGTTGCTAATCCCTCAAGCGTCAAAGCCAGGCATAGAATCAGGCAACCGATTCCTCACAATCAAGGGTTGCAGAGTCAACCGGCGCAGTCATTGAGCGGTGTTCGCAACAGCGTGATCCAAAAGGATAGAAGCTCTTATAAGTTTAGCCTACGATCCCGAGTAGCCTCTTCTGCGGGAAATGGTAACAGCATCCGATATAGCAATGCTCAAGTTTCACAATCCAGCCACAATAGCTCTTCCTTAGTGGCACCGACAAAAAACCCGGAAATGTACACTCAACAACGCAATTACCAGCCCAATGTTAGTGATCATTGCACATTGCTACCTGGTTCACAGAGCAATATGTACACTCGACAGTCAGACCAGAACATACGTGGTAGTGGAAATCGTCAGCCAAATGTGAATCTGTTTGCTCCGTCGGAAGCTCCTCTTACTGCTGCAGATCCACAAACAGAGACGGTACAACAGCAACCAGGGACAAATGAAAACGTCTTGGAGACCAAACTATCGGAATTTGAGAACTGGCTAATGGAAAATCCTAACCAAACCGGCGCGGTTAGTCCGTTGCCTCAACCGGTAGGTGAAGACTATGTTGATACGTTGTTATTTGATTTCGAAACCTTCTTGAATGATTAAAACATAAGTGTAGTTTGTAAACTTTGTATCCTCGTCCATAGGGTAACTTTCCTCACTGATTGTATTTTGTAGAGTTAGTGTAGTAGATGGTTTAATTACAATTTCGATTGTGTGTATAATTATTTAGCTGCTACTAGTACATCATCATAAAATTAAAGTAAAAGTACCTGTTTGTCAATTTACACAAATAATATTTGTTGGCGAAAAAAAGCGGTTAGAAATCGCAGCTCATAATTAAGGTTTTCGATTTTTTTTAGGTCAAAAATCAATCATACCATTATCACTGTTTAAATGATTAGGGAGGGGACAATGTCATGCAATGTAACATACGTTACTAGCAGAAGAAGACAGTCAGCAAAGGTTCTTAATGTTAGAAACAATTGAAATTTTGCCCTAAAAATAGGAAGAAACAATTGAAATAACTGATGAAGTTTTCTTAAAAATACAGGAAATTTTCTTAAATATAGTATTAATTTTGGAAAAAACATGAAAATTATTGTAAAATTATAATTATCCATTAGGGATAGTTATCTTTTAATATCCCTTATCCATTATTAATATTACTTAAATAGTATAACTTGGTCATCAAGCTATTATAGCTTGGTCATCAAGCTATTCTTAGCTATATATAGACGTTGGCAAAAGTAATAATAATAAGAAGAAGTGAATTGTGCTCTCTCTCTTTTTCTTTTTTAAGTATACATCATATATATATATATATATATATATATATATATATATATATATATATATATATATATATATTTTGTTATTATTTTATTCAACACGTTATCAGCACGAGCGACTCTCGATCCGTTAGCACGAGCGACTCTAGATCCGTTATCGTTTTAAGGTAACATTTAAATTATGTTAAAATTATTTAAATTTATGTATATGTTATTATTTGTTATTTATGGAGTAAAAGGCTATGCTTTCTCCCGATCATAATGGTAGGCTCTGCCTCCTTGATCGTATAATAAGATCTACATCTTTGATCATAATGGTAGGCTCTGCCTCCTCGATCATATGTTCAGATCTATATTTTTGGATCAAATGGTAGGCTCTGCCTCCTCGATCCTATGAAAAGCTAGCCCTCTTGTACAATCATATGGATGACTATGTCTCCTAAAATGATTGTTTTAATTTATGCTTTTATTATATCTTATAGTATATAATTATTTTTAAATTTATTTTATGTTGCTTTATTTCTAAAACAAGATTTTGCAAAAGTTTTTCAAAAATTTATATTTAACAAATTGCTTTATTATTTATAGTTATCATGTCGAACTTGGCAAAGCTTGATATCGCTGCTTTTGATGTTTCTGGAAAAAATTATATGACATGGGCATTAGATGCAAAAATGTATCTCAAAGGAAATAGGCTTCTTAAAACCCTCGATCCGTCGGAAACGACGTTAGAGGAAGAAAAGGCAAAAGCCATGATGTTTTTACGTCACCATCTCCACGATAGTTTAAAAGATGAATACATCACAAGAGATAATCCCGCAGATCTCTGGGTCTCTCTCAGAGATAGGTTTGATCACCAGAAATATGTGATCTGCGGTTTCAGGATTACAAAAGTGTAAGTGAATATAATTCCGCTTTGTTCGGAATCACTTCCAGGATGATTTTATGCGGAGAGACTGTTTCCGATTATGATATGATCGAGAAAACTTTCCAGACATTTCATCCTACAAATGTAATCCTGCAGCAACAATATCGAGCTAGAGGATATACTCGATATTCTGACTTAATGCAAGTTCTTCTTGTTGCTGAACAAAATAATGAACTTATGATGATGAATCATCAAACTCGCCCAACTGGATCAGCTCCACTTTCAGAAGTGAATGTTGCTTCATCCAGCTATAGTAATTGGCGAGGACGCGGACACGGTCGAGGCCGTGGTCGCGGTCGTGGAGGAGGTCGTGGACGAGGAAAAGGAAGGGGTCTCCCTCCTAATAATTTCAACGCCAAGAAAACCAACAAAAATCTTCAAGTGAATGACGCTGGTCGCACTTTGAAGAAACAAGATGAAAGTACTTGTTACAGATGTGGCATGAAAGGACATTGGTACCAGACCTGTCGTATACCAAAACATTTGGCCGATCTGTATCAAGCATCTCAAAAAGCAAAACAAAGGGATGTTGAGACCAATCTCATCTTTGATGAAGCAGGACCTTCATTCCATGGCCTTAATGATGAAACCCATCTTGATATCGCAGATTTTCTCGTTGATCATGAAAACAGGAATCAGGCTAATAAGATCGTTATGAGTTATGACATGATATGGTTCTACTAGTATTTTATGTATTTTACGTTTTTAATGCACTTTTTGTTTTAAAAGTCTTTTTGAATAATGGTTTCTTTGTAATATACAATAAAGTTTTCTTTGTAAGTCTTTATGTTATTAATGCATATTTTATAAATGCTTTATCTCAGAAAATGTCAAATTTTGAGATTGAGGATGGAGATATATGTCTCGCAGACAGTGCTACGACGCACACGATACTTAAAGATAAAAAATATTTCTCCTCTCTCAAAATAAAAGACTCCGTTGGAAGCGTGAGTACCATATCTGGTAATGCAAAGATTATTATGGGCTCTGGAAAAGCCATTTTTTTAATGCCAAGGGGAACGAAATTTGAAATTGATGCATTATATTCCCCTATGTCTCATAGAAACTTAATAAGTTTCAAAGATATCCGAAGAAATGGATATCATATAAAGACTATGAATAAGAATGGCGTGGAATATCTTTGTATTACATCCGAGGGAAAACATATACTAGAAGAATTGCCAATGTTATCCTCTGGATTATATTGCACAAAAATAAATATGTTCGCATCATATGTTACAGTAAACTCAAAGTTTACTAGTACATTTAAGGTTTGGCATGAAAGACTTGGACATTCTGGTTCAGTCATGATGCGAAAAATTGTGAAAAATTCTAGTGGCCATCCATTGAAAAACCAAAAGATTTTTCAATCTAATGAGTTTTCATGCGATGCATGTTCTCAAGGAAAACTCATAATTCGGCCATCGCCAAGCAAAATTGGGAATGAATCTCCATTATTCTTAGAGAGAATACATGGTGATATATGTGGACCTATCCACCCTTCGTGTGGGCCGTTTCGTTACTTTATGGTAATGATTGACGCATCCAGTAGGTGGTCACATGTGTGTCTATTGACAACACGAAATACGGCTTTCGCGAAATTCATTTCCCAAATAATCAGGTTGAAAGCACAATTTCCTGATTACGCCATAAAGAAAGTCAGGCTTGATAACGCTGGTGAATTCACTTCACAAGCCTTTAATGACTATTGTATGTCAATGGGAATCGATGTTGAGCATCCAGTCCCTCATGTTCATACTCAAAATGGCATGGCTGAATCTTTAATTAAACGGTTGCAACTCATTGCTAGACCGTTAATATTGAGAACAAAGCTCCCAATTTCTATATGGGGTCATGCTATATTGCATGCTGCGGCTTTGGTTCAGATACGACCAAGCGCATATAATAAATATTCCCCTTTACAATTAACGTCTGGTCAAGAGCCAGACGTAGCCCATCTTCGTGTTTTTGGGTGTGCGGTTTATGTTCCTATAGCCCCACCACAAAGAACAAAAATGGGGCCACAACGGAGATTGGGTATATACGTCGGTTATGCATCACCGAGTATAATTCGGTATCTTGAACCGCAAACTGGTGATATGTTTACGGCACGTTTTGCCGATTGCCATTTCAATGAAGATGAATTTCCAGCGTTAGGGGGAGGAATTAAACAAGTACCAAAAGATATTACATGGTCTACACCATCTTTGGTATATCTTGATCCCCCTACAAATCAACGTGAGCTGGAAGTTCAGAAAATTGTACATTTACAAAATTTGGCAAATCAATTACCAGATGCGTTTACAGATACAAAAAGGGTGACAAAGTCATACATTCCCGCTGCAAATGTCCCATCAAGAGTTGAAATTCCTAAAGTGGAATTCGATGGGAACAAAACTAATGAACCTAAGGTTCAATTGAAACGTGGGAGGCCAATGGGCTCTAAAAATAAAAATCCCCGAAAGAAAAAGAAAATGGGAGATGAAAATGACAAGGTTCAAGAAGAACCTAATAAAGAGAAAAATCCTCAGGACGATACAGAAAAATATGAGATTTCCATTAACTATGCCCGAGATGGAAAATTATGGGCTAGAGATGAAATCGATGATGTTGATGGAATGTTCTCTTTTTTTGTATCTAAAGAGATCGATCATGAAAATGATGATCCAGATCCAAAGTCCGTATCAGAATGCCAACAAAGGCCTGATTGGGAGAAATGGAAAACTGCAATGCAAATTGAGTTGCTCTCCCTCAACAAAAGAGATGTCTTTGGACCTCTCGTCACTACATCTAAAGATGTAAAACCTGTTGGGTGCAAGTGGGTATTTGTGCGAAAAAGAAATGAGAAAGATGAAATCACACGATATAAAGCCCGACTTGTTGCACAAGGTTTTTCTCAAAGACGTGGAGTTGATTATGAAGAAACATATTCTCCGGTCATGGATGCAATTACATTCAGGTACTTAATGAGCCTAGCGGCCTCTAAGAATTTAGAAATGTACCTTATGGATGTAGTGACAGCATATTTATACGGATCATTGGATAATAATATTTATATGAAAATTCCCGAAGGATTTAAAGTTCCTGAGGCATTAGACTCATAGTCTTATGAAATATGTGCGGTCAAATTACAGCGATCACTTTACGGATTAAAACAATCCGGTCGCATGTGGTATAATCGTTTAAGCGAATATTTATTAAAAAAAAGGTATGTTTATAATGAAATATGCCCCTGCGTCTTTATTAAGAAATCTCCATCGGGATTTGTGATCATTGCTGTATATGTTGATGACCTAAACATAATTGGAACTCAAAAGGAGATTGATGATGCAAGAACTCATATGAAAGAAGAGTTCGAAATGAAAGATCTTGGAAAGACAAAATTTTGTCTCGGACTCCAAATAGAGCATTTCCAAGACGGAATATTTGTACATCAATCAAACTATACCAAAAGGATCATTAAGCGTTTTTATATGGATAAAGCGCATCCTTTGAGTACTCCAATGGTCAATAGATCTTTGAATGTTGAAAATGATCCATTCAGACCTTGTGAAAATAACGAAGAAATACTTGGTCCCGAAGTACCTTACATGAGTGTTATCGGTGGGCTTATGTATCTTGCAAATTGCACCCGACCGGACATTGCATTTGCCACTAATCTACTTGCAAGATACAACTCATCCCCTACCCACAAACATTGGAATGGGATAAAACACATCTTCCGCTATCTTCAAGGTACGATTGACCTAGGATTATTCTATCCTAGAAACTCTGCGTTTGGTCTAGTTGGTTTTGCAGATGCAGGATATTTATCGGATCCGCATAAATCTCGGTCCCAAACTGGATACGTTTTCACAATCGGAGGAACGGCAATCTCGTGGCGTTCTCAGAAACAGACTTTGGTCGCCACCTCTTCAAACCATGCAGAAATGATTGCGCTTCATGAAGCCTGCAGAGAATGTATGTGGCTTAGATCTATGACCAACCACATACAAGAAGCAAGTGGAATAGTCTCCAATAAAGAGCCCACAACATTATTCGAAGACAATGCTGCATGCGTCGCCCAAATCAAAGAAGGTTATATCAAAAGCGACAGAACGAAGCATATCCCCCCTAGGTTTTTCTCCTACACTCAAGAACTCGAGAAAAACAAAGAAGTTGATATCCAGTATATCCGCTCAAGTGACAACGCAGCATAATCCAAATCTCTTTGATTTTATCATTGTTTTGAGTATACTTGCGGATCACTCCACTTGCAAAAGACCAATAATGAGAATTACATTGCGATGACTCACTTGGTAGATTGAGTTCGATCTCCTCCAAACATGAATTAATACACCTATAGCTTCCATGTAGGATCGACCATTGAGATGTGGCTGTATTGGAGTTACTTTGGTATAGATCTCGGAAGAAGGCAGACTCCGTAAGTGATTTCCATTCTCTACTCACCAACTTGAATCTAACGATACTTTGCATTGGTAATTTTGCGATTGTTGTCATCACTATTTCTTGCGGAAGATTCACATCTCTTTCCTCCATGCTTATCTCTACTCTCGACACCACTAGACCTAATCTTTGTCAATCAATAAGACACTCTCTAACTAGAAATTAGTTTTTTTGGCTTTTCACGTTAGCCTCATCTATAAAATACTTTAATCGGATCAAACGTATATCTCCTTATTATTAAAAGAGAAGTACAACTTTTTTAGGTCTAAAATATCCCTAAACTAAAAGTTTTACATTAACTTTCATTAAGGGTATTATTGGGTTATCATAAGGTTTTGTAATTCGGATCGGTTTTAAAACTAAAAATTGACCCGAAAAAATACAATTGGTTTTTTATTTACCACCATTTTATTTTAGTAATAAATTCTTAAATACCTTATTTAAAATAATAATCATACGAAATCAATTAGTAAACAAAATTAATTAATAAAATAAAATTTCTAAAACATTATCTAATAAAATTATTATATGAAATTAAATAATCATATTAACAATAATATTATGAAATCCTTATTAATCCCCTTATTATTAAAAGAGAAGTACAATTTATTTTTGGTCTTAAATAAAAGCTTTATATTAACATTCACTAAGGATATTAACGGGTTATCATAAGGCTTTGTAATTCGGGTCGGTTTTTAAACTAAAATAAAATTGACCAGAAATAATACAATTGGTTTTGTACCAATTATCGACCCGTTTATTTTTCTACAACCCGTTTCATGTAGATTCGTTTAATTTGGTAATAAAATCCAGAATTTGAAGTTTAAAATATACCGCCATTTAATTTTGGATAAAATCCAGAATTTGAAATTTTAATTATATTTCAAATAATAAAATAAATTACTTTCTAAGAATCAAATATATTAAAAATACTAATTTCAAAAATAAACATATTACTAATATTACAACATTAATATCTAATTTACACCAAATTACAAAAATGATTATACGAACATTTAATACCCGTGCTTTAGCACGGGATATGATCTGGTATTTGTATGATTTAACTAACATTTATCCTAAAATATCTCTACATTTATGATTTTTTAAAGATTTAAAAATCTGAAATATCCATATAATATTCCACAATTAATAATATAGATATTTATAAGATTTTGTTAAGATTTTAAAATTATGTTTCTCCTATTATTTGATATATTTTTAAATTGCTTTGAATCATCATATAATACATAAAATAAAATTAATAAGACTCTAGATTTTTTTCTGCATTTGCCTTATCACTAACACAATATGCTTGTAGAAGTTGTAACTCACACTAGGAGTTGTCTAAAATAGGGTATTAATCCCTCTAGACTCATCTATCTCTCCCTTACACAAAATTAAGAGGTTTATAATATGAGTTAATTTATCTAAATTTCTAAATCAGGTTTTTGGATGCTATGGTTTGGTCTTGCACAATATATTATGTGGATGTGACTTTACGTTAATAGCTACGGAGCAAGGTCAATAGCCTCTTTGTGCATTGTATATATATTAGAAAGACTTGTCCAACGTAATCGAATGATAATATATACGTTTGAAAGTTTTTATATATGGAAATTTGAAACTCACATATTTAAATTAGGGGCTTTTGCAAAAATGCCACTTTTTCATTGCCACTTTTCAAAAATGCCTCTTATATAAAAAATCTCCTAAAAATATAAGATTTATCCATATATGTATGTAACATTATTAAACATACACAAACTACCTTTCTATATATCTAAAATCTTATAAATACTTTATAAATACCGTATAAATACATTTAAAATACCTTTAAAAACTTTAAAAATATCTTGTAAAACCTTTTAAATATCTTTAAAAACCTTTAAAATATCTTGTAAAACCTTTAAAAACACCTTATAAAACCTTATAAATACTTGGATCGAGTCTTCAAGTAGTAGTTACCATCCATAAGTACCTTATAAACCTAATAAAAATTTCAGATTTAAAAAGGGGTATTTTTGAAAATGGACATCTAAAATGGGCATTTTTGAAAAAAAGCACACCAAAAGGGGCATTTTTAACAATTTCCCTTGAAATAAATATTAAGATTTCTATCAACCATATTAATTTAAGATGTTTTAGTTAATGAATTATATAATTTTTAATACATCATGTATTTTAAAATAAATATTATATTATCAAGTAGATATAAAATATAAATAATATAATTCAAATTTAATTTTCATTAACTAAAAATATATTTTGTAAAACACAAAATTTTGTTAAATCGGAATTACCATGCTGTAAAACAATAATACAAAATATGGCGTGTTCACCCACTAGTATAATTAAATTTTAAACAGAAATGCTATTGATTTTTTATCTTTAAGAATCTATCTTACTTTTGTTGGTCTCATAAGCTACATGCCTACATCATTTCATATGCAGAACTTATCAAACCAATTTGTCATCTCACGTAGTTTTATTTCCATAACATAGATGAAATAAACCAAACCTTTTGGATCCTATGGTAAAAAACATACATTACAGTGAGTAAGAGCCAGAGAAGTTGCTCTGCAACTGAGTAATATCTTGAGAAGTAACATCAATTGAACCATTGAGAAAACCAGTGTACCAAGAAGCAGAGAGCCTTGGAGACCTCTTGAGACCAGGGTCGCTAAAATTCACAAAGTATAATCCATATGTCTGCATGTATCCACCGAATAACTCATACAAATCCATTAACGACCATACAAAGTAACCTCTCGTGTCCGATCCATTCCTGATCAGTCACAAGATTTGTCACAAATAGAGAGTCAAGTAAACCAGAATAAAATCAACCAATCCTATTATAGTAATATGAAAAAGGAGAATCATATACTTTATGGCGTTGAGCACAGCACCAATGTAACCTTCGATGTATTCAACTCTTGGTGTGTCTTGTAGCGACGAATCTTGTTTCAACGATACACCTGTTTTTTCGCAATTTGAAGAATTTTGAGAACAAAAACTGCTCTTTCAAGCAAACAAAACAGAGTAATAAGATAAAAGAGAATGAAGAAGACCATTTTCAAGAATGTAGATTGGAGGATTGTTAAAGTTTTGCTTTAGATACTCAAGAACACCTTCAAGACCCCATGGAGTAGCCTCCAACTTCAAGAAAAGCAATTGTGTTCAAGATTTAAAAACATCAAAGAAGAGATGTGTGTGTGTGTGTGTGTGTGTGTGTTTGTGTTCTGCAGATTTGCAGGACCTTACCTCAATGAAAGAAGACTTCCCAGTGGCTGTCCAAAGAAGAAGTGTTATCAACTAAAAGAGTTGCGATGATAAAAAGAAACCTTATCTTACTTACTGATCATATATGCGTCCATGTCTTTAAAGAAGCATTTGTTAATGTTGGTGGGATAGATAGAAGGTAGTGGTCGGTTTGTGACAAATAATGTCGTGTAGTGAATAATTCCTATAAAGTCATATGATCCTTTAACTTTCTTTGCCTCTTCCTCTGAGAAAACCGGTAATCTCGATCCCATCGCGCTCTTTATTTCATCCGGATAATCCCCAAATACCAAAGGCTTCAACATCCTGACTCATCAATTTAGGATCCATCAGATTTTGTCCTCAAACTATTGAAACAAGAAAGCTATTTTCTCACCAGCCATGGAAGAAAGTGTTAGCTCTTTGAGTTGCGATTTCATCTTCCGTGGAGTTTGTATAAGGAGATAACCCAACTGCATATATACTAAAGCCTATGGATCCTCTCTGCTTACTCTGCACCAATCATATGAATTACGTTCATACGGGTTTAGGGTTTAAGGTTTAAGAGCGAAAATGAGATATATATAGATATACCTTGTACTTTAATTTATACAATTCTGAAGCAGAGGCATGAGCTAGCAATATGTTATGGCCTGCAAGATATGTTTTTGTAGAAGAATCTGCGGTAGAGCAATTGATGGATTTGCTAGGAGTAGGAGTACAATGTCCCATGGTAATTCCTTCGCCATAAGAACCAAAGGCGAGTATCGTAGCTTCGTTGATTGTAGTCCATAACTTCACATCCTCCCCAAACTCTCTGAAGCATACATCTACAAAAGCAGTGAAGTCTTCTCTGCAATTAAACAAAACAAACATTTTTTGGCAATTCATACTAAAAGTTATGTCATTAGATCAGAATCTTTTTATCATTTACATGATTCTGCGGTTGATCCATCCTCCGTATTCATCTTCAAGAGGCTGAGGAAGATCATAGTGGTAAAGCGTAACATGTGGTTCGATTCCTATGAAAAGTTTTCACAAACTTCAGTTAGAAGCTATGGATTAGCTTTAGTTGCGATTAAGTATAAAGACAAAAACCTCACCATGGCTTCGTAGTTCTTTGATGAGATTCTTGTAAAACAATAGTCCTTTTGGGTTAATGGGTCCTCTTCCATCTACAGAGACAAAAAGGGTTTAAGAGGTCCAAACAATATAGTTAGTTACTTGTAAATCAAGAAACCAGGAAGAGGCGTTACTAGGTATTAGTCTTGTCCAGGAGATAGAGAATCTGAATGCTTCTAAGCCCATTTCTGCCATCAGCTTAACATCTTCCTGCAGAAGTAACAATAACATCAGCATTTGAGAATAACAGAGCCAGAGACTTACGATAACTTGCTCAAAACGTATGTAAACGTACGGCAAAGAAGAGAAATAAACCTTGTACTTGTGATAACCATCACATGCTATATCTCCATTACTTCCATTAGCTGCAATTTTCGAACAAGAATCTATGAATTTTCTCATATAAACCCCTAATAATGACTCAAATTTTCAATTTAAAACGTCAATTATATAACCACAGAGTAACCTATGTTATAAATATTAAAATACACCTTTTAATTTTCTTTATGAAAAACAAAAAAGGTCAATACTGAAAAAGAAAAAAAAATCATCTAATAAAGGTTTCAGTAGTTGTTAAAAAAAAAGAAAAAAAAATCAAAACGAAAAAAACTTACAACAGTGGGAGAGAAAATCCCAGCCACTGATAGTTCTTCCGTCTTCATCAGAAGCTCCTTCCCACTGTATTTCCACAAATTCCGAAAAAACAAAATATATAATTAAATGTAATGATTAGAAGGTTCTGGACTTTAGTCCCGTACATCCCAACGCGGAGCCAAACCATGTAATTTAATTATTCTTTGGAGACTATACCCATCCAATATGGATCAAATCCGTGACCTTCAAGATCTTACATTTTCGGTAATCTAGGAGCTTAACCACTAGCTCAACTCGTTGTTGGTTTTTTAAAAAAGAAAAAAAAAAACAATGTTGAACCTGATAAGCAGAAGTGCCGGCTCCGAAGAGGAAATCCTTAGGAAAATTGTTTCTGGTGAAGGCATCGATGTAGCTTGCTGCCAAAACGATGACTAGAATAATGGAAACCAGAGTGAAAGGTTTCATTTTTATGTTCCTCCTTTCGTCTGAGTTCAAGAGAAATAAGATAAATCAAGGGTTTAGTGGTTTCTTTGGACTATTTAAAAAGAAGTACATACCTATTGTGTTTTGAGTTTCTGACTGGTTGGTTCACCAGACGTTGGATGAGAAAGTAGTACATATTGAGTGATCCGTCTTTTATGTTCCTTATTGAGCCACTCGTAAAAGGCCACAAACGGACACACATATAAATGTGAAAGCGACTACAGGAATAGTGGGTGAAGTGTAATCCTTGTGATGCGACCGACACAAATTTTAAAAGAAGTAAGTCCAAATTTTTAGGGATTATTACAGATATAAGCCTTTATTGGGCTCATACACACGAGATCTAGTCATATTTGACTCCAAAAACACTAAACAAGCTTCTTATTGCCTATCAAAGCTTTGTGGGTGTGGCCGAAGTCCTATGAGTTTCTTGTAGAAAGAGTATTATTGTCCAGACTTATCAATTTAGGCCTTTTGCACTAGGAGAAAAAACAATTTTATCCCTGTTCTATGTATCTCTACATCGACCACAACCATCACTTTTTCTCCATGACCACAATGTTTTTCGGATCAACAATCCTTGTTGGCCACCATGTGCTCCATATGATCACCATCTCTATCAAAATCATCAACGTTATCATTTTCAATCATCTCTGATTTTATATAATGGAACTAAACCCTAAGGACTATTAGAAAGGGAACCCAAGCAAAAAAAATAAACGATTGGTGGCAATAGAGAACCACCGGCGGATTTGGACAAAATCCCTTTCGATTTGTCATTAACGAAACGAGAAAATTACGGAGGAGGGGGAACAATCGGACGTGGTTTGCCGATGGTCGGAAAAACGTGCACCGGCGGAGAGATATGAGGACTCATGGCTGCTGGCACGTTACTCTTCAAGTCACGGCAAAAGATTTGAGAATTGTCAAAAACAGATGACAGAGGCGTGGAGACGAGAGAATCTGAACAGAGAAACAAAAATATTGTTCATGTGAAATGGGCAGTTTGGTCTTTTTGCTTTAATAAAAAGCCTTCATTTAACAACCCTGGATAGAAAGTCTCAATTAGACAAGAAATTACCAAAAAAAAGCCCAATTCTATAATTAAATCAATTTTTTTATGGGTTTATTACGAGAATGAGCCTTATATGATAAAAAGTTAAAAACTTTGATTTTAGGTCTTTTTACCCGGACTTCTAAGTTTAGGGCTTTTTGGATGAGCTAAATGACGGTTTTGCCCATGCTGAGTTGAGTAGACTTTTGAAGAAATTATGAAATTTAAATTTGAGAATTAGACCACCGAAATTGTAGAAATTTTATGTGGCTAGGATTAGAAGTTAGTAAGTGAAATAAGTGGATTATATTAAATTAACCAAATTGAAGAACATAGAAAGGGTTTGTATTCTGTTTACAATTGATTAATATATGGCTTTGTTTATCTGTAAAGTGTAAACGTTGGTTGGAAAAGAGTTATAGAAGAGGAAGACGAACCTGAAACCATGATATCTAATACATAATGTAACATAAGAACAATAGAAGAACAATCCAAGGAAAAATTAATCACATATTTACTAGATGATGGGAATCTCATTGCATTAGCAAAACGATCTAAAAGGCTAAAACATTTGCTCCAGTTTTTTTCTCCGTTACGGTCAACAAAAGAAAACAAGAAGTAGTAAGCACATGAAAGAGATGACTGGTTCGTTAAGCTGTCACACCTTCGAGAACGCCTCTTCCTTTAAAACCATCTTGGCGGCACCACCAACCATGTAAAACAATTGTTCAGGAAGATCATTATACTTACCATAAAAAAAACTCTGAAACAAACATTTCATATAAACTCACATATAGCAAACAATCATAGAGCAAGGAAGAAAGTATTTAGGGAATGCAAAATGATAGGTCCCAGTTATAGGATAATCAAGTGTTGATCAAGACAATAAAAATAAGAACAGAACACAAGTAACTTAAGACAATTTTTTCTTCATACCAAGTTACACAAACGTAAACAACTTAAATAGACATACTCAAACAATAACTGACACCTAAATAATAGGAAACACTTACCCACACTTTAGCCCATAATCCCACTAAATTATAAACAACACACGTTGAGGTATTCATGGCCTTTGAACCTATCAATACTCCCCCATTCAACATGAACCTTGTCCTCAAGGTTCTTAGAAAGGCTTTCTCATCTTTCCAAGTTGCTTCTGACGATGGAAGTCGTTGCCGACACGCCAACACTTCAGTCATGGGCTTCTTCCCTTGTTGCTTTTTTTCTCATCTCTGCGCGTGACACTTTCTTCATTTTTTTCCATGTTCGTGTCATCTTACCCTTCCTTCCGTATCTGTGTCGTTTTCTGGTCCGAGCAGTATGATGTCGGCGTCTATTCGGAACTGTTTGAGCTTGACGACGTTTTGGTGGTGAAGCTGCTGATCTTTTGAGTGGTAACTTCACCAATTCTTGAGATTCTAACAGAACCTGCAAATTCGTGACCGTGTCGACTCTCAAGTCTTGGCTTCTAGCTCTTTCACAATCAGCTTTGAGACATCTTGTTATATCCACCATACGATTCAAGGTCTTTTGAAGACTCTTTAATCCGTCCATCATCTCGAACTTCACCTTCTGGATCTCCTTCATCATATCGACCTGCATCTTCTTGAATTCATCCTGCATTTTACGAAAGAGCTCATCTTGCACTTCTCGGAGACTGGTCTCCAAATCATCAGTTCCCTCCCTGTTGCTTCCCATACTTTGATACACCACGCGAAGTGGTCCGAATCAAGGAATGAAAGAACCGCTCTGATACCACTTGATAGGTCCCAGTTATAGGATAATCAAGTGTTGATCAAGACAATAAAAATAAGAACAGAACACAAGTAACTTAAGACAATTTTTTCTTCATACCAAGTTACACAAACGTAAACAACTTAAATAGACATACTCAAACAATAACTGACACCTAAATAATAGGAAACACTTACCCACACTTTAGCCCATAATCCCACTAAATTATAAACAACACACGTTGAGGTATTCATGGCCTTTGAACCTATCACAAAAGAAGACAACACATGTATTAAGGGAAATTATACCCTAAGGATTGTAACTTAGGGAACCCAAGGACCGAATCAAACACAAATTTATTAAAGAAAAACTTTACGCTAAGGCCTATTTACTAAGGGAACCCATGGAAAAAAAAATTAAACGCATTCTTATTAAGGAACAGTAAACCCTAAAGAACTACAACCGAAGGGAACCCAAACACCAAATTTGACGCACATATTGTAAAAGGATATGACTAACAACGACATGACTAACAATGCATAAACGAATACTATATCTCCATCAAAACAATATGCAAAACCAAAGAAAAAACAATGAAATCCATGAATAATGATTTTCAAGCTGAACATCCATGAAAGATTACTGTAAAATATAACACCATATGTTTAAAAACATATGAAATTTGATTTCCAATATGTTTACCTAAGGACATGGATGATGATGCAAATCTTCAAGTGATTAATCAAATCCCAATTTTGAGCAAACACACAGTGGGAAACATAGATCGATATAATCGAACTCTAGATCCTAGATCCAACCAACACAGTAAGATTAAAAGCATTACTATCCAAAATCAAATCGAAGCTCAAATCAAACTCAAATCAAAAAGCATTACATTTTTCGCTCGAGGACGGCTGAGTCTTTGAAGAAAACCGCCGTTGTCCCCTCCGTGTTGGTCGTTAAATCTGTTGGAGTTTGTGGCATTTGGAGCAGTTTTCGGTTTGCTATGGTGAAGCTGCTTGGCCGTGCGGTTGTGGTCTCTTCACCGCTTTAGCCGCTGATCCTCGACTGCTCTTGTTACTCTCCTTCTTATAGAAGTTCAGGGCTTAGTTGCCTCTCGGTTCTCTTTGGGCTTTTCCCTCGACGATTAGGCTTGGTGTTTGAATGAGCACTTCTCTGTTGGTCAATTTTGCTAGAGGACAGCAGCAAAACTATTAGGAGAGTGGTCGTTGTGGCGAGTCAAGTGTGAAGTTTCGTCTCTTTAGCTCAATTAGTGCCTTTGGGTAGCTGCGGTGGTGCTGGCGTTGGTGAAGGTTTAGCCTCCGGTGGCGGCAAATTTGCTTTCTCCAATTTGTTAGTGCCACATGTATTCTTGTCTAGGTTTTTTTTGCTTCAAGCCTTGGTTTTGATTGTGTCTAGTTGTTGACGTTGCTTTGAGTTGGAGTAAGCATTGCATTGGTTTTGCCTCTCGTTGTGTTTTGTTCTGTGTCCTAGAGGAGCTAGTAAGGCTATTGGCGTTCGATGTGGTTTTGGTTTGCATCATCTTGCTCTGTGCTAGCCGACTTCGGGAATGAACTTGGTAGAGGGAGCTCGCATTGTTCGTATTGTTTGGTTCGTGAAGTTCCGTTTTGGGAAAGCTCATGGATGTGATTTTCGGGTTGCTCTCTCATGACGCGGGGTGACGTATGGGATCAAGGACTTTGAGTTATCTGCCGTTGACGGCTCAATCTCGGACTTCCAGTGAAAGGCTTCTAGTGATAACAGTTTCTCGCAATTCGGCTTCTACTTTTTGCAGTTGCCCTTCATCTCTAGCAACAAATTCACGAAGAACAATCAAAATCGTCATCGCTTTATCTAATCCCTTTAGCTTCACGGCTTTTGGTTGAGTAGATGGACCGAATTCGTGTTATGGTTTATGCTTCCATGTTTTAATTTTTTTACCATGGGACCATTTGTATAGGTTATAATCATTGATTATAAACCTAAACCGTTTTCATTTTTAATGAAATATTTACATTCTTAGCAAAAAAAAAAAACTATCCATAAATATATCAATCCTTTCACGTAATCGATATAACATGTAGTGTATATGTGAAGAAATTACCATGAGAAGCTGCGACAATAAGTAAAAGCAGAGCACCCATGAGATACACAACCGTGGGATTCTTTTTTGTTCTTCTGTTTGTTGCTCTACGCCGATCTTTCTCTTCCATTAACTAATATCGGTGAATCGAGAAGGTCAGAACGCGTGAAGAAGTGATGATAATCGAGCAGCGGAGGGAGAGTCTCGAAAACGAGAGATGGTGAGATGAGATGAGAAGGTCAAGAAGAGAAACAGATGTCTCCGCCGTAAACACAAATTTTATGACAAAATTGTAAATTCATCATTTGAAAAATGCCTAATTCGTCAAGTCTGGACAAAAAGTCCTAATCCAACAATGTTTTTGAGAAAAAGGCCTAATTCTGTAATTAATTCATTTTTATCATCAATTTTAACTCTACCGTGAAAGGACTTGATGCCTTTCACGCGACACTTGCTCAAGGCGGACCAACCACAGTAGGGGCCACAACCAATCTTGACTTAATAATAATAACTAATCGAATCCTCGAGGAGTTTCCGTAAATTGATCAATTTTTATATTCAAATATTTTTAAGCGTTGTCAATGTTCTAAAAATACGCTATATGTTAGACGTACGGTCACTATATAGCAAATAGACTATATACGACCATTTATGTGCAAACTATACGTTGAATATTAATTTAATAAAAATATATAGACATAGTATTTGTAAAAATATGCATATAAAAGAATCCATTGAATTCATTTTACCGTTTGTAAAAAAGTTAAGAAGCAAAAAATATGTTCTTGTTTTTTCATGAATTCATATTCGAATTTTTGACAGCAGAGTAAAGAAAATAATTCTTATTCAAAAAATTGTTAGGCACTAGTAGATCGGACACTCAAGATAGGCCTAACACCTAGTAGAACAATCGGAGATTATACGGGATTTAATCGTGGACTAGTTTTTTTTGTCCCTGTTAAGATTCAGGGAGTTTAGTGTTTTTAAAACTTTTTAGTGTATATATGCGGCATTTACTCATATATATATATATATATATAGATATGGGGCACTTACTAAAAAATATCAATTTTTTAAAACCTTATAAAACATGCTCCTAAAAATATGAGATTTACTCAAATACGTATGTAACATTATTAAAATATACACAAACTACCTTTATATGTATCTAAATTCTTATAAATATTTTATAAATACCGTATAAATACTTTTATAATACTTTTAAAATACCTTGTAAAAACCTTTAAGATACCTTGTAAAACCTTAAAAATACATTTAAAACCTTTAAAATGTCTTATAAAACCTTTAAAACACTTTTTAAAACATTATAAATACTTGGATCGAGTCTTCAAGTAGTAATTACTATCCATAAGTACCTTATAAATCTAATAAAACTTTCTAAAATTTTCATATTTAAAAAAGAGCATTTTTGAAAATTGACACACCAAAAGAGACATTTCTAATAATTTTAATTTCTTTATATATATTCAAAATATAAATTAAAGTTCTAATCACCTGTTGAGAGACTCAAATCATTAAATATTATTGTTTATTAATTGTTAAGAGAGACCTACTTGAGATATCCTCAAAGGCAACACCTCACACTTTCCCCTTTATTAATGTCTTAGAAAATTGTATTTATAGATAAGAGAAGTATAGATAGATATTGTTACGTACACATATAAGAGCACCTCCAAAGGGAGGTTCTCTTCAAAAATATGTTGGGTTCTCTTGTTTATTTGCAAAAAAAATAAATCAAAACTGATAATAATCAAGAGAATCGGGTCTTTCAAGAGAGTTTTGGGAATTTCAGAGAACCGTACACGTGGCAACACGTGATTGGCCTAGCTATTTTAACAAAACAAAAAAAAACAAACCCGACTTCTCTTCTCTCTCTCTCTCGCGAAGGAGATGAAACTTCCTGCCGCCGGATTAATGGTTTTCCGGTGAATCGAGTGCTTGGATCTGGTACTTATCTCGACTCCTCTAGGTTCCGATTCCTAATCGCAGATCATCTCGTTGTTAATGCTCAAGATGTACAGGTCAGTTCCAACCAAAATTAGGAATTTTGTGATAAAGCTGTGGTTTTTTGTTTGATTCTCCTCACTTTCATTCGATGAATCCATTCGATGAAACATCGTCTGGATTTCGATTTGATTTTGAAATTTTTGCTGATTTGAATGAGGATTCAATTTTCATCGTCACTTATTCCTTCGTCCGAGAATACAGATTGGTCAATATGCTTTGGAAGTAATCTTTTGGTTAGAGGAATCCTGGTCTTGTTAGTTTTACATTAATAAAATGTGCAATGCTAGTTTTGTAAGTTGTAATTATTTCATTAAAACTTTTCATCGCTACTATGAATCTTAATTTAGCTTCAGGGGAATACAAATTTTTCAATGCTTTGGAAATAATCTTTTGGTTTGTGTTAAGATTTATCAGTGGTGAAGTAGGGTATTTCTTCTTAGGCCTTTATGTGGTAGTTTGCTTAAAGAATCACATAAATAGCAATCAAAAGACGCAGGATTGAAACGAATGTTCTTTACGTATCTGTTTATTGAGCATGGTGTGTGCTAGGATGATTTTGGTTGATGTTTGTTTGCTAAACTGTTTGCAGATGCTTCAATTCATATTCGAGTTGACTAAACCTTATTTTTAGTGTTTTAGTTTCCATAGTAGCTTTGTTTGAAAGTTTTGCTTATTTGTTATGAGTAACAGAAAATGTTGCAAAGGACATTGAACTATTTGCTCATCATGCTGGACACAAAGTTGTGAACATGGACGATGTTGTTCTTTCCAATAGAAACTGTTTCTCTCTTACACGTTCATGTTAGTGTTTTGTTTTGAATCTCATATCTGTTTTCTGAAATTTGCAGCCCATAGAAACGATAACTTAGCTGCGTCTTTGAGGTACTACCATAGAAGTGTTGTTTCAGGGAAAAAAGTAAGTGTGAGACTCTCTTTTGGGTTGTCTAATATTACACCCTCTACACAACAATTTTCTGTTCTTTTCTCACTTCCTTCTTCTGTGTGTTTGGCTACAGATTCTGCTGAAGGGGAGAGAGATGATGTGTACCGTATATGAGACTTGTACAAGAACACAAAAGAGAAGAACAATGAAGGATTTCGAGCTTAACTTTGGTTTCTTGCGTCGACATCTTCTCTGCTTCTCTCATTGCATATTGGACATTTTGGAGACATGTTTTTACCATATAATGTTTCTGCAGCTTTTGGTTACTAACTCAAGGCAAAGCCTAACTTAAACCACAAATGGATACAAATAGATTGCAATCTTGAACACATTTTGTTTTTCTTCTAAGAACCCCACTTGAGAGATACTACCATTGGACTATGAAATTTTTTTTAAAAAAAACACAAGCTCTCTTCTTACAAATTTTCATAATTTATATTAAACAATGGGAGAGAACCTATGGGAGGCTCTCCACCATTGGAGATGCTTAAGTGCTACATTCAATTGGGTATAGATAATGAATAATCTCTGCTAGCTCTGATTTCTTCCCGTCTAGTCGTTAAGCTCATCCAATCTACCACTATTAATGACTACTTTTTTGAAGAAATCATTTACCCGATTACTTTTCGGCTAATTCGATTACTTTCAACCTAATCTTGCATACCCTGATTATTTTTGAACTGCAAGTATAAACATTTTTTTTGTTATTTAGACATATAGATTGGAGGTTTGTGATGTTTTACTTATGTTCAAAATCTTAATGAAATTATAAATTTTACCTTAAAATATGTTTTCATGTGTTACTACAATTTTGAAAACAGTATTATAGAACAATTTAATCATAATGGATTGATATGTTTTTAAAATATTAAAAGAACCCAAAAAGGCTAAAACTAATTTTCAATTAATTCCTGATTTAAATCTAATTTTTAGCTAGGCAATAGATCTAAGATTAAATACATGATCCAGATTGGATATGTTATTGATCCTAAAGTGGGATTTATTTCGAGATGAATGAACTCAAAGAGTTATTATCTCGAGGGGGAGAATTAAAAGAATCCCACATCGGTAATAAGTCGATAAATTTTGGTGAGTTTGACACCCCATAGCGAAATAACTTTGGTGAAGTCATATCCTAAAATTTATCACTTTTTGATAAAGTGGAACATCTAAAAATGATGTCCACTCTCAAAATGAGTTTTAAGCGAATCGTTCATAACGCAAATCCAAGAGATTGCAAAACGATTCATGGTGATTCAATCTCCATGTTTTCACATGGAACATGCAGTTTTGCATGTATTAGTGATTATATACAAGGCCAACGATTTATAAAAAATGTTTCTCCCATGTTTTATATATATGATTGGAGATCAAATATTTCTCATTTTTAAATTTTATGGGTGTGAGATATATGTTATAAATGCTCCTCTGCACCGCATAAAAATATCATCCAAAAAGGATGAAATATATAGATGCAGGAGATGAATCTTTGCTCTACAAATACTGAGTCATCTAATGAGAGATGTGCCTATTGCAAGATTTGCAAATCATCATGTTGATGATAAAATTCCCCATCATTATGGGAGAAACATTGAATAGTTCAGATCTTTGAACAACTGACTATTTTAAACACGAACTTAAGAGTTCAAAGTTCAGATGGATCACTATTCATAATATATTGCAAATCAAATGCAAAAAGCTGATGGATGAGATTTCATGAAATTATTGATCCTCGTATAAATGCATATGAACTTAAAGTTCATAGGAAATCTCTTGTCCCAGCTAAAAATGCTCTACAAAAATATGTCTCTGGCAGATGACATATTATTGTCTATAACACGTGAAAAAACGTGATAGACAACTTTGGTTCCAAATATAAAGAAAATCCTCGAAAAAAAAAAAAAGAGCATATTATTACTAAAAAGAGGATTAAACTCTTAAAAGAGAAGCATAGAGACTCCTCGACAGGAGCAAAGAGACTTCTAAAGAGAAGTAAAAAGACCGATTGGCATAGTTAAAGACGAAATCAGGTACCTGAATAAAATCATTTACAATGATTAAGAGATCTCGATTAACCATGTCATTACTGCAAATATGGAACCAAAGACAACATAATGTCGACAATAAAAATAATCTAGCGCGCAAATGTGATTAATGAGGATCATAAATCTCCGCTCTGTGAGCGTAAAGAGATATATATTGGCCAATAAACAAAGACGCAGTCAAGTCAATATTAATCTCGTATAAAAACGAGTAATTTCTGGACACATGGTCCAAGCATCAAAAGAGTATTATGATACTCAAGACAAAACGGTGTGTCGCGCCGGATTTTGTCAAAATCACTCGATATTGAGTTGATGAATAAATGACTTGAATTGCGCCTCATGGGATGTCTGTAGGACTAATCTCTGAAAGATATATGATATCATAGTTATATTCCCGGGAACTTATAAGCATGATGATTGTGAACATCATCAAACTCTTAAAGAGTTATTTTGAATAAAAGATCTTGGAAACACAAAGTGTCTCCAGATAATCCAACTAAACATCTAAAGAAAAAGATGTTATATTAGTCACTTCTAAAGGAAGTCGACTTTATATAGTTTGATCATGAAGCACTATATATAAATGCTGATGAGTATTTATATATTTTGTGAATTGTAGCTAGCATATATAAATGCTGACTAGCATTTATATATCTAGTGAATATATTGTACCTAGCATTTGCTACTGATCTACTTGCAGGTATAATTGATCTCCTCCGACTAGACCTTGAATGAGTTCAAATGTGTCTACCATATCTGCAAGGTACGATTAACTTGGGTTTATTTTATTCTAGAAACCCCGAGTTTGGTTTAGTTGGTTTTGCAGATGGAGAATCTATATCAGATCTATATAAATATATATCGCAAAACAACAACTTCGTGGCGTTTCCAACAAGAAATTTTGGTTGTCGCTTGTTCAAGCCATGCCAAAATTATTGCGCTCCATGAAGCATGTCGAGTATCTGTATGGCTCAGATTTATGCACTCAACATATACAAGAAGCAAGCAATATATGCACCAGTGAAGAGCCAACAACAAGACACTGCTGCAAATGTTTCCCAATTCAAAGGAATCTATGTCAAGAGCGAGATGACAAGATATATTTCTCCAAGATTCTTCTCTTGCACTGAAGGATCTGCGAAGAAGCAAGAAGTTGATGTCCAGTACATCCGGCAAGTAACAATGTAGCAGTTTTAGTTCAAATGCGCGTCCTGCTACATCATTCAAAATGCATATTTTGAAGATGATGCTTCCAAGGGGGAGAAATATGATGATGAGCGTGGCTGCACTCTTTTTTCCTTATCATGGTTTTTATCCCACTGGGTTTTTCCATGACAAGGTTTTTAACGAGGCAGCAAATAACACGCAAAAGATAGACATCAAAGTAAAAGTCTATCTCTCTGCCAAAATCTTTGTTATATATTGACGAGATCAGAAGAAGAGCAAAAAATGATCGAGTTATCTACGAAAGCTATGGAGAGAACAAGACTCGTCTGTTCTAGGGGGAGATTACGTCACTGTACTCTTTTCTCCTTATCATGGTTTTTCTCCTATACGGTTTTTCCATGATAAGGTTTTTAACGAGACAGTACGTAATA